CACCTTCCATTTTGCAAAGTTCCCCAGTTGCATGGAAGACTTTCACCTCCTCCTACACTCCGTTCCCATGTCCTCCGCCTTGCCAATCTGCCTTTTGTTGTGGGGTGGAGAAAGCCCTTTTCTGGATCTCTGTGTTGTGAGACTGGGCTCTGATAAGGCCTAGGGTGACCTATCTTGCCCTGGTAGATCTTCCCCCTCCCTAACAGGCCTGCTTGACAGCCTTGGCAGTTGGCAGCTGGCAAACCCTGATAAACTTATCACCCCAAAGCTGAGCTCCACAAGCTGCCCTCCTCAACCTCAGATTTCCAGGCTCCCGTTTTCCAGTAGTGTTTTACTTTGTGTCAGGGTGAGGGGCATAAAACCAAAGGTTGCTTTAAAAAAAAAAGGTCTCTCTTTGTATCCTTATTTTTTATTAACTTAATGCATTTATATTCCAAGGAAGGGTGGGGGGTGTGGTTCTCCCCCTCATTTAATCCCCACAACATTGGGAGGTAGATCAGGCTGAGAGACAGTGACTGTTACTACTACTGTCTTTAAATTATTGTTATCATTATCATTATCATTATCATATCACATTTATAGTTCATCTTTCCGCCCAATTAAAGTTGGTGGGCATGGTCCTCCTACTCTTCATTTAATCCCCACAAGCACCTTGTGGGATTGGTTAGGCTGAAAGGCAGTGACTATTAATGCTACTTTCTTTAAATTATTATTATGTAGTACCGTATTTTTCGCCCTATAGGGCGCACTGGCCCATAGAACGCACCTCATTTTGGGGGGGGATGAATAAAAAAAAATTATCCCCCCCCCCCCAGAACAGGCTGCTATCGGCAAGCCTTGCGAGCCCGGCGGCAACTCCCGCCGGGCGGGCAAGGCTTGCGGACACCTGCACGAAGCACAGGGCGTCCTCAGGAGGGTGCCCCGTGCTCCGCGCTGCAGGCTGCCGCCCGCAAGCCTTGCACACCTGCGGGAACTCCCCCCGGGCGCGCAAGGCTTGCGGATAGCTTCCTGAAGCCTGGAGAGCGAAAGGGGTCGGTGCGCACCGACGCCTCTCGCTTTCCAGGCTTCAGCGAAAGCCTGCATTCGCCCCATAGGACGCACACACATTTCCCCTTCATTTTTTGAGGGGAAAAAGTGCGTCCTATAGGGCGAAAAATACGGTAATTACCCCTTCACAGAGCTACAATTCCTAGCATCCTTAACAAACTACAGTTCCCAATATTCTCTTTTTGTGGCAGGAGCCATGTGATGTGAAGGTGTTCAGTACAGTGGTACCTCTGGTTACGTACTTAATTCGTTCCGGAGGTCCGTTCTTAACCTGAAACTGTTTTTAACCTGAAGCACCACTTTAGCTAATGGGGCCTCCCACTGCTGCCGTGCGATTTTTGTTCTCATCCTGAATCAAAGTTCTTAACCTGAGGTACTGTTTCTGGGTTAGCGGAGTCTGTAACCTGAAGCGTATGTAACCTGAGATACCACTGTATGTGGACTTGCCGCAGGCAGTTGGGCCACACTGCCAGCCTCAGCAGCCACCCTAGCTGCCAGTCAATTAGGAACTAACCTAACATCGAAATCTCAACAAAGCTGGAGGAATGAAAAGCCCGATTGTCTCCTCCTGCCCTATCTTTCACCCCTCCCCACCTTAACACCTTCATTCCTGTGCTTGGGGGGGGGGGGGAGGGGAGGGATATTTGGATTGCTTTGGTTAGCAAATTAGGGGCATGCAAAGCACTCCCTGCAGGGTTCTTCCAGGAGGGGCTGGGGGGGGCGTTTACACGTTTGTGTATTCTTCCTTCCAGCTGTCTTCAACCAACAGATCTTGGGTTGATTATGAGCAGGAAGAGCAAAAATGTGCAATCTCCAGAAAGGTGAAAGCATTTTGTGTGGTGGGGGAAGGGGAGGACATGGGAAGCTGCCTTATACTAAGGAAGGCCAACATTCCTTTAGCTCAGTAATGTCAACTCTGATGGGCAGCTACTCCCCAGTGTTTCAGACAAGGGGTCTCCTCTAGCCTTACCTGGAAATGCCATTGGGGATTGGAAATGCCTGGGCCTTCTGCATGTAAAAAGGTGCTCTGCTCTAAATAAAGGTAAAGGGACCCCTGACCATTAGGTCCAGTCATGACCGACTCTGGGGTTGCGGCGCTCATCTCGCTTTATTGGCCGAGGGAGCTGGCGTACAGCTTCCGGGTCATGTGGCCAGCATGACTAAGCCGCTTCTGGCGAACCAGAGCAGCGCACGGAAATACCGTTTACCTTCCTGCCGGAGCGGTACCTATTTATCTACTTGCACTTTGACGTGCTTTCGAACTGCTAGGTTGGCAGGAGCAGGGACCAAGCAACGGGAGTTCACCCCGTTGCAGGGATTCAAACTGCCGACCTTCTGATCGGCAAGTCCTAGGCTCTGTGGTTTAACCCACAGCGCCACCCGCATCCCTCTAGTCCTGGATAAATAACTGATTTAAATAGGAAGCCTTTTACCAACTCAGATCATTGGTCTAGCTACTCAATCTTGTCTACACTGACTGGCAGCTGCTCTCCTGAGTTTCAGACAGGGGTCTCTTCTAGCCCTACCCAGAGATGCCGGGGATTGAACCAGGGACCTTCTGCCTGCAATTTTACAGAGTCATAGCATTGGGTCCGTCTAGCTTGGTACTGTCTGTACTGACAGGCAGCGGCTGTCAGGATTGAATCTGGTGGGGATTGAACCTGGGACTTCTGCGCTGAAAGTACGACACTGTTGCTGAGCTGCAGCCCTTCCCCAACATCCCAGGAAGCTTTTTGTAGATGTAACTGCAATGGCCTTGCAAACCCCAGGTAAATCTGTAAATATCCATAAAAAGCAAATCAGACACCTGGCTTCTCTCCTATCTTGTGAAACAAAAGGCTTTGCGTCAATGACATTTCCATCACTATCAGTTATTCACATTACCTGGCTAGCCATGAGGCTGACTTACATAGCCCTGCTTTTGAATCTGTGTATCCTGAAACATTCTCCCTCCCCACCTCTTCCTGTTTTTATTTCCCCAGCCTCTCCTTCCATTCTAACTCATTTAGAGTGGCAGCAAGAAAACTTAGGGAGTCATGACTTATGTTTTAAAACATCGGAGTCCAGGCCTCTCTGACCCATGAGGTTGTCCCCAGGCAGGCCACACCCCCATACCTAAGTCATGCCTCTCAGATGGCTTCAGCTTTGTTATAAGAATTTAAAGTCTCAAATATATAAAATAAATGTACAAGGCAAACACATACAGTAGTACCTCTGGTTGCGAATGGGACCCATTCCGGAGGCCTGTTTGCAACATGAAAACAGCGCAACCTGAAGCGCCGTATCTGCGCAGGTGCACAGCGCGATTTAGCGCTTCTGCACATGCGCGAGCGGCGAAACCCGGAAGTAACTCTTTCCGGTACTTCCGGGTCACCACAGGACGTAACCTGAAAGAATGTAACATGAAGCAAACGTAACGAGGTATGACTGTACATGAATACATAAACCACATGTTTGAAACAGTACAGGAAGACAGTCCTGAAACCATTTTGACTCTCCCAAACTGACCAAATATTTCTCTGCAATGAGGGAGAAATAGAAAAAACCTCCCCATTGTCTCTGTGCTCACAAATCCTGCCTCAAGGGCACATTTAAGGTGTGACTAGGGTGAACCTGTGACCTGGATCCAGGAATTAAGTAGTTATAATAACAAAAGAGTGGCCAAAACCCAGATAATGCAACCAGGTAACCTGCCAGACAGGAGATAAACAACGCACTCAGATTTCTGTTGTAGACCACCTCTTCTGTGATGTAGGTATGATGTTTCTGGGAACGGTCTGGAGTTTGAGGGTGGGCAATTTAAAAAGTCTATGTAAGGGCAAACACCTTTCTTCTGGGTTCCTCTTCTTTCCTGCTTGGGGTGAGTGAGGAACTTGTTGCAACAGTTTAATAAAGATCAGGCTTAATAGCTGCTTTGCTTCTCAATATTCTCTGGTTGGCCTCTGTTATTTTCTCTTACCGATAGGGAACCCACTTAAGGACTCTATACAGGCTCTTGGATACCCCATAAGGGGAAAAGGGCAGATTTTGTTTACAACAGCTTGCCTCACAGGACAAATGGGGTGACCTGCCCCATGGGGCCACAGGTTTCCCACTCCCCACTCCTAGAGATAGTCATTTATTTTTATTTATAAAACACTCTCTTTGAAAGGTATATTTATCTCCTCTTACCCTTATCTGAGAGAAAGTCTGTTTACCCCCCAGCTCACGTGAATGTATGCTGTTTGGTAGAAGAATGTGGAATGAAAGTTATTGCAGACCCTCCAACTGTCCCTATTTTCCAGGGAGGGACCCGAATTTACAGAAGCCATCCCGATTTCTGGCTTGATCCTAGAATGTTCTGTTTTTCATTAGGACGTCCCTATTTTCATCAGAAAGATGTTGGAGGATATGGTACGATGTTTTTATATGTGGGAAGCCAGCTAGAGTGGCTGGGGCAACACAGTAGGACACCCCTATTTTCTTCAGAGAAATGTTGGAGGGTATGTTATTGGCCTCTGTGTGGAGTGACAGCCAAGATCATAGGAGCCAATTCCCAGGGGCTGAGGTCCCTTCACCTCCCATAAATTATTTGAGGGGGGCAGGTCCCCCCAAAGGTGATGGGCCATGGTTTGTGTGTGCACCACGACTTGTGATCAATTCTGTGGAGTGGGGCTTACCTGCCCCCCCATTATTTTATTCAAGTTGGCACCCACATGGCCTCTCCCCACCCTGAGAACTAATGTAGGCGTATCTACAGTACCCCAAGAGATAGAAAGGATGAGGCCCCTGGAAGTTTGAAAATTGAGCTTTTGGTCCAAACTCTAGGAAATCAATGTATCATGCGGTTGATTTCTATACTTTTTACTTCCGTGTTAGGCGTTTTTATCTCTCCTGTTTAATTCTAAGCTGTTTAGTTAGGTTGGTTTGTCTGTATTGTTTTATACAAACTTGTATGGATTGATTTTTTAAAAAAAAATGCATTTATTGATATTATGTACTGTATCATAAAGTTCATACAGTTTATACACCACTTATAAAAAACAACAACCTCAAAGCAGTTTACAAAAAAGGATAAAACAATAGAATTATCACTAAGAAAATAATTTAAGACAATCAAAAAGTTAAAATAACAATAGACTGAAAACAGATTCAATCTTGTGTCATGTTTCTAAGCATCCAGGTGGACTTGTCTAAACATTGTTTTTCGCGGGTGCCAAAAGAGAGTACAATGCAGGCGCTTGCCTGGTATCAATAGGCAGAGCTCCAAAGCGTAGGTGCTGCCAGAGTAAAAGATTTATTAGAAATGTGGAATGGGTATTATGTGGCACCTGTAATAGTGGCAATTCCACTGATCGAAGCATTCAAGTGGACATGTGATAAGACGATCTCATAGGTTGTTTCTAATATATATTTTGAATTGTTATTCTTGTTATACTTATTCTGCTGGTATGTTGTGATCCACCTTGGGCACAATTTTGTGGGAAAATGGAGTACAAATAAACAGATGATAATTATATTAGTGGCATAGGGAGCTGGGGGTGTCTGAATACTCCAAAACAGAGAGCAGAGAACCTCAACGCAAAGGTTTGTCCTCCAGGACCAAGTGCTCATAGGTGCTGTGTAAGGCATCTTTGGTAAAAACACCAGGGGTGGCATGATTCATTCAAAACAATATATACAATAAGATAAGCATAAATACATATTGACAGTGTTCTCTGAGAAGGCAGATGAGGTTTTGCTGGGGGGGGGGGCAAAAGGAGGGGCTCAAGCTTAGCCATTATGCTCTTCTTTCTTGCAAATCTTCTTCATGCAGCATATCAGTGTTCCATGCTTAAAGTGGTTTTAACTGTTCTTCCTTCTCCCTAGGGCATCATGGGCACTGTAGTCCTGTGGGGGAAGACTACAGTGGTACCTCAGGTTACATATGCTTCAGGTTACATACGCTTCAGGTTACAGACTCTGCTAACCCAGAAATATTACCTCGGGTTAAGAACTTTGCTTCAGGATGAGAACAGAAATCCTGCAGCAGCAGCAGGAGGCCCCATTAGCTAAAGTGGTGCTTCAGGTTAAGAACAGTTTCAGGTTAAGAACGGACCTCTGGAACGAACTAAGTTCTTAACCTGAGGTACCACTGTAGTAGGAAATGTCCTACTCTCAGTAACCTACATTTCCTAGGATTCTTTGGAGGAAGCCATGACAGTTCAGCAGATAAAAAAAATTATCCCAGAAGGGCCTTAGCTCAGTGACAGAGCACTTGTTTTGCAGGCAGATTATATGGAACAGACTTAGGCTCCATCTGCACTGTACATTTAAAGCTGTATCATACAGCTTTCAACTTTCATAGCTTCCCCAAAGAAATTATGGGAACTGTAGCTTGTTAAGGGTGTAAGAGTACTTGGGAGATCCATTTTCCCTTCCCAGAGCTACAGTTTCCAGATTGGTTGAACAACCAATCCCTCTTAACTTTGGGATTTGTTGCTCTGTTAAGGGAATACTACTACTATGTACCCTTAACAAACTACACTTCCCAGGATTCTTTGGAGGAAGAATTCCCAGAGTGGTTTAACAACTAATTCACCTTCCAGGGGAACTCTGGGAATTGTAGTTCTGTGAAAGGAGTGGGGAGTCTCCAAATTGCTCTCAGCCTCCTTAGCAAACGACAGTTTCCCAGAAGCCGTGGTACGAGATAGCTTTAAACGTACAGTGCAGAGGGGGCCTCAAACCAAGTAAGGCTGTTGAGCTGTCTAGCTCAGTACTGTCTCCATTGACTGTCCTCCCTTGAAGGAGAAGAAAATCTACAGGTGGGGAAAACTGAGCCTAAGCAATGGGCCCTCTGGAAGAGAACAATGCTGCTCTTCCTTAGGCTCCTTCATTCTCTCTCTCTCTTGATGAAGAACAGGAGGAAATTCATCTTGGGCACACTCTCGTCTCTCTGCAAGGATCTCTCCTGATGTCAGCCATCTCCCCTTAGCTGAACTCAGAAGGCTGTTCTCCTCACTTGAGGCTATGCTGACTCTCCCGGTGTCGCCGCAGATCCACCTTGCGCTGGAAACCCTTGCCGCAGAGCTCACAGCTAAACGGCTTGAACCCAGTGTGCTTGCGGCTGTGCGTAATGAGGTTGGAGCTCTGGCTGAAGGCTTTGCCACAGACCTGGCATTTGTGTGGCTTCTCCCCTGGATGGCAAAGAGGAGATGACAAGAAGCAAAAATATATCAGCAGCTCTAATTATTCGTACGGTCTTAGGAGCTCGAACAGTAACTCAATGGGAAAGAGCCCAAAGTCTTACACTGGATGCTTGGTAGTATTTACCTTGGAATATACCATATTTTTTGCACCATAACACTCACTTTTTTCCTCCTAGAAAGTAAAGGGAAATGTCTGTGCGTGTTATGGAGGGAATGCCTACGGGTGGCATGCCTACAGATTTTCCTCCTCTAAAAACTACGTGCGTGTTATGGTTGGGTGCGTGTTATAGAGCGAAAAATACGGTAGCTATAATGGATAAAATTATTTTTGACAAGGACACTCCCAAAACTCCACAGGTGCCCACTGGCCTAAGAGGTGTGGTGAACTACTACAGGGCCCCTGGGAAGCCTGTTGCACTTGAATTTATCCCAGGAATAAATTCAAGGCAAGGGAGAGACCAAACTGGCTTCTCTCCTGGATGGCAAAGAAAGGAGGTCAAAAGGAATTATTATATGTATCCATTAGGTCACCAGCATGGCACTCAGGGGCTCCAATGTAACTTCCAGTACCTGTGGAAGTCGGTTCAAATCCCAACTTTCCCAAGAAGCTCACTGGGTCATCTATTACTTTGTCTCAACCTAAACCTTCCTTACAGGGTTGTTGTGAACATAAACTGGGGAGGGGAGAAACCACTTTGAGCTCCTTGGAGGAAAGGTGGGTCTAGACATATAATAATAAACAAGTAAAAAAACCAAGTATTGCACCTGCATGTGCAATAGACACATGCTGCAATAGACACATGAGTGAAATAGGCTGAACCAGCATCTCCCCATCCCACCAGTAGGGGGGGCACTCCTCCTCTCACCTGTGTGGATGTAAGTGTGTTTTTTCATGTCTGACTTCTGGTGGAAGCGTTTCCCGCAGTACTGGCAGGGGTACGGCCTTGTGTCTGAGTGGATCAGCAAGTGAGTGGAGAGGGTGGAAGAGCGTTTGAAAGTCTTCCCACACATTTTGCATGCAAAGCTTCTCTCCTGTAACAACAAGATCAAGAAATCGAGACCAAAAGTCAGGCCAGTTGTCCAGAGATGGGAAACACCAACCCTGGAAATCATGCAAGTGAATACAAGCCGCATTTGCTTTTGCTGGGGTTGTTTTAGGTCTGCAAAACCTAAGTAAATGTTATTTCCAGTTTATGTCCTCCAGGTTTTCCTCAGATTGAAATTGATCACATAACTAACGACATAATTAATTTTGTTTGTTTCAAGTGAATAGTGACTAGCAAGAGAACAACAATGTAGGTACTTTTTGCATTTGGAACTTTTTAGTTTAGAGAAAAGCCGGGGAAGAGGTGACATGACAGAGGTTTAATGTTCAGGACAGGGGGGAAAAGGAAGAACTTCTTCACACAGCTCATAGTTAAACGATGGAATTTGCTCCAACCTAGATGGCTTTAAAAGAGGTTTGGATAAATTCATGAAGGGTAAGGCTGTTGATGACTACTAGCCATGATGGCTATGCTCTGCCTCTGCAGTTGAAGGCAGCACTGCTTCTGAATATCAATTGCTGGAAACCACAGGAGGGGAGAGGGACGCGGGTGGCACTATGGGTTAAACCACTGAGCCTAGGGCTTGCCACCCAGAAGGTCGGCAGTTCGAATCCCCATGACGGGGTGAGCTCCCATTGCTCGGTCCCTGCTCCTGCCTCCCTGCTCCTGCCAACCTAGCAGTTTGAAAGCACATCAAAGTGCAAGTAGATAAATAGGTACCGCTCCGGTGGGAAGGTAAACGGCGTTTCTGTGCGCTGCTCTGGTTCGCCAGAAGCCGCTTAGTCATGCTGGCCACATGACCCGGAAGCTGTACGTCGGCTCCCTCGGCCAGTAAAGCGAGATGAGCGCCGCAACCCCAGAGTCGGCCACGACTGAACCTAATGGTCAGGGGTCCCTTTTCCTTTACCTTTACCTTTACCTTTACAGGAGGGGAGAGGGCTCTTGTGCTTGAATCCTGCTTGTGGGCTTACCACTGGGGTCTCTGGTTAGCCACTGTAAGAAAAGGATGCTGAACTAGATGGGCTATTGGCCTGATCCAACAGGGAATTATTGTGTTCTTATGTTGTAGGTTTTCATGGAAGCTGAACAGTAGTGGAATGGAAACAGATCTGATTGTGAGAGACACGCGACAGGAAGCATATTATTGCCTCTTCTCACTCCTGACCTGAGAGTGAATGTTGGCGTGTTGCTCCAGACTCACAGCATGCCCAAACGTTTTGCCGCAGGTGTCGCAAGCAAAGGGTCGTGTGCCGCTGTGGGATCGTCGGACGTGGACCTCCAGTCCATGTGGGGTAGAAAATATCTGAGAGGGCAAAGAGATGTTTTTACAACTGTGGCAGTTCAGTCTGTCTCACGTTCTGCTTTTCCGCCTCTCCTTCTCATGGAGCAGGCTTTCCCCAACATGGTTCCAGCCCCGCCTCCACTGGTGTTTTGGACAACAAGTCTCATTAGCCTGTAGCAGGAGGCAAAGGGTTAAAGCCCTTTTCCATCCACCATACCAAGTTCCCACTCTAGATTAGACCTCCTTTACACCTGCAAATTTATTTATTTTATTTTTTAGCCATTCAGCAGCATGAATTATGTATGCATCATCTAGGTTATCATGGCAGCTGGGTCCATGGAGACTATGCTGCCTGCTTGCTTCCTATCTGGTCAGCCTGTAGATTGGTAAATGAGCAGTTTGTTTCAATGATGTAAAACAACAACAACAACAAACCACCCTTGTGGAATTCTCTCCTTACAATGAAATAGGCCCTTATATTTGTTCTCTCATGAGAGAGGGGAATGCCTTTTCTTAGATCAGAATGGGGAACTTTTGGCCTTCCAAATGCCCAGCTTCAAACCTTTCTAGCCCAGATGGTCGTTAGATGAGCTCGGAACTGTGAATGTGATCCTAAGCTTGGTTATTTCCTCCTTCTTCCCAATTCATTTTCCTTTTGTGTCATGTCTGTTTAGATAAATGATCGGTAAGCCTCCTTGGGAGCCTCTCTTGGCCGAATGGTGGGGGTAAAATATTTAAATAAACTCCCATCAGCCCCAGCAGGTATGGCCGAGGATGATGGAAGTTGTAATCCAACATCAGAAGGGCCACAGATTTATCACCGATGGTCCACGGGGAACTCACCTTGTTACAGATCACACAGTGGTATGTCTCCATGTCTGGTGAGAATCTCAGGCTGTAGTCAAGGGGTGGCTCGGAGGCTGGGAGGAGGTGGCTCTCATACAGGCTAACGGAACGTTCCAGAAGGGTAGAAGAGGTTGGCCTGTAGCTGTATGGAGGGCGGAAGGCACTCCAAGCAAAATTGGGCTTGTAAAAGGTGGCCACACTTTCAACTGAGCCACTGTCTTTGGATTTCAGAGCTTGGACAGGCATCTCTGAGGTGAAATAGGATGAATCAGATTATCAGCCTGCTCGTAATTTACTTTTTTTTTTTAACCATCCAGGGCTGTAGGGAGCCTTTTTCAGCCCCAGGGTCACAATCCCTTCTAGGCAACCTTCCCAGGGCCACATGCCAGTGGCAAGCATGGCCTGAGGAAAAAGTGGATGGAGCCATATGTGCAGTGCTTTTTTCCTGGGGGTACGCATACCCCTAAACATTTTGTGAATCTTTGTACTTTTGTCCATTTAATGTATTTACTGTATTTTTTGCTCTATAAGACTCGCTTTTTCTCTCCTAAAAAGTAAGGGGAAATGTGTGTGCGTCTTATGGAGCAAATGCAGGCTGTGCAGCTATCCCAGAAGCCAGAACTGCAAGAGGGATTGCTGCTTTCACTGCGCAGCGATCCCTCTTGCTGTTCTGGCTTCTGAGATTCAGAATATTTTTTTTCTTGTTTTCCTCCTCCAAAAGCTAGGTGCGTCTTGTGGTCTGGTGTGTCTTATAGAGCGAAAAATACGGTACTTTTCCTGATTTGAACTATAAAATGGTGATTTTCTTGAGTCAAAATGAGAGTACCTCTAAACATTTTTTAATATATAGAAAAAAAGTACTGCATACATGTAAATTTTATCTTTGTAGAGCAAAGAAGCATACACACCCTCTCCATCCTCCACCGAGGCAAACAAGGGCACATTCCAGCCAGGGAAAAACACTCGAGGTACAAAGCAAGGGCTTAAATCAGCAGGACAGAAAGACTGTTTTAAACTCATTTTCCCATCAATACTTCTTCCTACATATCCTAAAAGCAATGGTGCAAATTTGACCACTGGGCGATGCTGATGTACAGCTAAACAGAGCATCACATACACAGATTCATTCTGACCCCCAGGCTTTGCAGCTCACTGGGGCTTTCTCCCAGGCAAGTGAGTACAGGACCACAGCCTAAGTATGTGAATATTGGAAGCTGCACCCTAGACTTGCATACTAAAGGGAAGACAAAGGGTACATGGCCACTCTATCCGGCAAGTTCAGCACTTTCTCTTCTCAGATCTTTCCACTCAAGCTGAACTGGGAACTTGACCCTGAGCTTGGTTATTTCCTCCTCCCAATCAGTTTTCCTTTTGTGCTGTGTCTTTTTAAACAGTGGTCTGGCTGCTGCTCTGGGAGCCCCTCTCTCTCTCTCTCTCTCTCTCTCTCTCTCTCTCTCTCACACACACACACACACACACACACACAATTTATTTTAAACCAAAAAAGAGCACTGATTCTTACCCAGCCTGCTTCAAATAAAGTGCTGTGACCCGCAGCTGCTCACCTGATATTGGAGGCCCTGACACTGTTCTGGTCATACTCTGGGCAGGGAGAACATACTCTTCTTTGACTCCTTTAGGTTCATTTCCATCTTTTGGAGCAGAGCCTTGTGGGCAACCAGTGCTGAGAGCCTCGCTGTCCTTGGGGGTGTTGTGGCCATGAATAACTGTGATCAGAATGCAGGCAATAGTTTTATTTATTAAACTCGAGACCATCTGCATGGGAACCAGATGCTCTGCTGCTAAGCTGCAATCCTTAGCAGCTGAGGCAACCCAGTCAGATGGGCGGCATATAAATAATAATTATTGTTATTACTATTATTATTATTATTATTGGAAGGTGATCCACAAATCCAACAAATATAATGTCACTATGATTAAACACTGGAGGCTTTCGCATAACCAGTGTGGTTCCTAGACAACCCAGAGTTGTCTGACCCACCTGCAGTGGAGGGCACAACTGTTGCTGGGTCCCATTTCGGAACCAGGAGACCGTCATCCACAACTCGGTACTGGTGGTAAGAGTTTGCCTTCTTACTCTTCACTAAGAAAGACCTTGGCATTTCCTGTTCACCTGGGGAAAACAGATCCAGAAAGATAGGAGAAAACATTGTAAAACCAGAATTACACATTATCATCATCATCATGTGTTTTTTTCTTTAAAAATGTTTAGGGGTATTCTCATTTTCCTATTCGTATTGAAATACTGCCCCTCAATGAGGCCAAACTAAGATTCACAAAATGCTTAGGGGTATGCCTACCCCTGTGTCCCCCCCAGAAAAAAGCACTGATCATAATTAAAACCACATGTGTGGATAAACTGCCATGGGTGACAGAGTAGCCCCTGATGCATTCCATAATGTTATGCAAATTTTATTTGCTGCTGCTGCTACTACTACTACTACTACTAATGTTGCCTCCCATCTGCTCAACCTGAACTCATGAAAAACCAACCCTGGGAAAAAGAACTAGCCTGGGGACAATACAAGCCTGCAACGTGAACATGTGTGCAATAGCACTTTCCTCTCCAGCGATTGATTCCAAGTAACTTTTATTCAGAGGCATGATGGCTCTGACAGAGGCAGTAGAACATAGACACTGTGGCTAGTCTGATGCTCGTTTAACAACAATAGCAATAACAATAATAATAACAATAATAATTTATTATTTATACCTCGCCCATCCGGCTAGGTTTCCCTCGCCACTCTGGGCGGCTCCCAATCAAATATTTAAAAAAACAATACCGCATTAAACATTTAAAACTTCCCTAAACAGGGCTGCCTTCAGATGTCTTTTAAAAGTAGGATAGTTGCTTATTTCCTTGACATCTGATCGGAGGTTGCTCCACAGGGCAGCCATCCAAATGAACGCTCTTCTCTGCCTTCTGTGGGAGAAGGTTCTATAGTCTAACTACGCACTGCATGAATAAGGACTTTATCTTATCTGTTCTGAATCCGCCAACATTCAGCTTTTTTGGATGTCCCTGCATTCCTAGTTTTATGAGAGAGGGAGAAAAACTTTTCTCTGTCCACTTTCTCCTTGCCATACATATTTTTATAAACTTTCATCCTGTCACCTGTTACTCGCCTTTTTTCCAAACCAGAGAGTCCCAGTCGCTGCAATATTTCCTCACAGAGGTGTGCCCTTCCTGAACCTTTTCCAACTCTGCAACATCCTTTTTGAGAAAGGTCACAGAATTATGCCCTGATTGAGACTTACTACTAAGGGAGTGATTAATTCTTTACAGGAATCTCTGTGCAAAGAGCCAAATAACAGTACATGAGCCACAAATTTAGGCACAAGAGATTATTGTCTATTGAAAACTTCAGGAATTATTCCTAATTTTGCATCCGTACATAAACATTAGCCATATGCAAAGTTTATACAAATCTGTGCCCTCTTTTTCTGGAGTTCCAAATGTCCTCCCTGGACACTGCATAGCTCTTATTTCCCACATACCTCATAAAATATGCACAAGCAAATCTCTTCTCCCCCCCGCTAAACCCAGCTGCCTTGTGATAAGTAACATAATCCATGGAAGAACCTCAAGGTAACATACTGGAAGGCAATCAAGTAGTCTCTCATTTGCATGGTTGTTTGCATTTTCTCCTCCAGTTGCTCCGTTCAGTAACCGTACAAACAAATGTTATATTTTGCCTTGGGAAATATGTACTCAATCCAGGCTCTCAAGATTTTCTCTGCTCCCACCACTCCTGTCTCCCAGGTCTGTTTAACTGTAAAGATATTTTGACTGCCCTCAAGTCAATATGGATTGTAGCCAACTTATACATCGTTCACATTATATATTGAAAGCACTTTTACACCAGTTCAGACACTCGTGGCTTCTCCCCCAAAATGCTGGAAGCTGCAGTTTGTTAAGGGTGCTGAGAGTTGTATTCCCCCCTCAGACATAAAATTTCCATAATTTCCTAGGAAGAGGGGTTGGGAACGGTAGCTCTGGGACAGGAAATGGGGTCTCCTAGCAAGTCTTAGAAAGTTAACAAACTCCAGCTCCCAGAAGCCATGACTGCTTAATTTGGCAATGTATGGTGTGAATATGCATTCTACTCAGAGTAGACCCACTGGAATGAATAGACCTAAATCAGTCATGTCCAATGATTTCCATAGGTCTACTCTGAGTGGAATTGACATTGGATACAACATTTTGAAACAGCCCCATCTGGTTAATTTTTGTTGGCTTTTTAAAAAAAAAATACAGTGGTACCTCGGGTTAAGTACTTAATTCATTCTGGAGGTCTGTTTTAACCTGAAACTGTTCTTAACCTGAAGCACCACTTTAGCTAATGGGGCCTCCTGCTGCCGCTGGAGCACGATTTCTGTTCTCATCCTGAAGCAAAGTTCTTAACCCGAGGTACTATTTCTGGGCTAGCAGAGTCTGTAACCTGAAGCGTATGTAACCTGAAGCGTATGTAACCTGAGGTACCACTGTACTTATTATATTTATAGCTCATCTTTCATCCAAGGATCTCAATGTGGCATACATGGTTGTTTCTTCCCCCAACTCCTTCTTCCATTATATCCTCTCAACAACCCGGTCAGGTAGGTTAGGCTGAGACAATGGTACTCAAAGGCACCTTTTTGTCCTCTCTAGCAATTGGCCTAGCAACTCACAATTCTGGCTGTCCCCCACCCAAAGTGTGAGAAAGACAAGAAGCACAGATTGTGGGCGAGTGTGGTTTTTTGAGAGAGAAAAGATACTACAACATCATAGCACATAATTGAGAATTTATCGGTGACAGGAGGTCATCTATGGTATGATAAGCAACAAAATTTAGTGTTGCTAAGTCCTGGTTTGGCAGGAGAGGAGAGCAAGTGTGCTGGGAAGATTCAAGAACCATCAAAGAAACATCTAAACATTTCAGTGTAGTATAGTATAGTTTCAACATAACCTTTTTATTTGCAGAATACGGATAGCTATTTCCTCGTTATAAATCAGTTGTTGTTTATTTTTGCTTTCCTATTTATTTCTTATCAGTTAAAAAAAAGGTGTGTTATGAACAAATATTTATTATGAAATTACGGCCCAGATAAAAAAGTTTGAGACCTATTATTATTATTATTATTATTATTATTATTATTAGATTGCCTTTCACACCTATGTCTCAAGGCTATTTACACAGTCACATCATAAAAAAGTTTTTTAAAAAATATTTAAAAGTAAAATGGTTTTAAAAGCAGTATGCACAAAACAACAACTGAAAATAGAATTTATAACCAATATAAAATGAGCAGAGAGAGGACCTTTTCCTTTTGCACTGAAATCTTCTGACTGAAAACTGTTCAGTGGGGATTATTCACAGCTGTTGACTAAAGGAGTGCAGCCTTAATTCTCTTCCAAATTTCTTTACAGTAGGTCAGGGTTGCAATTCTTTACCTGCTTTCCTGACACTGTAAGAAGGGATTGTGCTTCCCAGTACCATCCTAGCAGTCCAGCATTGTTTCCCAATAATTCCGTAATATGGCTTTTAAAATCATAGAATTATAGAGTTGGAATAGACCAAGGGGACATCAAGTCCAACTCCTTGCAATGCTTTCCATTAATTCTTTTGTTATTTCATGGTTTTTCCCAAGCAGTAAAACTCAGGGATATTAGGTTATTTATTTAAATGAAGGATCAACCTTATTTCTCCTGTGCTAACAAGGCTTAACCCTGGCCAGGAACATCTTGGGACAGTTGGGTAAAGTCCCAACTAAATTTATTGCATTTATTTCACACCTTTTCTCCAATTTGCTCAAGGTAGCCTACACAGTTCTTCTCCCACTCTTAATTTAACGCCCACAACAACCCTGTGAGGTAGGTTAGGCTGGGAGGCAGTGACCAACCCAAGGTCACACCTATTGAACTTAATGGCTAAGTCGGGATTTGAACCCTGGTCTCTCCCAGGTTCTAATCTGAAACTCTATACTACACCAATTCTGTACACAGGGCGGACCCATTGAAATCTATGGCTTGGAACCTACGAAGTCCTCCTCAGAGTTACCTAAGTTAGTTGTGCTCATTAATGTCAATAGGTCTCCTCTTGAGTAGGATTGAAGGTAGATTTAACCCAGTGTAGAATTATAGAATCATAGAATTGTAGAGTAACCCCACTTACCTGGGAGTCAGCCTTATTGAATTTGGTATTTATTTAATGTCACAAGATTTACACACCTCTTGATTGTAATAAAATCTCAAAGCAGTTTAGAAAAAGAATAAAATAATATAATTACCAGTAAAAAAAGAGATCATGTTAAAAACAGGTTAAGCTTAAAAAAAAAACCACCTAGATTAAGATACATGTCAGCTTTCTACATGTCTGAATAGGCTTGCCCAAACAAAAATGTTTTAATGCAGGTTCTTTCCAGAGTACACTGAGGGCACCTACCTGAGGTCAGCTGGCAGGGTGTTCCAAAGTGTGGATGCAGCCACACAAAAGTATTGAATTCCTACAAGTGTGGAATGAGTATTATGGGCCAGTTCTGCAGATCGAAGCGGTTGAGTGGGCATATATGGGGTAAAGTCATCTTGCAGGTAAACTGGTTCCAAGTTGTTCTGAGTTTTATATACTTAATGGCAACACCTTGAACTTGGACTGGTATCAAACTGGCAACCAGTGCCGGTCTCTGAGCAGAGGTGTTGTATGCTGAGAGGGTCTCAGCGCTGCGGCTTTCTGCAGTAATTGCAGCTTCTGAATCCAATGCAAGGGAAGCCGCGCATGGCCCTACTCAGTGGGGCTTTTTTTACTAAGAAGACATGGTTAAGATTATGCTGCAAGTTACTTAATTCCATAGATTTCAATGGGGTCTACTCTGAGTATGACCAACATTAGCTCTCACCCATAACTTAAAAACCCCCACCATATAGTAACTTCTATCTGCAACCCTCTTCCAGCACAGCTTTTCAGAAGATTTGGTTTCTATTACATCAATACAAGCTTTAACCTAGCTCTTAGAAGTGAACTGTAGGTCCTACTCAGTGTTGGTCCTACTTAGAGTAGATCCTCTGAAAAATATGGACATGACTTAGGCCCATTAATTTCAGGGGGCTACTTGTAAAACTTTGGATACAATCCTTAAAAAAATTATTATTATTATTAGTGAAGGGTGGAAATTACCTGTTATTGCAGAATTGCTGAAAGTAGACTTGTTTTTTTCCTCAGGGACGATCCTCACAGTGAAGTTTCCTTCTCTATGACTTTTCCACAGTCTTGTAGCAGCTGAAGTTAGACACATCTCCCTCTTTCTTCCCCTTCTTCACTTTACCTCATTCTCCTCCCTGATTTTTCAATCTGATTATACTCATGTCAAAATCTGGTGGTGAACCAGGCAGCCAATGAGGAACTAAACCCCTCCACAGCATTTGCTTATCAAAACCTCCCAGGCTTCATAACCTTGAAGAGAATATTGTGTTGCTCAAGTCCCAGAAGTGACACCCTTTCACAGACGGTTGGTGACTTTTTATTTTTTATTTGGTAGAGTGTTCTTTCAAGATACTGATTTTCTAGAAATGGCAAAGGAAAATATAATTTGCCCAAACATACACAACTGAAAAACATGCTGGGCTTTGTGAAGGAAAAGTAGTGCTGCTATTTTTTCACTTAGGGCATTATGTTAAACTCATGTCAGTCATGATGAATTTATTGGGTGGCTTTACGAAATCAATCCATTTCCTCAGACCCCCACCCCATAACTAGCAATGTGGGGAATTATAATAATACCGCCCTGCCTTGCAAAGCTGTTAGGTTACTGAAATAAGAAGAACATAATAAGAGCTCTGCCTCAGTAGGCCAATGGCCCCATCTAGTCCAGAATACTGTTCTCACAGTGGCGCCAGCCAGGCACCTGCAGGAAACTTGCAAGTAGGACAACAGCACTCTTCCCTCCTGTGGTTTCCAGCAATGATATTCAGAAGATTGGAAGCAGAACATAGTCATGGCTATCTGTCTAACATTCAGTTTCATTGAATATTCACAAGTTCTGGTTTTATGAAAGAGGGATGGGTCAGGTGCTTTGAACCCTCTAAATGGGAAACACTCTAATGTCCAATTGTACCCAAATATAGACTTAAAGCCACTCCTCAATGTCAAGGACCAATGTGCAAATTTGCTTGCGATCTTTCAAGAGGTGTTTGCGTGCATAGCCATCAGACAAATAAACAACTTTCCAAAATACATAGTAGATTTACTACTACTACTACTACTACTACTACCTACTACTACCACCACAATAATTTATTCATATATTGCTTTTCAACACCCCACAAGTCCCCCAAAGCAGTGAACTACATATTAAAACAACAAACTACAGAATGGAGTACAGTGGTACCTCAAGTTACATACGCTTCAGGTTACATTCGCTTCAGGTTACAGACTCCGCTAACGCAGAAATATTACCTCGGGTTAAAAACTTTGCTTCCGGATGAGAACAGAAATCGTGCTCTGGTGGCGTGGCAGCAGCGGGAAGCACCATTAGCTAAAGTGGTGCTTCAGGTTAAGAAGTTTCAGGTTAAGAATGGACCTCCGGAACGAATTAAGTACTTAACCCAAGGTAAAGGTAAAGGGACCCCTGACCATTAGGTCCAGTCGTGACCGACTCTGGGTTTGCGGCGCTCATCTCGCTTTATTGGCCAAGGGAGCCGGCGTACAGCTTCCAGGTCATGTGGCCGGCATGAGTAAGCCGCTTCTGGAGAACCAAAGCAGCGCACGGAAACGCCGTTTACCTATTTATCTACTTGCACTTTGACATGCTTTCGAACTGCTAGGTTGGCAGGAGCAGGGACCGAGCGACAGGAGTTCACTCCGTCACGGGGATTCGAACTGCCGACCTTCTGATTGGCAAGTCCTAGGCTCTGTGGTTTAACCCACAGCGCCACCAGAGTCTCTTCTAACCCAAGGTACCACTGTACAATAAAATGGCCTAATAGACTGATCATCAAGTGCAACAATTTTAAAAGAACAAAACCACACATATAGGAAGGCCAAAGAAAAGCCCTTCCATATGGTGCTCCCACAAACTCCTATATCCCACTCCCAAGGCCTTGAAAAGATAGAGCTGCTGCTTTGCTCTAGAACAGGGTGGTCCAACTTTTCATAGCAAGTGGGCTGCAAGAGTACCGTATTTTTTGCACCATAACACTCACTTTTTTCCTCCTAGAAAATAAGGGGAAATGTCTGTGCGTGTTATGGAGGAAATGCCTACGGGTGGCATGCCTACGGATTTTTCTCCTCTAAAAACTACATGCGTGTAATGGTCGGGTGCGTGTTACAGAGTGAAAAATACGGTACTTTGACAGGGAACTTGCAGGCTGCCTTGTCGCTTTGGGAATGAGACATTAAGTTCTGGCAGGGTCCTAGAGCCCTTCCATCTCCTTCCCAAAGCCCAGTGCCTCGCTTACCTGGCTTTGGGAAGGCAGCACAAGGGCTAGGAGGGCTGGTGGAGGACATCAAATGTTGCCAGGGGTTACCAAAAAAAGGCCCTGAGGGCTGTGCTTTGACACAAGGGGTGGTGGAGGGGGTGGAGATGTCTTCACCCAATACACATTACCTGATCCTTTCCATACACCTGCGACCCCTCCACTCCCCAAATTCTTATAATAATAATAATAATAATGAATTTTATTTATTTTATTCAACAAAGCTGTCATCTGGGCATGTACAATGGGTGTTTGAAACTTACGCACCTCAACTTAAGCATGGCTCAGGTTTTCAAATCAGATGGAAGGTGGGTTCGTGGGGGAAATGCATAAAACAACAGTATTTCTGAAGGAACTGCTGGATGCATATGGATTGTGACTAATGTCATGTGGACTCAGCTTGAAACACCAGAGATAGGCACAGGTAATGCATACAACACAACCTAAGGTTTTTTTGTTTTGTTTTTAATCAAGTAGCTGTCGCTACTGCCATCTACTGACAGAACATAAAATTTCACATTTCTCATATTATTGTTGTTATTACAGTGGTACCTTGGGTTAAGTACTTAATTCGTTCCAGAGGTCCGTACTTAACCTGAAACTGTTCTTAACCTGAAGTACCACTTTAGCTAATGGGGTATCCTGCTGCTGCCGTGCCGCCGGAGCACAATTTCTGTTCTCATCCTGAAGCAAAGTTCTTAACCTGAAGCACTATTTCTGGGTTAGCAGAGTTTGTAACCTGAAGCGTATGTAACCTGAAGCGTATGTAACCCGAGGTACCACTGTATTATTATTTTATTAAAGATTTTCTTGATTTACAAAAGTGTGTGCAATGTCTCCATTGATTTATTATTGATTGATTGTGGCCCTCAGTCCTCAGACACATCACCTTCAATGCCCCCCATAACCTAGAAGAGGTAGGATTCTCTCATGTTACATATGATCCTCTAGGACAGGGGTCAGCAACCTTTTTCAGCCTTGGGCTGGTCCACCGTCCCTCAGACCATGTGGTGGGCCGGACTGTATTTTGAAAAAATAAATAAATGAACGAATTCCTATGCCCACAAATAACCCAGAGATGCATTTTAAATAAAAGCACACATTCTGCTCATGTAAAAACACCAGGCAGGCCCCACAAAGAACCCAGAGGTGCATTTTAAATAAAAGGATGCATTCTACTCACGTAAAAACACGCTGATTCCCGGACCGTCCGTGGGCTGGATTGAGAAGGTGATTGGGCTGCATCCAAGCCCCAGGCCTTAGTGTGCCTACCCCTGCTGTGGGATAAGAACATAAGAAGAGTCCTGTTGCATCACTGTTACCACTGTGGCCAATCAGCACATTACACACCTGACGCACTGATGAGGTACCAAGGCCACAGCCTTGAGAGAGGTGCCTGACAGGTTTCAGGGCCTTTTCTGTCATCCACCTCTCTCTCTCTCTTGCTGCATCTCTTTCACAGCCTTGACATTTCCCTCTCTCAGGGAAGAGAGATGCAGCAGCGAGAGGGGCAGTTCATACCTAACTATGCCAACTTTGAACCAACCCCTTCTAAATTCAGTGACATTTACTCCCAGGTAAGGACTTTCAGGATTCCATGAAAATAAAGGAAACTGCTCTTACTCTGAAGTAGATGCAAATGAGCTCAATGGACCTTGCTCTGCACCCTTAAAATACATACATTGATTCCCTTGAGTGATTTGAAATTTTATCAATAAATATTACAGTATAAATTTGTGAAGTCTTTAATGTGTCATCGTGGGACTTTTGCATGGTTGTTTTCTGCTATAGCACAACACTGCTACCCTTTGGGATAATAAAATGATAGTAATAATTACAAGGCACACATCCAAGGATGGGTGCACTGGATTATAGCCATAAATTGCATGCTGCAGTAAATCTACAAATCATAGCTGTGGTTCTTGCAGTGCAGGGGGCTGGAATAGATGACCTTTGGATTCATTCAAACTCTACAATTCTACGAGGCGGTAATCTCTTGCAGGATCTCCCTTTTGGCTGTTGTGTTGATTGCTTTTTTCTTTTTGCCTAGCATTAAAAAGTGTCCTTGGGTAGGGGAATTAGCAGCTGCATAATCAGCCTGGAAATCAGCTTGCTTTCCTTATAAGGAGGTTGATGTTCAGGGCCAAGCAACAGAGGCCTATGCTAAACTACCGGTAATTCCTAGAAAATCTTTAGGCTGCAATCCTATACATGCTTTTACTTTTTGCTCAGGCTGACCCTGCCTCATGCTCCCAGGGCTGCATCCTTGACTGGGGGCCTGTGGGAGGTGGTTGGCAGATGTGATGGGTTTGCAATGGGGGTATTTTTAATCAGAATTGGGAAGTCAAACTGTCCTCTTTATTTATTTATTTATTTATTTATTTATTTATTATTAGGGGGCGGGAGGAGACAGTGCTGTTCTTTTTCAAACACCATGGGCAGTTGGAGGGGAGCCTTGAAGTAGCCACAGCTGTGGGCGGTGCCAAGCATCTCCATCTGCCCAAACGTCCCAGGCTGCAGGTTGATGGAAAGAGCTCAAAAAGCGCCTCTTCAGCTCCCAGGTAGTCAAATGTTTGTTTTTAGTAAAAGTGAGAAAGGCAGGGCAAGGGGGCGCCATTTTATGGTTTGCCTCGGGCTGCAAAATGTATTTGGCCAGCCCTGGCACTCTAGCACTCTCTCTGTTAAGTTGTGGGTGAACATATCAGACGACACAGCGATTCTTCAAACAGCTCTTGTTTATTCGCAAGCCAGAACAGAACTGAACAGCAAACAGCTCAGCCAGCCTGCTTTTATAGGCAGCCGGATGTCAACATTGTAGCAACAACATCCCAGGGTTTCCCGCCTAAAATAACTGACGTGGACCTGAGTGAAAACTATCTACACGATACTCCTGGTGGCCAGGGTGAGAACTTCAATACATAACACTCTCCACTTGTGAATCTCAGCGAATTCGGAGGCATGTGGCCTCTGGCAGTGCAATGGAGGAGTCACTGTCATAGCCACTGCGGCTCATAGTCATCGATAATCAGTATGAAATGGAAATGGAAACATTTCTAATCCACCAATATCCGGAGGGCAAAAGTTCTGCACTCCTGCACCACAACACTAGCCCAATGTTCAAGTCAAAGAGGTATGCCATATTCATACCATACATCTGGTGCTCAGTTCCCCCAAAGAATTCTGGGAACTGTGGTTTGTGAAGGGTGCTGGCAGTTCTTAGGGGACTCCTATATCCCTCCCAGAGCTACAATTCCCAGAGTGGCTTAATGATTTTTTTTATAGGGTTTTACATTTATAAACATCAAAATATCACATTATATAACAATAAAATCATTCCCCAGTTTCCCCCTTCCTCCGTGCGACTTCCCTCAACTTCCTCTTCTGGTTAATTTTAATATAATATCTTTTCCTGCTTATTCTACTTTTTTCTCAACTTTTTGGTATCTTTAAATCCTATTCTTATTGTTCTGTTCTCATATTAACGTCATATTTATAATTACTATATTTATTTTGTTAATTGTCAGTGTATATTCAAAGCCTGATAGTATGTCCAATTCTTTGCCTTGTTTCTGTAAATATGCTGTAAATGGTTCCCAATCTTTTAAAAAATCCCTGTTTTCCTTATTTCAGAGTCTTTCAGTTAGTTTTGCCATTTCGGCATATTCCATAAGTTTCTCTTGCCATTCTTCTTTAGTTCATACTTTATCGCTTTTCCATCTTTGTGCTAATAACATCCTTGCCGCAGTTGTAGCATACATAAAGAATTTTTGTTTCACTTTTGGCAATTCTTGACCTAAAATACCTAACGAAAAAGCTTATGGATTCTTAACAAAAGTTATCTTAAACATTTTTTTTCATTTCATTATATATCATTTCCCAGTAATTTTTAATTATTTTACAATTCCACCATGAATGAAAAAAGGTGCCTTCCTTTTCTTTACACTTCCAACACTTATCGGTGCCGGTTTTATACATTTTAGCCATTTTCAAAGGTGTAATATACGATCGTACATCATTTTCATATAATTCTCTTTTAACAAAGTACAATCAGTAAATTTCAGATTCACTCTCCATAATTTCTCCCAGTCCTTCATTTGTATGTTATGTCCTAAACCTTGTGCCCACTTGAGCATAATAAAAATAAATAAAAAGGGGTTTAGTTACACGGTATCTAGATTCCAAAAAGAAATTGTAGACGAAAACACTAAGCTTTTAAAAAAGATGTGTAACATATTATTAGATTGGGAGACCAAAGACGAAGAGGTGAAATCTGTAACGTGGCTTAGTGATCAATCCCAGGGAACTCTGGAAATTAATTGCAGCTCTGGGAGGGGAAGAAGGTTTTTCTAATGGCTCTCAGCACCAGATTCCTGGACCCAGGATTCATTTGGACCATGAGAGTTTAAAGTGGTACCACAGGCTTTAATGGTATGGTGTGATTGTGGCCCAGATGACACTACTGCGTGGTCTGATCCAGCCAGGTGGTTCTTAGCGTCTTACTGGCTTTTGATGCACACTGCGCCCTCTAAGACATTACAGGCAGAATAAATAAATCATTAAAGGCCATGGACTCATAAGAGGAAATAAGGGTAATGATATAATAGGGGGGGGATATTTTATGCATTGGGACTCTAACCCCACCCCTCCACCGCATCTCTTTCCATTAACAAGCCTCACTTGCAAATACCCCTTCCCCAGAATGGTGCACCAATTTATTTATTCTGATGTAATGTTATGCAGATTAAGTCAAGGAGAAATAATATTACTAATTGCTTCCATCCATTCCTTTTCTGAAGCCCCATCCTAATTTAAGTTTCTTTCCCCCCCCCCCTTTCTCTTCCCAAGGGAAGATTAAATAAACATGCCTCCAGCACAGCAGGAGGCGGGGGAAAGACTGAAATAAAAATTAATTGTAATTCACAAAGTGGGACAGGATTAGAAGGCTGTTCACATCAAGAAACTGATCCCCCTGTCTGAGATGGGCTGACCTCTCGCAGGTGAAACTTCAAGGGAAACAAGCATGGAATCCCATGTGCAGGGAATTGTGAAATATGCAGACACAATCCCAGATTGCAGAACCATCTTCAAAGGCTGTTTATGCTAGGTTTTATATCCTGAACCAATATCCTTCTGGAGATAAGAAAGAGCAGCAGTTCTGCAGCCTGACCTTTTGCAGAGTTAGGGCATGCCACTTAGGGGAAGGCTGTTGATGGCTACTAATCATGGTGGTTGGAGGTAGTAGTGCTTTTGAACACCAGTTGCTGGAAATCACAAGCGGGGGGGTGCTCTTACACTTGGGTCCTGCTTGCCAGTTTCCTGGCAAGACATCTGTTCGGTCATTGTAAGAACAGGATGCTGGAGTAGATGGGCCACTGGTGTGGTCCAGCAGACCTGTCATGTTCTTATAGGCTATAGCTCAGTAGTAAGGACCCTGACCATTAGGTCCAGTCATGGCCGACTCTGGGGTTGTGGCGCTCATCTTGCTTTATTGGCCGAGGGAGCCGACGTACAGCTTCCGGGTCATGTGGCCAGCATGACTAAGCCACTTCTGGCGAACCAGAGCAGCGCACGGAAATACCGTTTACCTTCCCGCCGGAGCGGTACCTATTTATCTACTTGCACTTTGATGTCTTTCGAACTGCTAGGTTGGCAGGAGCAGGGACTGAGCAACGGGAGCTCACCCCGTCGCAGGGATTCAAACTGCCGACCTTCTGATCAGCAAGTCGTAGGCTCTGTGGTTTAACCCACATTATTACCTGCAGAAGGTCCCAAGTTCAATCCCTGGCATTTCTGGTGTGCCCCCTGCCTGAAACCCTGGAGAGCCACTGCTGATCAGCTGAACTACACATTCCCATCATCCCTGGCAATTGGCCATACTTGCTGGGCCTGATGGGAATTCTAGTTCTGTGAACACATTTAAAAGCCCATCGAATGTTCAATCAGCCAAAGGCCTGGTTATAGAGAAACATTTTTACCTGGTGCCCAAAGGTATGTAGCAAAGGTGCTAGGCAAGCTTCCCTGGGGAGAGCATTTCACAAGGTGGGGCCCCCCGCAAAAAATGCCCATTCTCATGTTGCCACTCTCTGGGTCTCTCGCAAAGGAGGAACACAAAGAAGGGCCTTGGATGATGATTGCAGCATCCGGGTCAGTTTATATAGGGAGATGTGGTCTTTGAGGTACAGTGGTACCTCGGGTTAAGAACTTAATTCGTTCTGGAGGTCTGTTCTTAACCTGAAACTGTTTTTAACCTGAGACACCACTTTAGCTAATGGGGCCTCCCGCTGCCGTGCAATTTCTGTTCTCATCCTGAAACAAAGTTCTTAACCTGAGGTCCTACTAACTGACTCCACTAACCCAGAAATAGTACCTCAGGTTAAGAACTTTGCTTCAGGATGAGAACAGAAATCGTGTGGTGGCAGCAGGAGGCCCCATTACCTAAAGTGGTACCTCAGGATAAGAACAGTTTCAGGTTAAGAACGGACCTCCAGAATGAATTAAGTTCTTAACTTGAGGTACCACTGTACATGTGTGTGAAATTACTGCTTGTTAGTACTACTGAGTCAGTTGGCCCATAATTTGTTATACGGGGCTTACCATCTGTTGTTGATACTATACTAAACTTTGACCAGTGTGATCAGCAGAGTATGCACAGCTCCTGCAGAGTCTTCAAGCAGAACATTAGAGTTTTCCCACTTTCCAGTACACTGGTACCTCGGTTTACGAACTTAATCCATTCCGGGAATTCTTTCTTAAACCAAAGCCGTTCTTAAACAAAGGAGCACTTTCCCTAATGAGGCCTCCTGCTGCCAGTGCCCTTCCACTGTTTAGCTTCCGTTCTTAGACCGAGGTAAAGTTTTCAAACTGGGACACTATTTCCGGTTTTGTGGAGTTCATATACCGAATAGTTCGTAAACAGGGCTGTTCTTAAACTGAGGTACCACTGTAGCCAGCCTTTTCCAGAGTTCCGGGTTAAGAAAACACCTTTCCCACACAGTTCAGTTTTTTTCAGTTTGGCCAGAGGTTTTTGTTTTGTTTTTTGTTTTGCAGAAAGGGTAATTTGCATAAATAAGTGCCAATGTGGTATTTTGTGTTTCATTAATAATGTCTTGAACAAAAACGTATCTTCCATTTTAATCTCTCAATCGTTTTGTAGACTGAAATTTAAATAATGAATGTATTAATAAGGTAGGGTTGCTATATTTCAAAATGAAAATATGGAAACACGTTGAGCAAATTCGCAATAATTTTTGGGAAGTTTTTCAGCTATTTTAAAGGAATATCACCAAAAGTGACACTGCTGACATGGGTTGCCATACATCTGGATTTTCCCAGACACTTCAGTGATTTCTGCCAGATGCTGTTAATGAGGGCTGAATTCCTCCTATGTCTGGGGAAATCTGGACATATGGCAGCCATAAATAAGGGCCACCCCTCTACCTCTGTTGGAGCCACTTGCCATAAACTTTTGGCCTACCCATTACTGTTAAACAATTTTTTTCCCTATCTGTTTTATGGGTTTCTTGCAAAAAAGGCTATATATGGATCCATTTTGAACAAATAAGTTGCCATTCTGGTGCATTTTATTGGATCTCCCAACCCCTTCACAGTTAAAGAAATTACATTAATATCTGTAGCTCATTTTGGCCATTAAGCAATAGTGTCCTTTGCCAATCTAAGCTTTCCATGTTTTTTAATTAACCCAAAACCTTTAGAACAGGGGTCAGCAAACTTTTTCAGCAGGGGGCCGGTCCACTGTCCCTCAGACCGTGTGGGGGGCCAGACTATATTTTGAAAAAAATTTAAAAAATGAACGAATTCCTACGCCCCACAAAAAAATATAGTCCAGCCCACCACATGGTCTGAGGGATGGTGAACCGGCCCACGGCTAAAAACGGTTGCTGACCCCTGCTTTAGAACTTACACCCTGGTGTGTGTCCTCTTTTAACAGTAGAGGGCACTCCAGCGCTACTATAGGTATAGAGAAAATCATAAGCATAAAAATCAAACTTATTTTAAACAAGTAAATGATGAGGTACATTAAAGTGGATATTTTCTTGTAAATATCATGTCCCAACCCCTGGGTACCTTCAATATATTTATATTTTCCAGTCATTCCAGTTTGATTGCTTTCACTTCTATAGAAAAGGAGCCTTTTTCTCTTTTAAACAGCATTCGAGCCTTAGTTTCTGTTTAAACATAGTTAATAAGTTAACCATTCAAAGTTTTTTCCAAAGTTTCAAAATGTTTGGCCAAAGGTGAAGAGTTATTTTGGATTCAGTGGCAATAACAACACAAGTGGAGGGAAGCTAGCTGCTTTTATTAAACAGCAGTCTTGACTACAGCACAAAGCAGCAGTGAAAGAGTCTTTAGCAAAATAACACAGTGTGAACAAAATGAAGCTAATTCTGTCATCAGCCTATTAATTATGACCAGCCTATTATCTAAATTCCTCCAATCTGTTAAACTAGGCCTATATACTGTACCAGGGAGGGACCAGGGGAGCATGGTTTTATAGATTTGAAAAGGGAGCCTCCCTTAACCCTAGAAATTAGCAAATGGTAGGATTTTATCTGACATGGAGAGATGCCTTTGACTGGTGCTGTACTGCTGTGGGAACAAGCCCTGCTTGAGATGACCATACTGTAAGATCTGGACTCCATGCAGACTGAAGGTGTAAATATGTGAATATATCATTTTTCTTAAAGCTATGACAGTCTTCTCCACATTTCAATTCTCCAAAGGGGCACAAACCCTGGGTGAGTGTCTGAAACCCCCTGGAATCTTCCTACTGCTCAGCAGAGAGTGGGGGTGGTGTCTAACTTTTATAACACTGGTGGGACCTGTGCTTCTGGAGAGGCTAGGGGTCAGCAACCTTTTTCAGCCGTGGGCTGGTCCACCGTCCCTCAGACCATGTGGTGGGCCAGACTATATTTTGAAATAAAAAAAATGAACAAATTCCTAGGCACCGCAAATAACCCAGAGATGCATTTTAAATAAAAGGACGCAATCTACTCATGTAAAAACACGCTGATTCCCAGACCATCCGCATGCCGGATTTAGAAGGCGATTGGGCCACATCTGGCCCCCGGGCCTTAGGTTGCCTACCCCTGACGTAGGTGCAACGTCCACCTGAAGTAACAATGGAGGGGAAAAACAGTAACACCTTTTGAGTCGTTTGAGTTAGGCTGGAAAAGCACCAGGAGCAGTGATTTGATGAAAGAGGCAGCTGGTGATATAGTGGGGGAGAAGTCTCCTTGCACAGCAAAAACGTGACTCCATTCCAGCAGCCAGCGGTGGAAGAAGAAGAGAAAATGGAAGTGCCAAAGAGCAAGAATTGCTACCAGTTGAATTCTATACCACATGTGAGGAGAGTGCACCGCTGGGTGGTGAGATGCTACAAGGGTCAGGGAGTGATCCGGGAGCCTAGCTGCCAGACCGCCCAGGGTGGCCAGAAAGATCCAGAATGTGGGTGGGCAGTTGAAGGGCTTGGACTGTGAGGAGTTGCAGCCTACAGCTGAATGCAATGGAGACAAGTATGAGCTGGCTGGAGTGGGGGAATAGTTGGCTCCCAATGAGTTGGAAGTTGTGCCTGAGGAAATGGGAGAGGGGCCAGCACCTGTGAGGAAGGCAGTAGATGCTGGTCTGTCTACCCATGGAAGAGGCAGCAGCTTCCTTTGTGCTCAGGGAGAAGCCAGAAGAGCAGTGGATGACTGCTGGATTGATACTTTCAGGGGGTGCCAGGAGAAAGGGGATGTAATAAACGAAAATCTGCCCTTATTCCCTCATGGGGGACATAAGCCCTTACAGAGTCCTTTGCAGGTTCTCCATTGGTCGGAGAAGATAACAGAGGCCAGCCAGAGAATATTGAGAAGCAAAGCAGCTCATAAGCCTGATCTTTGTTGAACTGTTGCAACAGGGTGCTCCCCTCCCTTATATAGGCGTTTTAAATTGGCCGCCCTGGAGTCCAAGACCACCCCCAGAAACATCATACATACATCACAGAAGGGGTGTAGCTCAAGACCACCCCCCCAGATACACCATACCTACATCACAGAAGGGGCGGTCTACAACAGAAATCTGAGTGCATTGTTTATCTCCTTTCTGGCAGACCTGTTAAGGGTCACTTGATTGGATACCCTGGGAAGCATGGCCAGTCTTTTGTAATGACAAATACTTAGTTCCTGAGCCAGGTCACAGGCTCACCCTATTCATACACAGACATACCCTTAAGACAGGATTTGTGAATGAAAAGACAATGGGGAGACTTTTCCATTTCCTTCAAACTTGCAGAGAAAACATTTGGTCAGTTTGAGAGTCAAAATGGTTCCAGGGCTGTTTTCCTGTGCTGCTTCAGACATGTGGTTTATATATTTATGTACGTGTTTGCTTCGTACATTTATGAACATTTATTATACATATAAGACCTTTTTTTTTTATTTCAGGGACAAGACAGCTGAATCGAAACAGGAGGTTTCAGTGCCTGTTGGATTTGGTGAGGGGGGAATGTTGGGGCTTTTGTCCCTTGGATGGCTCCAAATGGCCTTGAGTGGAAGAGGAAATGACCCAATGCTAGAAACAGTCCTTAAGTGGACTCTAGCAGTCAGAGCTGCCAAGAGCAATGCGGTCTGGGGAAGAAAGCCGCTGGGGAAGTTACATGTCTTTGTTTAGCAGCAGGAGCAGGGCCAGATTTAGGTTTGAAGAGGCCCTAAGCTACTGAAGGTAATGGGGCCCTTTATATGTCCAGCTGTCCTTTGTCAACAACAAATTGTAACTGTTTTTTTCAGTTGCATATATGGTATATGGTAATTTATGGACCTAATAGGTATCTAAAGCCATTTGCACATAACAAAATATGTATTTTATCAAAGTAATTGTTGAGCTATATAAAGAAATGAGCAAACCAGTGATATTTTAGGGAGCAGGCTAGCAGGCGGGGTCCATTACTTACGTCATAGGAGCCTACGCAACCCAAAACACTGTTGCTGTATGTATTTGTTATCTTATATTTTGGAAATGTACATCCAGGGTTGTTTTTTTCCTTTAAAATTTTTTGGGGCCCCCAATAGAGTGGGGCCCTAAGCTAAAGCTTGTTTTGCTTATACATAAATCCGGCACTGACCAGGAATATGCAAAGAGGGGTTTTCTGGACATCTGTGTGGGTGGGGCGGGCCTGGAGATTCCAAAGAAAGTGCCCCCAGATAAAGCCTGGTGGCAAGATTTTTATTTGGGATATAGGGCAGGAGATGGGGTGGACTGGGCCCCAGGGAGGAGATTCCACATGTGCCAGAGAGGAAACAGCTGGGGGTCCTTGAATTGTGTTTCAAGCAGATGCATAAATTGTTTTGGGGCTGCAGGTGTAAGTTTGGAAGCCCTGAGCCACAACCCAGAAGGAATAGCAGGGCCCGAGAAGACTGAACCTGTGGATTAACCAACAAGGACTGAGAACTTTGTTTGATTTACTCAATAGTAAGAATTCTGTGGAAACCCCAGGCAGGGTATTGCAACAAGGAGAGGAGGATGGGTTTCTGTTGACTGAACAGATTTACAAAGGGACTTTGCCTGCTGCAAGTTCAACAAAGGTTTTGAAACACTGTGGTGTGTTTTGTTTTCTTGAATGCAGTTGGTGGTGGTGGATCTAGTAAGTGTTTTGTCTAAATTACTCTGTTCAGTTCTGTACTTTTGCATGCTTGTGATAATGAAAACTGTTAATGATGTATAGGAACTGTGCTGATAAGAAATGGTAAAAATGTTGATAGTGATGACGAAGGGCCTCTGGGTTGAGACAGCTCTGGTTCTGAGGCTGGCATTCTGACTTAAACATGCTTTGGAAACTCATAATCTTGGCTGCCAACTGTGGGTGACTGGGTAAGCTGCATTGGAATGGTTATCAGAGTGTACCTCAATAGGAAAGAGAAGCTGGAGGTCACCTGGAAATTAACTGTTCTTGTGTTTTTAAACATGTCACTGCACTATTACCTGCTTTGATGTGTTGCTCTAAATGCTGTAACTGTTCTGTTATTTCTTCTGCACACCTATGGAAAGATGTCTCTTTTTCTAAAAGGGTGGTAGTATTATAGATTTTGGGGGACCTGCCTAAACCCTAGAAATTAGTAAATGGTAGGATTTGATTATTTGGCATTTTGAAGGCAAGATTGGAAGTCAGTGAAAAAGTACAGGCTAAGCTTCCTTTCGAGCCAGGGCCCCATCTGAGATAGAGGCGTTGGCATGACAAAAGATGTCAATGACCCATCTAAGAGGAATCTTGGGCCTGGGCATACGGAGGTTGCCATGATGGTGGTGTGTGTGTTTGAGGTGACAGGAACAGAGAGGTTTTTAGAGCAAGGTGTGTTGGCCAGAAGAAGGGGAGAACAAAGAGAGATCCATCTTGGGCAGGTTGGCTGAAGTCTGACAAGGAGAGAAGCCTTTGACTCCAGTGCTGTACTGCGATGGGAACAAGCCCTGCTTGAGATGACCATGCTGTAAGATCTGGACTACGACAGTTTTTGCCATGTCTGCCCTTCTCAGACAGTATTTTAGATGAAAAAAAATATCATTTTTTTTCTTACGTGCACTGATGATAGTCAGTTTGGATGGGGGGCTTTTATCAATTTCTGAAGTCACACAATCAACCAGTAGCTGAAGTGGGTTCCACACAGTCACAAAAACAAGTCCCAAAAATGAAGTCACAAGCCACAGTCACAAAAGCAAAGTCACAAGTCAGTCCCATAAAATGAAGAACAAATCACAGTCAAAAAACCAAAAAAGCCACACAAACCAAAATGCAAAAAAGGAACCAGACAATGAAAAGCGACCCCTAAAACAGCAATTTTACATGATTTTTACAATCTAACGAGGCCATTGATCCATAAAATGAAATCAATAAAACAGTACAAAATGAAAATGTGATTTTTTTCTTACCTACGCTGATGATAGTCATTGTTTGGATGGGGGCTCAGGGTCCTCTTTCACAATCACAATTGACTTGGCTCCTGGCATTCGCGGAGGCCTCAGAGAGCTCCGTAGGCCCTGCGGATGTCTGCGCTTGGCTCCAGGCAGTGGCGAGGCCTCCGAGAGCTAGGACAACTTACTTCCGGGTTACAATAGTTCGTAACCCTAAAAAACGTAAGTTGAAGAGTTCGTAACCTGAGGTACCACGGTAAAATCTTTTGGCTACATTTTACCAGTTACATTTTTCTATTCTAGTTACATCTTCTAGTGTAAGAAAACACTTTTTTGAAAGATACAAAGACGTGATACATTTGATAAGAAAAACACTTTTTAGAAAGATACAAAAGGGATACCTTTGATAGAGTCAATGGTTGGATTGCTCAACTACATTCTTTAGTGGTATTACAGTGGTACCTCCGGTTACATACGCTTCAGGTTATAGACTCCGCTAACCCAGAAATATTACCTCGGGTTAAGAACTTTGCTTCAGGATAAGAACAGAAATCGTGCTCTGGTGGCACGGCGGCAGCAGGAGGCCCCATTAGCTAAAGTGGTGCTTCAGGTTAAGAACAGTTTCAGGTTAAGAACAGACCTCTGGAACGAATTAAGTACGTAACCAGAGGTACCACTGTACAGCAACACAGAAGTAAAAGATACAAGTAAAAAGATAAATTCTTTTGTTAGCATAGAAATACGTAACACTGAGAGGTTCATTTATTAACTACCCTCTCTGAGCATGGTTTCTCTTATGACAGCTCTCAATAGGTCTTTCCTGTGTGTGTCTAGCTATGGTATCTCCAGCTGCTGAGAGTGACTTATGAGTTCCTTGTCATGTACATGTGGGTTATTGTCCTGGAATATATTTAATTGTGCTTTTTCTGGAGTTACTTCTATTACCTGTTTCGTTATTTTTTATATTTCCTGCAATATTGGGCCATTGGCTCATAGCTGTCAACCTTCCCTTTTTTTGCGGGAAATTCCCTTTTTCCAGCGCCATTTCCCACTGCTATCCCGGATTGTTAGATATCCCGTAGACTGTCCCTGGAACAGGTGAGTCTGCTGATCCCTTATTTTCAAATCTGAAAGTTGACAGCTATGCATTGGCTTGATCCACCTGACTCTTCCTAGGTTCTTATGCTGATATATACAGTGGTACCTCAGGTTAAATACTTAATTCGTTCCAGAGGTCCGTACTTAACCTGAAACTGTTCTTAACCTGAAGCACCACTTTAGCTAATGGGGCCTCCCACTGCCGCTGCATGATTTCTGTTCTCATCCTGAAGCAAAGTTCTTAACCCGAGGTACTATTTCTGGGTTAGCGGAGTCTGTAACCTGAAGCGTATGTAACCCGAGGTACCACTGTAATAGCGATGAATGTTCTTGGAATAAATGTAGTGTTTTAATGCAACCGTGTCTGCTTTCATGAGACGAATGGAAACTCAGATATTGCATAGAAAGACCAAGGGGTCTGCCCTTGTAGCTTTCCCCTCCAGTGAGCTGCGGGCCTATTCCTAGTTCTGGCCAGTTTCTAATTACGCGGCAGGCGGGTTCAAGTTGTCCAGGCCGCAGTTGCTAACGTAAACAGGGTGGGCGTGGCCCCCGGGGCCGAACCCGGTAGCACCTCCCTCCATCAGCTTTGCTTGTCCGTTTGCAAAAGTTTCCTCCCGCCTTGCCCCCCCACAGAGCGACTTCACATCACATGACCCACCCCTAGTGCTGGAACCTTTTTCGCCGCGGGCCTCCCTCGGAATCACGAGACCTCTTGGTCGCTTTACGCATTGCCAACCTGTTCTGATAACCGTCCGCCTCCGCCCTAGAGCAAAGGACACCGGAGACGGCACACACCCTGCTCGGGTCTCAGTGTCCTAAGAGAAGGGGTCTTGGTTGAGGCGGCAAAAGGATGTGAGACCGGGCGGGAGCGGGGGTCGCTTGTGTTGTGGGAGGGGGACTATTTTCTGAAGGAGGGGGCGAAGAAGAGAAAGGCGGCGGAGGGATATCTGGGCGGGGCAAGATGGCGGCGCCCTGTGGGCTTTAGGAGTCCTGAGTGGTAAACAGCTGAGCGTAGGCGAAGGAGGAGCAGCCGCCGGAGCAGAATCGGAAGGGTGAATATCTAGGTTTGGAGTTCGGTAAGAATGAATGGATGACAGTGGGGAAAGCAGGGGGGAAGGAAGAAGAAACGGGGGTAGCGATGAGAGGAATAAGGGGCAGTGGGGAAGGAGTGGTCCATCAGGCGAGAGGAAGCAGGGAAGAGGATGGAGCATGAGGGTAGGGCTGTCTCTGTGTGCATCGGAGCAGAAGGGAGGCGAAGAAACAATAAAGGGACATCGTGCATTTAAGGGACGCCTTTTTGTCATTGCAACTTTTCAGTTTATCCGTAACAACGCCCCTGAGAGGTAGGTCAGGGAAAAGTGGTGTGTTGATGGGGGGGGGGGGAGGAAGAAAGAAAGTGGCGATGCGGAGGGAAAGCTAAATATATTGTGGGGGAGGGTCCTGCGGGCAAAGAAATAATAGAGGTAATGCGTCTTTGAATTGAAGCTCTTGCTGCGGAATAGTGTTTGCCTAAAAACAGGGTGGGGAGAAAAATCGAGAAGATGAGGGGAAGATCAGTTCTAAGTATTATTTGGGGTAGGGGCCGAATGAGGAAGGGGCACGGTGGGGCGGTGTAGAGAAGCAGAATCATAAGACAGCTGCTAAATAATAGTTATAGTGCTTGTTTTGTGATCACAGTGCTTCATGTACATTGGGGTTGTACCCAGTGCTAGTTCTATTGAAAGCAGACCTATTGATATTAATTGACCTAACTTACCCATGCATCTTAGGCATCAGTGGTTCTACTGAGTAGGACTAGCAGTTGATGCAACCAATTGTTTATTGTTTTAAAGCTATGAAGCAAGCCTTTAGACCGAGAAGAAATGGAGAATAAGGTCCAAAAAGGGGGAGGGAAGCAAGGGTAGATGGGCTCTGTTGTTATGTAAGGAAGGGTAAAGGAACGATACTTATTTCAGTTTTATAGCTTTTAGTGTTATTTGTGTGCTATTCCTGTGAGGTGGGCAGGGCTAAGTAGAGGGGGTAGTGGGTAGAGGGGAGGAATGGGGGGGGGGGAGGACAAAGACATGGGTGAATTGCCTTTGTGAATATTCCCCAGTCTGTTCTCTTGTGTTTAAGCTTGTTTTTGAAACGTCCTCTCCCTGCTCCTTGAACCAGGAAGTCCCTTCTAAGGGCCCCTTTATCTGAGATACATTTTAACCAGTGTTTGGCAAATCTTGACTAACCTGTTTTTGAATATGGAAAGTTGGCTAGTGTATATAGCCCCCTTTGGATCCTACTTGTGGGCTTCTCATAGGTATCTGTTTGGCCACTGTCATCCAGCAGGGTTTTTCTTACATTTTTGGGGGGGAAAGAAAATGTACCCTTCTCCTCTGAAAAACATCCTGTTGACTAGCTCTAATTCAGAGGGACCCACAAATAAAGGAACAAAATAGTCTTTTGTTTTTAGCTGGATTATTTCTGTTGCAAGGCTTTCTGTTTTTCAGGCACAGTCAGCTGGCTTGCTTATCCTATTGTTGTGGATCTCTGGCTTAGATTGTGAGGAAAACCACTCTTCCCAGGCATAGCTGTCAGTAGAGAGTATTCAAGGTGGCTGTATGCACTTAAAAATTATCTCACATTCGTTTCTGTGTGTGTGGCTGGTGATGACTTCTGTAAAATTCTACTGACTAATACCAACTATGGCTAATTTGTCAAAATGGCAGGCATACTTGAAATACCTCAGGCTATTCTGTCTAATGAGCTTGTTACTAATAATACTCTCCATCACTTAAAATAAGATTAATTTTTCAGGGTTTATGAAAGTTATTCCTTACAGGCATTGATTGTCTACAGGCAGGGAGAAATTGTGGACTGCAACTTCCTCCAGCTGTAGCCAGTATGGCCAGTAATCAGGGCTGATAGCAGTTGTACTCCACACTGCCTGGAGGGTGCTATGTTGGTTCTGTGAGTCAGTTTGGTCCAGCAGGTTATTCCCTGGTTGGCTTGGATGTGAAAACTGTCTTGAGCTTTCAGTCTATTTACTAGGTTTTTTGGGGGGAAGTCATCTTTGAGGTCCTTGTTTATAGCAATCCAAAGAAGAATCCACTTCAGAATTTTACAGGAGGCTTTATGATAACTATTGTAATATGCAGACTAAACTTTGTGTCCTGGTTGACTTGGCTGTGTGTGAAGGGAGATGACACCCTAAAAGTCTGCATTTTAAAAAAGAATGCGCTTCTGGATCAGAGTACCTTAAGGATCGCCATAGCCCTTATATTGCAGCTCAGTCATAGGAGTGCTGTTAGTAGCCCCCCCCCCCCCGTGTTACAGAGGCAAAGCTGGCCTCAGCTAGAAGTCAGACACTTGTGGTTGGTGGGTCCACACTGTAAACACCCTTCCAGCAGAGATTCGGCCAGCTGTCCTTTGCAGTTGCTTAACTTTTATTTTTGTTATTTATTTATTGCATTTTTATCCCACCTTACTTCCAAGAGCTCAAGGTGGCATATGTATTTCTACACCTCCCTCTAAATTTTATTCTCACAACAATCTTGGGCTGTTAGGCTGATAGTGACTGGCCAAAGGTCACACCCAGTGAGCTCTGTGACTGAGTGGGGATTTGATCCCAAGCCATAGTCCAATACTCTAACCACTATACCACAGTTCTAGTTACAAGTAGGTAGCTGTGTTGGTCTGCCGTAGTCGAAACAAAATAAAAAAAATTCCTTCCAGTAGCACCTTAGAGACCAACTGAGTTTGTTATTGGTATGAGCTTTTGTGTGCAAGTGTGCAGACATTACTTTTTTGAGCCATGATAGAAGAAGCTTTAGATTTAAGTCTTACAGTTAGGTCTGGCTCTTTTGAGAGAGCCTTGATCACCAAAGATGGCTAGAAATTACATTTTCATTCCTACAATTGTTCCCTGGTCCTCCCAGAAATCATGGGAGCTCTAGTTTGTCATAGACTTTGAGGGTTAAGAGACACTGTAATCACCTCACAGAGCTACAATTCCCAGAGTTCCCTAGGAAGAAGGATTGATTTTTAAAGCACTCTGGGATTTTTAGCTGTGTGAGCAATATAGGTGTCGCCTAGCAACTCTCGGCACCCTTGCCAAACTACAGCTCCCATGATTCTGCAGAAGAATCCATGATTGTTGCAGGTGGTATATTAGTGCTTTAAGGATGTGGCACCTGTGTACAACTTACTATTGTAGGGCAGGAGCAGTAGCCCTCTGGAAAGTCTCAAAATCAATCAATCAATCTTTATTACGGTCCAGAGACCCAACAAATCGTTACAAAGCAATGCACAATTCAGACAGCCTACCTCCAGGTTAAACAAGCATTTTGTTCAGACTTAAAGATAGGGATCATTGGTTCTTGCAACCACTGATAAAAACTTTGCCACTGCTAATGTTCTAGCGTTTGTCCGGTCTTCCAATAGGAACCTGACATAGTGAACCTCTGATTTTCCCGGGAAAGGTACCAGCAAGGGTAATATCAGTTCAGTCCTGGCTTGCTCATATTTTGCACAGCAAAATATGTTTTATAGAATCGATGTCTTGAGCACCCGAGCAAAGTCTGTCCTGGTAGGGGGCTCCTCTCCACCTGCCATCCAACACTGCAGAAGGAAATATGTTTAGTCTGGCTTTGGTGAATAATCTTCGATAATTTGGTACTGCCAGGTTTTTAATGTAAGGTGTTAACTTAAAGACATGCCCATATTGTACTCCTACTGCCAGCGGACTACAGATTGCGTTTGATCGAGATCGCAAGTCACTGTGTGTATTATCCCATAATCTTTGATTTAACGTCTTTTGGGCGCCTGCATAACCCAGGTAATAAAGTTGTGGGGGGTGACGGACCAACAGAGGTGGCTTTTTTAGCCATGGTTTTCTGCCATTTGCTGACAGACTCCTCATTGGTCAGGTGTAGGTACAAACCCTTCCCTAGAGCAAACACTGAGATCCTGAGCCAATGTTTTAGGGCAGCCCACCGTGCTTTAGTTGAAATTGGGCATTCACCAGCTTCTAACAGTAGTATGGAGTTGGGGACACAGTTGGGTACCTGCAGCAGAGATTGTAGAAATTTTGCCTGAAAGTCATTTAGCTTAGGCAGGTCCCCATTATGCCAGACATTTGCAGCGTACAGGAGTTGGGAAACAGATTTTGCATTGAAAACCCTTAAGGCTGCTGGAACATATTTGCCGTCCTTTGTGAAAAAAAATCTGAGTATGGCTAGCTTTGAGATTTCCGCCTTTTGAAGGGAGGTTTGTCAGTGGTGCTTCCAAGATCCTGTATGATGGAATGTGAGCCCTAGATAACTGAAGTATTTAATCTGTTCAAGTCTTAAAATACAGTTTGTGGTTTTAGTTGGGGCAAATTGTTGAATGTAGGAGTGCTCAACAGCTATTTACTCATCATCCTTTATCTTTATTTTTCCTATCCACTGGTGTTAATGAAAAAAAGTCAGATTTTCTAGCAGTGGAAAGAGAGTCAGCATTACAATTAAAGAGTTCTGAACTTTTGCATTTTATAGATGTTTAAATTGCAGCCTGTTTTTTTCTGGAATGCTATTAGATGCTCTGCAAGTGTTTGGGATTAAAAAAAAAAAAATTGCAAATTTGATAGTTCTTCTTTGGTGTTGAGTGCCCTTCACTAACCCATATATATAAAAGCTGTATTTGATGTTGGATGGCAGTTGCCAGATGCCTTAAGGATGGTTTTGGGTTTTTGTGCTTGGGTTTGGCTTCTGCTTGCAAAATGGCAGCATTGCCTGTCAGCTGTCACAATCTAAACAAATCTCACATAACTTCCTTTTCTGTTTTCCCTGACGGTTCCAAGACTCTGGGAAATGGCGGTTTGGTTCTGCAGCAACAGCTCTTTTGTCAAAGAATTATTGACGCTGGGTCTGTCCTGAAATTAAAGCACTGTGCAAGATGTTGTGTACTATTGCTAGTAGAATATCAAAACAGCAGTGAAAAGGAGGTGATGACACTGGAGATGAAGACAACAGTGGCAGGAGTCCAGTTGACTTGGCACCAGCCAGCATGACTTGGCTTGAGGCATTCAGCCCAGTTCTTAGCATTAAAAGAAAAGCTAAAAACCTGCCCCCACTTTTGCTGTTTGCTAGAAATCGGTGTGTTTGCAAAAATAGAATCCTGTAGGCTGCGAGGATTTCAATCACATTTTGAAAGGCAAAAATGGGAAATGTCCAGAAAGTCTGTTTAAAATGCTTTGTTAGGGGGTAGTGGGACAGCTTTACTTTTTGAATCTCAAGACGGGCCTGGGTTCAAATATCAGGCCTCACATACAGATTCCTGTACAGTGGTACCTCGGGTTAAGTACTTAATTCGTTCCGGACGTCCGTTCTTAACCTGAAACTGTTCTTAACCTGAAGCACCACTTTAGCTAATGGGGCCTCCTGCTGCCACTGGGCTGCTGGAGCATGATTTCTGTTCTCATCCTGAAGCAAAGTTCTTAACCTGAAGCACTATTTCTGGGTTAGCGGAGTCTGTAACCTGAAGCATATGTAACCTGAAGTGTATATAACCTGAGGTACCACTGTATTGTTTTAGCCAGCCTGCGATGTATCAAACTCAGTTTGCCTTCTGCAAAATAATAATAATGCCCTTTGTAAAATCAGGATAATCACCCTCGAGCTGACTATATAATCTGCTGGAAGCTAACTGTTAATTGGTGAGAACAGTGTACTCCAGTTATACTGGGAACAACCCCTGTATAAATAAAATAAAACGAGTATTTTTTGAACCCCATTGATTTTGCTGAGAGGGATTTAGGCATATGTTTAACTCATTTAAAGTGTTGAAGGACAGTTAATAATAATAACAAAATTTGCTGCTGGTGTACACCAGAATACTGTAAGTTTATTTCAGATAGTAGTAGTTTTCGTTTTCTGAGCATGCATATACATTGAAAGCATTGGGGGTTGAGGTGTAAAGAAGTCAGTATTTGGCTGAAGGGGAAAAAAGAACCCATTTCAAAAGCAGGGGTTTTATTTATTTCTCTTGCCTCAGTAAGACAGAAGCAGTGAGAGTCAACACAGCCAGTGTGGCATGCACAGAAGCACTTTGTGTGAAGAAGAATGGCTCAGCATGGAAATATCAGCCATCTTCTGGCCGTACTGGATTCCCCACATCTGCCTGTCCTGGAAGGTGTAAAGACTGAGCTTAGAGAAATCCTAAACTCAGGTAAGTATCAGTCATGTCTCCAGTGATGTCCACAGAATTTCTGAAGTTCCTCACATTTTATTCTGAAGCAGCTGGCCCACAACTGCTGCTCAACCTAAGGTGGCCACGGAATACTGCTATTTTAAATTGTTGTTGTTGTAGTAATAATATACCACCCTCTTAGAAAATATCAGGGCAGCATACAGCAGTATAAAAATGTAAGCCATTGCAATCAGTACAGAACAATCATTGAAACAACTGGCTTCTTGAGATTTAAACTGCATAGGCCTGCTGGCATGAAGTCTGCAAGAGACACCTGGAGAGTCAAAAGCGAGGGTGCATGCTGCATCTCTGCTGGAAGAGTGTTCCACAGCATGGGATTGGCTGCACCAAAAGCCGTACTTGTAGTTGAGGCTAATGGCACCTCTCTGATGGGGGGCGGGGGGCGGGCACTAACAGTTCTCCATATAATCTCAGTGAAGACTGGGGTAGAAATGCTCAGGAAGTTAAGACATCATGGACCCAAGTTTTTCAGGGCTTTGTATAGCATCATAAGGTGGCTCAGAATCATAGAGGCAGCCAACAGAAGTTTTAGCAGAGGTGTCTCATGTTGCTGGCCACTCAGTCTTCAATTAAATCTTACAATCCCCACTGAAAAATGTAAACTTGTCAGGTGATAATATTTTAAATTATATAGCAACTATATGGGGTATGGATCAGTGTAGATAAGGGGTAGTCAACCTTTTTATACCTACCGCTCACTAATGCATCTTTCTTGATGGTAAAATTTCCTTACCACCCACCAGTGCTTGATGGAAGGAGGGTTCAGCTTGTGCTCTAGAACCCCCTACTGCCCACCTAGAATCCTGAAGCGCCCACTAGTGGGCAGTAGGGAGCAGGTTGAAAACCCCTGGTGTAGATAGACTTTCTCTGCCCTTCTGCCAAAAGACTGATACTTATTCACTGGAAAGATAATACCATGGCCCCCCTCAATCAATGGATAGAAGTCGTGACAATGCCTTGCAGCATACAAATGGATTGCTTTTAGACAGATTGTGTATGGATAAATAAATTGATATTTTGAATCCATTTATGAAAAATATAATTTATTAATAATTTTAAATTTGGTGAAATAATTGTATTATTTATACACCCATATATTGTATTGCATTTCAGTTTCAGTCCCCCTCCTTTCTTTTCTTTCACTTTACTCCCTTACTGAAAACTTTCAGTAAAATATTAAAAATAAAATAAATCCTATAATCCCCACAGGATAAATGTTAAATTGCACAGTACTCAGTGGATTTATTCTGTAACCTCCTATATAAGTTTCTTCAAATCATTTCTAACCAAATGTGTATGTGAATGCACTGATCTGTAATTGTGTTTTCTTTTGGTGGCCAATAACCACATCAGACCGCGGGCCAGTGCATGTAAATACCTTGGTGGAATCCTACTTGGAAACAAGTTCAGAGCAAGTCTTGCACGCCCTGTGCACTCTTCAAGAGCCGCACGACAAGGTAATGCACACGTATATTGTCATAAGAAATGTTTCTCCAGAAATTGAGAAAATACTAAATGGAAGAAGGGATGTTTGAAAAGTCTGCCATGTGTAAATTGAGCTGAAGAATCGCTGAGCTGCTTTAAAAAGCAACAAGACTGGGGCCCACTTAGATCAAAAGATGAGTGGCTGAATGAAGCCAGTGGCCCATCTAGTCCAGCATCCTGTTCTTGCAGTGGCCAATCAGATGCCCATTATGGAAAGCCTGCAAGCGGAACCTGCGTGCAGCAGCTATTTTCTCACTTGTGATTCTCAGCAACTGGTATTTAGGAGATGCAGCCTGTGACAGCAGAGGTGGAACATAGCTACCATGGCTAGTAGCCATTGATAGCTTTATCCTCCATGATTTTGTCTGATAAACTTTTTATTTATTTAATAAAACTTATAAAACTGCTTGATTGTATGGTGGGGGGAGGGGGAGATACATCAAAGCAGTTTTAAAAAGCCATTGAAGCTGGTGTCCATCACTGCCAATCACTTCCCATGTGACTGTAGGTGCCTCTGAGCTGCTTCTTCCATGGTCCAGTCTTGAGCATGTATGAATGAAGCAACCTTGTGAATTGAGCCAGTTGTGGGTCTTTAATTGTGGTACTGTTCTTGAACCACAACCACTAGTTAAATGAAACTGCTGTGGGGTGTGTATCTTTTACATTTGCACTTGTTTGTATTATTTTCAGAATGTTTCTGAATGCCAGCCAACCATGTCCCTAAACCGATATTCTCAGCATTCAGCGGCCATTGAGTCAATATTGGACTGTTTTGGAGTTGTTGCCCTTTTTTAACCTCCCTAATGTCTCCCCCAAAGATTGATTGTTCTGCAAACTTTGGGGTTCCTTCTGAACATGCTAATATCCTCATGCTTTTCAGTGCCCTCCTTTTTACTATAATCCTGTTGGCATTCATTAGTTGCTTTGGTTCTTGGCAGGAGAGATTTTTTATATTGTAAGCCACTTTGAGTTTATTTTATAGTGAAAGGTGGGATGTAGACAATTAAATATTTATTTCATTCAGTTTATATACAATATGATGGTAAAAAGGCAGCTTAAAAAAAGAATAAAGAAAATTAACAGTAAAAACATTCAAATAATAATTGAAATCAGTGATAAGCTAAAAACAGGTAAAAACACATATTCTGCTTTCAGAATGTTATGTGGTAGCCAGTTTTGCAGATGGAAGTGGTCAAGTGAGCATATTCATGGGGTAAGGTGATCTAACAGGTGAACCAAGGCCAATGTTGTTATTTAGGAGTGCTTTGAGAGGCCTATGAAAGAAAGTGAGAGCAGGTTCAGTTATATATTTCGGCTTCCCTCCAGGTAAATTCTCCATTTGCTTTTATCACAAGTTCTCTCTTTTTTATTTCTCTTAGCACCTTCTGGACAAAATCAATGAATGTATGAACAGGTCAAGTACCCGTCTCTCCGCTCTCTCACTCCTTGGGCATGTAATAAGATGTCAGCCATCTTGGAAACATAAGCTTTCTCAGGCGTCTGTCCTGGTTACGTTGCTTAAGTGTCTTAAGGTACGGATGCTGTGTAGTTGCAATTCTTGTTTATTATATGTTTCTGTGGAATGTGATGACATACAGTGACCTCTCACAACTTGGTTTCCTCCAGATGTTCAGGGCTAAAACTTGCATCATCCCTGACTATTGGCTGTGCTAGCTGGGGCTGATGGGAGTTGTAGTCAAACAACATTTGGAGGGTGCCAGCCTGAGATACAGAAACAAAACCCTTTTGGACAGTGGTCACTGCACACTGTGGCTGCAATGCAAACCTTTGTGAATGGCGTCCAACCTAGAACTATTCATCAGGTAGGGCACATTCACACAACACCTTTATCACTTACTGATTTCTCTTCAATCATGCTCCTGCCATAGTGCAAGGACAGATAATGAGTCAAAGCCTGTTCCTGTTCATGCAAGTTGGATCAGTTCCCCTCATTCATATCAGAATTTTCTCTTTTCAAGGGATGTAGGCTTTAATTCTGAAATGGATCAATAAAATCAGAGTGGTAAAGTCTCCATTATAAGAGAGAGAATCTCAAAACATGGTGAAAATAAATAATACCTCTTTCTTCACAGCTGGGTTTGGGTTTTTTTTGTTTTCATTGGGCTGTGTCCTACTCAGGGTAGAAAAGTTGAAATTAACAGACCCAAGCTAGTAACCTGTTACTGTTTTTAATGGGTCTGCTCTGAGTAGGACTAATATTTGATCCAACTCAGTGTGTTTTTACAACTATTGTCCCATTGTCCCAAATAGGGTCTTCGCTGTTGGCTCCCCCCCCACACACACACCCAGTGTAGCTGTGGCCAAGCCTCTCAAACATTGTTTCACATTTTAAATTTGGCACTTAACTCATATTCTGTTACTTTTATTGAACCCTGTTTATGTGAAAAACAGAGTAGGGAAATTAAATAACCCTTTTTTAAAAAGAGAGTTTGTGAGAAATAAAGATTGCTTTAAATATGGTGGAATAATTCAAAGTCTCCTACAAGTAGAAAACTAGGTGTTGTGCAGAGGGACCTAAACCCTTCTACCTGACATGCTGCTTTATATGTAAAATGTTGGGTTTCCTTCATCTGTAGGAGCATAAAAGCATGTTACACTAGTGGGGAAGTACTGCATTTCGGGAAACCATTTACCACGTTGTACGGATTGTACAAATGCAGTCTCTGCTAAGGAGCGTTGAAAGAGCTATTGATATCCTAACTGAACCCACAGAAACGAAGGCAATGGAGCAGAGGACCTTCCTAATACTTGTGATGCATCTGTCAGGAAATCTTAAACCTCTGGATAACTGTCTCCCCCCCCCCCCACTCATCCTTTGCAGAGTGACGCGGATGTAGTGGTCCTTATCACAGGTGTGTTAGTGTTAATAACGATGCTGCCAATGATCCCCCAGTCTGGGAAGCAGTACCTGCATGACTACTTTGGCATCTTTGGTCGGCTTGCTTCCTGGAACTTGAAGAATCCAGGTGAGATGCTAGAAAAGGTCTGTTGTGAACAAGCTTATCCTTGGGAACGTCTGTAGCTCAGTGGTAGGGCATCTGCTTTGCATGCAGAAGAGCCCCTGCCAGTCAGCATAGATCAGTGTTGTTGAACCTTGGGTCCCCAGATGTGAGTGAACTACAACTCTCAGAATTCACAGCCAGCTTAGCATGATGGTCAAGGATGGCGGGAGTTTTAGTCCACCCACATCAAAGTAACCAAAACCCAGTAGCTCTTGTTGTAGCCCATACTGAGCTAAATAAACCAAAAGCCTGGCTCAGAATAAGGCAGTTCACTAATTCTCCCAACCTTGCTGAAGGTCCTAAATTCAGACTACAATTCTGGCCATGGATACACAACCCCCTGAAATTATGGCATTGTGTTTTCAGAGTGTTGGACCTGGGAGACCAGAGTTTAAATCCTGACTCTTGTCTTGAAAGCTCATTGGGTAACATTGTGTCACAGTCATTGTGTCTCAGCCTGACATTGTGCTTTACAAGAAGCAGCCCTTGAAATTGACTGGAAACTTCTATCAGTGCAAAATGCAGCAGCCAGATTACGGGGGCTTCATTTTGATCTTTCATCGTCTGGGTTTTAAATCGGCTACATTGAAGACACACTTGCATTCTGACCTCTGACACCCGAGATGTAAATTTTCAGGACACACCACATTTTTGTGATTGCAGGTTATTTTTTAATGTTTGCATTTTAAATTGTTGTAAAGATTGTCATCTAATCTCCATTTTAACAGATTGCCCCAGAGTGAGCCATGGAGTTTAAATCAGACTTGCACACAGTTTTCTAAAAATGAAGCCATATTTTCCTAAGGTGCTGAACTCACAGCCAGTTCTGTTCAAAATTACTCTCCCTGCTACCTTTTGTGCACCTATGGAATTGTGGCACTTACTATGATAATATTTACAGCACAGCAGTATTTTTAGGGGGAGGGCACATGTCCAGAGACCTCAATAATAGGAGTTATTTTAACCTGTTTTACGTCTTTCCCTCCCTAGGACACACGGCTGAGATCTACCTGGTGCACCTCCATGCCAGTGTGTATGCTCTCTTTCACCGCCTTTACGGAATGTACCCTTGCAATTTTGTCTCCTTTCTGCGCTCCCACTACAGTATGAAAGAAAACTTGGAGACCTTTGAAGAGATAGTCAAGGTAAATCTTTTTCTTTAAAGCACGTCTTGTTTGTGTGTACCTGTAAGTCAGAAAGACCTGGCCCAAGCTTCTTTTTCGGAATTGCATGATTGCTGGTATTTTTTTATTTTTTTATTGGCCATTCACTGTACCGAAATGAATAACTAGTTGAACCTGCATCTGAGGAAGTGGACTTCTAAAGAGAAATCGGAAGTCCATCAATCAATTGGAACTGAAAATTAATACCTGCAATCAGGTGTGTATAGGGAACGGCCATATATTTGCATACAGAAGGTCTTGGGTTCAATCCCCATTGACATCTCCAGATGGAGGCGGGAGAGAATCCCTGCCTGAAACCCTAGAGATCTGCTGCCAGCCATGGTGGACAGCGCTGGGCTAGATTGATTAATGTTCTTAAAGACAAAGGGACCCCAGGGCGGCTAAGTCCAGTTGAATTTGCCTATGGGGTGCAGTGCTCATCTCCACTTTCAAGCCGAGGGAGCTGGCGCTTGTCTGCAGACAGCTTTCTGACTCATGCCCAGTATGACTAAGCTGCTTCTGGTGCAACAGGACACCACGACAGAAGCCAAAGCGCATGGAAATGGCATTTACCTTCCCGCTGCAGCGTACCTATTTATGGACTTGCACTGGTACGCTTTCAAACTACTGCGTTGGCAGGAGCTGAGACAGAACACTGGGAGTTCACCCCATTGCGCGGACTCGAATTGCCAACCTTAAGATCAGCAAGCCCAAGATTGGCAAGCCACAGCGCCCCCTGCGCGCGTCCCCAGTCCTATATTCATCACGTTTGTTTCCGGCTACCCGGAAATAACAGAATTGTGTTTTAACAGTCAAATGGTCGTCTAGACCTCTGGTGATAGAAAAAAGAAAGTATTCAACACAACACACAGCAACAGGATTTGCTTCCACAGTAGGCAGTGATGGCTAGTTTAGATGGCTTGACAAGCGTTTTAGGCATATTCAGAGACAATCAGACTGTAACTGGCTACTGACCCTGGTGGATATCTTCGGCCTCCACAGTAAGAAGGAAATATGCTTCTGAATACCAGCTGCTGGGAATCACCAGTGGGGAGAGATGTGTTGGGCTTGGGTCATGCTTGTATGCTTCCCATCATGGGCATCTGGCTGACCAGTATGAGAACAGTACGCTAGTCTAGATGGGCCTTTGGTGGTCTGATCCAACAGAGCTCTTTTTATGATATACCAAGATAAAATACCCATTTTCTCTCTCTGTTTCTTCCAGCCAATGATGGCACATGTGCGCATCCACCCGGAGCTAGTGACTGGATCCAAGGATCACGAACTGGACCCTCGGAGGTATGTACATTCCCATCCCTTTTGAAAGAGAGGCTGTGATTGAACATTTAGCTCGTCCCTTCTGAAATAAAAATACGTTCATGGCATTCTGCAATGAACCCTTTCTAAAACCATCCCTAGGTTAGACCATAGTGACACCCATGCCACCCTAGGGTTGGCTTTCAAAAATCTTTTAAATGGTTTTGATAAATATTTCCTGTAAATAGAGATTGTATCATAAATTCTGTGACGGGGTGGAAATTGACTGGTGGTGCTTGGACCTAAAACAGGTGGAAGAGGCTAGAAACCCATGATGTTTTGATAGAATGTGCCCGTATCTCCCTGGACCCAGCCGAAGCTTCCTGTGAAGATGACTACTATTCACCTTCCCAGCAGATGAGCTCTTACATTCAACATCACTCCTCTGATTTTGTTTCCAGTTCTTCTGTTGCTTTGCAGAGAAACTTTGGTAAGGTCCCTCAGCTCTTCAGAATGTCTATAAACAGCAGGCGCCATCCTTGAAGCACCTGCTAGGAGCAGATGTATTGCTCATTCTAGCAAACCAAGTTTACTAGTTCTCTCCTCAGAATGCCATTCTCTGGGGCTTTTTTTTTTTTTTTTTGCCTTAACCATGGTTTCCTGTGACACATGCCCTGATGCTAACCAGACCCTGTCATAAACTGGTTTTGCTAACCTTATCTAAACTGGAACATGGCTAGTGTTGGTGTACATGGTAAGTGAACTCATGTATGAGGCAGCAAGTGGAGGGATGGAAGCAGACACCATGCCTGTGATTGAATCCTGGTTTTTGCAAACCATGGTTTATTGCAAGCCAGAGTAATGGTTGCAGTGGGCAACCATAGCTTGCTCAAGACTGCTCTGGAATCTGTATCTATGTGTCTCATGTTCTGACCTGCCACTGTCTTCCCTGTGCCCCACTTGAGTTGCTTATACTGCTTTAAAGCAGGGGTCAGCTCTCTTTTGCTGAGCCCCTTTCAGAACTTCATGCTGTGCTGTAAATTTCCATTTCCAGCTGGTTCAAGAAAGCCCACCCCCACGTTCTCCATCCAATGAAAAAGGCTTCTGCCAATCAGAGTATATAGTACTAAATGAGATTGACCAAGAATCTGACTTGGTATAACACAGCTTCCTATATTCCTGGAAAGGGCTGTTGCTCGTTAATAGAACATCTGCTTTGCATGCAGAAGGTCCCAGGTTCAATCCCTGACATCTCCAGGTAGGGCTGGCAATGTCCATTTTTCGAAGACTTTGAGTGCTCCTGGTAGTCTGTGTAGACAATACTGAGCTAGATAAAACAATGAACTGTGTATGCAGTTCAGGGGATGTTTTATCCCATGTTGATGGCCTTTCAGCTGATTTCCTGGTGGCCCGCTGGAATGTGGAGATAACCAGGGCTATTGACTGTTTGGCTCCGAAGCGCCCTCTCCGATTGCATGGAGCCTGGACAGCTCTGTGGTTTTCCACGGATCTGAGGGCAATGAAACAATCGCTGAGACGGCTAGAGCGCCGGTGGCGGATAACTCATTCTGAAGCTGACCGGACACGGGTTAGAGCTCAATGTCGAGCCGTGGCAATAGCGACGGCGAAGAAAACCTTCTTCACTGCCTCTATTGCATCTGCAGAAAACAGCAGCAGGAGACGCTTTCAGGTGGTTCGCAATTTAGCAAAACCACCTGCTACATCGGGGCCCAGTACGGGCCACATGATCTCCTGCAATGATTTTGCACGTGTTTTTGCAGATAAAGTCACTCAGATTTGGGAAGAAGTAGACTCCACCATGGGAGCAGGGCCGGGGTGGGAGAGTACTAGAATCCTGTCTAGTCAAGTTGCGTGGGATCAGTTCCAATCTGTTACCTCCGAGGATGTGGACAGGCTGCTTGGATGCGTGAAACCAACCACCTGTCTCCTTGATCCTTGCCCATCCTGGCTTATAAAAGCTACCCGGGAAGGGCTGGGCGATGGGCATTGCGGGGTGGTGAATTCTTCTCTCTGTGAGGGAGCCTTCCCAGACCTGCTAAAAGAGGTGGTTGTCAAACCGCTTCTTAAAAAAACATCTTTAGAAGCGGCCAATATGGCCAACTATCGCCCAGTCTCAAATCTGCCATTCTTGGGCAAGGTGATTGAGCGAGTGGTTGCTGAACAACTCCAGGCACGCCTGGAAGAAGCGGACCATTTGGATCCCTTCCAGTCAGGATTCAGGCCTCATCATGGGACTGAAACTGCCTTGGTCGCACTGGTCGATGATCTCTGGTGGGCTAGGGACAAAGGTGAGAGCTGTTTCCTAGTTCTGCTGGATCTCGCAGCGGCTTTTGACATCATCAACCATAACATCCTTCTGGACCATCTAGAGGGCTGGGAGCTGGGGGCACTGTTATACAGTGGTTTTGCTCCTTCCTCCTGGGCTGTGTTCAGAAAGTGGTAGTGGGGGATGAGTGTTCAGACCCCTGGGCTCTCACTTGTGGGGTGCCCCGGGGTTCTGTCCTCTCCCCCATGCTTTTCAACATCTACATGCAGCCGATGGGAGAGATCATCAGAGGGTTTGGGCTGGGTTTTCATCAGTATGTGGATGATACCCAGCTCTACCTCTCTTTCAAATCAGAACCAATGAAGGAGGTGAAGGTCCTTTCTGAGTGCCTGGAGGCGGTTGGAGGATGGATGGCGGCTAACAGATTGAAGTTGAATCCTGACAAGACAGAAGTACTGTTTTTGGGGGACAGGAGGCGGGCAGGTGTGGAGGACTCCCTGGTCCTGAATGGAGTAACTCTGCCCCTGAAGGACCAGGTGCGCAGCATGGGAGTTATTCTCGACTCACAACTGTCCATGGAGGCGCAGGTCAATTCCGTGTCCAGGGCAGCTGTTTACCAGCTCCATCTGGTACGCAGGCTGAGACCCTACCTGCCCGCAGACTGTATGGCCAGAGTGGTGCATGCTCTAGTTATCTCTCGCTTGGACTACTGCAATGCGCTCTATGTGGGGCTTCCTTTGGAGGTGACCCGGAAACTACAACTAATCCAGAATGCAGCAGCTAGACTGGTGACTGGGAGCGGCTGCCGAGACCATATAACACCAGTCTTGAAAGACCTACATTGGCTCCCAGTACGTTTCCGAGCACAATTCAAAGTGCTGGTGCTGACCTTTAAAGCCCTAAACGGCCTTGGTCCAGTATACCTGAAGGAGTGTCTCCACCCCCATTGTTCTGCCCGGACACTGAGGTCCAGCGCCGAGGGCCTTCTGGCGGTTCCCTCACTGCAAGAAGCCAAGTTACAGGGAACCAGGCAGAGGGCCTTCTTGGTAGTGGCACCCGCCCTCCCACCAGATGTCAAAGAGAACAACAACTACCAGACTTTTAGAAGACATCTGAAGGCAGCCCTGTTTAGGGAAGATTTTAATGTTTAATAAAATATTGTATTTTAATATTTTGTTGGAAGCCACCCAGAGTGGCTGGGGAAACCCAGCCAGATGAGCGGGGTATAAATAGATGATGATGATGATGCAGCATCTTCCTATGTTCCTAATGCCTCATTTTTATAGCATTCCAAGTTTTTTTTTTTGTGTGTGTGTGTGTGTGTGTGTGTGTCTAAATACACACACACACACACACACACACACACACATATAGACACACACACACATAAAAACACACTCTACAAATTTTGGGAGGGGGAATCCTGCTGGATAGGAAATAATTTTTATACAGCTTTATTAATTTTGGGAGAAATAATTCCCTTTTACCCTTTATTTCTCCATCTTCTTTAATAAAAAATACAGGAACACCAACTTCTCGGCTGTCGCGAATGCCAGGGCAGCTACCTCAGATCTCGAAGTATCAGTCCTCGTTTCTGGCAACTGAGCAGGTAACCCTGCTTGTGTTGTGACTGTTACATTTTTCTTTTACTGGTTACAGTTATGAATTGTTCTCCAGAAAGATCTCAGGAAAATGTATAATGAAAGATAACAGAACAAAATACATCAAATGAAAGAATGCATAAGCCATAAATACTGATCACTTGCAGTGGTAGAGCATTAAGCCAATTAAAATATCAAATCTGTAAAGCCCTGGGAAAACAAGAGCATCCTCAAATTGTGTCTCAGTGTAAAAAGTGAGGAGGACAAACACTGCTCTAGAAGGGAGCTATGAGGAAGGGCCCCAGCTCAGTGTTGGAACACCGGCTTTGCCATGCAGAAGGTCCCAGGTTCAATCCCAGGCATCTCCAGATAGGGCTGAGAAAGACGTGTCTGATTCCCCTGAGAGTGTCACTGTCAGTCAGTCTTCATAGTACTGAGCTAGACTGCATGGTCTGACTTCAGTGTATGGCAGCTTCCTGTATTGGGAGTTCCAAAGCTTGGGTGCCACCATGGAGAAGGCCCTGTTATGCAACCTTGAATCACAAATCCTAGCAGCATCAATGAGCAGACACACACACCAGTCAAAGTTAATGATTGAGTTGGTTGGCCTTGTAGAAGGTGCTTCTGCAGAGACTTGAGTCTATAGCCATGCAGGGCTTTATTTAATTTGATACCAAGACTGACTGACTAACAAAAAATTGATACCAATGCCTTAAATTGGGCCCAAAACCACACAGGCAGCCAGTGTCGGATTAAAATGCTCTTGCCTTGCTGGCCTAGTTGATGACATGCTCCCATCAGCCCCCCAGCCTTGTCAATGGGAGTTGGGAGCCCAAAGCATCTGGAGGGTACACCAGGTTGGTGAAGACTGGAACAGAGATGGAAGTTTAAAGTGGTGATGGCACTGAAAGTGGATGCAGGAGGTCTGATTTTCCCTCCTTTCTATTGGGTACACTGGGAAAAACCCTGCCACTCTTTTTCCAGGTGACCTTCTGGAGCCCTGCCGTTGCTTGTGGCATGACCACTCCCCCCCACTCCCCTGGAATTGTTTTGGAGACACCTTATACCACAGCCCAGACTCTCAACAGGACCTTTAACATACCAGGTAGGGCCAGCCATATTGGGGTTTTCTTTTCAGCACCCTGGCAGGTTTGTCAGCAACAAAAACTAGTTAAGTGCCAAACCATTGGCCTGTGACATTATTGCACAAGCCCCTGAAGCCTCTAAACTCTAAACTCTCATACGCGGGGGCCCAAAGCGGCCCTTTTGGCCTCTCTGTTTGGCCCTTGGGCCTTTTCCTAGGTGTGCCCCAGCAGCCTTGCTTTGTGCCCTCTTTGAGTACTTTTGGTTGGCCAGAATATTCCCTTGGTTGCCTGACTGGAGGATGGATAGAGGTGAGTGTGTTTGGTGGGAAGAGAGATATATGTGGGTGTATAGAAACCTCTTAAATTCTGTATGGCTGGTACATAACCTGTGGTACAAAGGTAAAGAGTTAACTTTGCTCTACCTACTTTTGGCCTCTGGCCCTGCCCACCACTGGGACACGACACCTGGAATGTTTGCCCATGAGGGAGCATAGTCCTTGGGAAGCTGAAAAGTGCTCTCCCCAACCCTTGCTTTAAAAAAAGGGTCATGCATTAACATTTGTAAGGGAATATTTTTTTTCCTGTATTTCTTTTAAACAGCCGAGAAAGGTGCCCGCCCAGAAACTGCCATCTCCCCACCTCCCTCATGCAGTTCAGAAGAAGTTGCTCATGTTTCAGTTTCCACTGCACCTCCCAAAAAGGTACCGTCAAAATTGATAACGCTTGGCAAAATGGGGATTCCACTTTTGAACTTGGCCTATGAGCAGATTTAAAAAGTAATTGATTATGGCTGTCTTTTTATGAGACTTTCAAGGTGATTCTGATTCCCAGTTCATCAGAAGCAACCATAACATGACTTTCCCCACCCTACATTATGGTGCTGAAATGAATAAAGCTTTAAGGACTAACCATGGAGTGGACTTTTGGATGAAAGGACTTTGCGTACATTGCTGGTTCTGAAAACTAATTCCACTACTCAAGAGGCATCCTCTTGTTTAATTTTAAACCGTATGTTCCTTGCACCTGGTTTTGTTTCATAGAACTTAGAAATCTAGTTGTTAAAAAAAAGGGGGGGGACACTACTAGCTCTGACCAGTCTGAAGTCTGCGTAGCCCTGTCCAAAGAACTCTACTTTAGGTAGGAGGCTACTTGCTGTATCTTTGCAAGACTTACAGGCATTCCCCGCCTCCCCACATACATGTTCTACTAACGTGTGCCCTTGCATATGCATGGCACCAGGAAATTAATAAATAGAATCATACCAGGAAATGGGAGAGAGCTGGAGAGTCCCTCCCTGGAGCCAAAAAAGGAGATACAGTGAGGGTGGAGGAAGAGACTGGAGGCCCAGTGGTGCTTTGTTTAGGCTGATCAGCCTCCCCACCTAACAGCTGACACACGGGGTAGACAGCAGCAGCCACTACCGCTTTCCCACACAGCCTCCAGCCTCCAGCCAGCCTTAGAGCTTCAGCTCTAGATATTTTGGTCTGGATTGGAGAAAGAGCAGGAAAGAGAGGGGAAAGCAGAGGAAAGTAGGTATTTCGAGGTTTTTTAGAGGGTGAACCCCACTTTACACAATTTTGCTTGTGCGCACCAGGGCCCAGAATGTAAACCCATAAGTGGGTGGACGCCTGTATTAACAGCCCATCTTTTCTTCAAGAAGCTCATGGTAATGTACATGGTTCTTCCCCACAACAACACTGTGAGGTGGTTATACTGAGAGGCGGTGATGGGCCTGTGATCACCCAGTGGGCTTCATGGCTGAGTAGGGATTCGAACACTGGTCTCCCGGGTCTTAGTTGGGCACTCTACACCATACTTGCTGCTGAGTCTCCTTCTTTCCCATCAGTCTTGGCTTGTGGGGGGCAGTCATTTTGTCAGTTCATTCCTATGCAGGGGCTGAATTACCTGCCCTTGGAGGAGGCAGTGACTTGGGTATATGAGGGAAGCTCCTCCAGAAAACATGTATTATATTTTCCCTTGCACACACTCTTGGTGGTCCTGGTTTTAATTGGGGTGTGTGTGTTGGGGGTGTTCCTTTTCTGTTTGGTTTTGGGGAACATGTGAAGCATTGTGATGGAGATGTGTCTGTTGCTTGGAATTCTTGCTCTCTTCTAGGAGGGCAGAACCAATCCCGCAAGGTCTTCGTTGTCCCGACAGCCAAACATCACCCAAAGTTCTCAAGCTGTTGGTAAGCTTCACCTGAATTCCTGCCTCCTAAATCAGAGGTCACCAACCTAAGGCCCGTGGGCCAGATTCGGCCCAATCGCCTTCTCAATCCAGCCCCCGGACGGTCCAGGAATCAGCGTGATTTTACATGAGTAGAATGTTTCCTTTTATTTAAAATGCATCTCTGGGTTATTTGTGGGGCCTGCCTGGTGTTTTTACATGAGTAGAATGTGTGCTTTTATTTAAAATGCATCTCTGGGTTATTTGTGGGGCATAGGAATTCGTTCATCCCCTCCCCCCCCCCAAATATATAGTCCGGCCCACCACATGGTCTGAGGGACAGTGGACTGGCCCATGGCTGAAAAAGGTTGCTGACCCCTGTCCTAAATCTTTATCCTCTATCATCTCTTACAAATTGGGAGTGTCATTTGCACATCATGTCTCTGCTAGTTCATTAGATGGCAGTCTAAGTGTGGAAGTTCTTCCAGAGTGTGTGTGGGTACAGCCATATTTTGTGATAGTTTGGAGAAGAGGCCTTTTGGTGTGGTTTGAACTTGCATTGCAACAATGTTTGCCATAGCAAACAAGTTAAAATATTTTGTTTTCTCTCTCTCTCTCCCTCTCCCCCCTCCCATAAAAGATTCTCACAACAGTAAAAGTTTGGTAACTTTAAGTGACCTTCCTGGCATCTTGGGTGACCTGGAGGCCTCTTCTCAAGACAGCGGTGAGAAGGACCGAGAGGAAGGTAATGGGGTAGGGGGCATCGGGAAGTTCAAGAACATCATGGCCAAGAGGGTAGACTCTGTGCTCATGAGTCTGCTTGTTGGGATCTCACCTTGTGTGGCTCCAGATGGAATTGTATGCCTCTGTCCAGCTTTGGGTAGGAGCCGAATGAAAACAGTCTTTTTATAGACTAGCAGTTTAGGCATGGGCAGGGCAGTATGTGTGTGCACGTGTCATGGTTTCCCTGGGGAATGCAGAACTTAATGTTAGGCACCATCTTCAGCTGCTTGAAGAAATCTCTCTTCTGAAAACAAGTAGTAGAGCATCTGCTTTGCATGCAGAAGGTCCCTGCTTCAATCCACCAACGTCTCCAGGTAGGGCTTCGGAAAGGTTCGCTGTCTGAAACCCTGGAAAGCCTGCTGCTGCTGCTGCTGCTGCTGCTGCTGCTGCTGCTGCTGCTGCTGCTGCTCAGTTTGGACAATACTGAACTAGATGAGCCAGTGGGCAGGCTTGGTTTAAAGCAGCTTCTGCTGTCAAGTTTCTATCTGTCATGGCTGCAAAGAGACTGTTGAAAGTATGTAGGGCAATGCCTGCTGAAATCTCAGAAAGCTATTGGGCTGTCTGAACAGGACTGCCAAGGGGCTAGAGCTTCACTGCCTCATGCCTAGCAAACCCAAAATAAATTCTGCAAAATACCAAATGTGGCATTTTGTCCTGAAAAAACTTTTTTTTAAAAAAGAAATACTGGAATAACGTACATAGTTACAGAATCCCAAGTGTTTTCTTTATTTGGAGTATGTATTGTCTTGGCATAGAATCTGCCCTGGCAGGTCTCAGACCCTAATAACAAAGTGATTCCTCAAGGAGTGATAACACCAGAAGGTTAAATTATTTTCAGTGCTCCACCTTTTGCAACAGCAGCTAAGGCGGGTGGATTTCCTGCCACTGATGAGCAAATATAGGGCAGCATGTCTGATCCATCCACACTTTGCTTTTCTCTGTCCTTAGATGCCATATCAAGAGAGATCTCAGAGATCACCACAGCAGACGCGGAACCTGTGGTGCCTCGGGGAGGTTTTGACTCCCCTTTCTACCGCCTGAATGAGGGTCTCCCCAGCTCGAAGAAATCCCAGCTGGCTGCCTCAAGTTCACAGGGGCATAACCTGGACTCCAAGCCCCTGGCGTTGTCACCCCTTGCAGCATCGACACCAGGTGTGGCCCAATCTGGGCTCAAAAGGTCACTGGATATGCCTAAGCAAACCTTCACGCCTATTGACCTACCCGGCCGATACTCCGAGAATCATCCTTCTGGTCACCAGCAAAGCCAGGTGTCTCTGGAGTCAAACATTGTTGCCCCTAGCCCTTGCAAGATTCCTGCACGCAAGTGGATGGGGTTTGGGGATGAGCAGCCCCCTGATTACGAGCACCTCTTCGAAGTGGCTTTGCCAAAGACCGCCTACCATTTTGTAAGCAAGAAGACGGAAGAGCTTCTCAGGAATGTCAACGCAGGTCACGACAAAGTGAACTCTTCCTCCCCATCCCCCTTGGAAATGCTGGATCAGCTCATACAGCATGGAGCAGATGCCCACAGCAAACGGCTTGACCAGTAAGTGACGGCAGAGCTTGTATTCTTAAGGCTGGAGCTAGTGTGGTGACAAGAACAGGACTGAACCACCATTTCAAGTTACTCGTCTGTTCCCTGTAATGCTGAGGCCTTGGGGCCAAATGCAACTCTCCAGGGCACTCTGGTTCTCTCCCCACTCCCGAATGCTCCCTGGGCCACTGCCCTCCTTGAGTGTTTTTGCATGACCAGAATGTAGATGGTTCCTCTTGATTGTCTGAACAGAGGGTAGAGAGAGTAGTATGTAGAAACTAGCCTGCTGTAGAAAAGTAGTGTGAGTGTGTGTGTGTGTGTGTGTGTGTGTGTGTGTGTGTTAGTGTTATACAGTAGGCTAGTTTCTACATAAAACAATCTCTATCCTCTAGTTACCTTTTTTCAGGAAAAAAGAAATGCTAAGCAACTTACAAAAGAACAAACAAACAAAACCCTGAAATATGCAAGTAACATATAAAAAAATATCCAAATGAACTTCACTAAAATATGAGCAAAAAGCTAAGATCCCAAGGCCTATTTGAATAAGAATGTTTTTGCCTTGTCACCTAAAATAAAATAGTGCTATGGTGCTAGGCATACTTCCCAGGGTGTGACTTTTCCATAAATGGGGAGCCACCACTGAGGTTCATTTGTTGCCCTACCCAGTTTTGCCTCTGGCCCCACCATTGGCATGTGGCTCTTGGAAAAATGGGATGGGGCTGTGGAAAGCTTGGAAATAGCTGTGTGACCTTCCTCTCGTCCTCTGGTCTCCTTCAGCACAGCTCCCCGCCCCCTTGCCAAACAATTCAAAATCTTAATCACATTATGTAGAGCTTGGCAAAACAGTGCATATAACCTGCATGCTACACTTTAAGAACTTGCTCTGGTTTTTTTGCCTTTTTTTAAAAAAAAATTATGGCTTGCTAATTGCTACATTTCCCACGAAAGGTAAAGGGACCGCTGACATTTAAGTCCAGTTGTGACCAACTCTGGGGTTGTGGCGCTCATCTCGCTTTACAGGCCGAGGGAGCCGGCGTTGGTCCGCTCCGCAGACAGTTTTTCCGGGTCATGTGGCCAGCATGACTAAGCCGCTTCTGGCGCAATGGAATACCGACACCAGAGCAGTGCACGGAAACGCCGTTTACCTTCCCGCCAGAGCGGTACCTATTAATAATCTACTTGCACTTGACGTGCTTTTGAACTGCTGGGTTGGCAAGAGCTGGAACAGAGAAACGGGAGCTCACCCCGTCGCGGGGATTTGAACCGCCAACCTTCTAATCGGCAAGCCCCTGGGCTCAGTGGTTTAGACCACAGCGCTACCTGTGTCCCAAATTTACCACTACATTGGTGTAATTGGTCACTCACGTAGTCCTGTACCTTAGGACAGTGAGAGCAGTAGGGTGATGCTTGAAACCACCTGGGGTTTGTTGTTGCTTTAAAAAAACAAAACATTTTTTACTGCAATCCAGAAAACCCACCATTCTTATTTGTTCCTCAGATTACCTTTGCTAAGCAAATCAGCTGACTGGACTCACTTTGGAGGTAAGAGGTTGTTGTTTTTTTGAGGCATGTATTTTAATCCATGTGTTGGAGCAAAACTTTGCTCAGCTTTTGTATCAAGCTGCTGTGCATCTTTCCTCACTGCACCGGCATCTTGCATTTGATGGTGCTCGATAGCTTCCAAGAGTGTAAATGGTGTATTCTCTATTCACTGGCATCTGGTAATCCATTGCAGTTTGTTCATAGACTTCGTGAACCTGAGTGTAGTGGCATTTAATCTAGATGTTAACCAGAACATGGGAAAACTGGCCAGATCACACTTTTCCAAAACAGGGCTGCAGAGCACACACCAACCTGGCTGAAGGTGCTTTATGCTATGGGCAATGCTTGGACATCCATCTCTAAGGCTGGATTGGACAGTCATCTCCCCTATGAAGAAACGTGGCAGCATTTGGGACAGTTTAGCTTAGAGAAAAGGCGAGTAAGAGGCAACATGATAGAAGTTATACATAGCATGGAGAAAGTGGATAGAGAGTAGTTTTTCTATGACTTGTGGACATCCATTGAAGCTGAATGTCATCAGATGCAAAACAAATAGTTTTCCTTCACATAGCACATAGTTAAACCATGGACCTCACTTCCACAAGAGGCAGTGATGGTCACCAATGTAAAGAGCTTTAAAAGAGAATTAGACCAATTCATCAAGGATAAGACTATTGATGGCAGTTAGCTTTTATGGCTATGCTCTGCCCCCACAGTTAGAAGCATCAATGTTTCTGAATAAGAGGAGGAGTTTGGACTTGATACCCTGCCTTTCATTCCCCTTAAGGAGTCTCAAAGCGGCTAACATTCTCCTTTCCCTTCCTCCCCCACAACAAACACTCTGTGAGGTGAGTGAGGCTGAGAGACTTCAAAGAAGTGTGACTGGCCCAAGGTCACCCAGCAGCTGCATGTGGAGGAGCAGGGAAGCGAACCCGGTTCACCAGATTACGAGTCCACTGCTCTTAACCACCACACCACACTGGCTCCTGGAAACCACAGGAGGAGAGAGTGCTATTGCACTCAAATTCTGCTTGCAGGTTTCATACAGGTGTCTAGCTGGCTACTGTGAGTACAGAATACTGGCCCAGATGGGCCGTTGGCCTGATCCAACAGGCTTTTGTTACGTTCTTATTCCTGAGCTGCAGACCTAATCCTTTAGGAGGAGGAACTTTAGTTTAAGGGTGCTGGGAATTGTAGCTCTGCCCTGGGGTAAACTGCAGTTCCCAGGATTCTTCAGGGGAAGCCCATGTGCCTTATGTATATTGTGTGTATGCAGCCTTAGTTGTGTGTCCTGTTTGCAAGGTGTCTTAGGCCTGCTGAATGAATGGTGCCAGCATCTTTGCGTTCCATCGTCTTCTTTCTGCCTTCCCCTCAGGTGCTCCTCCACCAGATGATTTCAGTGTTCTCAGAATCCAGCTCCTCTTGCTGCACAACGAACTGTTGTATGAGCGCTTCAAGAGGCAGCAGCACGCGCTGCGAAACCGGCGGCTCCTGCGCAAAGTGATAAAGGTGACGGCTCTGGAGGAACACAATGCTGCCATGGTGAGTCAAGGTTTCTACAGGGAGCCCCTTCACTGCAGGCAGTTTTCCACCTGCTGTGTTACTACTGGGGAAGGGGGATGGAAGGCAACTTTGGGTCTGGGAGTGAAGGGCAGGATTCCAAGACTTTCTTATGTGGCCCCCATAATTCTCACACATTGCCCCATACAGTGGTACCTCGGGTTACATACGCTTCAGGTTACATACACTTCAGGTTACATACGTTTCAGGTTACATACACTTCAGGTTACAGACTCCGCTAACCCAGAAATAGTACCTCGGGTTAAGAACTTTGCTTCAGGATGAGAACAGAAATTGCATGGTGGCAGTGGGAGGCCCCATTAGCTAAAGTGGTGCTTCAGGTTAAGAACAGTTTCAGGTTAAGTACAGATCTCTGGAATGAATTAAGTACTTAACCTGAGGTACCACTGTATTTCCAGGCCGTGCCTTTCACCAACTCTGCTTTGTGGCTTCCTTGAGTGTTTCTGCATGGCTGGAGACTGTGCTTAAAACGTTTAACCTTTACCCAGATATTTAGAAAATTGGTGTAAATTTTAATCTGTTTCGAGTTTTGAGTTATTTTAACTTTTGAAAAGTCTTAAATTATTAATTTTATTCTTTGATTTTGTTGTTTCATCTTCTTTTTTACAAACTGCTTTGAGGCTTTTAAACAATGTATAGATTCTATGAAATAAAATACAGACCTACTGACATGCAGCAGGCATGGCATAAACAGATTTACACTTTGCGTTTGACAAAACTTGCCCTTATTTGAAGTGGGCCCTTTTGACTGGTCTCTGCTTCCTGGCAGAAAGACCAACTGAGGCTCCAGGAGAAGGACATCCAAGTCCTGAAGCTCAGCCTGAAGATGGAGCAGGCCAAGTTCTACAAGTTCCAGGAGGAACACAACATGCTCATGGCTCGGCTCCACAGCCAGATCCGCCAGTTGCAGCAGGAACGGGAAGAGTATTACAATCACAGCCAGGAACTGAAGGTATAAGAAGTGACTCTCTGAGTTGGAGGTTGGGGGCCGGCAAGGGCAGAGGGAGGTGTCTCCCAAGGATATGGTGCCACTAACCAGCTTCACTAATATTGTTTGGTTTTCTTTTTACAAGATCAGACTGGAAGACTGCCACAAAATCATCGCAGGCCTGCGGCTGGAGTTGAACACGGCCAGCAGCAAGATGTGTCACACGGAATTGTTGCTGAGCCAGGTTTCTCAGAAGGTAAGAGCTAAATTTTCCTGTGGGGTTCCCACTTCCCCTATTTTGTGTGCATAGGTGTGTGTCCTTGGTTTCAATAAGACTTCTTCTTGCTGCATCGCAGTATTGTGGACCCTGCTCTGTGTTTGTTTGTTTGTTTGTTTGTTTGTGTGTGTGTGTGGTTGGGGCTGGTGGGAGTTGGAGTCCAGTAACGTGTGGGAGGGGGGGTCTATTGGTTTGTTTTTATTTTAGTATGCATTTTGTGTTGTGAACAGCCCTGTGATCTTTGAATGAAGGGTGTTATATAAATTTAATACAAAATAAACATGAAGGGCAGCAGGTTCCCCATCTTATGGTATAAGCAGTACTTTTTTAAAAAGATAATAATTGTGTAGTCTCTAACTAAAACTTTCTCTCTTAAGCTTTCTAACAGTGAGTCGGCCCAACAGCAGATGGAGATGTTGAACAGGCAACTCCTAGTCTTTGGGGAGATGAAAGAGTTGTGTTTGAAACAGCTTCAGCACAAGCAGGCTGGCACAACTAAGGTATGCCTCAGGAGAGATGTGTGCCAGCAGTGTTGCTCTGTGGCTCACATTGGGCAAACACAACAGGCTGGCCCTGCAGATGTTGCTGGACTCCAGCATTCATGAATCCCAGCCAGTGTGGCCTTATGGTCAGGGGTGCTAAAACAAAAACAGGGGAGTTAACCAGTGCCATAGCTACCAATGGCGGGGGGGGGGGGCACTAGCCAGGTTTTCTACCCCAGGTGAAGCCTCCAGAGGGGTGCCATTGACATTTTAAGCCTGTGTGTGTGTGTACACACAAATGCACGTGTGGGGTGTTGGTGCCAAACTGGGTCTTTGAAATAAAGCCTAGTTTTGCAAATGAGCATGCATCAGATCAATAAATTGGGTGCTTCAGATGTTGTTGGACCCCTCTTAGCCCCACCGATCAGGGATGATGGCAGCTACAGACAGGCCTGCAGCTGGGAGGACCATAGGTTAGCCACTGCTGCACTACTTTGAACCCTGCATACTTTGAAAAAAGCATGTACTTAAAGAAGTACAGTAGTAATATTTATTTCCAATAAGAAAATGATGGCAGGCATTTCAATTTTCATCAAATTATCTGTGGCTGGGGAGATTAAAAAAATACTTGCCAATATTTCAGCACCTGAGAATCTCACACCTCTAGGAAGAATGATAGGGTTGAATTGAACCCCAGGCATCCTTTGCCAGCGCCTACGATGAGTTAGTGGTTTCGCTAAACCCAGATCCAAGGTCAAAAGCAGCAATTCCTTAAGTAGTTCTGTCATAATTCTGCCTGGCCTCTCTTGTTCCCTGTCAGTCTTCTCTTCTCCTGTCTACAATCATTTAGCTTTATTTAACCCCCTCCATCTTCCAGGAAGTGGAATGCCTGCAGATGGCCTTTCAGAAAGAACTGGAGAAAGCACATTATTGCATTCAGCAGCAGAGCCAGGAGCTGGAGGCGTCTCAGAAGCGAGTAGGCGAACTGGAATATCAGCTAGCAAAGAGGGACCACCTCTTGTTGGAGCAGAAGAAATACTTGGAAGATGTTAAAATCCAAGCCAGGTAACCCCCCCCCCCCCGCCCTTCAGCTCATTTTACCAAGCAAGGGAGTACAGAGGCCTCCCCCAAATCCCAATTTCACTCCTGTCAACCTCCAGGAATGTTAGGTCTTTGAGGCAAGCAAAGGTCTCCTAACAACTCACAGCATCCTGCACAAACTCCAGCTCCCAGGATTCTGTGGGGAAAGCTGTGGCTCTTTAAAGTAGTATTATAGTACTGTAAATGTATGGGATGAATGTGACCATAGCCTGGAGGGGAATACCTCTTTTTCCCCCTTGAAAGAGAAATGCTTTTGTACACAGAGGGGAAATGTAATGACATAAAATCCAGACACAGGTTTCTTTCCTTTTTTCAGTTTCCAACTCCAAGCAGCTGAGGGCTGGTACAAAATGCAGAAAAATATTACGCAGCTGTTTGAGGTAGAGATACTGAGTCTGCATGGCCAAGTACAGAATGAACGGCTGTTGAATAACCGTGAAGAAAACAAGGTGGAACAAGCTGAATCCAATGAAAGGTAAAGGGGCCAAGTGCAGCTGTGAGGCTTGCTGGCTGCTCATAATAAACAATTTACGTCTGAGGCTTTCAGAGCTTAGGAGTTGCAGCCAACATTTGTCATATTCAGAGTAGACCCATTGAAATTAATGGGTTTGACACATGGTCTATTCTTCATTGCATTTATAACCCCACCCCACCCCTTTCCTGCAAGGAGCTCAATGTGGCTTATATAGTTCTCCCATCACAACACCTCTGTGAGGTAAGTTAGGCTGAGAGACTGCCCCAAGGTCTCCCAGTGAGCTTCATGGCTGAGGGGGGTGGTATTAGAATCTTGTTTTCCCAGCTCCTAGTCTGACACTCTAACCACTATACCACACTGGCTAAGTTTCACTAACTGAGAACAGGATGCTGGACTGGATGGGCCAGTGGTCTGATCCAGCAGGCTGTTCTTATGTAGGGGGAGTGAAATCTTTGGGTAGGTGGGGCAGTTTCCAGCCATGTGCTGCTGCTTCTGAAGGCAAACCTTTGGTCACTTGGGCTGACTTGTCTCTCCCCTCTCCCCCCGGCCCCCACAACAGGCTGCCTGGAGCAAATGAAAGCAGTGCCGACCCTACTATGGGACACAGTGAGGAACCGCTGGAATGTAGCAGTGAGACTGAACCTCCCAGCACCCGGGGCAGCAGCAGCGAGGTGTCCACCCCTGAGAAGCCCAGCCAGCGCACTGGGCAGCTCAACAACCGCAGGGAGTCGTCTGCATTGCTGGAGCCCTCCTCTGGCAGTGTCCCCCCCACAGTGGGCTCCTTCCCAAGCTCTGAGAGTTTCCTAGGGATGAAGGCCCAAGAGCTGTTCCACAACAAGAGCAAGGGTCACTGCAATGAGGATGGGGTGGCCGTTGGCAACGTTTGTGAAACTCTGAAGACCTGCAAAGATCCCAGCCTGGAGGTCACGGAGGCAGCCCAGGCACCCTCCCCTAGCCCCGAGGAACTGCCTCCCTCCCCCAGAACCCAGGACGCCAATGTTGGACAGCTTCATATCATGGATTACAATGAATCTCATGGCCATAGCTAGAAATGAGGAAAGGAAAATCAAAATCAGTATTAACATTTTCATATTTTTGGCATAGAACAGGGAGGTGTGGCTGCCCAATTTAACTAAAAGCTTTTGGGTTTTGTCAGTCCAGCACCCTACCAGCTTACACAGGCGGCAATTCTTTCGTTGGACTTGTTTGCCCCAAGTGGGTTTATGGGATGGCGGAGTTTCTGGGTCTAGAAGTGTAGGTGATCAGTCAAGGCCTTCCCTGAAACACTTCTGTCCCTCTTGAAGCCACTGTGTAGTACACACTTTGATGCAGCAGCAGCTAGGATTTCTCCAAACTTTTTGTCAACCATCCACTTTTTTCTTGCCCTACCCCCCTGCTGAGAGGTTGGTTTAAATGAACTTGTGTGCAATATGGAGCAGAGCTTCCCCCAAGGAATACTTGGGGTGTGCTCATCTGGAGAACTAAGCATCTGTTGTCTCCCCTCCTGCAAGCAACTCAGGGTTACTCTTATTGAGAAACCCCTGGATTTGTTTTTCTCAAAGTGTTATAATATGATGGCAACTCAGTCTTTTCCCCATCTTCAGCCTTCCCCCTCCCCATTCCCCCCCCCACCAACTTTTTGCATTTTGTGCATAGACTGGACTCTAACCGTGAAATGAGATAGAGTCCCCCTCCAGCATTGAAAACCATACCCTCTTCCTCTCATCTCCCCTCCCCACAAATTTGCTTTTGTTGCTGGATGAGATGGTACTGAGCTGACCTCCAGTTGTGTGGGTGTTTATTTTTCCACCCTGAGTGGAAAAGAAAGCTGAGGCTTTTCTGTTGGAAACCTGTCCTGTGGAGATTTCTGGTTAGTACAGTGGATGCTGAACTTCCTCAGCAAAGCAAATGCCTCACCTAAGCTGAGACAAATTTTTCTTTGTGTTTGCTGCTGTGTCTTATGAGAAAAGGGTGAGCTGATTTTTTTCTCTTCCACTCCTTCCTAAGGAGTGGTAGTCCTGTTTCTCATTGTCTGCCCAGATGCCACCCTGGTCCCCCGTCCCCCCCCCTGTTGGCCTACTCACATTTCTATGATTTAAAAGCAGTGGGATTGGCTATATTGTGTCCTCCCCCCTTGCAAACTGTCCCCTTGTGGTTCATTTGCAAAGTGGGCTTTATTTTCAACAGCAAAAGTACCTCTTCAGTTGAGAGAGCCTTCTCTCTTTTAAAGAGACAGCAAGACCTTTCCCTAAAGGGCACATGATCACCTGCCAGAATCTCCCAGTATGTTCTCTCCCCACTGCACCATGGACCACAGAAATTATGGAGCATTCAGTAAATCTCTTGAATCATGAATGCAGCACATGAAAAGGCAAGGGGATGCAGGAAGATCCCGGTGGTAAAGCTGGAAATTATTTTGTTCCCTTAACAAACAAAAAAAAGCCTGGCTGCTTTTAGTTAACCGTTTGTCAGAGAGCGATTTCTCTATTTAGAGTTAACATTGATTCCTGCCTTGCTCTTTGTATAAGTAAATATTTTACATTTATAAAATGTAAAATGCCGTAAATATGAAATTGTAAGTAAGTAAGTAAGAAATGGTGCAATTCAAGATAAAGGAGTAAATTAAAGAGAGAAAAAAACCCAAATGGATGAAAATTTGCTGTCCTTGCTAGGATGTTGTAATATGTCACAGTAGTTCTTTGTGTTTTACTGTGAACAAAAATAAAAAGAATTCTTTTGTACTATATTAGACTGAATGGTTTTTGCAAGTAAAATCATAAAAGGATCCTGTTGGAGGACCTGTACTGGCTAATTAATGTTAAAAGGAGTGTGCAGAAACAAAACTGGATTGGTAATTATAAGAATAGCCAACTCCTTTTGTTTGAGAGAATGGGCACTTTACTGAACAGCTGGATTGGTTTTCTAACCATAGCAAGGCAGGGTTAAGGAAAGTGTAACCCTCCCAGAGATTGAGTGACAACTCACATCATTCTGGAGATTCCCGCAATGTGAGAAGTGAAGCTACAGGGAATCAGGAAGAGGGCCTTCTCAGTAGTGGCACCAACCCTGTTGAATGCCCTGCCATCAGATGTCAAGGAGATGTGCTTTTTAAGGCTTAATGTTTTACTATGTTTTTATATATGCTGGAAGCTGCCTAGAGTAGCTGGGGCAACCCAGTCAGATGGGCAGGGTACAAATAATAAATCTTCATCATCCTTGACCAGACTAGTTGGAACCGGTGGCTCTTCAGATGTTGATGGGACTCCCCAGTTCCCTGTCTCCTAAAGTAAGGATTTTCGCATTCCACAGGGCATGTGGTTTTGAGCATGGAGGTGTAACAATGCTTCCTCACAGTGTGTGACTTTTGGTGGGATTCATTAGACCAAGATCTGATTACTCTAGTTAATAGTTAATGGCAGCTTAATGGAACCTTTCTTCTTCCCAGTATTCCTTGCTTCTGAGTTTCCCAGAGGCATCTGCCAACTTTTGGAGAATACTGGACTAGACTTAACTCTGTTTAGTGTGTGTAGTATGCCTGGGGTATAGAATCTTAAATGTGACCCTCCAGGCCTCTGTATATGGCCCTTTGAATGTTTTCCAGGTTATACATTCTTTCTGGCCCTGCTTTGCACCTTGGGGGGGGGGGTGTTGTTGTCAAGCATTGTCAAGAGTTTTCAAAGACAGGTTAAAAACTCTTGACAATGCTGCTTGCTTGTCTGGATGAAGGATAGATTTGTGTAGAACTAGCCTGTGCAGAGGAATGATTTACATTAGTTGTTCTGCCCACTTTCAACTGTGGCCCGGCCCACCATAGTATGTGGCCCTTGGTGAAAAAAGTTACCACCACCCTACTCTTGGTGCAAACCTGCTCTCTCTCTCCTCCCCTTTTATCAAAAGCCCTCAAGGCATCTCAAGTGGCCTGCCTAGCAAGATGATTCCTCTGTCCAGGGGTCCTTCTAGAAGCTCTGTGGCTTCTGTAGCTTTAGTTGCTTCCATTTTGAATGAAGCTGTGCCTGCCTTGGAACTCTGTGAAGCAACGTCTCAAACGAATCCCAACTTTTATGTAACTGTCTAGTAGGTATCATCTATTAATAGTCAAGTATGGATCCAATAAACACCAACCCAGAGATTTAAGTTGTGTGTTGGGCAGTCGGGGCAAAAGGCAGCTGGCCAGCAGTTCTTTTGGGTATGGGTTTGCGTATAAAATCTGGATTTTGTAAACCGCTAAGGAATTCGTACCTGGGAAGGGGGTTGCTGTTAAGAGATTCTGCAGGTGGCTTCTAGTGAAAAACACAGAAAGCTCTGCTGGGTCAGGCCAATGGCCCATCCAACCCCCGAATCCTGTTCTCACAATGGGCAACCAGACAAGATTCAAGCACAAGAGCACTCTTCCCCTCCTGTGGTTTCCAGAATCCAGGTTAATCCTCCTTCACCCTACCTCTCAGTAATTACGGGTTTTTAACTCAAGAACCTGTGTGTGTGTGTGTGTGTGTGTGCGCGCGTGCGCGCCTGCATAACTATTTACATGTAGCAAAGTGCAAATTTCCCATTTTTCACTCATGTATGCTGGCTAGAAACAGTCTCTTGTCAAGATTAGCCTTACCTTAATGGGGGATTTAAAATAAATACAGGCAATAAGGGGTGTTATAGGAAGGGTAGGACCTCTGGGAGGGGACACATTGTGCTTCTTCTGCAGTAATTTGTCCACCTTGGTTCCCATCCTGCACTCAGCTCTCATCTGTTGCTCCTTGAAGCTGTCAGCATGTGACAGCAGACACACCCTGGGAAATGGCTTTGACTGCCTGGCTAAACCAGGTAAGAGTAGCTGATGGGTCTCAAACCCTCAGTAGGTTAAGGACTTCCCTGCATGAGAAGACAGGCTCCAGCATATTGAGCGGAAGAGATAAATAGTGGGTCCAATGATCAAGAGGGGGGTTTCTGCATGTGTTGTAGAGGAAAGTGAGGGGCAGGTGAGGCTTGTCAACATGGGAAGGTAGCCCATCTAGGAGAAGGAAAACTGGTCCTAAACCTTTGCTGCCTTGCATGATGTCTTCAGAAGCAGAAAAGGCTACACATATCTGGAGAAGACGGTTGGATGGCCTGGCAACTCCTGCAGCCAAGCTGATGCAAAACGTATTGCTCTGTTTTCCTTTGGACCACACCAGTGAGGCCGAGAGGGGCGGTTCCTGTCATCTGGGCAGCCCAGGACCACCTTACATACACTGTCCTGGGGAGGTCACTTTGGTGCTGCTTACGCAGTGGTTTGACGTCATCCCTGGAGGCATAATCCATTCCTTTGAGACAGATGGATGCCAATGCAATAGGCTATAAATGGTTAATGCACAACATTCGGTGTGCTATTGAAGCAATAAAAGGGTACTATTCTATATGTTGGGGTGTGTGAATGACTTGATAGGAATATGTTGGATTTCTTGCATAAATCATTGGCTGGGATGGAGGCTGGGTTTGCCTTAATAAATACAGAAGAAATTTGGCACTTGGAAAAATAACTTTTATGGTTCACTGCTGATTTAATATTCAAGGGGGGATGCTTCCCTACCTGGATCAAAATGATTAAATATGTATTATATCAGAGAAAGGAAGCCAGCAAGATAGAAAAAGAGAAAAATAAATTACCTTCCAGCGCTTTCTAGTGCTAAGCAAGAATGCTTTGGTAGGTCTATAAACACCACCATAAATAATAAACATTTTATGCCGAAAGAGTTGGGGATGTAGGTTGAAAGGGCTCAATTATTCATTTATTTTACTTCCTGAATGCAGAGTAGAAACTCAAACCCCACAGTGCATTTTAACTTGCTACCTTACTACAAAGGTGTTAGTGGAAAGTGATAGCTATCTTATCTTACTCTTCTTTTTTTTCTATTCTTTAAAGAAAATTAGAACTCATCTGACATCAGAGGACCAGTGGTGACTGGTGCTCATTGGGACTGGTAGGGCAGGAGGCAGGGAGCCCAACAGTAGGTGGCGCCAGAGCCAATGACAAGCAGAGCCAACTAATCCTACTTCTCCCCATCTTCCCTTAGCTGAGTTTTACAAGAGCAACACACAGACCGAGGAGGAGAAAGCTGACAGGAAGTGCCACCCCCTGAACTGGTTGCAAACAAAGAAGACAGCTAGGTGGGGAGTGGCTGAGGGAAGATTGATGTTGGTGGGGCAGTGCCCCATTCACCCTAATGGGCCAGTCTCCCCTGCAGAGAACTGGGATTCGTTTCTACCATTCTCCCACTATTATTGCAGCTTTTAAACCCACCTTTCTGATCAGACTATCCCAGGCTAGGAAGTTTAAAGTCATGCAGTATTCTGAAAAGAATAACAGAATATGTTAGAATAACAGAAAATGTTAGAAGAGCCTGGCTGCTGCATCAGGCCAGCGACTCATCTAGTCCAGCATCTTGTTTACACAGTGGCCAACCTGATGCTCCAGTGGGAAGCCAGCAAGCAAGAACTGAGCACAAGAGCATTCTCGCCACTTGTCACCTCCAGCAACTGATACACAGTGGTGTACATATCTAGTAGTCATGATAGCCTTGTTCTCCATGATCTCATCTTTTTTTTTTTAAGCCATCAGAATTGGTGGCCATCACTGCCTCTTGTGGGAAGGAGTTCCATAGTTTAATGATGCACTGTGTGATGAAATTCCTTTGCCTGTCTGGAATCTCCAAATGGGACAGTCAAAAAGAAGTAGAGGGAGGGTGTCTGGGAAGAATCTAGGAACTGGATTCGGGCCTAAATTTCCAATGTGGAGATGAAGATGAAGAGATGAAGAAAAAAGTCATAGTAATTAGAAGTGGGGGTACCATGTTGTAGATTTATAGGTTTAAAATGAGGGTGAGGGTAGTCCTGGGTCTGGGGTTCAGGTTTGCCTGTCCCTTCTCTACCACCCCCATCCCCGGGCTCAGCATAATTTTCCTTTAGTAATTTGATCACGAAAACACCTCTATAATTCTAGCAACAAGCTGCACTTGCAGGGGAAACAGCTTTATTCAGAAGCATCTTCCGGCAAGAGGCAAAAAAACAGGAGCTAAGGATCCTGCGAGGAGGGGAAAAGAAAACAATCAGACAAAAGGAGTTGAGTTGTACTGACAAGATCTAATGTTAAAATGCTCCATTTCTTGAAAACAATGGATATTCCCTACCCCACCCCTGGCAGAAGTTGGTGTGAGTTTGCAAGAGGGAGAGAGAGCCTGGCATGCTGGAAATGTGTTTTTTTTCCTCTTTTTTATGTTTCTGTGAGAAGTCAAGCCCTCATTTTTCCAGAGGTGCTTTAAAAAAATTTTTAAAGTGCAATTCTGCCTTGAAAAGTGGTCCAAGTCTCCTGAGGTGACCTGGAATCTTACTTAAGTACAAAAATACTCCTCTCCTGCCCTGTGCTTTTCCTTCTATGTGTCAAAAAGCTTTACTCAACCAAATTCAGTGCTTCCAGAAACTCAGTGTATCCTGGTTTAACTGGTGCCAGATAGTAGTGAGCTCTAAGTGGGTGTACAAGTTTTTTGTTTCTTTTTAAGGGTATTTCCACCCTCTCAAAAATGTGTAGATGGATCCTCCTTTCTCTGGTTGTTTTACCACCTCTTTCCCCAGCTAAATAAGTAACCCATGTTAGAGTCATGATTTGGCCAGAGGTTCACACTGGGCGGACATGTAACACTCAAGCCTATAAGAAGTGCAGAAGAGGGGCAGCTGTCAAGGTGAATCAAAACCCTGTGATCTGATATGGTGGCCCACTAAACCTTCCCCTGCCTCCCCACAACTTGAGGTATCATTAAGGTGCCTGGCGGACACCACACCAGTATTTGGTGGCGGCCTAATTTCACCACAGTAGGCCATTAATTCTGTAGGCCTGGTCTGCTCTAAAACTGGGGTTACTTGAACACTGTTGAGTAGGCTAAAGTATCTTCATCTGAGGGTGACCTGCTCCAAGAAAGGGATAAGATAGATCATGCTTGTCGCTACCAAAGCAGATGTATCTCTTTCTTTTCCCCCTCAGGAAAGGGCATAACTGAAGCAAATATAGGGAGACTGTTTTAATCGCCGGATGCTAAGCGAGCAGGCTGCTTTCTTTTTCTTTTTTTGGTCTTTACTCTCTCTCTCTTTTTTTAAAATGCGTGTTTGCCAGGCGGTCTCCAGGGCCCGTCGAGAAACTTTCGGATGGCCCTGCCTAGGCCACCCAGTTGCTTTAGCTTAACCCTCCTGTCCTCCCTCTCCCTGGCCTTTTCTGTCAAGCTAATGTAGGTCTGAGTGCCCTCGGTGATGAAAGCGGGCTGGCCTAAGTGGTCGCGGTCGCCCACACGGCGAATGGGCAGCTCTGCCTGGTTGTAGACGGCGGCCTTCCGGGCACTCACACTGTGTAACATGTTCCGCGGGAGCTTCTCAGTGTGAGCCACCCACTCCTTCATGCTGTCGAGGACGATGGGGATGAGGCTCACCACACCGCCGTAATGGTTCCGGGCTTCATCGCAGCTGAGGTGGTTCACAACATCGTGAGGGTACCTGTTGGACATTTGGGGGTGGCGGGGAGGAGAAGGCCAAAAGGCATTGGTACAGTCAATGGCAGTTCAGTGGTTTGGGGTCGTGGGCAGGGCCACTGAGAGCAGCGTTGGGCCCTGGTGTTTGTTTGTTTGTTTGTTTGTTTGTTTGTTTGTTTGTTTATTGCACAGCCTCCAGCGAGGGCAGAGTGGCTAAAAATCTTTACAAGGGATATAAAAATAAATGTGTGATCTCATGTGTGTGCTAATAATAAATACAGTGGTACCTCGGGTTACATACGCCTCAGGTTACAGACTCCGCTAACCCAGAAATAGTACCTCAGGTTAAGAACTTTGCTTCAGGATGAGAACAGAAATCGTGCTCCGGCAGCGAGGCAGCAGCGGGAGGCCCCATTAGCTAAAGTGGTGCTTCAGGTTAAGAACAGTTTCAGGTTAAGAATGGACCTCCAGAACGAATTAAGTACTCAACCCGAGGTACCACTGTATAATATTCATGTGCCAGCTGAGAACATTAAGGTCCCAACAGCTAATATCAGTAATAGAAGCACCCATGTGATCTCAGCTGAATTAACCAAATACTTTAAATGTTGAACTTGTACATGTAAGGCAACATGATGTGCATCACGCGACAACTTTGTTGTATTCACACAGAATTCACTTATGAAAACATACAGAGGTGACTGTGCATAATAAGATGAGGCTTTGTTGTCCTACTGTCAATGCACAGAAGCTAATGTTCATACAGAGTCAGAAATAAATGGGAATGCTTGGTTCACAAGCATAAGTTTGCAAGCGGTTTTTCAATGGATGTCAGAAACAATGGATAAATAATGATACAACCAAGACAAAAATACATGCAATATAGTCAGGCCCTGGGTCACCTTCTGACCCTCTTGTATTGGCTTCCCATTATATTTCTGCAACAGTCCTTGTCTTCAGCATTCTAGAGCTATCCAATCAGCATAAAAGGGGAACTTTTCTGGCACTGATAAAAAGCCTCTTTGTGCTGCTGATTGGAGGCCAATCAGAGTGAAAGGAGGTGAGTCAGCTGCTGAGGATGGTCTCCTAGGGTCCCTCTGGATAAGATGCACTGGAAGGACACCAAGGAGTTGTCCTAAAAGCTGAGCATTTAGGAGCACTGGGAAAAGGTTCCTCACTTTTAAGAGAAGGGTGTGCTAGTTCTGTTATGTACAATGGAATGTCAATAAAAACACAACTTAAGTCATTCCAAAATAAGATATTGAAGCACTCAAAATCATTTGGCTGTGTTCATGTACAGAAAACATGGAAATCTGCACCGACTGTTGGAATGCATCCTGCATCATCATCATCATCATCATCATCATCATCATTATTATATAATTTTACAAGATAATTTCATAATCTCAAAAGGGGATCCTGCATGAAGGGATCCTGCACTTTTAAATTTTCCACTACTCTACTGTGGCGGTTACAGAACAATCCCCCCCTTCAACTATTTGTAGGCCTTCCTCCTTGGATTGACAACAGGTCGGAATAGGGGAAAGCCAGGCCCCTTCTGTGTGATACGCCTCTTCCTCCATGTGTCTCAAAGTTAGATCTCTGAGTGAAGCTCTTCAGGTAGTTCTGGGAGAGCTGCCTATATGGAGCACCACACAGCCACTGCCAGTCAGTATAGACCAGCCTTTCTCAACCTTAGGTTCCCAGATGTTGTTGAACTATACCTCTCATCATTCCTAGCTAGCATGACCAATGGTCAGGGATGATAGGAGTTTTAGTCCAACATCATCTGGGACCCAAGGTTAAAAGATGCTGGTGTAGACAGTACTGAGCTAGACGGACCCCAATGGTCTGACTCAATGTAAGGCAGCTTCCTATGTTCTTATATAATGGGGAAGGGCTGTAGGGCAGTTATGGGCAGAAGTTCACAGGTTTAATTCCTGGTGTCTCCAGGTAGAGGCAGGAGAGATCTCTGGCTGAAAAGCTGAAGAGCTTCAGCCAGTCAGTACAGACTGAGCTATATGGAACAATGATCTGACTCGGCAGACAACTTCTTATTTACATGATCTTTTTATTTAGAACCAGGAGCACTGGAATCTTATTTAATTATGGGGGAAGGGCTGTAGTTCAATGGTAAAGCATCTGTTCTGCATGCAGGAAGTCCCGGGTTCAATCCCCACTGACATTTCTAGCTAGGGCTGGGGAAGGCATCCTTTCTGAAACCCTGGAGAGGAGCTGCTAGTCAGTGTAGACCAGAGCTTTCCAAACTGTGTGTCGGCTGCAGTGTGTAGGTGTGTCATGTGAACACTCCTCGCCCTCCTCCTGGGGCTGGAAAGGGGTTAGTTTAACCTCCGGTTTGCTAGTAAAACTGAATTACTGTGTCGTGAAATGATGCGTGTCTAAAAGGTTTGTCACCAACCTGAAAAGTCTGGAAAGCTCTGGTGTAGACAATTCTGAGCTAGATGGAGATTCAGCAGAAAGCAGCTCCCTACATGCCTATTTAAATCATCCTTTAATTCAGAACCATCAGGACTGGAATCCTGGCTTTCAGGGAAAATGCCACAACTCGGTGACAGAACATCTTGCTTTGCATGCAGACGATCCCAGGTACAATTCCTGACATCTCCAGGAAGGGCTGGGATATACTCTTATCTGAAACCTGAGGAACCTCTGTGCATCAGTGTAGACAATACTGAGCTAGATGGATCAAGGTCTGGCTCTGTATAAAGCATCTTCATGTGTTCATCAGGAGCACTTACAGCTCAGTAGTGGAGCACCAGCTTTTCATACAGAGGGCCATAGGTTCAGTCTTTGCCATCTCTAGCTAGGGCTGGGAATGTTTCCTGCCCAAAATCGTGGGCTGCCACTGCCTGCGAGTGTATACAATACTGAGATAGATGGATGAATGGGTCTGACTTGGTTTATAGCAGCTTTTTATGCTGCTATTCAGAATAATGGGGACTGGAATGTTGCTTTGTTTTCAGATGAAGGACAAGACATATGGCAGTTTCCTATGTTGCTATGATGGCATTAGCCAACTTGGCTCCCTCCAGATGTTTTGGGTAACAGTCCCCACCAGCCCCAGTCAGCCCATGCTCTACAAATAAATACCTACTTGGCTCTGATCCCACTGAGGTCATTGCTGTGGCTCACCAACGTTTTGCACTTGTCCAAGAGGGCATTGGTGACACTGTTACCAGGGTGTAGGGATTCCAGCCGTTGGCAAAGTTTGTTCAAGTCGCTGCAGATGCTGAGGAACAGGAGCAGGATACGTTTGTCAGTGGAGTTGTTGCAGTAATGGTCCGTGTAGGTCTGCACCTGCCGGACACACAAGGGGGAAGGAAGGCGAGTTATACCAACTGGCAAGGGCAGGGCCGGAACTAACATGGTGGAAGTCTATATGAATTTCAGAATCAGCAGCTCTTTTTTTCCCCCAAAAAAATGTTAATGGAAAAAACAAGTGCAAAGTTAATAAAATGGAAAGAAAACAAAGTCAAAAGTGTAAAACCATAAATCATCACAGCCTCCAAGGACAAAAGTACAAAGACACAGCGCAACTCCAAATGGATAGTAAAGTTTTCACTTATACAAATATTCCCTTTACAAATAATAAAGATATATAGAGAAGAAAGGTATTCTCCACCTGTGAGTTCCATCATTATTGAGAATAAAGGTTCTATGTAGTCTTAATTGAGCGTGAGACTAGGTAGGCAAGAGGCTTAGGTTCAGAGTAAAAGGATGCTTTTATGGCCAGGCGAAAGCATTCAAGGAGGATGCAAAGCAGGGCTATCGGGGAGCATGCTCGGGGGGGGGGTGTCCAAGGGGCAGATAGAGTGGCCTAGGGGGCACACCTGGCCTCCAGGCCTGAGTTCCATACCCCTGTCCTAATGGGCTTTGGGAAACGTTCCTGGAACACACAGCCAAAGTTTGTGTGATTCATCTCCTTCCTTGTTTGGATGGGGCTTAACCCAGCCTTCTCTTCCACTGTATGCATGATGGCTGCAGCCAGAGATCCTTCGTCTCTCCAAAGAAGCTTGCAGTTTTTCTGGTTTTGGTTTGTGTTTGAATGATATATCTATATTAGTGTATGCATTGCTTAGAGATTTTTGAACAATTAAGCTTTGGGGAAGGACTGTAGCTCAGTGACAGAGCATCTGCTTTGTCATGCAGAAAGCCCCTGGTTCAATAATCAATAGCTTCTCTAAGTACCATATTTTTCGCTCTATAAGACGCACCAGACCAAAAGACACACCTAGTTATTGGAGGACGAAAACAAGAAAAAAAATATTCTGAATCTCAGAAGCCAGAACAGCAAGCGGGATCGCTGTGCAGTGAAAGCAGCAATCCCTCTTGCTGTTCTGGCTTCTGCGATAGCTGTGCAGCCTGCATTCACTCCATAAGACGCACACACATTTCCCCTTACTTTTTAGGAGGGAAAAAGTGAGTCTTATAGAGCAAAAAATACGGTAGGTCTGGGAGAAACTCCTGCCTGAAACCCCAGAGAGCTGCTGCCAGTCATTGTAGACATACTGAATCAGACCTATTGGCCCATCTAGCTCAGTACTAAGGCAGCTTCCTATGTTCCTAAGCTGTATATAAATGCTTCTAAATAAGCAAAATAATCTAGGTGCCTTGGATAAAATGATCCTCAAAAAAACAATAAAAGAGAGTTATACAGTTCTACCTAAATCCAGGACAACTACCAGGAACTAGGACATTGAACCTGCAAAAAGGAGTTATTTCCTAGTCCTGACAATCGTTTGGAGACAAATACTGTCACCTCTTGTGCTTATATTTTTTTGTTACTTTGCCTTTTCCACGCAAGAGAATGCAAACAGGGTGGGGTGGGAGGGTTGTTGCAGGGAAAAGATAATGGGGTGCAGAGGTTGCTGGCTTCAATCCGGTTCAGGCCGGTCACCTGCTGCAAATCTGTATCCTCAATTGGCTGCTTGGCAGTCTCGGGTCAGCCGTTAGTGGACAGGCAAGCTCACTGCGCAACAGAAGCCACTCGCAGTGGCTCTGCTTAATTGAGTCCCGGGATGACAGACTCAGCGGAAAAGGGCCAAGGTTGCCCAGGCAGGTCTGAGTGAACTCCCCTCCTCCTTCCTTTTTAAGTGGCCCCACCAGATTTTGAGCTCGGCCACACCGCCAAGATGGAGAGCTGTTGCCACGTACATTCCCTAATGGAAGGAATAGATCAAAATAACTGTGCATGTTACTTGCTGGAGGGTCTCTGAGGATGCCCGTTCCTTCCCAAAAGGTGGAAGGCAGATGCTTGAACCTTTGACCATTCCTGGTTGTTAAAGAATCTTTAGCTGATTCCTCACACCTGTGCTTTACTACTACTACAAAGTGCTTGTCTGAAGTACCTTATTTATCTTGGGGAACCTTATTACGACAGCCCGGCTTAGTAGGCCTGTGAGTGTGTGTATGTGGCCCAACTTACAAGTGGGGAGTTGAAAGGACAGAGAGAAGCAGCACTTTAAGGCAGACTTTCCCCAACCTTGGGTCGCCAGATGATGTTGGACTACAATTCCCATCATCCACGTTCAGGGCTAGCTCCCTGATCACTTACCATGCTGGCTGGGATGGGTGGGTGGGGCTGATGGGAATGTAGTCAATAACATTTGGATGGCGCTACTTTGGCTACCTGTGACTTAAGTACATATGTATTACATGTTAGGCCAGTCTTCTGCAACCTGGGAAGGGCTGTGGCTCACCTGCTTTGCATGCAGAAGGTCCTGGGTTCAATCTTTGGCATCTCCAGGCAGGGCTGGGAACCCTAGAGAGCCACTGCCAGTCACTGTAGGCAATACTGAACAAGATGGACCAAAAACATGATTCAGTGAAAAGGCAGCTTCTAATATCCCTGTTTAATTCAGCCTCTGCTGCAAATGACTTGAAGCAACCGAGCAAAGGTTCAGTCCCCAGCATCTCTAGGTAGGGCTGGAAGAGGCTGACTGTCTGAAACCCTGGAGGGCTGCTGCCAGTCTGTGGGGAGCTAGACGGACCATGTGTTTTTAACTTCTTAGACTCATTCGGCCTTTAACTTAAAAATATAATAATTTTGGAGGGAAATAAGCCGTTCACATTCCACTGTATGCGTGTGTTTTAATTTTTTTCTTAGTCTTAAGTATATTTAATACTTTGGCAGATCAGCTTGCAACATTCTGAATATCGTTTCTTCTTCTTTCTGCCGAAGATCATTTGGATGAACTTGAACTGAGCTTGCTTGTTTTGCAAAGGGATGAAGATGAACAGAAATTAGTTCCTGTTTGGACGTGCCACACCTGAACAAGAACTACTTGGTTTTCAAAAAATTACCTTTCCAAGTTGTGGACATCTAGAGTATGAGTATACATGGAGCGATGGAAGGCGAAGAAAAAAATGGATTTGAGCAGGTAGGAGGGGACAAATATACATGGCGACCCAGAAAGAAACAAATATTTGGATTTGGTTGGGGTGCAGGGAACAATATGCTGTTGCTTGGTACCTCCTGTCTGCTTGTTTCTGCACTTCTGCCTTAACTGTACATTTGTAAATAAGCAGATTATCACAAAGAGAATAAAGGGCTCCGTAGCACTTTCCTCTTTTTTTTTTTAAAGACTACTCTGTAAACATTGTAAAGGCTTCCCTTGGGAAAGGGATAACTTTGAAATGACTAGCAAGAGATCAGCCTGCTTTTAAAAAAGCATGTTGTTCAAGTGGAAAGCTTATTATGTGACTCCCCTTCCCCAGGTCTAAATGTTATTGCGAAATGGAAGTGTGAAAAATGAGGCTGTTTTATTTATTTATTTTTAAAAGAGAAATATTCCAAGACTGATCACTTAAGAGCTGACACATTTTTCCACGTTAGTACAACTCAGAAAGAATCTGTGTGTCCCCCAAGGAGGGAGAGGCAGGGTCTTCATTCATCATTCCACTTTTGACACATAGCCATTATTTTTAATAGGCAGTTTCCAAAGTTATAGTTACACCATGGGGACGCACACTGTGGGGTGAGGGAAAGTGGTGTGTGTGTCAGAGAGAGAGAGAGAGAGAGAGAGAGAGAGAGAGATGGGAAAAGGCTGTTGCTATAATACATTATGGATTCCAGATTTACCAAGGAGCAGCGAAGGACAGTATGTCCTCGATCATCTATGAAAAAGAGATGGTTATGATGGATTAACTGCATTCCTTTCAATGGGCCAAAGGAGTTATTAATTGCACTCAAGGATAAGTGAACCCAAAATCTATGTTGCTGGATACGGTTCCCAAACACTACTGTTGGTTGCTGGTTTGAAAACTATGGTTGTTGAGAAGAAAATAGCACATAGGGTTTATAATTTTCACTGTGAAGATGTGAAACTGTTTTCAACTCTCTTGCTTTCATTGTAATCAGGGGTCAGCAAACTTTTTCAGCAGGGGGCCGGTCCACTGTCCCTCAGACCTTGTGGGAGGCCGGACTATATTTTGAAAAATAATAATAAATGAATGACTTTCTATGCCACACAAATAACCCAGAGATGCATTTTAACTAAAAGGGCACATTCTACTCACGTAAAAATACGCTGATTCCCAGACCATCCATGGGCCGGATTTAGAAGGCGATTGGGCCAGATCCGGCACCGGGGCCTTTGTTTCCCTACCCATGATTGTAATGCTAGAGTTTGTGGGTAGACACCAAGTCTATGTTTTGTTTTAGTTAGCATACTATGTTTGTTCCTAGAATCAGAATTGTAGAGTTGGAAAGGAGCCCGAAGTTTCATCTAGTCCAGCCTCCTGCAATGCAGAAATCTCAACTAAAGCATCCCTGACAGATGGCCATCCAACCTCTGCTTAAAAACCTCCAAGGAAGGAGAATCCACCAGCTCCCAAGTGAGTCTTTTCCACAACCCTTACCATTAGAAAGTTCTTCCTAATGTTTAGTTTAAATCTCCTATTTTGTAATTTGGGTCCATTGGTTTGGGTCTTTATTTTATGTTTGTATAAGTCCTCCCCCCTCCCCCCCCCAATCCAGGAAAGATAAATAGGAAGGGTTGGTTGACACAGGCTCTCCTTTCCTTCTTACATGATTAACTAAAAAAGCAAACAATGTTTGAATCTTTATGTTAAAACCTTGTAATTTATTTTGCACTCAAACATCCATAATGGATATGTTTTAGAAATGGTATACACTACGGAAGTCTTGATTTATTGGTTTTTTTGTTTTGACAGCTGTAATTTTTTCTTTTTTCTTTTTATGTGTTTTAAAATTTAATAAATATTAATAGGGGGAGGGGAAATCAGGGGGAAGAGAAAAAAACTAGGGATGGGCGAATCTGTCCATTTCAGTGTATCTGTCTCAGCATCAGTTTGCGACTTTTCCTCATGAAAATTCATAAGCATTTTAGTGCAAATTTTTCCTAATATATATGCAATTTTGTCTAAATATATGAATTTCCTCTAATGTGATGCATTTTGCATGCACTTTTCATTTATATAATGACATTTATGCACTCTTCACCCTAGTTATGTTCATAATTTATTGGCACATTTTTGGACCTGCGTCACACAATTCAGAGAAGCACAGATTTCGAAGGGAGGCTGCATTTTGGTTTTCCAAAATTGCACTGGAAAGTATGCATTAAGTAGAGTCACCTGTAAACACAGAGAAACCTAGGAAGCTGCCTTACACAGAGTCAGGCCCTTGGTTCATCACTATCTATACTGACTGGCAGCGACTCTCCAAGGTTTCAGGGAGGAATCTCTCCCAGCCCTACCTGGAGATGCCATGGCAGATTGAACCTGAGACCTTCTGTAACCAAAGCAGATGCTTTACCACTGAGCTATGGCCTGAACTGGATTTCTCCCTTATCCCCTAGTTCTGGGATCTCTCCATACCTGTCCGATGCTTGACACAGGCTTGATTTTGTCATGGGCATTCTCTCGGGTGTGTTCCAGTGCAGTAATGAAGGTGAACTGCTGTTGCTGGAAGATCTTGTAAGTCTGTTCGATGTTCCGCAGGCTCTCCTTGATTTCATTCATTTTCCCCTGCTCCTAGGATTTGGAAGAAACAAGGAGACATTTGTTCAATCTCTTCGCCCTGCAAGGCCCTTTCCATCTGGCTTAGCGGGTGGGGCCCAGACTCACCAGCTCTACTAAAGAGGCTCCTGTGAGACCAGAGGGACATCACTATGCCTGACAACAACTATTGGATTCTTTTGCCCCATCTTTTTGTGCCTGCCTAACAGCCATGTCATGCTTATAATATTTTATTCTATTGTTAATTATGCTGTTTTAAATGTGCATTTTATATTTGACTTTCCTTAGCAATGCTTTCTTTTGAAATGTTTAAGATTTTTTTTGTTAACTTTGTGTTAAATATATATTCTGTAGTTGACCTCCTTTGTAGTTTTATTTTGAAATCTTCAAGATATTTTAGTTTTCTGTTAATTATGTTGTTTTGACTGTATACTCTAAATTTTACTTTCCTCAGATTGTTTTATTGATGTTTTAATATTCTGTAATCCGCTTTGAGATTTTTCTTAAAAATATTAAGTGGTATAGAAATGAAACAAACAAACAAACAAACAAACAAACAGGCTTTTATAAAGCCAGTACATGCCTTATAGTTGTGATCGCTATTTCCTTACATAATTACCTGCATATATGTTGACACCTGCATTGTCCTCTTGCACTATCTGAATGGAATTAGACCTAGTACTTTTTATTATCTATTTGTTCATTGAATTATTATAGCCTATATTCCCCCTTCCCCACAAAAGGAACTCAAGATAGCATGCATGATACTTCCCCATCTCATTTAATCCCTACAGTAACCCTGATGGGGATGGATTGGGGATTAAATCCGTAAATTAAAATTTAAACCCCTTGTCCCATGTGTGTGGAAGAAATATGAGAGTAAACAGGCTATGAAGCCTTTTTAGCAGGGTAAAAACACTTATGTGCTTTTGCAACTTACTGGAAGATAAGGATTTGACAATTACACCTATTATCTCTGTTTATTTTTGGTTTGCTGAGCATTCTTTCCTCTCTGTCCCCTTTGTTAAGATTGAACCACATGTTTTAGTAAAAACAAAAAGGTTTACTTACATTTCAATGCAGGCAGCAAATACTTCAAAGTGGTATGCGGGTAATAATACTTAGTTACAAAATACAAAATAGGTTTCCAAAATGGAGTCAGTACATTTCCAAGCACAATTTAAAGTGTTGGTGCTGACCTTTAAAGCCCTAAACGGCCTTGGCCCATTATGCCTGAAGGAGTGTCTCCACCCCCATCGTTCAGCCCAGACACTAAGGTTCCCTCAGTGCGAGAAGTGAGGTTACAGGGAACCAGACAGAGGGCCTTCTCGGTAGTGGCACCCACCCTGTGGAACGCCCTCCCTTCAGATGTGAAGGAAATAAGCAGCTATCTTAAAAGACATCTGAAGGCAGCTCTGTATAGGGAAGTATTTAATATTTATTGTGTTTTTATATTTTTCTGGAAGCCACCTAGAGTGGCTGGGGCACCCCAGGCAGATGGGTAGCATACAAAATAATAAAATTATTAGCCTACCTTGCAGGGTTGTTGTGAGGGTAAAAGGGGGTAACTGTGTACACTGCCGAACTTCTTGGAGGAAAAGTGGGGTGGAAGTATAACAACAAATAAGGATAACAAACAGCCCCATCCTGAGTTTTGTCTGTTGGTCATGCTAGAGTGTGACCGAAATGATAAAGAATGTGGAATAAGTTTTTTCCCCTTTCCCCCACATGCCAGGTTACCTCCCGTAACTTCTGAATATACAGTCAGCAGATTGCAATCTTCTAAAATACTTAATATGTGTTTGCTTCATATCCCACCCATCTTCTCATTTGATGGAGAAGCTTGATCTTAACACTAACGACTTCCCAGGTGGTTCGATTATTGGTGCTTATCCATTTGCGGACACCCGAAGCTATCTTGCCATAGAAGAGCTCAGTTGCAAGATGTATGTGTGTGTGTGTGTGTGTGTGTGTGTGTGTGTGTGTGTGTGTTTAAAGGGAGAGTGGGAAAGATATATCACAATCTAACTCTGCAGCCCCTGATCCCCAAACAGTAAGTCAATATGGTTGTAATGATACAGCAGAAACAGACCTCCAGTCCAGAAAAGACTGACTGACAATCAGGTGCCATAAACCCTAGTGAGTCGATTGTAAACATAATGCGGCAATGCATCAACTGTGATGCCATGAAAAGACCGAGGGGACAGAAGCCTCCTCTTGGCTAGCATAAAACAGTGGCCCAAGTGACTTCAGATTTCCTCCTCGTCATTAAACGCAAAGGCTAGCTTGATGGACGTTGGAATAAGGGGCTCCTGCAGCTGATGTTAACCTTTGCTTGCTTGCACTATTGGGAGAGACAGGATTCTAGAAGTGGTGGTGGCTTTTCTAGCATGGAGGATCATGCACATTTCTAAGCTGAGATTGGGGGGGACGGACATTTATAGAATGTACTGTGGCTCCCTATCTAGAGTGGTCTGGGGTTTAGGTTTGCCAGGTCTTTGGGTCTGACCCGGAGTCTCCAGGTTTCATTGGCCCTCTCCAAGTGGAAGGGGGCGAGGACATGTGCATGTGTGTAGGTAGGTATCTGGTGACACAGGGCAAGAAAAACTTCCTATTCTTCAGGATGGGGGGATGTAGGGAATATAACCTTGGCACAAGGGCCAGGGTTGCATATCAACTCCTTCAAACATAGGCAGGTCAGAAACTGATGCCCAGAATGGTTTGTATAAGAATTAGCCAGTCTCATCCACTTACCTCCTTCCTGAGAGGAGTGTCAAGGAAAGGTATGGGACATTGTACTGTTAGAAATTCGGACACACCAACAGAGTCTTTAATGGTGCATCTAAAATAGATCACTTCTATTCAATGTGGGATGTTTATTCTCTTATGTAAACTTGACTGGCACAGCCCACTGAACTTCCTGTTTTACAGGTAAACATGCAGAGAACTAAATTTATTGAGCACTAAATTGACTCTACTACATGCAATAGTTGTTCTATGCTGCATTGCACACTATGTTGTTTCCCCCTCCCGTTCTTCAGTATCCTTATTTTTACCATCGTTTTTGCTGCATTTTGCATTTGCTTATGTCTGCAACCCTTCTGTTATGAAAAATGACAATAAAAGTTAAAACAAAACAGTAAAACAAAAAATAATAAGTTGCTGTTTTGAACATCTGCCCCTGATTTGAAGGAGGTCAGCCCAGAGCAGTGACTTGTACAGAGACACAATAGACACCCACCTCTTAGAGCAAGCAAACCTGCTTTGTTCCTGCACCAGGAGGTATTGAATGAGAGAGATATTCCTGGTTCAGGGACCCAGCAGAGTTACCTAGCCCTAGCAGACGCAGACTGAATGTCAGCCTACAGCAGCAACGTACCGGACAGCCTTTTCGTTATTCCCGGGATTCCCAGGAACCTTTTGTTGTTTAACCTGTTTTGATTTACAGTTCTCTTCTGGCACACAAGTTTGAGAACTGGAGACCAACTGAATAAACTGAGTTACACCAGTGGGGTGCCCTTCTGGGCTTTGCAGTTCTTCCCAGAGAGATGGGTCTGCGTGTCTGCGTGCCTTAGATCAGGCTTCCCTAACCTGGTGCCCTCCAGATGTTTTGGACTGCAATTCCCATCAGCCCGGCAGGGGAGATGCTGGTGGTTGAACCTGAGACCTTCTGTCTGCCACGACGCCGCTCTGACACTGACCTCCGGCCCCTTTCCCGTTCAAACGCCGTTTTAGAATGTTCTCAGCGCAAAGCGCGCGCGCGCGTCAACTCCGCAGCCTTCCCAAGAACCCTGTGAGGTAGGTCGGAGACAGGAATGTCATTAACTTGTCTCTCCGACTGCAGCTTCAGGCTTCCTCCTCCCTCCGCTCCTTTCCCCGATTGTGCATGTCCCGAAGCCGCCTCCGCCGCGGGCGCTGGCTGTTGTTGGCACTCGCCGGCTCCTTGCTGGAGGCAAGCGGCCGGAGCAATTGTTACACGCGTCACCCCGGGCAACCGGGGTGTGTGTACGCGTGTGCACGTGGCCGCGGGAGGCTCTGCTGACGCAGCCGGCACGCCTCCCTGTCCAGGGCCACCCAACCCCATCCTACCCTGTCCCAGTCCCACCCGACCCACCTACAGTTGGGAGAGGAGGGGGTCGGGTGCTTTTTTCTGGAGATATTTTGGAGTGCGAGGAGATAGGATTTGGACGAAGCGCCGCGCTCCCAGTGGAGCCTCCACGCTCAGACGTAGTCTACCTGTGGGGACAAGCGACCGGGAACCTCTTCTTCCCCGACCCGCTCACCATGTGAGCTTTCTTTAGTCTGTTGCAGGAAGGTAATGTGAAATTACAGTAAGGGTTCGTGCGCTGGCAGCCAGCCAGCCATGCCTGCTTCCTGGCTATTCCATTCTTTTTTCTCCCTCCACGTTCCCCATCTTTTTGTGGCCGTGGAACATTCTTGTAATCATTAGACTGCTTTGGGAGGTGGGGTTCCTCTCCTAAAGTGTATATAATTAATAATTAATGCAGAATAAAGATTTGTTCAATTTCCATAATGGTTGAACAATCAGGAGAGGGAGAAGCCATGGCTGTTTTAAGTAGTATAATTAGGGTTGCCATATTTCAAAAAGTAAAAAGTCAGGACACCCCAAAGGTTGTTGAGCTTTTTTTAAGGAATCTCCCTAAAAATTTATTGAGCTTTTTAAAGACAAAGCACCAACCTTCCTCCCCCCTGGACATCAATTCCGCCTTTGATACTGCTTTAAATGTATAGTACGGATGGGGCTTGCCAGGATCAAAGACCCACTCTATCACAAAACTCATATATGACCTTGATCAAAATCTCTCAGCCTGACCTGCCTCAAAGGATGGCTGTGAGTATAAAATGAGGTTCAGAAGTACCTGCTGAATCTTCTGTCCACCATGGATCAGTCGGGATGGGGGGAGGGGAAAACTTGGGTGCCCAGCCAGAAATAAATTATTTATTCTTTATTTATTTCATAAAGTTTTAACACTCCTTGATTGTAAAAAAACTCAAAGCAGTTTACAAAAGTTAAACAGTAAAATCAAGAAAAAATCAGAACCATATTTCATAACATAGGAAAGTTAAAATACTAAAACAAAGTAAAATTACTTCAACTTTTACAGCATCTGGGTAGACTTGTCTAAACAAGGTTTTTAGCAATTGCCAAAAAGAGTACAGTGAAGGTGCCCACTTGATATCTATAGGCAGGGGGTCCCAAAGTGTAGGTGCTGCCACTCTTAACAATCGAGTTCTTACAAATGTGGAATAGGTATTATGTGGCACCTGAAGTAGTGCCAAAGCAGTTGAGTGGGCACATGTGGGGTAAGTCAATCTCATAGGTAAATTGGTACCAAGGTAAGGATTTTATATTAGTAACACCTTGGCCTGGTAGGAAGTCAGCAATTAGTGCTGCTCTCTGAGCGCAGGCCTCACTCCTGTCAGCAATCATGCTGCAGCATTCTGTACCAACTGCAACTTCTGGGGCAAGTGTGACAGAAGCGCCACAGAGTACATTACAGTAATCCAGTCTCGAATGCATGAACAACTGTGGCAAGGCTTTCGTGGTCCAGGAATGGCTGTAGCTGTTGAACCAGCTGCAGTTGGTATAAAGCAGTTCTAGCCACTGAGGCTACCTAATAAAAACATTTATGGATATCCGAGGGAGTACTTAGACACCACACCCAGCAGACACAAAGTCACCTCAACATGGTCTTTCTTATTATTTTGAGATATTTCTTCTTCCGTAACCATAACCTCTAACCAACAGTAGGTTAGAACATAGTGGTGTTAACACCAAGGTTGCAGGTTCAATCCCTGAATGGGGCAGCTGCACATTCCTGCATTGCAGCGGATTGGACTAGAATGATCCTCAGGATCCCTTCCAACTATACAATTCTATGATATAGTATTTATATCTAAATTTGCATTTATACTAATGAATTAACATATGCAGCTATGTGCCCTTCCCTTTTCCCTGTTTTTTGTGTGCGCACATTTTTTCTTTGTTAGTGATGCTTTAGTTATCCTAGCACAACGATACATATTACACACACACGTATATCTATCTATCTATATCTATCTATCTATCTATCTATCTATCTATATTTATGCGTCTTAATGAGTAGCTGAAATGTGATGTGTAGTCCTTTTCACACGATGAGGTAAATGGCCCGATTTAGAAACTATCTTAATCCTGTAACCAGTTAGCCGTTACTGTCCCTTTAAAGGTGCAGGGAGTGTGATGGAGAAGATAGCTTCGTCGCTATCTGATGACATACACTGCCTTTGCACGAACTAGCAAGCCTAGATCTATGAGGGGGTGATGCCAAATCTGGCGGCCATGGGTTTCGTCACTCTCTAGTGACGTTCTTCCTTTAGCGACAAGCTGTTGCTAGGGCAGCCATGGACGCCACTAAGAGACCTATACATATCCCGCCTCAGATGGGGCTCTACGCGGAGAAACACCGCCTCCACCAAATTATGCAGGTGAGGGCATGCTTGGCGCAGGCGACTTGAAGGGAATAAACGGCCTGCAGAATATAAAACTTACAAGGGAGTTGTCCGAGCGGGAAGGGATATGTGAGAGTTCGATAATTCCCGGCAACCACCGAGGGAGGGGGAGCCTATTAGACTACAGTTCCCAGCATGCTCTAGGACAAAAGTGGGTGGACGTGCCACCTATGTTGGACTCCAGCTACCATCAGCCCCAGCTGGCATTGGTAATGGTGAGGGATAATGGGAGTTGTATTTCATTTCCCCCATTCCTGCTCTGGGAAAATGCAGTAGCTAGATTAGCATAGGGTATTTGTCCACCCTGCATTTATAGGTCAGAGTGAGCGCTGGTGATTTGCTCTTTCATTTTTATTTTATTGAAAAAGTATTACAAGCCTGAAGGTGGCGATGTGATTGTTATAAGCTGCACCCACAAAGGATCTTGGGAAGTGTAGTTTTCTCTTCACAGAGCTACAAGTCCAGCTATCCTTAATAAACTACACTTTCCAGGATTCTTTGGTAAGGGAGAAATAAGTTTTAAATATATTGTGTGGATCTGCCTATAATATCCATAAAATACAAAAAAGTTAGAGAAATATAATTCATCAAAATATTCAATATATAATAATAAATAATTGTACAGGCAACAGCCATTTCGCACAGTGGTTCCATTCCTAGCCCCAACACACGTCAGTGGAGTGCACATAAAAAGGTAAAGGACCCCTGGACAGTTAAGTCCAATCAAAGGCAACTGTGGGGTTGCGACGCACATCTTGCTTTCAGGCCGAGGGAGCCAGCGTTTGTCCATAGACAGTTTTCTGGGTCATGTGGCCAGCATGACTAAACCACTACTGGTGCACGGAGGACCGTGATGAGTGCCAGAGTGCACAGAAACGCTGTTTACCTTCCTGCCACAGCGGTACCTATTTATTTACTTGCACTGGCATGCTTTCGAACTGCTAGGTTGGCAGGAGCTGGGACAGAGCAACGGGAGCTCACCCCATTGTGGAGATTTGAACCGCCAACCTTCCGATCAGCAAGCCCAAGAGGCTCAGTGGTTTAGACCGCAGTGCCACCCTGCCCCTGTTCTTTCCTCTTCCAGGTCCAAAAAGACTCACATGTTGGTAATCGTTCATCATTTTGACATACCTAAAATGATTGCTGCCTATATATAAAGCAGAAGCATGCGATCTATTGTTAACTTGTGGCTCCCAGCCACAATAAGAAGAAAGGATAATGAACTTTGGTTAATGAACTGGAGTATCAGGGCAGTTATAATCCAGTGCTGGGAAACCTGTAGCCCTCCAGATTTTGCTCCCATCAATCCCACTCAATATGGCTGATGTTCAGGGATGATAGGAGTTGTAGTCTGACAATATTTGGAAGGCTACAGGTCCCCATTCCTGATCGAAGAAGTAGCACGCAATAGATGGAAGAAGCCCTTCATTTAGAAGAGTCATTCCCTCATGAGATGAGAGAATGCCTCTTCTTAGATCAGGGCAGAGAAACTGTTGACTCTCCATCCATTATTGCACTCCAACTCCCATCAGCCCCAACTAGCATGGCTGATAGTTAGGAATGGTGGGAGAGAGTCCAGTAACATCTGGAAGGCCAGAAGTTTCCCATTTATTCTTTCTTCCTTTCAAAGTTTACAGGCTAGATCTCTGGGGATGATAACCAATGATCCTGGTTTTATTGGCAACCTGGTGGTTTTAATAATAGAAAATAAAATGCAAAAAAACAACAACTCCCTAACTGCCTTACTGTCTTCATTTTGTTTGGAAATTGTAAACAACTTTCAAGAGAGGGACGTTAAAGTGACTGTGGGTGAATGTGGAGAGAATGCAGCCTTAAACCGAGGGATAATGACATTAGATTATATGCTTGCAGTGCCGTCTTTGCCAACAAATTTGTCAATAAAAAGCTCAACAGCTTTTCTGTTTGGATTTTCACTATTTGAAATATGACAACCCTACTGTTCCCCCTCTTGTTCCTTCCTTCTTCAGGCAACTGAATCCGAGCAGAGGGAGCAGCAGGGTGACCTGCAGAGTTGTGGCTAATTTGGCAAGGCCACAGTGGCCTCTGCTGGCTATCAGCCACAGTTGCAGGTATAGCCTTGGTGATGAGAATGAATAAGGGGCAGGCACTTACTATCTAAATCCAATCCACCTTTTTCCTGCCCAGTCAAGAAAACCAGATCCAGAGTGTGGATGGGCCAATGACATATTGGAACAGCAGCCCTGAAGCCCTGAACTTCCACCCCAATTTAATAGCCTTGGACAAGGATGTTGAAGTCTTCTAGAACCAAAAGACTGGGAGTCATCAGCACCCAGTGCTGTTTTTCTAGAAAAAGAGGTGCCGGGACTCACCACGAATGCCTCCCTTGCTCTCTTATAATGGTAATGTTGTGCACATGAGAGGTGCCAAAACTAAATTCTGATGAGTTCCAGCTGGAAAAAAGCCCTTCTACACTGCTTTGGAGATCACCTTTGTCAGTTCATGCAGGGAGACTGCTGGATAGTGAGGTGGATGGTAAATCAGCACCTAATCTGTCCTGATGACCCACTGTCAGGGACAAACACTCTAGATCTCTGCCCAACTGGACAGAGAGCTTGGAGAGAGAGATGGATTTTCTATATACCATAGCTGTTTGGAGGAGTATATTCTTTTGTATGTTCTTGTGACTTGTATGTGTTCTTTTTTAAAGGAATGTTTTAATCTTATAATACGTTTTATGTTTAAACTCCAGAAGTTGCTTGGAGACTTTTGTGTAAGAAATGTTTAATGTCTAATAAATACCAGTAGTAATATTGACTGCATACTCACTATTAGCATTTAATCACACACCTCCCCCCAAGAATCCTGGAAACTGCAATTTATCTCTCATAGAGCTACAAATCCCAGCACCTTTAACAAACTACAGTTCCAAAAATTCCTGGGCAGGGGAAGTCATGCACTTCAAATGTATGAAGTGTATGCAGACAGTAACAGTAATAATAATAGTAGTACAGTGGTACCTCAGGTTACATACGCTTCAGGTTACAGACTGCTAACCCAGAAATAGTACCTCGGGTTAAGAACTTTGCTTCAGGATGAGAACAGAAATCGTGCTCTGGCAGTGCAGTGGCAGTGGGAGGCCCCATTAGCTAAAGTGGTGCTTCAGGTTAAGAACAGTTTCAGGTTAAGAACGGACCTCCGGAATGAATTAAGTACTTAACCCGAGGTACCACTGTAATAATATTTCTTTTAATTTTGTTTTTAAAGGAAATGCTTCAAGGTTTGCTTATCCATAAACCGGAAGAGCCTTTAGACTTCTTGATCAAACAATTAAAACAAGACAACTATGATGGTGAGTAAAGGGAAGAAATCATTTTAGTTGGGGAACTGGGCAACTAGCAGCTCCTGAGCTGAATCCAGCCTATGAGAGGCAGCTCCTGCCCTACAAGTTGTTGACCTCAAGTCTGTCTTTCCCACCATCCTTTTTGTCTTATTGCCTACCCTATTCCTACACATTTTCTTCCTTTATGGCAGCCACCATAACGTTTTGATCAGTTTCTCTAGGATGCAGGACATCAAGACAGCTGATCAGCCACCAACTATATATTCTGGCCTCCTCCCAAAGTGCAGGCAGTCTCCCCCCCACTCACAATTTCTCTTCCTCCAGTATGGTCCTTCCAGCAGATCTCATCACCCCATGGCTGAGCAAAGCATAGAGGCACAAGTGGGAAGCCAAAATAACAGGGGCGTCTATCTCAGCTTTTAGTTCCCCACCTCCTCTATGTTTGGTTCAGCCCCAGGGTGATGGGATCTGCTGGTAAGGCCATATCATGGTGATGAAGGGGAAAGTGATGCCTTAGTTTCAAGGGGTTGCTTCATGTAGAGATTTGGCTGACGAGCCCTAATCAGTACCCAACAGTACCACTTTGCAGGTGCATAGTTAGCCCCGACACACGGAGCGGTGGGGGCGGGGTGATCTGCACATGGAGGCACTGCAGCGATCTGCGCATGGGGGCTCCAGGGCAATCTGCCCAGGGGGGCAGTATAGCGAGCTGCCCACGGAGTCCGCCTGGTGGACGCAAGCCCCACGCTGCCATTTCAGGCAGCGCGGGCCCCCGAACCACCGCATCACTCCCAGGAGAGATGCTTGGCTCAGGCCCCGCGATAAGTGCCACCCCCTGCGGTGTGCCGTTTTCTCACCCCCCTCAAGGATGACACCCGGGGTGGACCGCACTCCTGCACCCCCCCTTCCTATGCCCCTGCCACTTTGCATGGAAACCATAGTTAACATAACTCTAACACATAACACCAACATAACATAACATAACATAACATAACATAACATAACATAACATAAAACATAACATAACATAACATAACGTGAGCCTGCTGGATCAAGCCAATGCTTCATTTAGTCCCACATCCTGTTCTCACAGTGGTCAACCAGGTGTCAGTGGGAAGCACACAAGTAGGACCTAACCATCATCTGCACGATTGAGATGAAATTGATTAGGGATCGCATACCAAGAGGGCTATGCCTTTCACACCTAACAATTATTTTCCAGGAGCACCTAGGTACGGTGGTGGCTGATGCCTGTTTTGACTGAAAGGGCAGAAGGCAGGGAGTCCAAGCAGCAGGTGGCGTTAGAGCCAATGGGGGGGGGACTAATTACAGTTTTGTCCCCATCCTCCTCCCCGCTGAGTTCTACAATGGCCACACTGAAACCTGGGAGGAGGAGGAAGCTGACAGCCAGGGCCACCACTCCCTGGATTGGTTGTGAGTAAGAAGGCAGGCAGGCGGGGGCTGGCTGAGGGGTTGGTGGGGCAGCACCCCATTCAACCTGATTGAAAAGCCTTCCTAGATCAGGGTTTCCCAAACTTGGGTCTCCAGCTGTTTTTGGATTATAGTTCCCATCATCCCTAACCACTGAGCCTGCTAGCTTGGGGTGATGGGAGTAGTAGTCCAAAAACAATTTGTGACCTAAGTTTGGGAAACCCTGACCTAGATATTAAGAAACCCCACATTAAATACTCATAAAATAGCCATCAGTTTTGAACTTGAATACATATGTATATATCTATATATCTCTAAGACAAGTTAATTGATCCTTGCTGGAAATTGTGTCCCACTATTGTAATCTCATAGCTCCCCTGTCCTTAAACCTGAAATGGCAACTTTGAAAACAAGCCTAGCTTTGTACACAATGTACATGTTTGTCTGACGCTGGCAGCAGAAATCATGCCAGTGAATATGAGTGGAATTCGCTATGGTTTTTTTTCTTTTCTTTTTTGAGTCTGCAAAAATGTGATTTTCTGCATTATTTTTATGTTTCCTTTCCATTGAAATGCATAGAAATTAATTATGTAAATAATTGTGTTAGTTTCAGACATAATATAGTGAGACAAACAGGATTTAGCAGGAGCCAAACTGTAGCAGAATGTAAACAGTGCTGATTGTGGCAAGTACAGGACAGGACGGAAATCACTGCCTCCTTATGTTCCTACCCGTGGCCCACCATGTGCTAATTTCTAGGGTTTGTAAGATGCTTCAAGTTTCTTTTCCTGGGGAAAGCCAAAGAGAAAAGCGCATTAACAGATCCCTTTTAAAAAAACAACAAACCAAGATGCCTTTCCTGGGAATGGCAGGAGTTCTAGTGTATCCATTATTTATACTCTCTGTGCCTCCATCTGATAACTTCCTGATGTCATTAAGCTTGCTAATTACTCCTTTTGTCAAGTGAAAATTTGGCTTCTCAGCTCTGGCAGCTTTTGCCTGCCATTTATTTTTATTTTTAAATTACTTACTTACTTGCCACAGCTAATGACTTCCACAGCTCAACAGCTTCGCAGTCGGGGAAGCTGCAAGTGGGCTTCTTAACATGAGTGTGTGTTTGTGTGTAAGGCAGGCTGACGAATCGAACAGCCTGCGTTCCTGCCACAATGAAGAGCCGTGTACCCTCAATCAAAATTATTTGATTTACAAACTGTTCACCCTTAGGCGGATTAGATTTGGCTATGCACAACGGCACTCTAATTTTTCATTCCACATGAGCTGTCAAGGCGAGAATGGTGTCATGTTACTTTGATGTTTCTGTAACGGTTTACTCTGGGTTGTTGCTTTTTTAAAACACACACACCAGACATTCTGTTGTGTCACATCAATAAAATCTCTGTCACTAGAGACGTCTGGGGCTCTTTATGTTTTAGGGTTGAGATTCTTATCAAGGTGAATTTGTAGCTAAATATTTGGGGTTGGTGAGTGAGGGGAGAAAAAACAATTTTCATCCAGGAGCTGTTTCTAAATGTAGTTTGCGCCCATTCTGATCTGTTTAAGAGAGGGTTTTTTCGTTTTGTTTTTAAGTACACCATAGAAAAGGTTTCATGTAAACCTTTTGGCTCCTGAAGCAAGGGCATGATTCAACTGATGATAATGATTGCTAATTTGATTTAGGGCATAATCGCTCTGGCCCCCAGCCCACCCCATGGCATACCCTGCTCCCACGGTGTAGTAGGGTGTGCATGCACCTGCCCCAGGTGCCACCAGGGCTTCCAATGCTGCTGGTGAAATGTGACCCCTTTCACTCCTCCAATCTGCTCTGGATGGTTAGGGGAGCGATCAGAGAAGATTTTGGAAGGCACGGGGTGGGGGCAGTTTCCTGCTCATGCAATGCAAGCCTCTCTGGGGAGAGCATTCCACAAATGTCTTGTGTTTGAAACCCAGGGGATCCACTGTTAGTCAGTTTAGATGATGTTGCACTATGTAGACCAGTGAGTGATGCAGTATAAGGCAGCTTTTTTGGGGGAGAAATTCAAGATAGTGCTAAGGAGATTGCTCCAACATCCTGCTTGTCTGATGGAATGATCTTCCCTCTCCTCCCCTGTGCACTGTTCTGGAGTTTCTCCCAATCCCCCTGAGCCAATTTGGGGTGTAGGGGTGTGTTCAGGGATGGAGGAAAGCCCCACTGTGCTAGCAAAAGTTATTGTAGGAGCTCCTGTTAGTGGAACTAGTTACCTGAATCTAGCCCTGTCTTTTTAAATTCTTGAGCTGAACATCCTAAATGACCAAGCTACAGTTTGTTCCTTTTATTTTTCAGAGTGGGATTTGAAAGCAAAGCAAAAAGCTCTTGATTTTGAGTTTCTAGTAAAAGAGATTGTCTTTGGTTTAAAGGCAGCACTGCTGTCTGCTCAAGTTCAGAATATTCTTATTAAATAATGGAAGGAACAATGCTAAAAAGAGCTGTTGAGAAAAAAAGAAAGAATAACAGAGGAGGAATCTCTAGCAATCTTGGTTTCTTTGTGTGTAAATGTGTGTGTGTTTTAAACAAATTTCTTGATCACAGAAGAAGGTACTGACTGAAGAGAGGGAGAAGCATTACCTTATTAAAGTCATCAGGAAAGCTATGAATTTTCATGATCTCTCCTTCCAAGGCAGCTTTCGCCCCAGAGAAAAATTCAAACAGAGATGTGGAAGGAAAAGAAAAAGAGATTGTATTTTTCCCAGGTGTGAAGGCAGAAAAGCTTTTAATTAATAATTGGTTCTAAAGTACTCCTTTAAGTAGTGTGGCGTGGGCGCAATGACGCTATACACAAAGGTGCTGGTAATTTATAGCTCCAAACGATAACAGGCCTTGAGAAACTTTTTTTAAAAAATAAAAAATCTTTTATTAAGTACATTAGCTAGAATGTCCATCTATGTTTATACAATGAAGCATGCAAAGTTAAAAACAAATATTCTTTAAGCACAGCAGCCTAGCAAGGTCGCACAAAATAAACCATCAAGTAAGACAGAGATCCCATCTTTGTAGGGAAAGCAAGACTTGCTCTGCTTGGAGGAGGAACTCCCATTTAAAACTTCTGCTATTTCTAAACAGAGCCTGTCGGGCTCTTGAAACAAATTCCTGCTTTCTTCCGAAGCTCACAGGTACCAGGCACTGCCACTGTCCACCCTTTGGGCTCTAGAACTCAAAGTTCCCAAACTGAGATGAACGGTTGTTTGGTTTGGGCTGGGGTTTGTAGCCAGTCTGGTCATGTATCATCTGCTCCTAGCTCTTATGATCAGTATTGAGAGTCCCAGCGCACCCTCACCATCGCTGGCTCCTACCAGGTCCACCTCCTCGCGCTTCCTACGCCTCTCAAGTTCCTTGCGGGCGCCGTCAAACTCCTCAATGTCATCCAGCTTCAGTTGCAGCTGAACAATCACTCAGAAAAACCCAAGGACGATGGGGTTGTATCCAGTGTCTTCCTCAGAGTAGACCCATTAAAATGAATGGATATAACTAACTTGGGTCTGTTAATTTCAATTGGTCTTCTCTGAGTGAATTTAGTTGGATACAAACCAATAAAATTTTATTTTTATTTCTTAAATATATACATTGCTGTTAAAAAAAACCCTCAAAGCAGCTTACAAGTAACAAAACAATAAAACCATTAGTAAAAACAACTATTTAAACATTAAAAAAATAAAATCAGCAATAAACTGGAAACAGGTTAAAACATAGGATACGTGTCCTCTCTTCCTACTGGGTATTTTTGCTTTTTAAAGAAAGTGGCACTTGGAGACTTAGGGAAGTTAAAAAGGTAAAAGATTTTATTTTACAGCAAAATAGGCAAAAGAGAAGATGTGTCAGGGGACAGAATTATTTCAAGAAACAGTTACCGGTATCTAAACAGGCTTCTAAATAAGATGGTAAATGCACAGATTATTTTCACTTTGGTTCATAGCTGTGAACGTTTCCCTTTTTTAAAGGGAAATTCCCTTATTTCGCATAGGATTCCTCGCAAGAAAAGGGGAAAGTTGACAGCTATACTTTGGTTCATTAAACTAATTGCAGCGCTGTTTCAGTTTAGGTCATAAAACTAGGGTTCTGAAAATTTGACACTTTCTGTCAGTTTCTCCAACCTTTTACAAATCTCACCCCTGAGGCTCCTCTTTTGGTATACTAGCCCAGGGGATCAGCACACACTCCCCTCCTAACTGGTTTGGTATTACTCCTCTCTTCAGAAGGTCTTTCCCCTTTTTACTGAACTTGAGACCCAAGTAGAGTGTTTCCTCACAACTCCACTTCTCCTTTTTAAAATTGAACTTCCTGGTTCTCACTAGTCTATATACTCTTAAAAGACACCAGCCACCTTATTTTAATCTAACACCCAGCTCAGAGACTACCTTCTCTGGCTGTAGATACTATTCTCAGGGCAAACTGCACACAGTTCAGAGACTATACCATGGGTCAGCAAACTTTTTCAGCAGGGGCTGGTCCACTGTCCCTCAGACCTTGGGGGGAGGGGCGGACTATTTGTGGGGGGGAGTGAACGAATTCCTATGCCCCACAAATAACCCAGAGATGCATTTTAAATAAAAGGGCACATTCTACTCACGTAAAAACATGCTGATTCCTGGACTGTCCGCGGACCGGATTTAGAAGGCAATTGGGTTGGATCTGGCCCCCAGTCCTTAGTTTGCCTACCCATGGGCTATACTATCCAGCTGAAACGCCAGGAACCCAGACTCTCAACTGCTACAGTGGTGCCTCGCAAGACGAAATTAATTCGTTCCGCAAGTCTCTTCGTCTTGCGAGTTTTTCGTCTTGCGATGCACGGTTTCCCATAGGAATGCATGGAAAATCAATTAAGGCGTTCCTAGGGAAACCGCCTTCAGACCAGGTCCGGGGACAGTCTGTCCCCGGACCTCTTCTGAAGGCTGGGGGGGGGGCAAGGGCTTTTCTTCCCACCCCCAGCATTTTAAAAAACCCCGGGACCGCGGAGGACTTCTCCGCTGTCCGGGCGATCTTAAAATGCTGGCGGGCGGCATTTTAAAATCACCCCGGGACAGCGGAGGACTTCTCCGCTGTCCGGGGCAATTTAAAAGCCCCTGGGAAGGCAGGCAGGGGGACAAAGACTTTGCCCCCGCCAGCCTTCAGAAGAGGTCCTGGACCTCTTCTGAAGGCGGGCGGGGGCGAAAGTCTTTGCTCCCCGCCTTCAAAAGCCCTCCGGGACAGGCAGGCAGGGGGAGCAAAGACTCTCGCCCCCGCCCGCCTTCAGAAGGTCTTCCCTCCCCCGCCCGGCTCGGAGCACCGCCCGGCCGGGCGGCGGCGGGAGGTCTTCCCTCCCCCGCCCGGCTCGGAGCACCGCCCGAGCCGGGCGGCGGCGGGAGGTGTTCCTCCCCCGCCCGGCTCGGAGCACCGTTCCGGGCCGGGCGGCGGGGAGGTCTTCCTCCCCACCGCCCGGCTCGGAGCACCGCCCGGCCGGGCAGAGGCGGGAGGTCTCCCTCCCCCGCCCGGCTTCGGAGCACCGCCCGGCCGGGCGGCGGCGGCAGGTGTTCCCTCCCCCCGCCCGGCTTCGGAGCACCGCCCGAAGCCGGGCGGCGGGGGAGGTCTTCCTCCCCACCGCCCGGCTCGGAGCACCGCCCGGCCGGGCAGAGGCGGGAGGTCTTCCTCCCCCCGCCCGGCTTCGGAGCACCGCTCCGAGCCGGGCGGCGGCGGCAGGTGTCCCTCCCCGCCCGGCTCGGAGCACCGCTCCGGGCCGGGCGGCGGCGGCAGGTGTTCCCTCCCCGCCCGGCTCGGAGGAGCCTCCGGCCCGGCGGCGGCGGGAGGAGGTGTCCCCGCCCCGCCGCCAGGCTTCGGAGGAGGTCCGAGGACAGTGGGGAAGACGCGCTGCGCTTCCTCGCTGTCCCTAAGATTTCCCTATGGGCTGTCGTCTTGCGAAGCAAGCCCATAGGGAAATTGCTTATGAAGCGCCTCCAAAACGGAAAACCCTTTCGTCTAGCGGGTTTTCCGTCTTGCGAGGCGTTCGTCTTGCGGGGTACCACTGTATTCTTTTTCCAGTCACAAAGTTCTGTCTCCACCCACCTTCTGGCTAGCTGGACCTGCAGCCAGTCAGAGTGAGTCTTCAGCCCTGCACTCTGCGAGCTACACCTCTCTTGTGGGTATCACCATACTCTAGTCTACCTGAGTAGACCAGAATAATAAATAAAATCACTTATAAACTAAAAAACAGGTTAAACATACATAAACATGTCTGGGTAGGCTTCTCTAAACAAAAATATTTTAGCAGGCACCAAAAAGAGTAGTTAGGTCAGGCAGCAGGGAGTTCCAAAGTGTGAGGCAGCCTGAACAGGGGCTTGTAATTGTGGAGGTATACAGTCGTACCTCGGGATGCGAACGGGATCCGTTCCGGAGCCCCGTTTGCATCCTGAACAGAACGTAAGATGCGACTGCGCTTCTGTGCAAGTGCAAGGTGTGTTTTGCCGCTTCCGCGCATGCGTGTGATGTCATTTTGAGCATCTGCGCATGCGCGAGTGGCGAAACCTGGAAGTAACGCACTCCGTTACTTCCGGGTTGCCATGGAGCGCAACCCGAAAGTGCTCAACCTGAAGCACATTCAACCCGAGGTATGACTGTAGTTTGTTGAGGTTTCTGGTTATTTGAACCCCTAGGTACCTGAATTTGGTGTGGCAGTTTTTTTTTTGTTTTTTTTTGGATGTTGGTGAATTCCTTTTGGGTATGCGGAAGGGGGGGGCAGTGTTGAAGCACATAGCCTCAGATTTTGCAAAGTTTACGTGTAGGCCCAATAAAAGTTATTATGACTAATTATTATTTATTAGTATTTTGCCTTCCCCCCACAGAACCAGGACTCAAGGTGGCTTACAATTTATTTATTTATTTAAAAAAAATCGCAGAACGCTAAAAACATATAATGGTTAAAAAGTAAGCAACCTATAGCGGAATTAAAACAATATAAAATATATTAGTCTGAAATTAGGGTGGGTTGAAATAATTAAGAAACAGTGAAAGTTTTTTAAAAGCCCGGGAGAATAAAAGGGTCTTGGTCTTGTGCCAGAAAGAGTGCAGTTAGTGTTAGGAAGCCCTTATAGGGATGGTATTCTACATTCAGGTAGGGTTGGGCAAATTTGAAAATTGTGTCTTCTTTCAGTTTCTCAGTTTTCTGTTTTTAGGTTCAGCTAGTTACAGTTCCACATCAGTTTGTGGTGTTCTTTTTTAAAACTCTTTGTGGAAATTCATCTGTGTTTTGTGCAAATTTCTTCTAATACTAACATTTTTGTATGCAAAGTCCACCAATATATACATGATTGCAAAGCAATTTCCCCTAACAGAATGCATATATGACTTCCACAGATGTATGCTTTTTGTGCACACTTTACCAGGGCATGTACATTTTTTGGAATGCCACTGGGCTTGAGAACTGCACTGTAAAAATTAGGAGAAATGTAAACTCAGAAGGTTGTATGTCTGAGTTTTTTCAGAAAGTGAGAATTAAGCAAGTACATCTTTAAATGCGATCCAAATCAAATTTCATCCTTCATTCAATCCCCGTCCCCCTTTAGTAGTCATCCACCTCACTACATTTGGCAGCGGCATTCAGAAGGTACATTTTAGTGTTTGGATAGGAACTCACTTGCAGGTAAACTGACCCCTAGGGCTACTTTAAAGATTAATACTAGGAGTTTGAATTGGACCCAGGAGAAACAGCAGAAACTGTAGCACTAATCTGAATGTAAATTAGCTGTGAACAAAATTAAGATGATGATGATGATGATTATCAAAGCTGAATCTTAATCTCAGAAAAATGAATGAAGTGCAGAGAAGCAGAATCAGGTAGTGCTTGGATAACTGAACATGGATTGCTTATTCAACAAAGTCACACCTTGTTAGATAACAGAAATTTTGGAAGCCAAATCCTTGACAGCCTTCTGTGTTAAAATTTCCATCTTGGAAATGTATAACACTGGCATTTTAGCAGCTGCTTGGGGGGTAGGGGTGGTGGTCATGCCATAGCCCTAGTCCAAGAAGGAGTTAAGTACACAAAAATCAGTGGGATTCAGCTGGCATAACTCTCTGTTGAATGGTGGGCTGTTGACTGTATAAAGGGATCGGTGTGCAGACCAGAAGGGTTAAACAGTCCATTACAAAGTTGCCCTAGAAACACTCTGCCACCCGTGTGGTACGTTTAGGGACTGAGCCCCAGATGATTTTTACCGGTGTGCAGATGAGTAAATCGGCACATTTCTGCATTGGCACGTCTTCTGCCAGCTCCTATGCAGAAGGAAAAGCAGATTTAGTACAAAGTGAGCATTTACAGTAGCCCTGGGCAATATTAAAGCGTGATACGGTGTGTATAATGGTACGTTTCCTTTTTCTCCCCCCTCCTATCAAACGTTTGTCCAAAAAGCTGTGTATTAAAGCTTCAGTACCTCAGGGTTTTCTTGTGAATTTTAAATCGTGCTCCTTACTTAAACCTCAAAAGGATCTGTAGATAGAAAGGTTCGTGATATTATATATATATATATATATATATATATATATATATATATATATATATATTGCTTTGAAGCGGGTTGAAGAAGTGGATTAGTGTTGGCACCACAGCACATTTCAGTGGCTCTGTTTATAAATAATTCCTCACTTACCAGGCTGGAGTTTCAAGGTGTTAAGATTTTTTTTTTTTTAAAGGGGGATGGAGGAGAAAAAAGCCACACAGGTTTTAATCACATTATTTTTTTTGAAAGAAATTAGGTGACAAAAACAGCTTGATGTAGCCTTTTAAAGCATTCTTTTCCTGATAATGTATAGCCTTTTCTTGGTGCTCTTACAAGAGCCAGTAAGAGCCCTTCCTTTAAACCTCCCAAGTCAAAGAACTTTGTAAAGATGAATTTGTAATTTGGGGGGTTCATGCATGATTTAAAATTTTCCACTGCTCAACTCCATACTGGAAAGCGGATGCAAAGCTTTGGGGTGGACGGTGGGGTGGGGAATACACTTCTCTCTTTCCCTCGGCTCTCTTGCCAAGATCAGAGAGCATCGCTCCCTTTTGGATAGCAAGATCCAGCGAGGCTTGTCATTTTTTATTTTGGCCGGCTGGAATCTTCGACTGAAATTATCTCCACAGGTACCTTTGGAAAAGATGTGAGGGGTAGAAGGGAGCAGGCTTCCAAGAAAATGCACTGGGAGACTAGCCATCACAGTGCTTGTATATAACATGGCAGTGGGTGTGTGGGTGGGGGCAAAGGGGCAACAGATCACAACCTCAAAGGGCATCGTGAAAATGGCAGGTGTCCAAATTTCAGATTTTAAACAAAGCTGAAAGATTTCAGGAACAGAGGGCAACAGAGTGAGGTTCAAAGGATATATTTGCTTGTGGATCTAATTAAGATTCAGTTGCAAACAAAATCTCCAAAGCAAGCAGGATTTAAAAAAAGTATTTAAGGTTGTTATTTTCTGTCTGTTTTATACCTGCCATATAATGCTTGTTCTGTACTTGCAATAAATTGGTCCTTTGGTGTAAAAGCACCTACACTTTGGAACTTCCTGCCCATTTATGTTATTACCTAACATCAATACATCTTCACTGTATTGTTTCCTGTGGTGCCAAACTCCTTTTTGTTCCAACAAGCTTACCCAGGCATGTAACTTTAACATGTCATATTGATAGATAGTTTTGGCTGGTTGCTTGGCTGGCATCTGTTTGTCTCAGGAGACAATGGAAAAATGTGCCTTTGAGGGTGAAGCCAAACCATTGGAGGGTTACAGCTCCTGCTGTGGTGGTAGAGACCGAAATGGAAGAGACATGTTTTGCTGCAGCTGGGGCAGATGATGGCATCTGGCTGTGCTGATACAGGTGTACCATGGCATTTCTTCTTTCTGCGCTCCTCCCAGTGGTCATTCCTCCTTTAGTCACTGCTATGGATATACAACCTTACTGTCTCCAGGCATTGCGGTCATCTGCAAGGGATTCCCAAATGGAGGGGATGATGTTGCCAGCCTTCATGTCATGTTTACAGACATCTTTGTAACATAGAGTTGGTCTGCTAACAGGCCTGGTGTCTGAAGCCAGCTCCCCGTAGAGCACGTCCTTGGGGATCCTGCCATCTTCCATTCTGTAGACATGACCAACCCAACGTAGATGTCTCTGAGACAGGAGTGCGAACATGCTGAGAATGTGGGCTTGGGAGAGCACGTCTTCATTTGAGACTCTGTCCTGCCATGTGATGCCCAAAATCTTCCTGACGCAGCACTTAAGGAAGGCATTGAGGCTTTGCTTCTGGCAGGTGTAAGTTGCCCACGACTCACTTCCATAAAGCAGTGTGATGCAGCACATCTTGGCATTGGTCGTTAGCATCACATTTTCCCATACTGTTTTGGAGAGGTGAGCCATTGTCATAGCTGCCTTGCCAGTATACTTGTCGAATATACCAGGTTGGGGAAGGCTGCATTAAAACAAAGCATCAAAGGAGATATTAAAAGAGTAAAGTTTAAATGGGTGTGTTGAAACAAAAATGGTTTTTGTCTTTCCATAACCAAGCCCTGTGTCTTGCACTCAGGGAATTTGGAAAGACTGACTTATACCAATAGTTACTCAGCCCATTGAGTTGTACCCCAAGATATCTGTGTTTTCAAAGAATCGTCACAGGTGGGCTGAAATACCATAAGAACATTAGACAAGCCTGCTGGATCACACCAAAGGCCCATCTAGTTCTGCATCTTGTTCTCAGAGTGGCAGACAAGATGCCCCAGTGGGAAACCCACAAGCAGGGTCTGAGCACAGAGACCATTCTCCTGACTTGCAATTCCTAGCAGCTCTGATCCAGAGGCCGCTGACACCCCATCCCACACCTCCTGAAAATGGGCATGTACACACTAGATCAGGCATAGGCAAACTTGGCCCTCCAAATGATTTGGGACTACAACTCCCATCATCCTTAGCTAACAGGACCAGTGGTCAGGAATGATGGGAGTTGTAGTCGCAAAACAGCTGGAGGGCTGAGTTTGCCTATGCCTGCACTAGATATTTAAAGTGCATTATTTCCCTCAAAGATTTCCCTTCGCAGAGTTACAATCCTCAGCAAATCTTAACATACTAAAGTGCCCAGAATTCTTTGAGGGGAAAGAATGCGTTTCAAATGTGCTTTAAAGGCCTAGTGTGTACACAGCCTTAATCTCAGCCAAGAACTTTCCCCAAGGCTTCCTGCCCCCTACACTCTCAACCCTTTGTTTCCCCTTTATGTCCACCTCCCCCTGCTTTCGCTAGACCATCCTTTCTGGTAATCCACCTCAACTTGATTGCCGTTTCCCAGCACCTGGGTCTCCTCTCTCCCATATTTTAATCATTAAAAGCCCGCAACGGTGCTCGAGATGGAAGGGCACATTAAAACCCCGCACACGTCCGCGTAACGAAGAAGATGCGGGGACATATGTGTCGAGGGGGAAGGCGGCTGGCGCGCCATCCCTTTCTTCTTCTTCAGCTCCCTTTGCCTTTAATCTTGCTCTGAAACCAAAAGAAGGTTGTGCCACGGACAACCATGGACTCGAGGAATGAACAAGAAAAGAGCAGGGAGGAATCTGATATTAATGCTGTCCAGGGGGAGAGCGAGTGAGCAGCGAGACAAAAGGACTGAGGAGGGTGAAAACACACATGGAGTAACTTGTTTTTTCTCTCTCTAGCGGCTGAAGGGGGTGGTGGAGTTTTTGCCATCTTGCTCCAGAAGAAACCTGGGAAACGTACTGCATGTCTCATCTTCCCCAGCTCTGCCCAGGAGGTAGCTAGTCTCTGGGTCAAGGAGACGTGAGGGGAAAGTGAAATGAAAACTATCTTCTTTATAAACTAGCAAAATACCTGCCATGGTGCTGCTCAGATGTCACACACATCTAGGAGGGGTGTGGTAGGTCTGTTCTCTTGACACAGAGAGTACATTGCACACACACACCCCAGCGTGCACACACCCTGCCCCTCAACTCCAGATCTTTGTTGGTCGAGCCGGGACTGGCCAGGATGAGGCCTTGGAAGGCCCACTTCTTCTTAGAACACTGTTACATATTCCTTTTTATTTTTTCTACCTTGGGAACTAGTTGCAGCCATTAATTTTTGGACTTTTTTTTTTTTTTTTAAAGAAATGATATGCCTTAATACACCAAGCAAGGTAACTTTAACAAAAATCAATCATGGCTTTAATTAAAAGATAAATAAATCCATAGTCCACACTCCTGTTAAGCAAATAGTGTCCCGATTAAAAACCATGCAAGAGCATAAAACTAATAAGAGCACAGGACAAATAGCAATACATCAAGCCCTCAAATTGTGCTTGCTTTACTTATATGATCATAACCTTATGTCAGGCTGGGGTGGGGAATATATAAATAAATGGAGAGCCAGGTCCATCTCTGCTCTCCATTTATTTATTTTCCCTGCACTGTGCACCCACTAGGTTTTGCAGGAGGACTCTGGCACTAGCATTCCAGGGTCCTTGCGGCACCTTCCCAAAGCTAGGTAAGTGAGGCACAGGGCTTTGGGAAGGTTTCAGGACTCTCCCACAACCTTTCCAGACCCTGGTAAGCTGCTCTCCATCTTGCAGGGGTGGGAGGCAGTTCCAGGGGTTCCTGCCTCTGTGCGTGGACTCCTAAAACCGAACCCTTGCGGAAGTGGTGGGCCCACTGTAATCAAAACAGCCATGATCAGTCACTGTTTAAAAGCACTGGAAGTGGGGGCAGTCACTCCAAATTGCAGGCAACATGACTGATCCAGTCTCTGCCCCCTGAATTTGGAGCATGTAGAGGACTCTTAAATTCTGGATCTTAAATTCTAAGTGGGTGCATTTCTCAGAAGGTGTCCCAGGTGTTCAGGGCTTTGAAAGCCAGAAAAGTCAGAACCAGCACCCAGAGACACACAGGCAACCCGAGTGCACTCAACAGGTAGTCCTTAGGCTGCAGGTCTCCTGAAGTAGTGGGGAGGTCCCATATATGTTTTGGAATAGCAGCTGAACCTGTCGTTTACCCTGGGCCATTAGGTCCTCCCCACTCTGCTTGAGATTGTAGCCTATCTCCTCAGAACAGTGACAAAAGCTTGCTTTTCTTAATACGATCTGTTGTTTACCACCTTGAGATATTATTGGACTATAACTCTCATTGTTCCCGGCCATTGGTCATGTAGGTTGGAGCTGATTGGAACTAGGTCTAGCAGCATCTGGAGGGGCACCATGTTGCCCATCCTATGTAAAATAGCGGCATTCCTTCCCCACAGTTACTAGCTGACCACTAGTCCAAACTTGAGGTCTTCATGCTAAGGGAGTGAATTGCTGGCATTTCGAGTTAATCCCTGCTGGAGGAGCCTACTTTACTCTTGATTACCAAAATTATAAGAAAAGAGATTCTGACTAAACATTAGGAAAAAAATTCTGATGGTAGGAGCTGTTTGATAGTGAAATGGACTACTTGGGAAGGTTGTGGACTCTTGTTCACTGGAGGTTTTTAAACAGAAGTTGGATGGCAATGTGTCAGGGATTATTTAGCTGTGATTCTTACATTGCAGGGTTTGGAATAGATACTCTTGGGGTCCTTTCCAATTTTACGATTCTATGTATATAATCACACTGAGACTCTTTGAGTTTGGATGGGAGGAAAGCTATGTTCATTGAACAAAATGCATGATTGATTGGAAAGGTCTTCGTTCTATCTAAGGTGGAGAATGCATGGATGGTGAGAGAATCAAAAAGGTGTCTCCTCTCACCGGGGAGGCATGGAGAAGATGGAAGAGAAATTGGGTATCAGTCTAGCACTGGATAAAGTTCAATAGGTCAACATAAAAAGGACAGTCTGGGAAGGGGAATAAGCCTACAGTGCACCCCAGCATTTCCAACATTTAAACATATGCTAATAAAAGGAACTGGAATGGCAATGGATATTGCAGTTATCTTCGGGAAATTACAAGGATTCTTAACAGCTACAATGTTGTGACATTCATGTGTTTTTTATTTCATCTACAGTTCCAAAGATCTGTATTCTTGGACCTCCTGCTTCTGGGAAAACAACTATTGTAAGTAGATTTTTGTGTATGCATGGAAATGTTCTTAATGGATAGCAGATGTAGGACTCATTGTCTTTATTAAAGTCTATATTAATACTTAGCATTTTTCTGGACCTGGACAAAAAGCTCCAATATAGTTAAATTGTGGAATTTACTCCCATGAGATGTGGGTGACGGCCACCAACTTGGATGGCTTTTAAATTATACAAATGGAGGATAAGCCATGATTGCTATGTTCTGCCCTGCACTATCGGAGGCAGTATGCCTCTGAAAAAGCAGTTGCTGGGAATCACAAGTGGGTAGAGTTGCTGTGCTCAGGTCCTGTTTGCTGGCTTCCCATTGGGGCAACTGGCCAGCCACTGTGAGAACAGGATGCTGGACTAGATGGGCCACTGGCCTGCACCAACAGGCTTGCCTTATATTATTACGGTGCTTCAGACTACCTGTGATGATTCTGTGAAAACACAGACATCTTGGCCTATGCTTTGACATTTTGAGTAACAATTGGTATATATCAGTCTTTCCAAAGTTCCTTGAGTGCCTGTGATATGGCAGTTGGTCCCAAGAGTCAGGAAACTCCCTGTTCAAACCTTTCGTCTCTTCCAGATTCTCAAAAGTAGCCTTAGACAAGAAGCCACTGTATACTTTCAGGCTCTCTTCAGCCCACATCTTTGTAGCTATTCTGTTCTACCTCACAGCGGGGTTGTGCAATGTATAGGAAAGTGTTGGAAAACTTTGAAGCTGCGGTCCTCTACCTACCTGTCTAGGTATAGGATTGCAAAGTCAAGCCCTTCATAAACATAAAGTAGTATGATTAACACAGGCCTGTCCTTGCACTAAATCATTGCTCTCTCCTACTCTGCCTAAGGCTGAATCCTTTAAACTCTTTACAGATTAATTTTAATTTCAATAAATGTATTTATTGATTAATTACCCTTCATCGGAACGAAACAGGTTAAGTAAGATTCCCTGTGTGTGTATAGGTTTTGCTGCTTATTTTTTCATTCCCTAGCAGTGTTTGAGAAAATCCAGGCATTGGGCTCTTCCAGAGGGAGGGGGCAGAAGGAGCACAGGTTTTAAAGTGACATCGTAAATGAAAACGTTCCAGATCTCCATTGTGCTGAATTTCAAAATGGTCACTATATTCCTTTTAAAAGTGACAGATAACATATTTGCTGTTCCCCCCTCTCCTGTTACAGATGGTGCTTTCTTTTTCTACTTTCCACTTAAGCGTTACGAATTTTGCACACTCCGATGGAAAAACTGTGAAAATGCTGGTGTTATTTGTTTTTAAATTTTCTTCAAATTCACTTTCATTTCCTTTGGGAAGATACAGCTCTCTCTTATTCCTTCTCTCTCTCCCACCCCAAACACCTGCTTTTCCCTCCAGGCAATGTGGCTTTGTAAACAACTGGGAACTGCACGGATTTCTCCGGAGACTCTGTTAACCAGTGCGTGGTCAAACCTCACAGACAAAGTACAGGAGTATCAAGACACAAAACAGGTGCGTGGGCAGAGGTAACGATGCTATCTCTGCATGGAAGGGAAAGATAAGTTGTGGCATTTGCCGTTTTATTTTTCTGCAGACACAAACGAGCAATCCAATTATCGCACCTTGTTTTGTATCTGTGGTGATTTCAGAACAGACTTGTGAATTTGTGGCAGTGGGCTCCCTCCATTCTAGGGATGAAATAGCAAAGGGAGCTTTGCCATCCTCAGCTGAGAATAAATATTGAACTTTTCTGAATTCACAATCTACCCTATGCCATAGTTGTTACTAAAAACAAGGTATTAAAAACTCCTCCAGGTGGATAGAAATTCATGAGCACAGTGTGTCTGAATGTAATGCAGTCCATAGCTGCGCTGTTGGAGAATTCTTTTGGAAATGGGAGCAGAAATCATGACAGTTTGCATGCTTGACCAAGGTCAGGAACAGAAATCACACAAGCAAATATGAGCAGCATTCACTATTGTTGGTTTTTTCAGTCTGTGCCATTTTGTGCACCATTTTTGACATTTCCTTTCCACTGAAATTAATTACAGTACATAATAACATTAGTTTCGGCCCAAAACAAATGAATAACCCGAGTTTTAGTGTAAACAGAGCGGAAACAGCACTGGTTCTGATGAAAGCAGGATGGGACAAAAATTGGTGCCTTCTTACACCCCTATTCACAACTTTCTTTTTTAAGGATGGGGGAGGTTAGGGTAGGGAGAGTATCCTACTTATCTCCCCACCCACCTGTTTGGACCATCCTGCAACCAGGTAGGGACTTTTTTCTTAGGTAAAGGGACCCCTGACCATTAGGTCCAGTCATGGCCAACACTGGGGTTGCGGTGCTCATCTCGCTTTATTGGCCGAGGGAGCTGGCGTACAGCTTCCGGGTCATGTGGCCAGCATGACTAAGCCGCTTCTGGCGAACCAGAGCAGTGCACGGAAACGCCCTTTGCCTTCCCGCCGGAGCGGTACCCGGTACCTATTTATCTACTTGCACTTTGACGTGCTTTTGAACTGCTAGGTTGGCAGGAGCAGGAACCGAGCAACGGGAGCTCACTCCGTCGCGGGGATTCGAACCGCCGACCTTCTGATCGGCAAGTCCTAGGCTCTGTGGTTTAACCCACAGCACCACCCGCGTCCCTCTTCTTAGAGGAAGACCCTATTGTCAGTTCCTAGCATATTTAGAAATGAAGTGAACAGAGCAGACCTTGACAAGCACTCCAAAGATCTTCTCCTCTGAAAGATGCCTCACCTGGTTTGGTCTCCTGCAGAGTCAGTGCCAAGGAGGGTAGTCCTGGGAAGACACAGTCCAAAATCAGTAGCCTTGAGCCTGTAGAATAGGGCATGGGAAACCCTTTTCAGCCATGGGCAAGGCCACATGATAGGCAGGGCCAGAGGCATAAGTGGCAGAGCAAGGGATGTAAATTTCACCTTCATACAATAGGCTAGTTTCTACACACACGTTCACGCTTGCCCCTCTGCGTTGTCCATCCAGACAAGCAGGCCACATTATCAGAGTTTAAAGATCCAACCAAGCAGGAACACTCAAGGAGGGTGCAAAGTAAGGCCCGTGAGTGTTGCTGCTTGAGGGGAATTCTGAAGCCTGGAGAGCCTGAGGTGTCTCACTCCTGTTGTAGAGTCCAGGGATCAGACCCTAATTGTTTATATTCTCTCTCTTCTCTCTCCCTCTTCTGACACACCACATTCTACAATCATTCCTGGAACTGAAAGTTACACAGATTAAAAGGTACACAGCATGATGACATCCATCTGTGATCTCTGGCCTTGGGGAGGAATGGTGAGCCCATGTTCACTGATTAGGGTCCTACGGATGCTCCAGGAAGAACAGGACCAGGAATAAAGTCTGACTGTTGCTTGTGCAACTCTTCCTCTTCTGTCTCTCCTAGTCTTTTTCTTCACTTCTCACACTTCAGTTAGACAGCTCCCCTGCTGCACTAGCAGAAGTCTTGCTACAGACCCTCTCTTTTCCCCTTCCTTCCTTTCTCTAATTTAAAAGAGGCGAACTTAGTTTTATATATTCCCTAGCAGTGTACCTAGCATTTTTCCCGGGGATTCTAAGATAGCAAAGAATCAGTACAGCTTTGAATCTGAGGTTAAAATCAGTGCAGTTTTGAAAGATTCAGTCCGCCATCTTGATTCAAAATGGAATCCAGTTGTATTCAGACATAGACAAAAGTCTGCTCTTTGATCTCAGGAACCACCATGCATAATTGGTTATGATATCTTCAGAGGTGTCCAAACACATAGCAAATGAGCATCTTTTGAAAATATAGATATACATTTGCAAACATTTATGTACTGTGAATGCCATGGCAGTGAACGGAATAAAACTGCATTCATAAAACAAATGCGGAAATAAATCCTAAACTTTGTTCATTTTGTCAAAGATTATTTTTATTCAGTTGTGCAAGAAAACCCCCCACCATTGATTTGGAGGGAGAAAAATAGAAAGGAACACAGCCTCACGCACAAAAATCCCCTTTGGTTTAATTACTCTCATTATTAGCATACTTCAGGCTAATCAGCAGCACTTTCAAGGGGGCCCTGTAGGGTTTCCTTGATTATTATGGGGTGGGACATGAAAGTCAAGGAGATCTGGCAAGGAATCAGGCTGTATGGGGAGGGGAAGAAAGAGAGGGAAGTGGTGAAATCAGTGCAGTGCTTTACATGCTCTTTCGAGTTGGCAGGGTGTTTGCATAGGAAGATGTTTTTGGTTAAAAAGAAAACAAGTGTATTTTCTTTTTTTTAATGCAAGGTTAGCCTCAGGAGCCAGAGAGTAACCATGGTGGATAGGGACCACTGAGACTGGTGGAGCAGAAGGCAAAGAGGTCCTCAGGAAGTGGAGCCCATTTAGTTCAGCATTGTGTTCCTGTAGTAAACCAGCAATTAGGATTCTAGCACAAGAGCACTCTCCCCTCCTGTGGTTTTCAGTTCAGAAGCATTACTGCCTCCAACTGTGGAGGCAGAGCATAGCCATCTTGGTTAGTGGCCATCAATAGTCCTCTCCTTCATGGATTTTTCTCACCCGGTTTTAAAGCCATCCACTTGGTGACCATCAATGCAGGGCTGGCCCAATAGATTTTGGCACCTGAAGCAAACCTCAAAATAGGGCGGGAGGCCCTCCTTGCTGGGGAAGGTGGGGTGAATGAAGATCAACATCAGGAACAATGGGTGGGGGGAGGACAGGAAAGAAAGATTGACATCAGAATCTGCTGCCCCTAGGAATCGTGCTGCCTGAAGCAGTTGCCCCTTCTGACCTCATGGGTGGACCGGTCCTACATCCCTGCCTCTTTTGGGAGTGAGTTCCATAGTTTATGCGCTGCATGAGGAAGTACTGTCTTTTATCTGTCCTGAATCTTCCAACATTCAGCTTCATTTGATGTCCACGAGTTCTAGTGTTATGAGAGAGGGAGATATTTTCTTCTCTATGCACTTTCTCCATGCCATGCATAATTTTATAAACTTATATCATGATGGGCACTCCAGGCAGGAGAGGATTCTTCTTTTGTCCATCATTGGGGAATCTGCAAATATTTAAGCTGAAAGTTCATTGAGTGATTTTTGCCTAGTCAGCTCCTGGCCACTGCTTATCACCCTGCCACCGTTAGAAGAGGAAGGAGCCAAATAGGTTTAAGTGGCAAGAGGGCTCAAAGATGCTAACCATATGGGAGGGGAGACGGCAGGAGCTAACTGAAGAGGGGCCTTCCATCTTGCAGGGCAAAAAGTCTGGGGCTGGCTCTATAAATGGAAAATGGAGGGAAATTGAGTCTGTGCCAAGCACCTGTATCAGACCCTGTGTTGCTGAGGACAAAGTACTGTGGCTCTGTGGCAGAGCACATTCTTTGCATGTAGAAGTTTTCAGGTTTTATCCCTGGCATTTCTAGGGGGAAGCTCTGTCCAAAACCCTGAAGAGTGGCTGCCAGTCAGTGTAGACAGTACTGAGTTAGGTAGACCACAGTGGTCTGGCATTCTATAAGACAACTTCTTTTGTTACTGAGGTGATATATAGCAGGAAAGGGCTGTAGCTCAATGGCAGAGCACCTGCACTGCAGGCAGAAGGTCCCAGGTTTAATCCCTGTTGTCTCCAGGTACAGCTGGGAATGTCTCTTGAATGAAGCCTACTGAGCTGCTGCCAGTCAGTGCTGACAATATTGGAAGAGTTTGACCAGGAGTCTGTTGTGGTATAAGGCCGCTTCCAGTGCTCCTGACTCAGCTCAGTGGTAGTATGCAGAACTTGAGTCAGAACAAAAAGCACTTAGAAGCCAAAGCTGGATCTGGGCCTTTGCAATTTGAAAGAGCGGCTTTGCTCAGCAGCCCCTTTGCATTGTCTCTAAATGCCCCCTTGACTATTCCCACCCCCCAAACTCGGGTCAACAGAGGTGCTCTGTAGATTGCTCAGATTGCAAGGCTGCTAAAGGAACCCGTAGAGGACTCCAGTTTAAATTGGCTCCTCAAGCCTTAGCCAGGTGGACCCCCTGGCAGCCCACTAGCCTCTCTTGAAATGACACATCAAAGAGGGAAGTGGGAGTCTAGCTGTTTCTGAGAGCAGCATGAAGCACCTTTGTAAAATGACAGCCTCAAAGCTGCCAGTCCCAGCTCCAGCCGCGAGAGGCTGCATGAGGCTTTGACGCATCTCCCTGCGGGACCCACAGACTTGCAAGGAACACGTTTTATTTCCTTTTGCTCTTCTTTCCCCCTCACCTGTGTGTGCATGAATGCGCCTGCTTTTGAGTGGGATGGAGCTCAGGAGATGTTTGAGAAAAGACCTAAGTGGGTCATTTTGTTGCTCCCTTGCCTGCCTGTCATCAATTTGCCGTTAGAATAATAGAATAATAGAATTGTAGAGTTGGAAGGAACTCTGAGGGTCATCTAGTTCAACCCCCTGCAATGCAGGAATCTCAGCTAAAGCATCCATGACAGGTGGACATCCAACCTCTGTTTAACAACCTCCAATGAAACAGAGTCCACCACCTTCCAAGGGAGACTATTCCACTGTTGAACAGCTCTTGCCATCAGAAAATTCTTCCTGATGTTGCACTGAAATCTCCTTTCTTGTAATTTGAAGCCATTGGTTCAGGTCCTACCCTCCAGAACAGGAGAAAACAAGTTTGCCCCGTAATCCACATGACAGCCTTTTAGATATTTGAAAATAGCTACCATATCTCCTCTCAGTCTCCTCTTTCTGGGTTAAACATACCCAACTTCCTCAACCGTTCCTCATAAGGCTTTGTTTCCAGACTGTTATTCATCTTGGTTGCTCTCCACTGCACACATTCTTCTCAGGCCCTTCTTCGTGTGTCTCATCCACAAGGTCCGGAAGGTGGCAACATGAGTATGGGCCTTTTCTTCAGTGGAATGCTCTCCTCAGGGAGGCTCAGCTGACGCCTTCATTATACTCCTTTAGGTGCCTGCCGGGTGAAAACTTTCCTCTATAACAAGGCCTTTTGACATGGATAGGCAAACTAATGCCCGGGGGCTGGATCCGGCCCAATTGCCTTCTAAATCCAGCCCCTGGACAGTCTGTGAATCAGCTTGTTTTTACATAGTAGAATGTGTCCTTTTATTTAAAATGCATCTCTGGGATATTTGTGGGGCCTGCCTGGTGTTTTTACATGAGCAGAAAGTGTGCTTTTATTTAAAATGCATCTCTGGGTTATTTGTGGGGTATAGGAATTCGTTCATCCCCCCCCCCCCCCAAAAAAAATATAGTCCGGTCTGAGGGACAGTGGACCGGCCCGCTGCTGAAAAAGTTTGCTGACCCCTGCCTTTTGACATGCCCTTTTAAAACATGTTGTGGAAGGGGATATTACTGGGCTGTCTTTGTTTTTGTTCTTATTATGTATTTTCTGTTGAATAAAAAAATAACAATAATTTGTTGATAGCCTCCATTAATTGTGGCATTTGTTTTCTTAAAACCAGTCATGGAGTAGGGGCCTAAGCTGTCAGCTTCCTCCTCCTCAACCTCTGTGTTCCTCTTATTGAACTAAGCAGGAAAGAGGATGGGGTCAAAACTGGAATTAGGCCACATTCTCACCATGCATTTAAAGCCATCTGGTGTTGCTTTCTACAATCATAGCTTCCCCTCAAAAAATTCTGGGAGCTGGAGTTTGTTAAGGGTGCAGAGAGATGTTGGGGGTCACCCTTGTTTTCCCTCTTATTTTTTCCCCCCAAAGATATTTATTAAGATTTTCAAAATATTACAAAAGAAAAAAGAAAAATACAAAATAAAAATAGTTAAAAACTATTCAGTTTTTCAATCACTTATCTTTCATTTGCTTATTTCCCGGACCTCCTCACACCTCCCTTTTCTGTATTCCAATTCAGTTTGTTAGTTCAGCAAATCCCTCCCTCTTTGTTTATCCTAATCTTCAATCCTAAAGTATTGTAACATTAGATTTTTACCTATTAATAGTCCATTTTTTCATATTCCCTTATAACATTACAGCTAGAAACCACTTAGTTTCTATCCAACATCATTCTAGCATTCATTAATTTTACAGTATTTCTGTAAATAGTCTTTAAACTTTTTCCAATCTTCTTCCACCGACTCTTCTCCCTGGTCTCGGATTCTGCCAGTCATTTCTGCCAGTTCCATATAGTCCATCATCTTCATCTGCCATTCTTCCAAGGTGGGTAGATCTTGTGTCTTCCAATACTTTGCAATAAGTATTCTTGCTGCTGTTGTGGCATACATAAAGAAAGTCCTATCCTTCTTTGGCACCAATTGGCTGACTATGCCCAACAGGAAGGCCTCTGATTTCTTTAGAAAGGTATATTTAAATACCTTTTTCAGTTCATTATAGATCATCTCCCAGAAAGCCTTGATCTTTGGGCACGTCCACCAAAGGTGAAAGAATGTACCTTCGTTTTCCTTACATTTCCAATATTTATTATCGGGCAAATGATAGATTTTTGCAAGCTTGACTGGTGTCATGTACCACCTGTATATCATTTTCATAATATTCTCTCTTAGGGCATTACATGCCGTAAATTTCATACCTGTGGTCCACAACTGTTCCCAGTCAGCAAACATAATGTTATGTCCAACATCTTGTGCCCATTTAATCATAGCAGATTTCACCGTTTCATCCTGAGTATTCCATTTCAACAACAAGTTATACATCTTTGACAGAATCTTAGTTTTGGGTTCTAACAGTTCTGTTTCTAATTTTGATTTTTCCACCCTTGTTTTCCCTCTTAAAGCTGCATTTCCCAGTGGCTTGACAAGCAATTCCTCTGCCCAGAGAACTCTAGGAATTATTGGTCGCTCTGGGAGAGGATTAAGGGGTCTTCTCACAATCCTCAGCACCCCAAAGAAGCTCCCAGAATTCTTTGGGGGAAGCGTCGACTGTTTAAAGTATCATAATGCTTTAAATATATGGTAGGAATGTAGCCTTAGTTGGCTCTGTCTGTCATTGGCGATTTGCCTGGTTTGGCAGGCGTACAAGGAGCATGGCCTTCTGTTCTTGCCTGGTCTTCTGAGCAGGACTCTGATATAACAGACTTCAGCTTCCAGCTCAGATCTCCAACTCCAGTTCCAAAAACTCACTTCAGGGGGACATCCAGGTCTGGAAAATGCACACTCCATACCTGGGGAAGGGCCATAGAAATGTGCTTTGCATGCAGAAGATCTCAAGTTCAGTCCCTAGCACCTGGAGTTGCCAGCATCTCCAGTTAAAAAACAAACCAAGCTGTAATGGACATAGGAAGCTGCTTTAGTCCATTGGTCCATCTAGCTCAATACTGTCTACACTGACTGACAGAAACTCTCCAGTGTTTCAGACAGGGAGTCTTTTCCTGGAGATGCCAGGAATTGAACCCGGGACCTTCTGCACCCAAAAAGCAGATGCTGTGCCATTGAGCCACACCCCTTCCACGAGGCAGTGCTTAAAATTGTGTACCACTTTAGTGTAGGTGTTCCCTATTGTGCTAGAGGCAAGGGAGATTGTCTCTTTTATGATGGGGCTTCCCACCTGCAGATTTTGAAAATACTTAAATTTAAAATAATGTGTGTGTTTTTTATATAAAAATGTTGCCTAATTAGTCAAGAGTGTTTTTTAAAAAACCAGTTAACCCCACCAACTGTACATTTCAACTCCACTGCTTAGCTGACAATGTGTTTCTTTCCCTGGCTGGAGTGGTGGAAGCTTTCTGTTTTTCTTTTGTGCGTCATTTTCTTGCAAAGGGTTTGATCCCTCCAGCTGTTTTCTTTTTTTTTAAGGGGGGTATTCAAACACAGAAAGTGCAGTAATTCTCCTTGAACTGCTTTGTGGATATTAAACTCACCATATTTCTTTCTTAAATTTTTTAGAAAATCCCTGATGCTCTGTGGGCTGAACTGATTGTGGAACGTTTGCAGATTGAGGACTGTATTCACAGTGTAAGTGTGGCTCTTGCTGGATGAGATTGTTCATGGGGTGTGGTGGGATAGGTGACATGGAAGTTTGTGCTGTGGATGGGATTGATTCCCCAAGGTCGTTGCAGGGAATTTGGAGTATGATTAACAGCATAAATGGGGAAGCTGAACGCATACATATGTTAATTGTCTGGCTACCAAGACGACCAAAGGGGGAGCAGCCGTGTAGTTCTGTTGACTGCCGCAGGCGACTGGCAGAGTCCTGAGTGGGCAAACCTGTTACAAACAGGCAACATTAAGAAGCAAACAAGCAAACCAACCAACCATTTCATGGATCTTCCCCCCCCCCCCCCCAAATTGTGCATTCATTAAAGTGTTGTTTATTTATATATTTTTAATTTCATATCCTGCTCTTTCTCTTCAGCAGACAGATTTATTTATTTATTTATTTCATAAAATTTATGCACTGCTTGATTGTAAAAAAGAAAAGAAAACTCAAAAGCAATTTACAAAAAATATCACAATAAAAATATCAGTGCAATTAAAAATGTAAATTTGCAAGACTATTTGGTACTTCCATATCTGGTCCTTGATCTGTGGGGTGCCTGGTCCTTCCTTCAAGGACTCAATGTCTGGCATCAGGTCTAGGCTGGGCATGGCACTACTTGTGATTCCCAGCAACTGATAGTCAGAGGCATACTTCCTCTGTCAGTGGAGGGAAAATATAAGAAGAGCCTTCTGGATCAGACCAAAGGCCCATCTAGTCCAGCATCCTGTTCTCACAGGGGCCAACAAGATGTATCATGGTAGCACTCTTCCTGCTTCGGATTCCCAATAACTGGTCTTCAGGAGCATACTGCCTCCAGCGATGGAGGTAGAACATTCCTAGCTGTACTGGCTTCACTGGTCAGATCTGTGTGTCTCTGGACACACGCACCTTTTAGAGGCACTTCTGATCCACTGTCGCAGGAGTTGGCCACCTTGCTTTGCCTCCTGGTAGGGGCTGCTGTCTCCCTTTGCTCAAGAAGCCCTATTTAAATCAACACCAGTATCTTTGAAGGTATATTTATGTAACATGGTATGAATTAATAAAGATGTTTATAAATACCATAATGCATATTTAACTAAAGGTATGTTAATCAAGGAGATGGGATTTGTGCCAAGAAAAGGAAAATAAATAAGAATTTGGGGGGAGACCAATCAGGATGTTTATAATTAGTTCCTGCCATGACTTTCCCTCTCTCTGTCCCTCTAAGAGGTGATTGTTACAAAGAGAATGAAGGGATCACCTTGCAAAAGGTAGTAGCCATTTACCAGCATACCTACCAATTTTGGAACAATTAAAATAAGAGGCTGTTCCTCTTTCCCTCAGCCTTACCCCACTCACCTGAGACCTCTTTGACTGTCCTTGAGTCCCAGCAGCCCTCATGAAAGGAAATAGGAAGAGGCTACTGAGTGGATGAGCAGTTGGCGTATCCTTGTGTCTGTCACAATTCCCTGGTATTTCAGGAACATCAGTGCTGCTGGCTGAGGCCACTGGCCCATCTAGTCCAGCATCCTGTTTTCACAGTGGCCAACCAGATGCCTTAAAGGGAAATTTGCAAGCAGGACTTGAGCACAACAGCAGCTGTCTCTACCTGTGATTCCCATCAATTGGCATTCATAGACATACTCCCACTGACTGTGGAGATTAACCTAGCCATCATGACCAGTAGCCATTGATAGCCTTATCTTCCATGAATCTTTCCTCTTTTAAAGCCACACACATTGGTGGTCACCACTGCCTCTTGTAAATGGATGGAAAACAGATGGAAAGAGAGAGTTAAGGATGAATAAAAATATTGGAAGGATAAGAATATTAGAAGAGGATAAAGAATAGAATAATGGGTGGCAATTTCTTTGACAATATGCAGCATAAAAAAGGGAAAATGGGAAGCCATGGGGGTGGGGGGCGGGGTCTAAAGGGAATGGATGGATGAAAATATGTAGAACATGTATGTGTTGAAACTTTGAAAAATAATAAAGGGGGGGGGAAGGGGAGAATATTAGAAGAGCCTGCTAGATCAGATGAAAGGCCCATCTAGTCCAGCATCCTGTTCTCATAGTAACCAGCCACAGTGACCAACCTTATCCTTGCACAACAGAACATTCTCTCCCTCCCACACCACCTAAATCTGTCCTGAGGGTTCCCTCAACCCTCCTAAGAAGATTTTGCATGGCAAAGTGCATGGTGAGGGGGAAGAAAGGGGGAAATCCTGTTGGGTGACCCCTAACCCTTTGGTTAGCTCAGGAATTTTGTTGAATTTTGCCCTGAGTCTCCCTGACCATTATCTGATACTCTAACCACTACACCACACTGACTTTTATTTTTACTTCATTTACAGATTTTCATTTTGTAATAGCTGCATCAAAGATATAAGAAAGCTAATTCTTTTTAGCTCATTAACTTTTAAAAGCCTTTTTTTATCATCTGCTTTCTGTTTTAAAATGGCCAATCATTACATTTTTAGGGTGCCATTTTATACACACACACTCTCTCTGTCCCTCCCTTTCTATCAGCTACAAGAAAATTGCATCAGTCCTTTTGAATTGTTCGAGGAAAAGGGAGGTGAGAGATTTGAAGGGAAATCTAAATGACTGGAAAGTGGTTGTCAGTTTGCCCGTACAAAATACCGTGCACCTTAATCCATAATTTATCTGCTCATTTTGAATTTGCAAAGTAGAATTAAACTTTTGCATTGCAAATGACTTGCGCTTGAATTATTTGGGTCTGCCTGATTTCTCTTAGAGCTCTTTAAAGCTGAGCTGCTTCAGTAATTTATCTGTTTATTTATCCTTCTCCCCACCCCACCCCTTCACTGATGATGAATAGATAGATATTTATCCCACAGGGCGAAATATCTAGTGTGGTTTTCTTGTATTTGCATAAATGTGTATTAATGCACACAGGAATTAGACCTCTGAGGCTTCATTCAGACATCATGCCAAACCATGGTTCAGGAAGCTTAATGATGGTTTGACATAATGTTAAGATTAATAAAAGGAGGTTTGCTTTGTGATACACTGGCAGAGCAGAATTAAAAAAAATGGGTTGGCAAATGTCTGAATTGACAATTGATCCAGATTCCTAGAAGCCACCACACTCAGAGATGGATGGATGGGTCGTTCAGATGGCAAACAAAAGGAGATAGACTCCTCTAAACCATGGTTTGCTTGGGAAGCTGTGACTATAGTTTACAACTTTACATTCTAATCCATGGGTGCAAAACTGAAAGGACAATAGGCTGCAGTGCTCACTGACGCAAAGCTCTTTCTTGCAGCTCAACACAATTCAGGGCAAAATACTTCTTCAGGAACTATGAACAAAAACAATGGACTTGTTCTACTTATTGTAGTGATGGCTACCAACTTGAATGGCTTTAAGGGAGGACAAATTAATGGAGGATAAGGCTGTCTCTTGCCGGAGGCAGTCTGCCTCTGAATAACAGTTGCTGGGAAGTGGTGAGAGTTGCTGTTGCATTCAGGCAGGCATCCCATAATGCAGGCATCCCATAATGGACATTTGGTTGACCAGCATAAGAACAGAATGCTGGATTCAATTAACCTTTGGCCTGATCTAGCAGGGCTCTTCAAATGTTCCCACAATCATGGATATCTTGCTCAGCCAGGCCTCAGCCCTGTTCAATATCTAGTGTGGTGCTTGTGACCTCAGCTCATGCTACCACCCCTGTCCTTGGACAACAGCTGTAGCACATACACACAGGAATCGTCTTGGTGATTAATGCCTTATAAGTGCAAAACTTTTTTGATAGCACTTTTTAAATGTCCACCTTGAAGGTAAAACACGCTACATCTGGAGCCTTTCTGGAATAGAAAACCTCCCCCCACCCCACCCCAAAATATTTGAATCTTGCAGAGGCTGTCAGCTTGCTTCTTGAGCCAGATTTATGCTGCTGTGGTTCATAACACAAGTCAGTATATTATCCTGGAAAAAAATGTTAATAGATTGCCAGGAGCGGGCCACCAGCCCACTGTACTACCAGCTGTTTGTTTTATTTCTCCTGGTGGTGTCATTCAGCTGGCATTAATTGCCCAGCTTTCATCCTGCCGATGGTAGGAATGCCGGATTTTGTGTGCCGTTGTTTTGACACTCTCAGGTTTATAGATGTCGCTTGTATCCTCGGAGGAACACGGTTTTATTGATCAATGGCTCTTCCGGGACCCCGTAGGGCTTGTTCTGCAAATCCAAATGCAGTTAGGGTGCTGAGGGATCATGCAGGGAGTGGTGGTGGTCTTAGCAAACCGAGAAAACTTATGGCAGGCATTATGTTCTAGAGCAAGCTATGTGTGGGAATGGGAACTGGGGCTGCTGTGCCTTACGAGGTTCGCATAAGGTCCTTGCAGCGCCACTGGCTGTTCCTTGAAGCCACAGCTGTGCTGGTTTAGTGTGGTAGCAGAGTTAATTTATAGGAACTGAAGAAGCCCTGGTGAGGAATCATTTGAAGACCTTCACACAAAACCTTGCCGAGTCCACCAGCGTAGTTATGGCCTGCTCAAAACTATGCTGTGAGGAAATAAATAGGTCATGTTCACACTATGCATTTCAAAGAAATCTTATATCAATTTAACAGAAAAAATATTGGGAACTTTAATTTGTTAAAGGATGCTGAGAATTGTTAGGAGATCCTCTTCACAGAGCTACAATTCCCAGTACCCTTAATTACATTCCAGTTAGAAATCTCTTCCCATGAAGCATCTCCAATTGATTTTACCATACAATAAAAAGTATAAAACAATTACATATATAAAAAGCATGTTTTTCTACCATTCTTATCTTTTCCTTCATTTGAGAAAAAGAAAAGAAATTGTATCCCAAACTTTCCAAAATGATGAACTCAGTCACCCAGAAATTGTGAAATGGAACAAATGCAGTAACTCGGAGGTGAGGTAGCTGCCCCAAAGAAACAAAGCATGGTGTGTGTGTGTGTGGTAGAAGCCCATCCCCATGCTGCTTTCCCTAAGCTACCCTGCTTAGCTGAGGTGTAGTGGTGGAGACCAATCTGTTGCCAGGTTGAAGTGGAGTCAGCTGACAATTTGGTTTGATTCTGCATGTAGGATGAGTGAGTGGCACTATTTTTTCCTTCATCTCCAGCACCAGAATGTCTTGGGTCTGCCCTATACACACATGTGCCCCCCCCAGCTGGTTCCCTGCTCCCAACAACATGCAAGTTCATTCTGCCACATGCCATTGTTGCAATATTAGTGCATATCTTGCCTGTGGACTTTCCATTGGGGCATCTGGTTGGCCACTGTGAGAATGGGATGATGGACTGGATGGACCATTGGCCTGATCCAGCAGAGCTGTTCTTATGGTTTTCTCATGCTATCTCCTTTTTGCAGAGGGATTGGAATGGGGGGGGATCCAGATTGAGGGTGGGGAAAGTGTGGGGAAGACACTGACTTGGAGGAGAACACCATGTGTATAACGGAAAAATTAATGGAGGCACAGGAAGCTTACCATTCACATTAAACCACTGTATGGATGAGCTCTTAAATGACTGGGGTACGTGCATGGTGCCCTGTTTCAAATTAGATCAAATGGGAGAGGCAGACAGACATGTGGGACCAAGTGTGAAGGATCTTTTATTCCGTTTATTCAAGCGTCTGGGGATTATTTGCCTGTGTGGGGAAGCATTCTCTCCCTCCCAATTGCTTCGCAAAGAAACAAATCCTTAGCTTGTGAAGGTACTAATTAGCCTTTAATGGCAGTCAGGAGGGCAGGAATGACCAGCATTTGCACAAAGCCTGACTTGCCTCGATGGACTCTGTGCTGTTCCTTCATCCTTGGCTCCCAAGCCACAATCCTTCCCCCTCTTCCCCCCCTACTGTTGTCTTCTTATCCTCCCCCCCCCTCTTTTTATCGTTGACATCTGTTTGGAGCTTGTCCCTTCTGTGATACCATCCTACTTGCAGCTGTTCCAGACCTCCGGCTCTGAGCCATGTGCAAGGGGGGGGGGTGCCCTGAGCATACGGCCCTTTTGATGTGTGATAAAACAGAACTGAGCCACTGGGGGCATGGCGAAGGAAATGCAGCGGAATATCAATAAACCCTGTGCCGAGCGGAGCTGCACCTCGGCGGCAGGCTAGACATTTCACTGAAGTGTCAAGCCGACGGATAATGTATTCTAATTAGGGATTGGCTGGGGCCTTGGAACTGGGAAACCTTGGGGGGGGGCTGAGGTGGAGAATGACCCATATATCTAACTGTTTTAGAGAGAGCTTATTTATAATGTATTAGCATGGCGCCTTAATTACAAGCAACTTGTTTGTTGAGCTACCTTCTTGGATTATTATTATTTAGTTATTTCATTTCATTTGTTGTTGCTTTTCTTAGAGCCTTGAACTGTGAAATCACAAACTTTATAGACTGGGATGTGGGAACCAGCTTCATATGTGATCTCAGGGGTGGTGTGTTTCTACTTGTGGGGTAGCAAATGTGTGTTTGTTTGCATGGAACTTAGTGGGCAAAATTCAGTGACCTCAGCCACGGAGAATTTTTGCAATCTCCAATGCTGGTCTCCAATTCTGAATTGAATGGTCTTTTGGTGAGTATTAGCCATGCTGACTTGGGACTGATGGGAGGGAGTTAGAGTTCAACAATAACTAGAGAGCTACAGGTTCCCCATTCCTGTGCTAAGGTGCATTACTTTGCTGATTTCAAAATGTGGTCAGCCAGCCCTGATGGATCTGGGAGCCCTCCTGTCCTGTTGGATGAGGCTGGGGACATTCACCCTAAAATCCTACATTGATTCCGTCACAAATAAGAATGTAAAAGCCCTGCTGGATCAGACCAGTCTAGTCCAACATCCTGTCCTCATGGTAGCCAACTGGATGCCCATAATGGGAAGCCCGCAAGCAGGACCCGAGCACAACAGCACTCTTCCTACTTCCCATACTGCTTCTGACAATGGAGGTAGAACATAGTCATCATGGCTAGCTATTGATAGCTTTCTCCATGAATTTGTCTACTCATCTTTTAAAGCCAACCAGGTTTTTGTCCATCACTATCTATTGTGGGAGCGAATTAGAATGTAAGAAGAGATTCCTGCATGGCATGGGGTTGGACTAGATGACCCTCAAGGTCCCTTCCAACTCTATGGTTCTATGATTCTGCTGGATCAGGCCAATGACTCACATAGTCCAGCATCCTGCTTTCATAGTGGCTAACTAGATGCCCTAATGTGAAGCCTACAAGCAATGCCTGAACGCAAGAGCACTTTCCTCTCCTGTTGTTTCCAGCAACTGGTATTCAGAAACATTTACTGCCTCCAACTATGGAGTTAAATTACTAATAAATTAAAAGATTTAATTATGCACTGTGTGAAGAAGTACCTTCTATTGTCTGTCCTGAATCTTCCACCATTCCACTCCATTGAATATCCACAAGTTTAGTATTATGACAGAGGAAGAAAAACTCAACTGAAAACCTTAAAGTCAATTAATCACAGTAATTGTTCAGTGTTTATTTACTAAATCATTTCCTCCTTCCTTAAAATTACTTTGATTTATTTCTTAATCTACTACAGATGCTTGTGTGCTTGTGCTTGTACAGTTGAAATCAAACACTACAAAGATAATCTCAAGTGAGCTGGAGCTGAACCAATTTGATTGCACAGGCTGAACCTTTATTATCTTGAACCAGAACCAAACTGGGACACCTTCAGTTGTGGCTGAACCAAAAAATAAAACAAAATTAATGGTTTGATTCCCTGATTAATCCCCCCCCCCAATGAAGTAGGTTTATAAATTTGTATTCTGTGAGAAAGTGCAGTAAAAGATATGTATTTAAACATGAAATCTTCACACAGATTTTTTAAAAAACACAAAGCAATGTGGAAGTGGGAGAGAACTTTTACAAATTATCACACAAGGAAATGGATACAGACTGGAAACATACATCCATCCCTACTTGCAGAGAATGTGCTCTGTCACTGAACTGTGATTCATCTATGTAGTCTTATAAACAGCCATTTTAGATTGCTTGATACTATTTCCCCTCATGTAGCTGGTTCTGCTTGTCATTGGCTTTGGCTTCATCTATCTTTTGCTGTGGCTAAACCTGCTCTTTGACCTCCCTGCCTTCTGCCCTGCCAATTCCAATGGGCAACAGTCACCACCACCTGTCAGCCATATAGGATATGGACCATTCTTCTCCCCCACCTCTTTCAGATACTAGGACTTCCTTAATGTAGGTGCTGTTCTGGTTGCAGACACGATGCTGCGAGGTGCAGTGGTGACAGTGGCCAGTTTCCATGATACCCTTGCCTCAAGACTGTTTTCCCATTTCCTGAAGAAATCTGTGGCATAGCATGTTGGTAAAACTGGGCTAATTAGGGAGTTGCCAGCAGACAGTTGTGTTTTCCAGTAATTAGAATGTTTTGGTTTCTTCCTCACGGGATATGTTTCCCTTGAACAGTTCTGCAGCTTTTGGGGTCCCCTATTGATTACAGATTCAAGTTAAGGCAGGAACTGGTAATTATCAATGGCTTAATGCAATATTAAATATATATTTCATGGTACATGTGCACCCACATACAATTTTCTCCCATATTCCTCTGAAAATTTCCTGGTAGTAATGCAACAGCAGGGTCAAGTCACCAAGCAGAGGGAAAATTTTGGCCATATTTAGCAGTCTTAAATGCCATCCTCCCCACTGCTCAGCATTGCTATGGAAGCGAGCTATATTTCTGGGAGTTGAATGGGGCTGGCTTGTCAGGCATAAGTGGGTCCTTGGTATATAGCCACTGGTGCGCCCCCCCCCCCCCAGCAGTCCCACAGATGTTCATCACTACTCCTTTTCTGTATCATTGCCTTTTAGCAGCAGTCACCCATTCAAACACAGTTTGGATTTCCCCCCAAGAGATCTTTTGCAGTCACCATAGGAGGTATTGATGGAGATACTGGTGCCTGTGGGCATCATGTTGGTGACCCCTGAATTACAGGAAATTAAAAATTGAGGCTCATTCTAGTAAGAAGCATATTAGCACCACCAGGTAAGGCTGCATGTGTGTTAGTGACCCAGGTAAGTGGTGGTGCTGTCACCTGTAAGCATGGGGGCACTACTTGTGGCACCTACCACTATTGTAGCCACATGTCCTAGTTTACAGAGAACCATCTATTGCTGTGAAGAGCTGATCCTTTGAAGAAGGCCTCTGTTTGAGAGCTATCCAGTCCCCAAGTCTGGTCAAGGAGCCATAAAAATGGCACGTAGGAGCTTATCAGCAGTTGGGCTTACTTGGTTAGTAGGCACACAAGTCAGCTGGTGTCTGCCCCCACTGCAGCTTGATGTATTGTGTTTCTATTTAAAACATTATTTCTACAAGTGCATTGATACATATAAATTAAAATGTTATGTCAATTGAACCCCTCTTTTGTCCTTTTCGTGATGCATATCCTCTTTTTTTGACTGTATGACTGACCACCCTACCAACTATGAGGAGCCACAGTGGGCTCTGCCAGCACATGGGCCCCACAGCTGCCCAGCTCCAACTGACACTGGTGTCACTTAGTCAGGCGTCAAGCCACTGAAGAATTTGGTTCAGCTTAGATTTGTGCTCAGCTACAATTTGGAATTGTCCTCCCTCAAGCTAGTACAGTCATACCTCGGGTTGAAGTAGCTTCAGGATGAATATTTTCGGATTGTGCTCTGCAGCGACCTGCAAGTAATGGAGCGCATTACTTCCAGGTTTTGCCACTCGCACATGCGTGGATGCGCAAAACGACGTCACACGCATGTGCGGAAGCAGCAAAACGTGACCCGCACATGTGCAGACATGCAGTCACGTGTTACGTTTACTTCAGGATGCGAATGGGGCTCCGGGACGGAACCCGTTCGTATCCAGAGGTACCACTGTAAAGGTTAAGTAAGCATTCAGTAAGCCTGCAAACCTCCAGAACTGATTTGGTTCTCTTTGAGAGACACCATTCTTCTAGTCAGTGAGTTGTTACGATTTGTTTTGAAATGCTAACCATTCTCCCCTTTCCACACCCAAGTTGTGTCTTTGTCCACATTCAATTAGCAATTCAAGATTGATTTGGTTGGCTTTCAAATAGTGATTCCAGTTGGTTTCCGATTCAGGAAGGTGCAGGGTTGAGAGGTTGGGTTCAATATTTGGCTCAGGTTCAGTTTGGCTTCCAGTCTGGTACAGTGGTACCTCAGGTTACAGATGCTTCAGGTTACAGACGCTTCAGGTTACAGACTCCACTAACCCAGAAATAGTACCTCGGGTTAAGAACTTTGCTTCAGAATGAGAACAGAAATTGTGCAGTGGCACCGCAGCAGCAGCAGCAGGAGGCCCCATTAGCTAAAGTAGTACCTCAGGTTAAGAACAGCTTCAGGTTAAGAACGGACCTCCAGAACGAATTAAGTTCTTAACCCAAGGGACCACTGTATTGCGTAAAACAGCTTTTGCCAACCAGGTGCCCTCCAGATGTTTTGGACTACATCTCCTTTCAGCCTCAGTCAGACCAGTACAGATTCATAAGTATTTGTGTGTTTTTTCTTTTTTGTTTTGTTTTTTGTTTCGTCTTGTTTTACATAATCATAAAAAAGATCTTCAGTCCAGCACTTAGCTGGTTATAACAAGGACTTTAGGGAGCAAACAGCCCTTTTCCTATATAGATCTCTTTAGCTTGCCTGCTTCGTTAGCTCTGGGGGTTTGGAGGCTTCCATTACAGCACATTTTCCTGTATAATTTGGGGGATGGACATGCACATATCTTTCCCCCTTTGTCCTCTTTAGCTTGGTTTAGCTTTTAAAAAGTTGGCTGCATGAGTTCACATCCTCCTGAATATTTCAAAAATACCTAGATTTCTCCTTCTCTTCCCCATTTTTTTTTTATATTTCAATAAAGACTTATGTGCAGATAAAAATGGTTTAAGAGTTGCAAGGGTATCTTTCTCTATCATTATATCTCTATCTCTATCTCTGTTCCTATAAAACAAGCATTCTGCTTCAATAGGCCTTGTACGGGGAAAAGTTGCTCAGAGGCTTGAAACTAGGGATGGATGAGGATGTTGATTTTTGTTTCTCTCTGTTTCTCGTTTTGCAGTCTTTGGTTCTCCACATTGGGCTGTAAACCACTTTGAGGTATCCCCCCGCCTTTTACGAGGTGCATAAGTTTTATGCAATAAATAAAATAAGTATATTGGTCTGCAATTTTTAAAGAAGGTCTCATGAAAATTCAGCAGCATTTTAATGCAAGTTTCTCCAAACATGCACATTTTTGTTTGCATTTTTCCTCAATATACTGCATTTCTGCAAAGCTGTTTCTCCTAAAAGAATGCATCTCTGTATGTTATTTTCATGGATATAATGCATTTTTTACACACCAGTTTGCTGGAAACATGCACTGCAAAATTATGAGAAGGATGGTTCTGTTTTGGTTGGTGTATTATTTCAGGAGGTGCAGATGAAGTATGAACTGAATCAAGTATCTCTCGCATCCCTATCCAGCAGTCACAAACCAGAGACCTTTCCTTCCATGACTCCCCAGCAGCGCGACCCAATATGTACTTCATTTCAATGATCAGCTGTTATATGTCTTATTTCACCAGGGCTGGATTATGGAGGCTCTCCCCCAAAGTCGAGAACTTGCCCGGGAGCTGCTGGCAATGGGCATCATTCCCAAGCACGTTGGTAAGAACATGTTTAGTTCCATTGTGTTTTTACAAATTCTTTCTGACTTTCTAATTTCTCTCTACCATTTGAGAAAGAGGCAAAGAGAACATCAGGTCAAACACAACAGACTGCCCTACCCCCTTGCTCCAGGGCTTCTTTACAGGATACATAATTTATTTCTTTAGTGTTTTAAACTTGTATGCCTCATTGGCAGAAATGAGGTAGAGAAAGTAGTATAGTAGTATAGTAAATAACATGGGGCAGAAGAGCACCCATGACTGGTGAAACTGGGCATTTCCTAATGCCTAATACCATAAAGGGGTCAACATCAGTGCTGAGCTGTACAGGCCTCATTCTGGAGCCAGGAGTCAATCCAGGAGTCGCAGCTAGAGAATCAAGCCAGGAGTCAGAGCCAGGAAAAACTTTCACTGCCCAAATCAGAAGAACCAATGACTCGTGTGGGTGGGAGGAGCCACTGCATTTCCATGGATTCCATTACTGCCTAGAGCAGTGGTGGCTAAACCACTGCCCAGTTCTACTAAGCCTCAGGCAACTTTCATGACTCCAATTTTGTGCCCCAACACAGCCCAGAGCTGGTATCATGAGTCCTATGGAGGCATCTTGGAGAGAGTGGTCAGATTATGATTATGATGATGATGAGGAAAGTTGAAGGAGGCTGACCTGGGGATGAGAATTTGGGGCCCCAGGAGAAGTCTGACCTGTGGGGAGGGCCCCAGAGCTTGAGAGATGGAGACCTTCAAAAGGGAGAGCACATGGGAGGGGCTGTCAAATTCTGCTTCAGCGTCTTCACTTCAACCTAGTCATGCATTGTAGGTCTCTGCTGCGCCTTAACAATATGAAACCTATAGACCAATTTTGAGACTCTATACTGACTTCATAAATATAAAAACTTCCAAACATGGTGATACTTTGAGTTCTGTTTCTGATGGAGAACCAGAACAGCTGGAAAGAGAGGTTCCTCTTCTCCTGGCACAGTACTGTAATGGGGAGGAAAATCACAGCACCTTATCCCCAGAAATCTCTGCCCCTGCGCCATTGAAATTAAGACAGAGGAATTTTGGCCAACTTTGACTACTTATGAGTTAATCATCTGATGTCGTATTGACACTAGGTGACTGACAGGTGTGGTGTCCCACTCACATGTCAAAATTGCCCTGCTGGGATGGGGGAAGATAGTGCACAAAACTGGGTTGAACTCCCTGCAAACCAGCTCCAATCCTGTTTTCAGCAGCTGCATCTCCACCCACATTATATTCCTATTCACATATGGCATCAGGTGTGAGTCAGATGGGTGTGGTTTCAGAAAAACAGCCTGGTGGGCCATGTTTGACCTGCAGGCTGGAGGTTCCCCAACCTTGCAATAAGGATTGTGTGAGATAATTCCCTGGAGGAATTTGCCTCATGCAAATTAGTGTGATTGTAAGTCCAGCATAGCTTTTCACAACCTGCCAGCCTTCATGGTGACTGGAACTAATAGCACCTATAGTCCAAAACATCTAGAGGGTACCAGGTTGGCACCAGATCTAAGAACTTTCCTGATACCTGGAGAAAAAGGAACACACACATATACAGAACTATATGTTTTAAAGTCCTCTTTGCACATCTGGAATGCATACTTTTAATTGTTGTTGTTGTTGTTTTAATCAGGCTTCCAGAAAGCCAAATTAACTTCTGTTGTATTTGCAATTCTTCTTCCTTCCTTCCTTCCTAGTGGTGCTTTTCGCTCCCGATATTGTGCTGATTGAGAGGAATCTTGGGAAAAGAGTGGATATTTCTACTGGAGGTGTGGCGTTGTTTTTGTTTTCTTGCTAACAGAAATGGGGAAGTGGTGGCTGAGAATGGCAGAATAAAGGTGGCAGGGGCCATGGAATATTTAGCTCAGGGGATACAGTAGATTAGGATATCATCATAACCACCATCATCACAGATTTATTAATCATCTCCTAAACCACTGTTTCAAGCCAATTTACACAAAAGATAATTAACAGTTAAAAGCACCAAAACAGCAAATACATTTGAAACAAGACTAAAACACTAGGGAGTGGACACTTCTGATAAAAGATCCTTTCCATCCAGCTAGGAAAGTTCATGGAACAAAAATGTCTTAATTTGTTTCTGGAAAGTGCAGACTGTGGGTGCCTGTTGTATCTCAACATAGTGGCGGAGCTTCATCCTCCGGCACTGGGGAAGGGGGGGAGAGGAGGCGGGGGCAGGGCTCGCACGTGTCCTGGGGGCGTGGTGTGCCATCCTGAGGGCGTGGCCACGTCCTGGGGGCGTGGTGCCCAGTGTGGGGAGACAGCCGCAATGGCACCCTGCCGGGATCGCGCTGCCAGGGACGATGCGCTCCCTCCGCACTCCTCTTCCTCCACCAGTGTCTCAACAGCAATGTTGCTCCACAGAACAGGGGCAGCCACATTTATGAGCCTGTTCCAAGTTACCCATGAGGGGATTAATTACAGTTCCAGGATGCTTCATTAGACAGGGAGAAAGAAGTCATATGCTTTTAATTGTGCTTTGAATGTATGGCGCAGATGCAGCCCAGTCTCTGTTCAAGCGAATCTTTTGTGCCAACCCATTTCCAGAGGTGTACCATACAACTTTTGATTGGCCAACTGAGGACTACATACAGCAGCGCCTGAAGGTGCCGCATGGCATATCTGAAGTGGAGACCGCAAGGCGGATATTGAAATACCATCAAGACTACCCTGGGATTCTTCAGTCCTTTGGGAGTTGCATGAAGTTGATCAACGCTGACCAGCCATGCGCAGATGTTTTTGCACAGGGTAGGAAGAGATGGACAGCTGTTTGATTCTGTGGTTTTGTCAACAGGGTCTGTTTCAGGTCCATCTTTTTCAGAGGGTGAGCATCATTTCTTTCCCACTTTGAAAATTCCGCTCCCCAGATCTCCTAAGATGAAATAGCCTAAAAGCCCTGTTCTGGAGTGGAGCAATTCATGAAACAAACCCTCATCTCAACACAAACATATTTGTGATGTACCCTCATTTCTTTGGTTTGCTATCATGACTTTGTATATAAATGATTCCTTTCATTTGAGCTCTCCGTAGGGAAAATTGAGAAATTGACAGCCACAAAGCACATTTCTTCTTCTTTCTCTTTTGCTTTTTAATTGTCCCCTTTCCCAGCAGTCTTTCAGTGTCCTGTTTTTATCACCCAGCTAATATTTTCATTTGGAAAAGAGGCCTTTCCTTCTAATCACGAGTGCCACACTTTGAGGTAAACAAGTTGGAGGTTTATATCCAGAATTTACAAAATTAATTACCTCTAAATTACTTAATTACATTTAAAAGTTCACATCATCGTTCATAAACAATTCATGCCTTGAATTGTAAATATATGTATGCAGGCTGAATATTAATTATTATTAATTAATAATGCAGTGAAATAAATTGAAAATTGGAATGGAAAAAAAATCATCTCCCCCCATCTTTTTCTTCCAGTTGATGCATCAAGCAGCCAGATTTTTTAAAAAGAATAATTAGATGTGGAGACTGTCTGGGGGATCATTACTCCTAATTAACTTGGTTATTTACTGCAAATTAAGCATCATTTGTAAGCAGGCTGCTTGGCCTGTTATGTTTCTGCTGCAGATATGCTGGGCTGGGAAGAACAGCTTAGAGCTGTCTCTGGTTAGCTGATATTTATTTGGGAATAAATTATGTGCAAATGGACTGTTTCCCTCCGCTGTGAGTAGGGTTGGTTCTAATATTTGGGTAGCCCCCCTCCCCAGCATGAAACCAACAGCAAGTCTCCTTAACCTGAAAGGTGCAAGGGTCCTACTGTTAGGCAAAGCAAAACAAGCAGATTTCAGAAGAGGGGGGGAACAGTACTACCCACAGCTATTCCTCTGTGCTTACCTTTGGATACCCTTTGAATATCCTAACTTTCCACCACTTCTATTGTTTGTCAGTCTTTACCCATGTCCAAGCTCCTCCTCGAACGCTCGCCCCGTTTTCACCCCGGATTCTCCTTTGTGGACCGCCAGGCTCTGGGAAAAGCATGCAAGCATCGTTACTATCTCGGAAATATGGCATCATCAATGGTTTGTTACCCTCTCTGTCTTAAATCCTCAGTTGGTCTCAGGCTGTCTCTTTCTCTGTCCATTGCTGAGGATGTAATATTTCTCCAAACCACCCCAGATCAAAAGCAAAAATCCCCTGATAAAAGGCCACTAGGCAATAGAAACTTGTAACTTTAACAAGACAGCACCGATGTATGTACGTTTATATATATATATTTATATATATATATATATATATATATATATATATAGTTTCCATGTTTATATCCTTAGAGAAAAGGTGAGGAATGTTTATCAGCCTGAAGGCTGCATTCCCTTCTGAGCAATGCTTTTTTCCTGGCATTACTTACCGGTACGTAGTACCGGCACATTTTTTTATCTCCCAGAAACGCTCAGTCGCATGGGGAGCTGCAGCATAAAAAAACCCCAATGGGGCTCGGCTGCTGCTGCCGCCCTTTGGGGCTGGCCAGAGTGCATGAGTCCCACTCCCTAGGGAGCATGAGAGTGAGTGGCATGGCGTGTGACACACTCCTCCCCCACTGATGGCACTCCCAATGGTCATGGCAAGGCATTGCTTTGGGCAACCTCCCGGAGGGTACCTGCCAGTGGTGAATGGGACCAGAGGCAGAAGAGGGTGGAACAATGAATAAAATGTTACCGTTGTACAGGTGGCAACGCGGGGGTTCCGTTCCTGGCCCCTGCATGCACCAACAGAGTGTGTATAAGCACCCCCCCCGCCTTGTGTCCACCCCACCTTGACCTGCTCCCATTCTGCACTTTTCTGAGTTGAGAAGGACCCTCCCGTTAGTGATCACGCGTAAATTTGATGTGCCTAAAGTGGCCACCGCCTGTATAGTAGGCTAGTTTCATACACTCCCCCACACTCCTCTATCCTCCATCCAGATGAGTAAAAGGCACTATCAAAGTTCTGTACCAGCTGCTGGGATGCCAGATGCTCTGAATAACAGCTATTGGGAAGCACAAGTGGGAAGAGTGCTGCTGTTGTTCTCCTGTCCCATAACTGGGCAGCCATCAAGCACTGTGAGAACTGGACCAGATGGCCCTTAGGCCTAATCCAGCCACTGTGCACTCCATACATTCTTCCTATTTGTTTGCTCTTGGGGCGCTGAATTAGAGGGACCTCCTGAATCCTTTCCAGCTACCAGCGTTCTGGCACTGGCAGCCGACAGCCCTTTGGGTCAGCTTTCCACATGAGGAAGCCAGGAGCTCCTCAGCACCTCCAGCAGAAAAATCTGGAAGCTGTAACTTCCTCCTCCAGTAATTATAAGTTTATAACCAGTCAGAAACCCATAGACTCTCCCTTGACTAGCTGTTTTCCATTCTATATTTTGATTAGTATATTTTTCTTTTAAAATAAAAATGTTCCCAGCCAAATGTATTCTTTATTATCCTATATTTTTTCCAGCTTTTGTTTGGCTAGGGCAAAAAGAGGTGTGTGTGTGTGTGTGAGAGAGAGAGAGAGAGAGAGAGAGAGAGAGAGAGAGAAAGAGAGAGAGAGGTGTGAGATGGAGAAACCAGCTCAAGCCCCCATCTCTTTTATTTTATTCAGTGACCTTTTTCCAATATGCAGCTTCTTTGCCATTTCTTTCTCTCTCTGCCCTCCCCACAATCCACCTTTCCCCTCCCCTCTACTTTTGCTTTCTTACTTCCTTTTTAAAAATTAACCTTATGTCTTTTTTGTTCCTCGTTCCTCTCAGTTTGCTGCGGGCAATTGCTAAAGGAAGCTGTAGCCGACGAGACAAAACTTGGAGAACTCATTAAGCCGTATTTTGACAGTGGTTGGCCAGGTAAGGTCACATTTCTGCACTTGCCATGCAGTGCTTACAAATCTGTGGGGAGGTGGGGAAGTTGGGGGGGGGGACAGCAGATGCATAATCTTGGGGTTTGGAGGGGGGGCATCTTTGTGGCATGATTGGAGCTGAGGGTGCATCTCGTAAGGCAGGGGAAGAAATTTGGTTCTGTTTGCGAACTTACTTAGTTTACCCTTTCTGAAATAATGTGCTAACTGAAACCCAGCTGTCCTCTGAAACCCTTGTACCCCTAAATTTTACTGTGTGGTTCTGTAGTCAAGTTGTGTGCGCAAAAATGCTCTTGCTAGAGAAAAGCATCCGTGACAGTACTTGTAAAAATGATGTACAAAAAATTAGTTATATTTGGGGAAAACGCTTTGCAAAAATATATGTATACTAGGAGCTGTGCCCCTGCTTGCTTCATTTGCCAGCCCTGCTACCATTCTCCCCACAGATGTCCACTTTGCTCCCCTATCTACCCTTCCCAATTCCTTCTCTTTGCCTCCCACCCATCACCAGAGGACTAAAACTCCCATATTAACCTGCAATCTCCCTCCCCTGCTCATTTGTCACACTGTTTATTCAGAGCCACCCCACCCCACTCCTGCCTTTAGAACCTCAGAAAGCAGCTAATGAAAACAGAGTGATAACACCTTACAATTTTATTATGCAGTAAGATTAGTCGAAATTATACTTGAAATGTGTATATTAGGAGAGATTAGCACTAAAATGCTGTTGAGTTTTCATGAGGAAATTTTTTTTTTTAAATATTGCAAACTGATATGGATATGTGGAGCACCAAACTTAAGATTGGAACAATGAGAATCTGAGGGAAAGTGAAATGGACTGATTTGTCCATCCATGGCATCTACACGAGGCTTATTGAGTACCATCACCAGTCATCAAATAGTAGGGAACTCTGTTCTCTCAGAGGAATCCCAAAGTTTTCAGAAGTAAACAAATAAACAATTTTTGGGGTGTGTGGGGACCCTAAGAGAAGGGGGAATTTGAAACAGCCAATGAGAACTGAGCATGCTCAGCAAACATAGAATGTTGGCTGATTATCAATCGGGTGAGGGGCAAGAAAACTGGAGAGCAAATGGAATAGAGTTTGCTGAAAAGTGTCATGGAGCTGTGAACAAGAACACTTCCTCCTAGCTACCTTTTCTTGAAATGCGCACTGGTGATGGTAGTAATAATAGTACAGTGGTACCTCAGGTTAAAAACACTTCAGGTTACAAACTCCGCTAACCTGGAAGAGTTACCTTGAGTTGAGAACTTTGCCCCAGGATGAGAACGGAAACCGTGTGCCAGCAGCACAGCGGCTGCAGCAAGAGGCCCCATTAGCAAAAGCACATCTTTAGTTAAGAATAGTTTCAGGTTAAGAGCGGACCTCCGGAACGAATTAAGTTCATAACTAGAGGTACCACTGTAACGGTAATACCATCAACATCTAATAAAATGCTCATCAATATACGAAAGCTAGGATATACACAAGGGAGAGTTTTGCCTACTGTTGGGGGCCATGGAGGGGGGCTGTGATGCCTGTGTGCTGTGCCCACAGAGTGGCATTTCCCCTCACTCTGGTATTATCCATCAGTGGTGGCTGAATCACACAAGGGTAAGGAGCAAGGCTTGCATTTGTTGCATGTGTGGCTGCACACATACCATAAATTTAAAGCACATGTATTCTCCTATTATCCCTTCACTGTTGGAGACAGCATGGCCCCTGAATAACCATTGCTGGGAATCACAAGTGGAGAATGTTGCTGTCGCACTCAGGTCCTGCTTTCTGGCTTCGCATTGGGGCATCGGCTTGGCTGCTGTGAAAACAAGCTATTTGGCTGGATGGGTCCTCCTTTGGCATGATACGGCAGCCAGGCTCTTCTTATGTCCTTGCTAGATCAGGATGCAAAGGCTATCTTGTCCAGCCTTCCTGTTCCCCAGTGCCAGGCTATTTTGTACCCCTGGCAAGGCTAGCAACATGCACACATGCACACACCCCAAATTGCTAACTTCGATTTTCAAAAACAGATTCTTGTAGACAAAAGGAAAAGCACAAAACTTGAAACTGCTAAATTTGTTTCAATTTCAGGCACATCAAAATCTCACTTTGTGTGCAAATTTTGTTACCAGTTCCTTCTGGTCAAGGGCTGATGCTTGGGCAAGTCCAGTTAATATAGTTGCCAAGCCAACTAATCTCTTTTGCAACATTAAGTGTACGTTTTTATAAGTTTGAGCTCTGAGAAACTGGACGTGTGAGAAGGATCCTTAGAGCAACAGAACCATTAGGCACATTATCCAGGTGTTTTTGTTGTAGTATGAAGAGAAGTACTCCTTGTGGTGGTATCGACTTTGGAAGTCTTTGAGATATTGCTGTAAGTTCACAGCACAAACCTGAACTTACAAATTGCATCAGCAAGGGCCTTAGCTTCAATTCGGGAAGCATTTCCAGATAAACCTTTTAGGCTTGTGTCATCAAAGATCTCTATTAAAGCATCATATATACTTCTAAGATTATATCTCAGTGGTTTCAAAGCATCAATCTGACTCTCCCATCTTCTTTCGCTCAGCAGCTTAACAGTTATACCTAAGTCTGATACATGGCTAGTTAGAATTTGCCAACGCTGAGTCGATGCATAGAAATAATTATAGATCTGTTGATCTAAACTGAAGAAACTTAATTGCTTTCAGACAACAGTGGCATCACTGACAACCAAGTTTAAAGCGTGTGCATTGCAGGGCACAAAAACGGCATATGGGTTTATGTCCAGGACTCTCTTTTGTGTGCCATTTTCTTTGCCTTTCACATTGCTGCACATTGACAATACGGATTCTTACTTGGTAATCCCATTTGCTCAAGCTGTCCAAAAGAGTTTCTGCCATAAAGGCACCTGTAGTCTCCTTTAGTGGAACAAATCCTGAGAAATGTTCTCTTCTTATAACTTCAGGCTCAGATATCTCATTATCTGATGGTTTGATTACATCAACAAAACATACAATCATTGTCATTTGTACAATATGACTAACATCAGGTTTGCAGTCCAAAATAATTGAATAGTATTGGGCTGTGTTTTCATGTGCTTCCTCCCCCCCGCTGCTTTATAGTACCTGCTAGAAGCTGTATAAGCTCATTTTGGACATCTTTTCCTAGGTAGTGAACCATTGTTTCTTGATCTTTAACTCTGTGCAAATGTTCATTCATGATGGGATCAAAAAGGGCTAGATATTCTACAAACTTCAAAATATTTCCACTGTGCAACTAGCACCATACAACTTTTTAGTTGTACCATGGAATGCCACGTTTTGTATGCCAAGAACTCTGACCAAAGCAATCAAGTGTTCCAAGATTTGCCCTCAATAATGTTCTTCTTGTCTAATTTTCCTCATGTTAATATCACCAATGTTTTTCCTTTAGATAAGTGCAATTCAAGTTATTTCCAGGTCTGATAGTTTTCTAAATGGTCAGTGTTCCTCTCATGTGAATACAGAATTGCTTCAATGTTCTTCCAGTCTTTTGAACCTGTTTCTTGTAGAGGTAGTGCACGATATTTTTGCCGAACAACTTACACACACCATATTTTGAGGTTGAATATATCAACCTCAATTGATACTTCTTCACCATTTGCTATTCTTCTCTTGTAGTGTAAAGGAGAGAAATTATTCTTTTTTCTTTTTTTTTGTTACTCTTTGGGGAAATCATGTGATACAACCTGCTGTGGTCCATGTTGTATTATAAGCTGTCACAAATTATCACTGCAATAGTTAGACCAGTTAGCAGGGTCACTGTAATTCAAGTCAGGCACAGTACCATCTTCTTTTACAGACTTGGTGGTACTCTCACTTTCCTTGATATCCTCTTTTTCCACTGTGTGTTTTCCATAAATATTTTCAATTTGTGAAACAATTCCAATGTATCAGTTACTTCAAAAATGATAAAATTCTTCAGAATTTAAAATAAAAGTAAAATATTATCAGAAATGTATAAGATATAACAAAAACTAATCTCCATAAAACTGTGCTCCTCAAAGGTCATTACTGTGTCCCACTATTGTGTCCCCCTGACACAGTGACCTACCTTGCCCTATCCTAAAGGGAAGCACACATGCAAGAGCTTAAGGCAATAGACTTTCCCTGCTAATTCTCAGCATCTCTTATCCAGAGGATGATGGGGTAGATCCTCCTCCTCCTTATCCTCATCTATGAGGCCAGGGCAGCAAATACACAAGTAATAAAACAATCAAAACATCTGAAAAACAATTCCAATGCAGATGAAGACTGGGAAAGATCTCAACTTTGAAATGCTTGTTGAAAGAGGGATGTATTCAAGAGGTGCTGAAATGACAACAGAGACGGGACCTGATATTTAAAGGGAGGGCATTCCAAAGAGTACATGCCATAACACTAAAAGCCTAACAGGCCTCCTGATAAGTTGGTACATTTGCAGAGGCCCTCACCTGCAGAGCACAATGATTAGTTGGGTAAATGGCCAGGTGTGTGGGGAGAGATGATATTTTAAATAGTCCTTTGGATCCTGGCCAGTCCCCTTGGTTTAAATGTTAGGGTTCTCTATTAGGCAAAGATACTGTAATGTGGTCATAACAAATCCTAAGGACACCCATTGGAGCTTTATCTTCTGTCCACATGACCAATAAGTATCCCAGAGTTGTTTTTCTCCAAGTTTGTTTTGATATTTTTTGCATTGTGTGGCTTTATGGCTTAAGTGGGGCATATCTTAGCAGGATGAAGGGATGCATTCTAGCCAATATTTATGCTTCAAGACAAATAATAAGTCTGATCATTTTGCTAATCCACTCCTCCTCAGGATAACAAAGCATGAATTTGATTGAGTAAACACTAACAAGAATTCATTAGTGGCTTTGCAGAAGACCTTGGGGGAAATGAAAGAGAGTTAGGCTACTTGGTGAACCTTTTTCTTTTTTTTTAAGTTATATTAGTCAAAGATTGTAGTACTCCTAACTTCAGTGCCCCTTCTTCTGTCACTCCTCTTCCACTCTTAAGAATTTCCCCCACACCTTTTTTTCTGATTGCTAAGATCACAGGCTCCTCCATGTTGCTCCCCCAGGTGTTGGTAAACCTTTCTCAGCCTGAAGGCTGCACTCCCCTTTAGCCAGCTTTTCAGGGGCCATATGCAAGTGGCGAGCAGAGCCAGAAGCAAAAGTAGACAGAGCAACAAATGTTAGATTTTACCTTTGCAAGAGAGGTTAGTTGCTACACTATCATGCCTCTCACTGTCCCTCTTCCAGGAAAGCAAGAGACAAGAGCAGAGTTCCAAGCACACACCCCAGTCAGACAAATGCATCCAAGGAAGGTGCAAAGTGGGGCTGGTGAGGGGTGTAGGCTGGAGGAAAGGGGGCATGAAGGAGGCTCCCAAAGGCCAGAGAAGGCCTGGAGGGCCAGAGTTTGCCTCACTAATTGTGAGGTTTCCCAGCCTGATGTCTATTCAGAACCGATCTGGGGTCTATTCACCCTCTTTTCTCCAGTCGCTCCCCATCACTGGAGCCTGTGGACAGGCTGAGGACTTGGCATGCTCTTGATTGGTGCAATTCACTTATGGTCAGAACAGCTTTTAGTCTGACAAGAGAGATGAGAAAGGGTGGTATACAAATTTAATAGACAAAACAAAACAAAGGCAACAAAAAGAAAGATATGGTCTCCCCCCATTTTTTTGTCTCAAGCCCCATTGAGCTAGACACAAGCCCTCTGTGTTGGTGTCTTCCCCACGTCCGCTACTCTCCATTTAGAAAATAGTAATATTTGAATCCATCCCAGTGGCTTTCTCTTCTTGCTTCATTGGTTGGGCGGAGGGAGAACAGGGAGGAGTAGAAGAAGGGGGATTTGGGAATCTCCTAATTTCTGCTATTACTAACAAAAAAACCCCAGTCTTAACATTAACTTTTCTTATAGAAAAAATGAATAAACTGGGATGTTTCCCCCCCCCCCACTCCCCAATGATTTACTTTATTCTCTCTTTTCGTTTTTGCAAGTTTGGATGTCATGGTGGCCCCAAGATCACAGCTTTTCTTCCCCACCCTCATATTTATTTATTTTTGACAGTGAAATTAACATTCTTATCTCTAAAGTGGCAGCTTAAAAAATTGACAATAGAGCCTTCTTTCTCTTTCTCTTCTTATGAAGGAGAGTTGGGGGGTGGTAGCGGATCGTTTGCTATCCGTAAGTTGCAAATAATTTCTCAGTTGAAAGGCTAGGTAAATCTTTCTATCTGAGGAGATAAGCTCGGTTTTATTTCTTATTTTTTCAAACACACACACACACACCAGCCAGCCGTCCTGCAAGCAGCCTGCAACATTGCCGGAGCATCCTTTGGGGGACCCTCCGCTGGTTTTTTTCCAAGCGCCTCTTCTCACACGTGTGTTTGTACTAGCTGAAGACGCGCACGCATGGCTCTCTAAATAATTTACAAGTTGATTAATAAACTCACAGGGGTATAATTAGGAGAGAGAGAGACAGCGGCTACGGTAACGGGCACAGCACTTGGGGGAGCTGGAGACTCTTTCCTTTTCCTGTCTCTCTCTCTCCCTCTCGCTCTTTTTCTCTTTTTTTCAAGAAACTTTCGAGGGTGCTGGGCGTTTGAAGATAAGTTGGGAAGCGCACAGTGCCTCTCCTCGTTTGATGTGGAAATAGGACAGTTTGAATCCGCCGACTTTAATTTTTCACAAGCTGTAGGGGCCCTGCAGAGAGCTACTTTCTCTTTTTTATTATTGGGGGGTGGGGGAGGATGGAAAATCCCTCTACATTTTTCTTTCATTTTTCTTTTTATACACACAAGTCCAAACAGGAACGAAAAATCAGATTAATTTCCTCTTCTCCTAAAGTTCTATTTATCCACCCGTTGACCGGCCCTCTTCGAGTCTCCTGGTGACAGTGGGTAATTTTGTAATGGGGTTCTCCTGTAGCAAAATGTATATATTAGGGGAAAGTGTACCTGAAAAATGCATATAATTTATGAAAAGGAAATACAAGAGTGCATTATATTAGGGAAATCATTGCAAAATCATATGTATGTCAATCATCTCAGACTCGACTTTCTCTTGGTGAGGCCTTGTGGGGGGCACTGCCCAGTGGTCTTAGACCCATGGCAGGGTCTCCTCTGTTGGTTCCCTATTTGTGGAATGCTCTGCCTTTTATGAGGAAGCTTCTTGGAAACACTGAAATCACTGGTTGAGAGAATGTGGTTGTTTTTAGTTGGTTTTAGAATGTTTTCGGGGACGCAGGTGGTGCTGTGGGTTAAACCACAGAGCCTAGGACTTGCCGATCAGAAGGTTGGCGGTTTGAATCCCCGCGACGGGGTGAGCTCCCGTTGCTCGGTCCCTGCTCCTGCCAACCTAGCAGTTTGAAAGCACATCAAAATGCAAGTAGATAAATAGGTACTGCTCCGGCGGGAAGGTAAATGGCATTTCCGTGCGCTACTCTGGTTGGCCAGAAGTGGCTTAGTCATACTGGCCACATGACCCGGAAGCTGTATGCTGGCTCCCTCAGCCAATAAAGCGAGATGAGCGCCGCAACCCCAGAGTCATCTGCGACTGGACCTAATGGTCAGGGGTCCCTTTACCTTTACTAAAATGTTTTTGATGGTGTTATTATTAATGTGTGTGGTTCGCTGGGCTCCTCTGGGAGGGCAGGTACGATGATGATGATGACGATAATGATAATAATGATAATAATTAATAATGATGATGATGACAATGATAATGATAATGACAACAACAACAACAGAAATGTGCCTTAAAAGGCTGGCAAAGTCTCGTAATGGCTTTCTAAAAAATTGTTTTGCAACAGAGCTGGAAAAGTGGTGAGCTAACGTAAGTTGGGATGATCAGAACCTGAAATGTATAGGATGCTCCACCTTTAGCTCCATTGGCTGTTTAGCAATGCAGTTGAAGTAATTCCTTGCCCCCACCTGCTATTCGCTATTCTCAAGTCTGACATTTTGCACTAGGGAATTACTACAGACTTTTCTTCATGGGGCTATGTCCGTCCTCCCAACCCCGATGACAAAAACTGAGGGTTAGAGGAACAAATAAACCATCTGCCAGTGGATCTTCCCTTCTCTCTGTCTTTAATTCTGTCTCTGTATCTGCTTCTCTCTCTTTCTCTCTCTCTCCCCAATACAGTACTAGCTTGCCTTAACTAGGCTGTTGCAAGGGTCACTAAAGCATTGTCTAAAACATGTGTTCCCTTACCCTATCCTATAGAAAGCATTATTCAAAAACAGTGATTTGCACAGCTCGCTAAGAACAATAATAGCACAATATAATTCACACCAGTAACAATTAATTGCACATTTATTAAAAATTCAATTTAAAGTGTTTGGTTTAATTAATTCAACAAAACTGATGAACTTCATCCAGTAATGCCAGCTTTTCAATGTCTGATAGTCATTTGCACCTCCAGCACACTCTCTTGCCTTTTAGTACCCCCTGTGTAATCCCACAGGGATGCAGGTGGCGCTGTGGGTTAAACCACAGAGCCTAGGACTTGCCGATCAGAAGGTCGGCGGTTCGAATCCCCGCGACGGGGTGAGCTCCCATTGCTCGTTCCCTGCTCCTGCCCACCTAGCAGTTCGAAAGCACATCAAAGTGCAAGTAGATAAATAGGTACCGCTCCGGCGGAAAGGTAAACAGCATTTCCGTGCGCTGCTCTGGTACTTAGTCATGCTGGCCCCATGACCCAGAAGCCGTACGCCGGCTCCCTCGGCCAATAAAGCGAGATGAGCGCCGCAACCCCAGTCGGCCACGACTGGACCTAAGGTCAGGGGTCCCTTTACCTTTACCTATGTAATCCCATAGTCCCACAAGCAAAGCGGTACTGTCCACTTAGGGGAACAACTGGTCTGAATGCTAAGAGTTGTTACTATGAACCAAATGCTCTTGTTGTGACAATTATTTTATTTTGTATTTAATTTCTATCCCATCTTTCCTCCAAGAAGCTTAAGGTGGCTTATATAGTTCTCTTACCCATTTTATCCTCACAACACCCATGTGAGGTAGGTTAGGCTGAGAATGAGTGGCTGACCCAAGGCGGGGATTTGAACCCTGGTCTGTCAGGTCCTAGTTTAGCACTGTAACCACCATACCACACTGGCTCTCATTGGGTGGGATTTGTGTGAAGAAAGGTTGTTCAGGCCAGAAGGGCCCCTTGTGGGGAAGGCCCAAGTGTGTCTTTACATGGTGGGAAATACTCGTTGCCCCTCTCTTCCCCCATCAGAACATTACCTATGAAGGCCGCTAGCCGAGGGCAGTCTCAGCATTAACCCTGAAAAGGGCAACAAATGGACACACTACCACCCACTGCAGTATTTTATCAGTTAATGTTGGGGCAGGGAGCCTGTGGCCCACCTGAGTCCCACCTTTCCCAGATTAAGGCCGGCTCAGCCGATATTTAAAAACATACTTAAGAACATACCAGCATCCTGCCTCACAGTACCCAGCCAGGGAGAAACCAGCAAGCAGGAGCTGAGCTCAAGAGCACTCTCTCCTCTTGTGGTTTCCAGAAACTGGTTTCCAGAAGTATTAGTGCCTCTGCTTGTGGTGGCAGAGTATGGACATTGTGGCTAGTCATCATTGATAACCTTCTCCATGAATTTGTCCAATCCTCTCTTAAAGTTCATGGCCATTACTGCTTCCTGAAAGAACAAGTGCCCTTGTTTAACGATGTGCTGCAATGCTGGGTAGCCATAGCTCTGATGTAGCAGCTGTAACTGTTGTCTACTCCACACACACACACACACACACACACACACACACTCTCTAACACACACACACACCGCCCTGTCTTGGGGTAGAGACATCTATTCTATTCTGTAAAATTCAGTCTTGGCACCCAAAAATGTACCTTTCTTCCTTCGGTGAGCACAGCTCCACATTGCAGCAACCATGTATCACCCGCAGGTGGCGCTGCTTAATAAACAAACTCACTTCTCCAAGAGGTTTGCCTCTGATCACCACTGTTCTGTTTATTAGTACATCATAGGCAAACGTTAGCAAGCTACATAACCAGAGCCTCCATCGGCAGGACTCAAAAGCTGTAAAAACAGTGGTGGTGTTAAGGAAATAATGATTGTCTTAGATGCCTCCTGTACTTATTATGTTGGCCACACTTTGAAGGGCCTAGACCTCAGTTTCTAATGGAAACTGGAGTTTACATGAATTCTCATAATGCAGACTTTAGACCAGATGCAGCCTTAGATGTCATCTTCAAAGTGGGAATCTAGAAAAATCTTCAGACAAGAAAAAAGAAACATCCACACGTGAAGAGACAGAAAGTGGAGAATAAAAGGCAGCTGGACACGGGGGCAGGAAGTGGGGGGGGGGGAGAAGAAAAACCTTGCAGACTAAAAGAGGTGCAAGTTTATCATCTTTATTCATGCAAGATAAAATCCCCACACTAGAAGCTGAGGAGGAAGAGGAAAGGAATGCTTCACCAAGAGATTACTTCAGGCGCAAGGATGATCCGGACTTGGGTCTGTGAGCCACTCTTGCCTGAATGCAAAAACAGACCTTTCCTGACCAGATGGTCTCTTGGAATGGAAATGGCGATGATGGATCGCTGGATCACAACTGCCCTCCATCCCCAAAGCAACTCTATTGCAGGCTCCTCAATAACCTGGTTTAAAATAAGGTTCAACTTTTTAAAAATTGCTCACAATTTCACTTGTAAGGAAGAGATGCAATGGAATTAGTTTCACACATACTTTTCTTCTTCCTTTTGAAGCATCTCAGATGCATCTTTAGATATATGCCTCTTCAAGTTTTCTCTATTGTTCTCTGTTGTTTGCTTCTTGCATCAACATATTTTAGATTGTTTATCCATCACATAGGTAGTTGTCCCCTTGGTCTTTTGAAATAGCATGGTCTCAATTTGACACAACTTTATTCAATTGGCCTAAAGGAAGAAGGGCCCATTCCAATCTGAAGTTAGGCCAGTTAAAGCTTTTTCATAATACAGTAGGATAAAAGAAGCTAATCTAAATAAAAACAAAAAGAGAAAAGAAAACACAAAAGGAAAACTTAAAAAGAGGAAAAAAGAGAAGAACAAAAATAAAAAGGACTTCTGATTTTCCATCAGTTACATAAAAATAAATTATTCAAAATATTCACTCTAGAATGACACCCAACTGATCTACTTTCTGTTAGACAATATTTTCCCAATCTTCCAATCCAAATAGATTAATTCATTTTGGTTTTTTCCACAAAGAGTTCAAAAGGGGTTCTCTAATTATTAATAATAATAAATGTCAGCAATCATTTTTCTCTAATCAAACATATCAACATTATCTCCAGTAACTTCAACATATTAAACAATAATAAGTCTTTCTGTCTTAGTCCACACAAGATTCTTTCTGCTGTGATGATTATACAGTATATTAACTATTCAATAGTTTTTTACTTATTATGTGTTTCTTAATTTGCACCTAGTTCCATATCTTCCCTTCCCATTTCCTGTTGTATTTGCTGTGGTGTTCCATCCTGATTTTTTTTTTTTAATTCCTTTTCCGTTTATGCTTCTTCCATTCTTTTCCCAAGGAAGACACTAAAGGTTTGATAGCTCTTTCCTCTGAATTCACTCCAAGTTGTAAACAGAGTCCTTTCTCTCTCTCAACTCTATCTCAGCCAGCTCAGGATGTCTTTTCATCTATCCATCCATGGCTTCATTCCACTCCTCCAACATCTCAACTCAACCGTTTGGCTGTTTCAAATACCTGTATGGAGGACTTCTCCATTTCACCATCTGTTGCATCCATTTCACCCTCCTGTTCTGACAATCCTTCATCCATATTTTTCTCTGAAGTCCCTGTGTCTTCTTTAATGCCACTTTCCATTTCATCCTTCTCTGGTCTGCTTTCATTTACCATTTCATCAATCTCAGCTCTAATCACTTTTATTTACTCATCAAACAATTGCTGAAGGACACCAACAGCCAATGGAATGTCCAGCAATTTATCTGCCATACTGAATGTTCTTGATATTAACAATTCAGTCTCCACTTTAAGATCTTCACAGTCTCCTGTCTTCAATCCCCTGTCATGACCTTAAGATCTTTATAACATTATCTGCTATCAAACCACATTCCCACAAAGGAAATAAGAAGTAGCAACATTAGTTTTGATTTCAAGGCAACACTTTCACTGAGAAAACAGATTTAAAGAAAATAAAAATTATTAGCATTCAAAACTCCCTTGATCGTTTAAAACTTCCTTGGTTCAAACGGAGCATGCTTTTTGTTCTGGCTTCAGTCCTTTAATGATAAACTTTTCTTAAAGCCAGAAAGTAGCTCATACAACAGTTGTAAATTTCAACTGGTAGACAGAGAAACCTCTCTCAGGCAGGATCTAGACACATCAAAAAGGCGATTCAGTTAAACTTGTAAACTTCATGCAGGGAAATCTTGTCACATCCCTGAGTGGGGCACCTTCCTGGATAGTAAGTTCAGAGGGGTTTTCAGTTTCTACTGACTCCTCTTGAGCCCCTTATGTGCTAAGAACCAGCAATGGGATCTTCCTTCTCTGAGGAGGCCTTGTCTGATTCTGGCTCTGCTGCAAGAAGCTGTTGGGGCGTGACACTGCATACCCTCCTGAGCCAATCTTCCCAGATCTTTGGGCTTCTTTCCATGGAATGTTCCAGCCCAAAGACTCATAACAAGAACAGAGTTTGGCCATTTGATATTCCACTGGTGTGTCAGGACCCATAAATGAGCCCTGGATTGCACAAGCAACATCACCACTGGTGTGTTTATATATATAATGTTTATTTATTTATTTTTAAAAGGAGGGCAATGGAGGAAGAGAGAAAGGAGAGAAAGATAGACAGAAAGAGTAACTGAGTCTTCTGTTGTACATTAGGATTATAAAATTGAAGACCAGTGGTCTGCCTTAAGGCTTCTGCAAGTATGAGGCTGGCCTCCTTAAGAAGACACTATAAGCCTTTTCTCTGAGGATGCCCATTGTGTTGAAATGGATTGAATGGTTGAAATGGAGACCTGAGCTTAGGAAGCTCACTGGGAACATTGGAAGCTGCCTTACACTGAGTCAAGCTATGGATCCATATGCTCAGGACTGGCAGTAGCTGTCCTGGGTTTCAGACAGGGGTCTCTCTCCCAGTCCTACTCAGGTATACTTGGACTGATCCAAGAGGGCTGGGCTTATGGTTCCTCTAGCAGAGAGCCTTAGAATGAGCATACTATTGAATGGCCACCAGAGTCTGGGTCATGAGAGCCAATGGGAAATTGCACACTCACCAGTTTGTGGACCACTAGCCAGTAATAGCTTCTGCCAAATGTGATATTCAGGCTGTTAATAAGTTTTGCTTAGTGAGCGTTTGTGCCATTATTTCAAAAGCTGAATCTCATGTGGTGCAGCAATGGAGAGGTATCCAGTTGTCTGCTCCCATGCTGTGCCTACTTTAGATTAGGCCAAGTGTTTCCAGGGTGCTGGGTAAAGTCTGAGGGTGTTAGACTTGGAACACAGCAGTAGTTATCTAAAAACCTATGAATAGCTTTCTGTATCAGGCCAATGGCCCATCTAGTCCAGCATCCTGTTCTCACAGTGACCAACCAAATGCCCCAAGGGGAAGCCCCCAAGCAGGACCCAATGCAAAAGCACTCTCCCTTCCTGAGGTTTCCAGCAACTGGTATTTAGGAACTTACAACATAGCCATCATGCTTACCTGGTGGCAGAAAGATTTCTCTGCAACAGGTCAGAACCAGGTTATTCAGGACCTAGGATAGCTCCCAGGGGTAACAGGTGTTGCTCCAGCAAAGGTCAGAACCCAGGTCTTGTCTAGTTTTGTCGCTCTTGGCTGGCCACATACTGTAACCAATAGACTATCCCTTCCTGAAACCATTTGTTAACAAAAAGAAATAACTCCTGCGAACTTCATGGTCAGCAGGAAAACTGGGGATTTCCCTGGAGGACTCAAATAATATTAAACCAATTTGACCTTTGTGGAATAATAAGGTATTCTGCTCTCACACTTTGCTGAATTTAGGGATGACAGGCCGATCCAGGGAAAGTAGCCGTTGGCGGTAGCTGGTATTCAGGGCAAGATGTTAACTGTCAAACCCTGAGATCAACCCTCAGGCATCTGAATTAATGTTGGAAGGCTTTAGACCTAATGGGGGAAGGAGGGAGAAAATATCTAAGAGGAGGGAAAAGGGTAAGTGGACAGCACTATCAAAGAAGCTTCTAACTTTCACCTGGTTAGAATGGAGAGCTCCCTGGACCTCCACCCCAAGAACGTAGTTATGTGTCTCTTGGATATTAAGGATTTATAGGTTTAGAGTGTAGGTCAATATATGTCAGAAACCTTTTCCTTTTTTTTTTCTAAAGGAGGCAAAGATATTGGGTTAGGAAAGCTTCACATGTGAATGCATGTGAATTTTAGAAGTTTTGCATCCCAAGAACATTGTTGTATGGTTCTTGGATTATCAAGGATTTATGGGTTTAGAGTGTAGGTCAAGAAGTGTCAGGTTGCTTCTTTGCTTTCTCCTTCTTTTGCAGGAAAATATATTAGGGTAAAGCCAGTGGGGTGTAATGGTTAAAGCAACAGACAGGGACCCAGAAGAGACTAGGGTTCAAATATTCCACTCAGCCATGAAACCCATTGGCTGACCTTGGGCCAGTTACTACCTCTCAGTCTAGCCTACCTCACAGGGTTATTGTGGGGATTAATATCCCCCCCCCAAAAAAATCCATTTTCAAGATGTAGTGATGACCACCAACGTGGATGACTTTTTAAGTGGATTAGACAAATTAATGGAGGATTAAGCGGCCAGTGGGTACTGGCTACAATGACTAGTATGTTCTCCCTCAATTGCTGGAGGCAGTATGCCTCTCAGTGCCAGATGCTGGCAATCGCAAGCAGGGAGAGCACTGTTGTGCTCAGGTTCTGCCTTTTGACTTCCCATAATGGGCACCTGCTTGGCCACTGTGAGAAATGAATGCTGGACTACGTGGGCCTGTGGGACCTGATCCAGCAGCCCGGCTCTTCTTTCTGATCTTACATAGTCTTGAACATCTGGAGGGCACCAGGACAACACAAGCTGCTCTGGGAGGTTGGTTTTTTCCTGGCCAATTTTGTTGCCACTTTATATTTGTTCAGATCACACAGCTGAGGTCCCTCCCATTTCTGCAGGGCATTTGCAACTTGACAGGTAGACCTATTTGTTTATCCGAGTATTTTATGCTTCTTCTTCTTTACAGTGGGTTCTGTTTTAACTTTCTTTTTTAGCGTCCTATTTCATCCTTAGTATTAGCCACTCAGTGCTCTGTCTGAGGAAGAAAAAGAGAAAGGAATTGATTGATTAATTAATTAATAGAAGGAGCATATAGGATAATAGATCGAGGTAGCTGGCTTATAGAGTAAAGAGAATTTGGCAAGAGCTTAAGTGGCAACCTTCAGAAATTATTGTTGTTACTACATTTATTTATATTCCACCTTTCCTTCAGGGAGCTCAAGGTATTGCATACATGCTTCTACTCCCTTCCTATTTTATCTGCACAACAACCCTGTTGGGTAGGTTAGAGGAAGTGACTTCATGGCTGAGTGGGGAATTTGAACCCTGGTCTTCTGGGTCCTAGTCCAATAACCCAGGGGTGGGGAATCTCCAGACTGCAGGCCTCATTAGGACTTGCAGAGGTCCCAGTTTGGCTGAGGCCATTTTTCCAAAACCCATGCCCACCTGCCCCACACGTGACATCATATGTGGCATCAGGTGAGGGGCAGGTGGAGACATGGCATCTAGTCGGAAGGTTTACAGTCACTGCCAATCAGCTGATTGGTGGGGAGAGCAAGCCTGCTGGGATTGGCTGCACTACAGGTGCTGGCTTCATGCTCCCTGGGAGCTGCAGCCAATCCCAATTGGCTTGCTTTCACCACAAGTGAGCTGATTGGGCAGCCTCTGTGCATGGTAAGAATCAAGCATCTTGGGGATTCCCACAAGCCAGGATCCTATTCTTCAGTTTGGCTCATCTCCTGTGCACACACTCCTTTAAGATCACCCCTGATGAATACTCTCTTTTTATTTTTTTAACCAAACATTGCCAGCCATTGGGCCCTTTCCACTAGAAATCTACCTTTGGACTTCTCCAAAGACCAAAAACCTCTGTCTGTAGAGATTCCCTTACACATACAACCCCTCTAGCTCCAAGACAGAGGCTGAAGACTCACACACATTTAGGATGAAAGAGAACTGATGGTTTGAAATTCTCATGCATCATAATCCCCTTAAAGCAGGCGGATTGATGACTTCATCAGAAGGATTGTGAACTCAACTTTGCTCGCTAGTGGTACACTTGAGGCTGAGAGATCTAGGGCTAGCTTTTTAGTCTTACCCTAATGGCAATTACAGAGACTAGCCAATTTTCCCGACAACCTCAAGGAAGCCCCATGTGAGAAGATCTACCATACATTACTGCCTCCTCATTTGTTTTAATCACAGGGAAATAGAAGTGATGTAGATTTCATCTCTTCTTCATCCTGGCCTTTTGAAAACCTGCTAAGATGTTTTCTTTAATGCAGCTGTTCTAAGTAGTGCAGTTCTCCAAATTCTCAAAAGATTTGTTCCCCTCTGAAAGTGGATTCTAGGGTTTTTATGTTTCTGTTTTATTTGGGGTACTATCTCATTTCTTTAGCAACCCTTACAACAGCCTTTTAAGGTAGGCTAGTATTTATTTATTTTTGTGGACAGCAGGGCAAGGGGGAGAGCGGGTGGGAAGAAGAAATTTGATTTGGTTCACATTTAAAGTTGCACCTATGAATCTGCACTTTCCAAAACACAACTGTTCTTCAAAACGTACACTTCTCTGAATTTTTACAATTCTCTAACCAAGTAATGTGCACAAAAATGAATATATTTGGGGAATGTGTGCATGAACAAATATGTATATTAGCGAAACTAACATAAGAAAATGAATTCTATTGACTGATGGGAAGCCTTCAAGCAGGACCTTAATGCTAAAAGGAGACCTTGTTTCCACAAGTAAGGAGACTATCACTAAAAAGCATCTAGTCACCTGCCATCTTATCACATGATCCTGAGTGCTGGTGAAGCATTGTGTCCAAGAGTGTGAGTTTTCCCCCCGGGTTTGACTCTCACCCCAGGAAGTCCTGGGTTCAGATCTCATTCCAGTCACCAACACAAGCCTAGTCTTCTGGGTTCAGTTCCTTGTCCCCTTGTACAGTGTGGGGATAAAAAATAAATGCTAGCCTGGCAGTTTGCTCCACTGATGATGATGATGATTTCAAAATAGCAAGCTATTTCTAGGCTCTGATCAGGGACAGATTAAGATGTGTTGAGGACTGACCCAGCCCTCACCTGGCACTAGTGTGGTTTGACACATTATGGACACCTGGCCTGATGAAAATTTGGTACAGGTATTTCTGCACAGGTTTATAAACACAGTATGACAAGAATATAACCACTAAGAATATTTTTGTAATATCAGAACGCTAATGACTGCTTTAGGGTCTGTTTTCCCATTTCCTTTATTTTTTAACCAGCTACAGTGGTACCTTGGGTTACATACGCTTCAGGTTACATACGCTTCAGGTTACATACGCTTCAGGTTACAGACTCCGCTAACCCAGAAATAGTGCTTCAGGTTAAGAACTTTGCTTCAGGATGAGAACAGAAATCGTGTGGCAGCAGTGCGGCAGCAGCAGGAGGCCCCATTAGCTAAAGTGGTGCTTCAGGTTAAGAACAGTTTCAGGTTAAGTACGGACCTCCAGAACGAATTAAGTACTTAACCCGAGGTACCACTGTATATAAAACTTGATATTTAGCCATTTATGTGTGTTTATAGGCTTCTCACAATTCAAGGCCCTAAACTGTAGCTCACTTAGCTTGTGTATAAATTCATTACTTCCTCTGATATCTAGCCAGGTAAGGCTCAAGCAAATTCTAGTAACTCCAAAGCAAGGGCTTTAGTTACAACATTGGTCTCTTCTTTGCTTTCATCGGTCCGGGGAACGATCCCACCTAATTCACCTTCTCTTTTATCAACATAAGGTGCTTAGCTAGGACCCTTAATTAACTCTCCTGTGCTTTCATTTCCATGATGTCAATTTCCAGCATGTTCTCCCCAAATCTTTCCATCCAGTTGCAGACAACATTGTTGTAAAGATGCTGTCAGAGCGTTTGAACAGGCTGGACTGCCACATCCGAGGCTGGGTGCTCCATGGATTCCCTCGGGATGAGGACCAGGCAAAGCTGATGCAGCGTGCAAATATTAATCCAAACAGGTAACCAAGAAACTTTTCTTCAGGGACATTCTGTGTGTGAGTAACTCAGAGGCAGAGCAGTGATCATTCCTTCACAGCCTGCCCTGAGGCAGTGGTGGGTATTTGTGCTCCCATAAGAACATAAGAAGAGTCTGCTGGTTCAGGCCAGTGAGCCATCTAGTCCACCATCCTGTTTCTTACAATGGCCAACCAGATGCCTGTAGGAAACCTGTAAGCAGGACCTAAGCACAAATGCAACCTGTCCTGTGGTTTCTAGCAGCTGGTATTCAGAGACATAATGCCTCTGACAGTGAAGGCAGAGCGTAGCCATCATTAGCCGTCTCCTCCATGGTCTAATCCTCTTCGAAATACACCTAGGTTGTTGACCATCACTACTTCTTGTCCTGAATCTTCCCTCCTGCCCTGCCCCCAAATCTGTGTGTGAATACCCTCTGTTATCCCTGCACTTCTTCCCTGCCCATGACAACCCTCCATAAGCCATGGCCACACTCCTCCTCAGCATTGCTCTGTCTCTGAACTGTGACCATGGCTCTCGCTTACCTGTGTGGAGGATGGAGATGTGGGGTGGTGCTGGTGGGATGGAAACCTCTGGATTCTGATTGGCTGGAATGTCAACCATGGTACAGAATGTATGAGTGGCAACTGTTGATCTGTCTGCTTTTACCTGTGGCCCCACCAACCACTGGCATGTGGCCCCTGGGAGCTTGCCCATGAAGGAATGTAGACTGAAAAAGGCACCCAGGCCATTCTCCAAGCTGTCATTCCTGTATAGACCTGTGAAGCCTCAGGAGAATAAGCCTTGCATGTGCAGAAATGGGACATCCAGACCATTAAATTAGAGCAGTCTAGATGTGCCTCTAGCTGTAGGGGGCACCTTTTGCCACAGGTAGGGATTATTGATCTGAATGCAGTGGTGTAATGGGGTGGGGTGGGCGGGTGCAGGGATTTCAAAGGCCTGTTACTATTTCCAGAGCATGATTCCCTGCCTCTAGCATCCTAGAGCCACCCCATCAGCATGAAAGGGGATCCTTTTAGCCACTGTAAGCTCCAAACTAAGCATTTAAGAGTACTGAAAATACAAAGTGCTTAAGTTTCCAGAGAATGGAGTGCAAGTTCTGTTACATAGACTAGAACTTCAAGGGAAACAGATCTTAAGCCACTCTGAAAGAAAATAATCTGAGCACACCAAATCATTTGGCTATGTACGTTTGCAGAAAATAGCAGATCTGGCTAAAAAGCAGCACATGGAAACCTGCATTTGTTGTTGCAATGCTTCTGTAATTATTGTGCAGTTATAAGATTATTGCATCATCTCAGAAGGTTGTATAATCTTAGAAGGGGGTGTGGCTAGGACTCCCACAAAAGGTTCCTGCACTTCTGAATTTGCCACTACACTCCTGCATGAGTGTGGAAATTCCTGAGTATGATGGGAGGGGTGTATGTGTTTTATTAGGGGACGGAGAAACTGATTTGATTCTGAGACTGATGCCTTCCACATACGCACACAAAGCTGTTGACAAGCACTGGGTGAGAGAGAAACAATTGGTGGAAGCACAGCTAGCGGTCTGGTGGAAGCTGGGCTGTAAATCAGTTGCTTCTGGCACAGGTTATAAAACACACTGTCTGCAATGGAGTGTGATTTCAGCGGGGGAGGGGCTGCGGGAAACCCAGATAGAATTAGTGCTTGGAAATCAATCTGGGAATGGAAGTGGAAAGGTATAAATCACAGCCTGAACCAATTGCATCTCCCCTTCTGCCTCCTCATTTTTAGGTGGGCTCAGGTTGATGAAATTAGATTAAAATAAATTTACATATATATCAAGTTTTATTATTAAAACCCCGTCACATCAGTAAACAAAGTTATTGGCGGAAAGGTCCGTTACTCTGTGCTGGGAACTCCGAGTAGACCTCTCTGGTTGATCAAAAGGCAGAATTATTGTCGGGACATAAACTTGTGAGTCTGTTTCTTAGAAGTAATAAATGGTTTAGTGTTCAACTACGATGTTTTATCTGACTTCCATCTCATAAACCTGGTGCAAATAATACTGAATTATATACCTTTGAGCAGTATCAGTCTCTTGGCTCTCCCGTCTTATGGAAGAGTAGAGGAAAGAAACTCAGTAATTGATGGCAGGGAAGAATGAAAAATCAAGTTATTTGAGAGGGTGGGGAGGAACACCCCCACCCCCCAAACTACAAGGAGCAAATTGGACTATAAAGTTCCTTAATATGTAATAATAAAAAAGAGAGATCTCTTGCAACCTCAGGAACAGCACCCAGAGATCTGCCCTTAAAGCAAAGAAGGAAATAATGTATTTCACACTGCCAACAGAGAAGGTATTAAATTTTGTTTAAATCAGCGTTGGCCCCCAAAGCAAGATGAACAGCGGCAGGCTCACAAAGGACATGCAGGCAACCCACATTTTGCACGGGGGTTACATTCCAGGTCATTGTGCACCTCGGTGGACCATGCATAAGCCCTCCCTTGCCCCCGTTATCCCCTGTTATGCCCCTGTCACATCCTCCTTCTGGTCCGAAAACAGCTCGCGCATATATTGTCACCTGTTTTTGAACATGCACAAAACAGGAGTTGGCTGTACTGACAGACAATCAGGGAAGTACTTCTTCACATAGCAATGTAATTTTTAAATTATGGAATTCACTGCAATACCTGGTGATGGCCACCTGTCCCAAGGGCTTATAACAACGATTATATAGACACCTAGAGGATCAGTCTATCAAGCATAACAACAAAATGGAGCATCCCTATAAGGAAGTACTATTCCACTGAATGGGACTGGAGGAGGAATATGATTCAGTTTGCATTTAAAGGCGGTCTTACCAAATTCTCACTTCCCAAAATGAAACTTGAACCGATACAGAGCTATCCTTCAGGATTCACACTTCTCAAAAGTTCCAAAGTGCAGTACTCTGGCCAAGTAATATGTGCAGCTGCAGACATACGTCTGGAAGTGTGACCTGGTTTTTGGAAGTACGTCTGCAGCCGGATCTGGCTTCAGTGGATGCTTCGAAGTGGCAGTGGAGACCTTGGTCTAGTTGCTGTGATGGCGGCAGAGCGCCAGCAGAGGGAAGGTGCTGGGTGGCTGGGTGGGCAGGTGGTGGCATCAGTTCGAGGCAGTCTGAGCCACATTCGTAGGTAAGGGGTGATGGCGACAGGGCATGCCACGTGGCACACGCATTGTCAGGATGAGGCGCACATCGTTGGAAGGAGGCCTCGTCCATCCCCTCAACATTGCAGGGGCTTCGTCCCCTGCTACAGATATTGAGGGGGCCGATGGCACCTATGCTTGGATAGGAAATGAGTTTGGCTCATATAGAAAAGCGGCACTGCCACTAAAAAGCTTCAGAGGGGCCAGTGGAGAATGGCAGTGCAGCCAGTGAGAGACCCTTCCAAGCTCTTGGGGGCACTCAGCAAGTGCCCAAATGGGCTGGCAAAAGGCTCCAGGCCCAATTCCAATAAAAGGTAATTTGTCTATACTTCTCTCTTAATATTTCACAGATTGAGCCAATATTAAAAGGCTCTGGTGGGTCTCTCTAATTGGATCACTCCCCTAACCCCCAACATATCTCCTTTCTCTGCTTTGTTGGTAATATGTTCCACTTTCCCAAAACCAGATATAGGATGAATGTTTTAAATTTTAAGAACAAATTTTAAGTGGCGAGGGAAGAGTGGGAATTCAGATGATTCTCCCTGCATTTTTTCTTTTGGTCATTATTTAGGCCTTCATCTTCCAGCATCTGATTTTCAGGTTGGATTAGGGATAATAAACAGCCTATTAATGGAGGCCTGAACTAGGAGATGGAGTTTGAACCAGCAGCAAAATTCAATGGCTGAGAGAGGTTAATAACTCTATTACTACCAGCTCTATTCTTTAGCCGTTTGAAGAGCTAGGTATTAGCCCTATCTTACTCCTCTATTAATTGAGCTAATAGAACCCCAGTGACCTTCACATGGTGCCATTATCCGTGAGTTTGCCAGACGTGGGCAGGAATACTTATAGCTGAATATGTATTCTGCGGATGCTCCCGTTTCAGTTGGAAGAAAGATTTTGGTTAAAGATCACCTAACTTCAAATCTTCTGTTCTTTCCTCCTCTTAACATTTACCTGCTGCTTTCCGTGGCCAATCGAAATAATAAAAAAAAAGGGGAGAGATGAAGGTACGTGACTTAATTAAGATCCCAACAAGTTAATGAGGGAAGTTTTTGGAGTCCAGAGTCAAAAGTGCTCGTGTGTATGTGAAAGAGAAAGAGAAAGAGAAAGAGAAAGAGAAAGAGAGAGAGATTATTTTTGATGGCTGGATTAATCAACACTTGAATAAATTTAAAACACTGGGCTCTTATCCCATGCTGTACGCTTGCTTTGCAAAATGGCACCACACAAAGATCAATGAAGAAAAGAAGATGAGAAATCATTAATTTTATAATTTACTGAGTTTGTAACCTGACCTTCCTCCTCAAGGATTGTAGGGCAGTTAATAGAGATACAATTTTTAAAGATGAAAATGAAATAAATTATAAAACAGATTTAAACATTCTAAAAACAGTTGCAATCAAATGCATCTAAAAGCAGTTAGAGTTTTTTTAAAAAAACATTGTAAAAGCAATTTCAGTTAAAAACATTCTTCCATCCTATGACCTCATGGTTTCCAGGATCAGTATTCTTCAGCCACTCAATCCCTAGCTAAATGGGAATGTTTTCACATTCTTCCTGAAAAGTTACTAATAATGGACACATGCACACCTCATTAGGGAAGGCATTCCATAATCTTCCACTATTATTATTATTATTATTATTATTATTTATCCTGCCTTTCTCTCCAGATGGGATTCAAGGCTGCATCCAATATTTAAAAAACAACCTTATAAAATACAAAGTAATAAAAAGAAACTACCGTAGTTAATAACAATAGTTAAAATACATGTGAATACATTTAGAGCCAGCCATTCAAATCCAGTGATCAGCATCACCTGCACCTTAGTTTCCAAAGGCTGGTCTCAACAGGTAGGTCTTTGCCTGCCAGCAGAAGGAAAGCAAAGAGGGAGCCAGTCTGACTGACCTCTTTTGGGAGAGAATCCCACAATATGAGAATAGCCACAGAAAGGGCTCCCTCTCTTGTCTACTACTGAAAAAGAAAGAAACGAAAGAAGAAATGTTTCCTGATTGTAATTTTTCACCAGTATCAAAGAAATCTCTCCACTTTACAATTTTTCTTTTATTTAAGAAAGAGAGGATGTGGGTCTTCATACCCACAAAGGGTTGTTACGTGGCATTTGGGCATGATGTCGACTCCTCAGCTTGCCAGCTCGTTTTAGCCCCCATCCAAGCTCCCAGGTGCAGACTCCAAAAAATGACCTTGATCAAAGCATTTGAGGTTCTATCTACCTGGATCACTCTTATCTCTAGAGTGGTTTATAATAGTCAGACCATCTGTCTGACTGTCATCAACCACCACATAATTATCTTCTGTCGGCAGAGAGCTAACAGAGAGACAGTCATCTGCCGTTCCTTCTCCCCAGAAGTCAAAAGATGCCCAGTTTTTCAAACTCTCAGGGGAAATGGTGGTTTTCTTGGGGGCGGGAGGGCACAGTGGATCAAATCATCTCCCCAGATCTTCTGCTGGTCTTGCTGGAGTGACAGTGGGGGACTAGACGCTCTCCTAAACTGGCTGCCAGGATTATTCTCAGTTGTTGGATCTTTTTGCTCATCATGCCTGAGAGCTGATGTTTTCTGCCCACCAAGTCAGTAGCAGCATAGGGAGGTTCTGGCAGGAGGTAGAAGAGTCCTCTCCTTGCTCCAACAGGTGTTCCTGCTGCCACTGCTACAGTAATCATCAAGCAAGCCCAGGACAATTCAGTGACTGGGACGTGGACCCTGTGGTTGCCTTGCAATTTACAACTCTGTTTTCATCTTTAGCGATAATGTGAAAGGCTAAGATCCAAAGGACTATTTGTAGTGTTCCTCCTGGACAGGCACTGAGTGTTTATGGGGGGGGCAGGGGGCTTCCCATTACACCCCTTGAGCCCCAAGAAAGCTGCTTCTGAAGGTCAGAGCATTATCCAATATTGCGGTTCAGAAAAGGACAATGAAAATGATCGAGAGGATCAAGTGACCCCCTGTGAAAGTTGCAGAGTTTAGGAGTTTTTAGTTTAGATAAAACGTAAGAAGTGACACAATAGAATTTTATAACCAGCATGGCCTGGAGAAAGTAGGTGGATAACAGTTTTTCTTTCCCTCGTAACACTAGAACTTGTGGATATCCAGTGAAGTTGAATGTTCAGGGCAGATAAAAGGAGGGACTTATTCATGCAGTGCAGACTGCGGAACTCCCTCCTACAGGAGGCAGTGATGGCCAACAACCTAGATTGCTTTAAAATAGGATTAGACAAGTTCATGGAGGAGGAAGAGGAGGAGAAGAGGAGGGCTATCAAGGGCTATTAGCCATGATGGCTCTGCTCTGCTGCTGCAGTTTGAGGCAGCATTGCTTCTGAGTACCTGTTGTTGGAATCCACAGGAGGGGAGAGTGCTCTTGTGCTCCAATCCTGCTTGTGGGTTTCCCACAGGCATCTGGTTGGCTGCTGTGAGAACAGGATGCGAAACTAGAAGGACCAATGACCTGATCTAGCAGTCTCTTCTTATGTCCTCTGGGCTGCCAGCCAAAATGATCAGCCAGATTGGGTGGTGAGGGCCAGCTGCCCATTGAGGCAGAGGCCTAATGCCCCACTTGTACAACACTTGTACCGGCCTTGCAGGATGTGGAAATTGAAACCTGGAAAGCGTTGGAAATTGGGTAAATAAATATTAAATATATTATTCCCTGGCACCTTAGATTGAGAGCAACAATACAATGTGATAATAATTTCATATTTTAAATTAACAGCATCCTTTGGGGGTTTAAGACTCAGACTGGGAAGGTCAGGGTCTTTTTCGCACGTCGTAGGACAGCGGCACATTGTAAATGAGAGAGGAAAAAGAAATATATGAGAGGCAAATGAAGCTGTCCTGTTATTTCTAAGCTGTTGACATTTGACTATTTATTTCCACTGTTTGTGCTTGTGCTGGAGGGCGGGGAGGGGAACTGATGAATATTATTATTCTGAGTAAATGTGGAAAGGTCGTTCTTGCTTCTTGAAGGGTTAAAACTTAGTTTAAGGAAGTCTGTTACTAGGTTTGCTATCTGCCTTTTGAGAGCTGTGGGGCAATTAACTTTTGAAGCAGCTACCTCAAAAATGTAAATTACCTTTGAACCTGACCAGCTCCCAGGAACTTTGGGAATAAAAGCAGAAAGCCAGATTCTGTTGGCTAAGTGGGAACCTTAACTCGGGGAAGTTCTTTTAGAACAGATGGGACTTTGCCTGGATAAGGCAGCTACTCGAGTTGTGAACTGGGAATCCTTTCTCTGGCTGTATGCAAGTGTTGTAAAATTAGGAACATAGGAAGCTGTCTTATGCAGAGTTAGGCCCTTGCGCTGTCAAACTCAATACACTTGCTGACAGCAGGTCAGCTGGGGATTGAAGCTGAGACCTTCTGCATTCAGAACATGTGCTATATCTTTGAGTCTTTAATCTTTAATCTGAAAATAAAATAAGACTTCAGTTCTCATGATTCTGAATAGGAGATGCTGAGGAGTGAACCTGGGAGCTTCTACCTCCATGGCTGTTTCCTGTATGCTTCAAAGTTTGCAGACTAGCCTTTTTCAAAGAGACAGCCCTGTTACTATCCACAAATTGCACCATAATACATAATCAGCAGTAGGGCAGGCTCTTAACATTGGGTAGGAAGAAGGAGGTGAGCTGTCCCCCCCGCCCACACACACAAAGGCTGCCAAATGCTATTCCTTCTAGGTAGTCAGATAGCCGTTAATTAATAAAACTGTCAGATTAATTGTCCCGGTCTGGACATCCTTATCCATTCTGTAATTCTACCTTGCCAGCATCACTCCCTGCCCCCCCACTACTCTTTGCCCTATAGCTTCCAGCTCAATTAACTTAATGCTATGCAAATGAAAGGCTCTCCTCATCATTAGCTTCTAGCCTGTGAATGTTAATAGTATAATTGGGTCTTCAGCAAGGTAATTAGACACGATTTCTTCCATTAGTCTTACAAGGCCTAATTATTGTTGATAGGAGAGAGGGGACCAAGTCCCACAGCTGCCAGCAAAGCGGGGGCATCTGGGTTAAAGCAAATATAGACAAAACATTGACAAGGTAAAACAACCGTTGAGATCTATAGTGGGGGTCAGATAGAGAGGGGGGAGGGGGGAGAGCGAGACACTGTGCCACAAGCAATATAGTCATCACAGATGTTGTAAGAGCAATAGGACTTGGATACAGGGATCTCTGAAATCCATAAGAATGAGCCAGAAAAGAGCAACGTTTTACCCACACGTTCTCTCCCTCTCCCCCACTTCTCTTCCCTGCCCATGGGGCTGCCACCTCTGTTCACTCCACTTCCAACCCCACTTACCTTCCGACCTTTTTCCCACTCCCTCCACCTCTTCCCAACCCCTCCTCCCTTTACACCTCACCAAACCCCCTCCCTTTACACTTCCCCTACTCCCTCACAATTTGTCCCAACCCCTTTCAAAGGGTGGGGGAGGCACTTCAGACAGTTTAATGGGGGAACACTTAAAAGAGGGGTTCGCCAGGCCTCTCTCTGAATCTTCTTCATTCTTTGGTTAAACAGCTTGCTTGGACCACCTGCCACCCATGCTGTTTCCTCAACTGCCTGCCTGTTGTTCATGGCTATGCAAACCACATAATGACAACAGCCTTACACTTTTATGTATATAGGAAGATACACACACACTACAGTACACACACACCAACAACAACATTATTTTGCAGTCCAGCTCCAGCAGTGGAGGCTTGGACATTGGAGTGTGGGGGGCACTGTCCCACTAACCTCAGTCTGCACTCAGTTGGACCCCACTTGCTTGCCTTCTTACAACCAGCCCAGGGGGTGGCACTGCCCAGCAGCTTCCTCCTTCTCCTTAGTCTCAGTGTTGCCCCTTGGAGGACTTAGCAGGGAGGAGGAGGGGTGACCAACTACCAGAACCCAGCTTTTATATTCCAGTTATAAAGCTATAATAATAATAATAGTTGGGCCGTAGCCAACCATTTAGCAGGGGCTGGTGAGAGTTCTAGTCCAAAACATCTGGACATGTTGATGAAGGCTGCATTAACCTCTGTACCAGAAGCAGAAAAAACATAAGATAAGAAGAGCCCTTCTGGATCAGACCAATAGACTGTCAAACAGTATCCTATTCTCATAGTGTCCAACCAGACGCCTGTGGGAAAGCCTCAAGCAGGACCTGAGCAGAAGAGCTTTTCCCCCTCCTGGAGTTTTGGGTAGCTGGTTCTCAGAAGCATTTCTGCCTCCAGCTGTGGAGGCAGAGCACAGTAGCCATCAATAGCCTTATCCTCCAAGAAAATCAATTCCAGGCTTAGCTCCCCCTGTATCACATTGTGTTTATGCAACCAGAGCGCCTCACAGCCACCATCTCTGGCTGAGAAATATTCCTTGTCTACGAACAAATTCTCCTGTAAGGGGTTCTGAAGCTGGCTTGTATAAAGGGAGAGAAATGCCACATCAAGCTGAGGTTTGATGGAGCAAGAATTATGTTTTTTAATTCAGAGTTGTGTACAGAGTGCTCATAAAACCTTGATCATGATGGAGGGTTCAATAAACATTGGGGAGCCATAAATATTTCTCTGGGAAATGGCTTTGTGAAACATTTAGTTGTTGAGTAATAAGCAGATCAGAGGAAATCAGATGAGTGGGAGTCTCAGGGTACTAATCTTGATGGGTTATATATATGTTGCTGTAGTGATAGGAGGATTGAGAAAAAGGTTGTTTTTTAATATATATACAACCAAGGCAATGAGTTGCAGAGCTTTTTCCTAATGCCGCTGTGCTGCCTGTGTTTGGATGCATCAAAATGGAGGGATGTTCGCTTTCAGATAACTTTTGCTCTTGATTTTTGATTTGGGCAGTTCAATGACCCATGAAAATTAAAATCTGGCCAGACTTGAATTAGGCATTGTTGATGATGTTTTGCAAAATAAAAGCTGCAAACACACTTTACACTTAAAGCACCCCCTACTTCTGGGAACTGCAGTTTGCTAAGTGTTGGGAATTGTAGCTCCATGGGAGGTAAACTACACTTCCTGGTATTCTTGAGTAGAGAGGGTGTACTTTAAATGTATGGTGCATCTCCACTGAGGGCCTTTTTATCTAGAGATGTAATTAGGCATGTACAAAGATGAGGAGCGTGAATTGGCCATCGTGCATATGTACATAGCGATGTAAGGAGACAGCATTTACCATCCTATCTTGACTTTGCACCAACCAGTGCTGTTTTTGTTCTGCTGCACTTTAGCCTCCACTTTAACTGATGTTATTTGTCCCCAATACATGCTGTGGTTGTAACTTAACAAGTTACATAATGAACTTCCATGTATTTCAATGGAAAGGAAACGTCAAAAACAATACAGTAAGCAGCATGATTGTCTACCTATCATTTGCAGACTAAAAAAAATAGCCAATACCACTCGTACTCACTTGCCTGATTTCAGTTCCTGACCTTGTATGAATGTGCAAATTGTAGGAATTTTCACTCCCATTTCTGTTTCTGACTCAGTTCTCAGACATTCCTCCCCCAGCACTGTATTAAAGGCTTCTGGGCATGCAGTCCTGGTGGGGGGGTAGAGAGGGGCTGAAATATTCTTGGCATAAGGAACCTCAGGCCTGGGAACTAAATACAGCCCTCTAGGAGTCCCCGCGACTCTCCCCAGGCCACACAGCATGTGAGCAATACCTCTCACTTTCCTGGATGAAAGATGAAGAAGGAGAAGCTTGGATGTTTTCATGCTTGGAATGTAGCTTTCTGTAAAAAGGTAAAATTCATATGAATTGCTCTACTCACTTTTACCCACCACTGGCACGTAACCTGCAAAAGGTTCCCCCACAACAGAATGCAGCCCTAGGACTGAAAGAAGTTCCTCACTCCCATTCTAAGGCTCCTTTCACTATGAGGGGCTGATGATGATGACCCAGATCCCTGCCCAAACTGGGATGGAGATCTGCCCCACCCCCAAGTGCTGACCCAGCAAACAGGTTTCAGTCTTCACTCAGCCATACAAAGATTTCAAGACACGTGCCTGGCACCAAAAAAGCTTCTTCTTGGACAGTTTTTCTGGCTTTCTTCCCCAAACCAAGGACAGTTGGCAAACCCCAAGTTCCATCAAAGCCTCCTAGCTTCACATCTTGTACTTTAGCCAAGAGACTGCACCAGGATGATGAACCTCTTTTTCTCCTGGGTGTCCAAGCCTGCACGATACACAAGCAACTGTTACTAGAAGTGCAACCCTTTGGCACTAGAGGAGCGTCCTGAAAGATGGCGATGAAAAGACAAAAGGGTTTCAGTTCAGAAATGAGACATATTGGATGTGTTTGGGTGGAAATAACACTCCTCACAGTCCATCCTTGGCAAGCGGCCAGTGAGGTTGACTGCGTGGGAGGGTCCAGCGAGAGACAGCGGCCTAGAGAGATGCAATAGAACAGATGTTGCCAAACCAGGACAGTAAAGTAGGCTAATGGACCAGTGGGAAAATCAGTATTTTCTCCCCCTCTTGCTCCCTCCTTCTCCTTCTCCTTCTCTCTTCCACCATAAGCACTTCTTCACACAAGTAAATGACAAAATTTGCACCTGCAAGAGGTGTCGATGGCCACCAATTTAGGTGGCTTCAAAAGGGGATCAGACAAATTCACTATCAATGGCTGCTGGCTACAATGAGAGCCAGTGTGGTTCAGTGGTTAGAGCATTGGACTAGAACCTGGGAGACCAGTGTTCAAATCCCCAGCTCAACACAGGAGGTGCACAAGGTGATCTTGGGCCAGTTACAGGCTAATTTCACAGGGTTGTTTTGAGGAAAAAAGGAGGAGGGGAAGAACTGTGTACTCCACCTTGAGTTCCTTGGGGGAAAGGTGGGATATCAATGTTAATTACACACCCCATTTTCATTGTGTTTCTTTTGCATTTAAATGAATAGGGTGAGATAAAGTAATAGCAGTGAAGTTTACACAATTAATTGCATAAATTATGTAATCTCACCACAGCAGACAGACAGTTGATGTGGCTTTCTGCATCAGAATGGAAACAGGGCTGCAGGTGACGAATAGAAGGAAGAATAGAAACCAATGCTTCCTTATGCCCCTTGATACCATCCAGTGGAAAACCCAGTGGGTACCATCTCCTGCACACACACACACGCATCCACCAAAGTGAATGAGACCTGTTCAGAAGCACTGCAATTCTTTTGAAAGAAGGCCCTGGTCATTTCAGTGATGTTTGTTCCAGCCGTCTGGTGGTGCCCCCTGATAATTCTGTAAATTATTTAAGTGCCATTTGGATTTTCTAACTTGGTCGCCAAAATGCCTTGCTTCCTCCCCATCTTGATTGTGTCTTGGGAACCATGAAGCTGAGAGCAGAGAAATGCAGCTAGCTGGAATCAAAGGAGCTGGAAGTTTGACCTTTCAAGATGAAAAATTCATCTCAAAAGGGGGAATAAACCTCTAGTAACCTCTTGGAGGGTCTCTTGATAATGCTCCTGTTCAATGGGCAAAGGGAGACAACTTGGTCCAGTTTTGTCATTTGAATGCCGAATGAGCTCATTTGAAAACACGGCCATTCAGAAATGTTTGAGCTGTATACATGCCATACATGTAAAGTACATTTAAAAGCACACTACTTCTCCCAAGGAATCCTGGGAACTGTAGTTTACCCCACACATAGAGCTACAGTTCCCAGTACTCTTAACAGACTACAAATCCCAGGATTCTTTGGAGGAAGTCACATGCTTCAGATGCTTGGTATGTCCACAGTCTAGAAGGAAATGGAAATATTACAGGCAAATAGGAGATATTTTATATGAAAGGTCTTTGAAGAACTACAGAGATAATACATGTGCATGGTTTTCAGCATTTGCAGAGAGTTTCGAGTATTTACGAAGAGTGCAGTCTCTCTAGAACAGTTGCCTTATTTATTTATTTGTTCTCTTGCAATGTTATATATCTTTTTTGGGGCTCTCCTTGGATACACACACACATGCACGCACGCTTGCAGCTGTTTAAATTGCCGCTGTCAGAGGCTCTCACATGCTCTCAGTTATGTCATCACAAAGTCAAATCCAATTGATAGCATGAGCTTTAACTGATGTCCAGTGACATATTCATGCCACATGTTAGGTTGTATCCTGCACCCTGATGGGATGGGATGGTTCATTTGATATACGAAGAGGGGTGGGAGTAGGGATATGTATTTTATTTAATGAAATGTATAGACTTGGGTAGACTTGGGTAGACTTGTCTAAACATAAATGTTTTTAGCAGGTGCTAAAAAAGGTACAGCAGAGACACAATAGGCAGGAGTTCCAAAGTGTAGGCTCTGTCACACTAAAATATTGATTTCTTACAAATGTGGAATGGGAGGAGATGCCAAGGAATGATCATGCCAGCCTCCTGTTTCATTGTGCTGTTCTGTATTGCACCGTTCCAAAGGGAGACTAAGTTTGTCAGCATTCAGGACATTTGGGTTAGGGTATTGTTTAGCTGGTTTCAATTTTGTTATTATTGCCCCAGTTGTCTAAATTGTTTTAAATTGTTTTTAACTGTTTCTATCTTGTATATTTTTAAATTATTATTTTTTGTGGGATGTGCCTGGGAAGAGAGGAGCTGGGGAGAGCAGCTCCTCCTCCATCCCAGTCACTGTGGTTCAGGGTAGGGGGAGGTATAATATGGGACGGGGGTTTGAGCAGGCTGGGTAAGGGGCACACAGCACAGGCAGCCAGTGACTTTGCCATGTTCCACCCCCTCCTCCAATCTGGGGAACTGGGTTTATCTTATCAGCCAGCACTTGGCTCTGTGGCTGCTGTTGTTGAATGCCAGGTGGGCTTGGAGTAAGACCTCCCTCATCCATGATCTGATTGTTCTGCATCACTGAAGCCTGGGTGGGTAAGCAGGGTGGAGCCAGCTGTGCCCACCACCTGGCACTCAGTACAGCAGCAGAGCAGATTTGAAGGGTGGGAAGGGGGAGTTGCTGTTGTCTATAGAGATTCCATTTCTCTTTCCAGGATCTCTGTCCAGTTACAGGGAACTAGAGTGTATGTTCCTGGTATTGGGAAACATGGACAGATTAGGGATTCTGCTGCTTTACCACCTGCCTTGCTGCTCAGCTGTCTCCCTGTCTGAGCTGACAGAGCTGGTCTCAGAGGTGGTGTTGAGGCCTCCCAGACTGTTGGTTCTGGGGGATCTTCAACATCCATACTGAGATGACTGGCTTTGGGGTGCCTCAGGACTTCATGGCTGCCAAGACAAGCATGGGACTATCCCAACATGTCAGTGGCCCAACACTGTGGCAGGCCACACTCTGGACCTTGTTTTCTCAGCTTGTCATGGTCAGATCACTTCCTGTTGAAACCCATTTAGGCTTTCAGCACCTTTCCCTCTCTGCAGAAGGGATGGCCTGTCCTTGGAGGCTGATGGATCTAATGGGTTTCCAGATAGCTTTGGGAGATTTTCTGGCTGATATGACTGGCACTCCTGTCGAAGCCCTGGCTGACCTCTGGAACTTCTGAATGGATCATCCAAATGGATCAGACTGTTGACACAATCGCCCCTGACCTCCCTCTCCCACCTTGTGGAGCCTGGTATCCTGGTGTCCTCCAGAGCTTAGGGTGAGGAAATAAAATGGGAGATGGCTCGAATGTGAATGGAGGAAAGATCTGATCAAATGCAAGTGAACACTGGTGAGGGCTCATCATCAAGCCTACCTAGTGGCAATGAAGGCAGTAAAAGAAGCATACTTTGCTGCCTCCATTGCATCCTCAATATGTCATCTGGTGGCCCAGCTTCCCCCTATCTGGACAGGAGTAGCCTAACTAGTGTTGCCTATGCTCTGGTAACTTATAGGTCTGACTGCAGTGGTTGATTAGTTTCCATCCCCAATTCAAGGTGCTGGTTTTGACCTATAAAGCCTTAAATGGTTCAGAACCACAAGAACCACCTATCCCCATATGAACCAACTTGGGCCCTGTGTTCATCATCTGAAGCCCTTCTTGGTGTGCTTCCTCCATGAGAGATCCAGAGGGTGGCAACATGAGAACGGGCCTTTACTGCAGCAGTTTCCCATTTGTAAATTGCTCTCCCCAGGGAGAATCAGATAGAGCCTTCATAATATACCTTTAGGTGTCAGGTGCAAACATTCCTTTTCAACCAGGCCTTTGGCTGACTAACATCCTATACCACTTTGTACAGGGGCAAGACTGTGCCATGCCTGATGTGCTGAACCATTTGAGAGAGACCCCTGGTTGTCATGGAGGGCATGAAGTCCCGAGCTTACCCAGTGGTAGCTCCACATGGATATTGAAGTCACCCAGGACTATCATCTTGGGGTCCTCCAACAATACCCTAGAGGCCACTTTGGCCAGGGATTCTCAGGGATGCTTCTGGGCAACAGGATGGTCAGTAAACCATCAGTATCCCAAATCTCTCTTTATGGCCTGGCATCCAAGTGCAGATCCTCCAACCCTGTCCCAAGATCAAGAGGCTTTCTGGTCAAGGGGGGTAGTGCTTTGATGGACAATAGCACACTTCCCTCCAAGTCTCTCTCTCTCCCCCACCCCAATTCTAGCCCCGCCTAGTGCTGTACTGAGTACCCAGGTGGACACAGCTGCATAAAGCAAGACAACCCAGCTCACTTATCTAAGTCACAGTAATGCAGACTAAATCAGCCTGTTCATCCATGATCAAGTTATGGATGAGCATGGTCTTATTATGGATTGATTTGGCATTTAGCAACAGCAGCACCAAACCAGATTGCTCAGTGGATATGCTAACAGTACCTTCTAGAGGAGTGAGAAGGCTAGAACAAGGAGCAGAGACTAAACATCTAGGCCTCCATCCCAGATGGAAGTCAGACCCTCCAACTGTACCACCCCCAACCACTGAAATTGGGGTATCACTAAATAGCACGTCAGGAGAAAATGGTGGTACTTTCCAGTGTCATCAAAAGAAGGACTCTTTGCACAACCTATTCCCCCTGCCCCCAGAGAAATTCCTACCCCACAGAAATATCAAGTAGTTTTTGCTTTAAATTCAAACCAGCAGGCATTGGGGCCAGCTCTATTAGAGGAGAGCAAAATCCAGAAGTTATAGAAGAAATGCATAGGTTTCTTCCAAGAGCATAAACTCCTGATGCATCTCGTCATTGCCTCTCAGGAGAGCAGTACTAAAATTCCACTCATCATTTTATCATTCAGCTCAAATCTTCTTGGCTGTTTTTCACACCACAACATTTTGTGTGAAAAGCGACATTCTTTTCATTCTTGTTAAGAATCAGTTTTCTCTTAAGCTTCTAGGGACTGTGGCTGGTCAGCTTGAGCCAAGATGGCAGACTTGTTTTGCCAAGTGCCCTGTCAGTACAAAGAGGGGCAAGTGAGAAACATGCCTCCTAAACCAGCCAATATAGCAATTCCTTTGCCAGTCCACCTCATGTCCACTTTGCAGAGCTATTAGCTCAAGCATTGGCCCAAGACATCAGACATGAAAAGATAAGAAGGGCCTTCTGGATCAGGCCACCTACTCCAGTAGCCTGTTCTCATAGCAGCCAAGCAGGACCGGAGGCAGTGTATAGCTAGAATGAGCAGTAGCCATCAATAGCCTTACCCTCTTCCTAGGCTCAGTCTTAAACCCCCAAAGAATGCTGTTAATTTAAAATATGAAATTATTATCACATTGTATTGTTTCTCCCAATCTAAGATGCCAGAGGATAATCTATTTAATACTTATTTACCCAGTTTCCAACGCTTTCCAGGTTTCAAGGCCAGTACAATTATTATTGTACAAGTGGGGCATTAGGCCTCTGCCTCAATGGGCAGCTAGTTCTCACCACCCAATCTGGTGGTCATTTTGGCCAGGAGCCCAAAGAACCTAAGAAGAGACTGCTGGTTCAGGCCAGTGGACCATCTAGTCCAGTATCCTGTTCGCACAGTGGTCAACCAGATACCTGTGGGAAACCCACAAGCAGGATTCAAGCACAAGAACAGTATCCCCTTCTGTTGTTTGCAACAACAGGTATTCAGAAGAAATGCTGCCCCCAACTGCAGCGGCAGAGCACAGCCATCGTGACTAATAGCCCCTGATAGCCCTCTCCTCCTCCATGTATTTGGCTAATCCTCTTTCAAACCCATCTAAGTTGGTGGCCATCAGTGTAAGCCACAGAAGGCTGTGCTTTCTGGAGTGATTTGAATCCCCAGTTTTTCATACCTTTCCCTGTGCCCCACACCACCCCAATCTCTGTTTTTTGTTTTGTTTTTTTAAAAAAAGGGTGGAGGAAATAGGAGCATTTGGCAAACACAGTAATAAATTTGGAGAGATAGCCTTGCAAACAAGCATCTAGGAAAGGCCACAACGGAAAAGATGGCTGTGTGTGTACGCCACACTTTTTTAATCACGTAATTGCTGAGTGACATTCAATTCGGTGGCCTTAAGTTTCTCTCTCCCCCCCTCCCAAGCATCGGGCACCCGCTCCTCTCTACCTGGTGCATCCCCACATCCTCCACTTTGGCCTTTGAAGCGGGGGAGTGCCTTAACTACACCGAAATTTGGCCGGGCTTCTGCATCTTACAGTAGAGACACGCATGCAAACAATTGAAGTCTTTGAGAACAATGAAATATGCATGGCTATCTGTGACAGCCCTATAAAGCAGAGCAATTAGCCGCGTAATCCGAGAGAGCTGAGGCGGGTGGGCGGCCCGCGGTTCCCTATTAGTTAAATGCTTTTTGTATTTGCGCTTCCCATCAAATCAACTAACACTTCCTTTAATTGGTTCATGAATTATACAGCTCCTCCTGCATTATAATTTAATCACCAGTAAACATTCCTGGGGCCCCACTGTAAAATGGATCGCACTCATTAATTCGTTAATTTCAGCAGATGGAAGGGGAGAGCGCCGGATGTACGGTGTGGCAAAATACCGACCGCCTCCGGCAATGGAAGAAGGGGGGGCCGTTTAGGGTCTTTTTCCCCCTTTTTTTTTACAGGGCTGTCAGAAACTCAATCTGTGAGCTGTCAGCAGCCTGGACCCTTTCCCCCCCTGGCACCACTCCCCACTTTTGCTTCTGCCATCCCTCCCTTCTTCACCCCACCCACTGGCTGGAAGTGACTGACGGATTCATACGGAGCCTTGTCAACCCGTCTTTAAACATCAAGCCGGCGGGTAAACCGAACCCAATGTAAATTATTTCTTGTCTTAACGGGCGCCCGTCTCCCCCCCCCCCCCCCGTTTCTCTGTCCCCATGAATATTTCATGGTGGGCAGCATAAATATTAATTCTAATAGCTCTGCACAGTGGTTATTATTTCTGTCTTATGACAAATATTCATAAAATATTCAGCACCCTTTTTTGGAACACTTACACACTTGATTGTGAAATTTCCTTTTCTCTGGCTTCCTGGGGACGCGCTGAACATATTGGGGTTCTCTTGATGGACTGCTTTCCTCCCCACTCTTTCCCTCCCTCCTGCCTCTTAATTAATACTATGAAATATAAATATTTAATCCGATTTATTTTGCGTTTTCCCCTGAAGCGAACCCTATTAGGCTGGAGAGGTTCTGTTTGACAGTATTTAAATGGGGGAAATTTATTCCCTATTAGGAAATTGGTTACTCTTGACACGTGTGTAAAGTGACACATCATCGGCTCTTTTCCTCCTCCCCCCCCTTCTCCCTCTTTTGCATTTGCAATGTGTCTCCTTTTCTTCTTCAAAAAATTAAGACTATTCAAGGGCATAGATCTTGCCCCTGGAAAAGTTTCTGCCACTATCGTTTGGCCAAAGGGATTAACTTTGCTTTGTGGACACAGACAGTGTTAAAACACGCTATTTCTTTATACTAATACTTGGCAATTTAAATAGCATTTTTGCAGGTATTTAAAGCAGCCCCCCCCCCCCCCGGTTGCTCTCTGAATGCTGCTGAATTACAACTCGCATCACCTCTCACTAAGCGTGGCTGATGGCCCAGGAAAGTGATGGGCCAAAGCAGTGGCTTACAAAGGCCAGTGGATGAGGTTGTGGCCGAGGTGACACCTGAACCTGGGACTTCTCAGCTTGCATTTCAGCTGTGCCAATTATCATCTTATTTTGATGTTAATGTAGAAAATTGGCACAGGTGATATAGCCAAAACAAACATCTGCGTTCTGATGCTGTTCAGTTGTCTTGACCTGCTTTTCCCTCACCTTATGGCTGTAGTGATGAGAGGTGGTCTTCTGGCCCTTGTGTGGTGTCATCATATTTGTCCTTGACCAAACTTAAGCACTCAGGCCTCTTCAGACAGCATGGTAGGCTTGGAAGGCATGTGTTGGGGCTGCCGACCGAGAGCCAGGCAGGTAGGGAAGCAAGCAAGCTAGTTGACAATTCAGTAGCAGCCCCAACTGCAGGGTAGAAAGTCTGCTGGGCAGCCCAAGGGGAACATAAGAAGCTGCCATAGTGAGCCAGAGTTTTGGTCCTTCTAGCTCAGTGCTGTCTACACTTACTGGAAGCAGCTCTCCAGGGTTTTAGGCAAGGAGTCTCCCAGCCCTACCTGGAGATATTGAGATGAGGTACATCCCTTCCCAGTATGTGTTCAGGATCATTTGCAGCATCACAAAAGTTCTTTCCCGGCATTGTATGGGATCCAGATTATGCCTGTGGCTCCAACAGCAAAAGGCTCTGTCTTCTCTGCTCCCTTCCAAGCCACAGAAGCTCCCTCCTTGCTGAGACGAGCTGCGATTAAGCTCACAATTAGGGGAAATGGGGCCAGCTCAGTTGTCCACCGAAGGAGCTCCCTGCTGCTGCCATCTTTATTCCTGATCTGTGAAGTGCCATTGGAGCAAACTCTGGGGGGAATCTGACAATGATGGAATAACAAACGAGAGGGAGGAGGAGGCAGAGAATAAAAATGAGAGAGGTGGTGTGTGTGTGTGTGTGTTTGGGTGTTTGCATGAAGGGATGTGATGTCATTTCAGGAGCAATTGCTGATACCACCAGTTCCTAGCCTCTTTCTTTTTTTAAAAGTGGGGCATTATGAGCAAATTCTCTAAAGAAACTTTATGGACATCTTGAAAAGCCTTTAAAATGTTTGCATTGCCTGTGCTTCCCCTCCCCCCATATGCTTATATAACACCCCCTCAGTGGATGATGGGTTGTATTCAGTGCTTTACGCAGAGCAGACTTATCAAATTAGTGGGTATGGTTAACTTAGATCTGGTAATTTCAGTGGGTTTGCTCATTGGCTACAACCAGATATTCCTGATTCCTAGCAGATTTGGTGACCGGAACGGGGTGGGGTGGGGTGGGGTGGGGTGGGGAGGAGGATTAGACTGGACATGTTTGCCCTGAAGCTGATTGATCCCCTATATAATGTTATCAGAACAAAGTTGTATATGTTCAGGATTTGGTAAGATGAGAGAGAGACTTCTCCTACATGAAGGCCATGTCAGTTTTTCCGCTTTGAAGTACAAAAAGCTGTGAATCAGTTGGGCAGACTGTGATGTCCTGAATAGGCTCTTTTCCCCTTCTTCAGTTTGCCAGTCATCAGACTCAGCAAAGAGGAGAGAGCCTTGTAACACTAAACTGTAGTTTGGCTGTAACCACAGTTACCAAGTTCCCACTGAGAACTGTGGTTAGTTTAGAAGCTGAAGCAGATTCTCCTTGCATTTTTGTACACATCACTTGGCTAGAGAGGACTGCATTGCAAAATTTGGAGAAGTGTGAATTTTGAAGGAGGGCTGTGTTACAGTTTATGTATTGTATCACAAAATGTGGATTTGAACGTGAACTGCATCAAATCCTTCCTTCCTAATTAGAAGCAGAAGGGGCAAGGCAGAGCAGGAAGTGTGTCTGTGGGAACCTCTTAAGCTATTCACTCTGCAGTGTCACCGTAGATCAAGGGGGAGGGAGCCCTTGGCCCTCCAGATATTCCTGAACTGTTGTCATCATCCCAGGCCATGCTGGCTAAGGCTGATGGGAATTGTAGTCTAGCAACATCTGGAACACCAAAGATTCCCTGCACCTACCCTAGATGACAGCCTTACACGGCTAAGAAGGAAGACTGGATTTCACAGCCTCTTTCCTCTCTGTGGATATACGGTATACTGTTCTGGGGCCATGGCAAGGCAGGCTTGGAACATTTGGCAACTGAATAGTTAACAGCAGTAATCTCTCTCTCTCTCTCTCTCTCTCTCTCTCTCTCTCTCAGGTTTAGGCACAGCTGGGGGAAGTTGTGGCATTATCAGTTATGCTCCCATTTTAAGCAAGGATCAGCCAGTGCCCCCCATGCCCCCACCCCCCGCTGAGTGCAGAGCATGCAGAATGGAAAGCAGGCAGCTGGTCCCTGCTTACCAAGGGGAAGATGTATAGGCTATTTTAGCAAATTGAGAACAAGATGAATGGCCTTCTATTTTTGAAAGTTGCTGTCTCACAATAAAAGCGGAAGTTTAAAAGTAGCTTTTAACCAGAGGAGGCTGGTCCATTAGGGCATATAGGGGCACTGCCCCACCAACCGCAGCCTGCCTGTGCCCCTCTACCCCACCTGCCTGCTTTTCCTCTTTAGGGGTTGGCTCTGCCAGCCAGCTTCTTCCTCCATAGTTTCAGTGCTGCCCATGTAGAACTCATCAGGGAGGAGGATGGGGACAGAACTAGAATGAGTTGGCCCCACCTCTGATTGCTTCCAGCTTCACCTGTCATTGGCTCTGTCTCTGTCTACTGGCAGGGTCACTGCTTTCTGCCCTACAAGGCCCAATGGGCAACAACCACCACTAAAAACATGAGAAGAGCCTTGCTGGATCTAGTCCAACATCCTTGCCCATCTAGTCCAACATCCTGTTCTCCCAGAACTCTCCTAGTATTCAGAAGCATTACTGCCTCCAACTGGAGGCAGTTTAGCCAGAATGACTCGTAGCCATTATCCTCCTCCATGAATTTGTCCAATCCTCTTCTACAGCCATCCAAGTTGGTGGCCACCACCAACTCACTTCCTGTGGAAGTGAGTTCCATAGTTTAGCACCCAGGAGTCCCAACTTGTACCCACAAGAATGTTCCCGTTCCATCTGGTCCACATCCAACAGATTTCCATTGTCCAACCCAGGGCCCAACATTAAGCATCCCAGTTTGATTGCATCCACTCCTGATATCTATGCAGATACCTACTCTACACACGTAGAAAGAACCCTATACATTTTTTGGAGGGAGGGCATTTATAGGGCACTTATTAACCATGCCCACTGGGGCTGGTTCAAAAATTTTAAACAGTAAAAATACTTATGTAATCTATAAAAGCTAAAACAATTGGGGAAGGACTGTAGTTCAGTGGTAGAGCAAAACTTAGTTGGATACAACTCTTTGTAATTAATTTTTAGCAGACAGTGGGAGTAATAATGTAGGTTTAGTGGAAGCTGAACCCCAGCAGAATGGAAACAGTGCTGATTGTGAAGAATGGAGGATTGGAAGGAAATTGCTGCCTGCTTACATCTATATGCCGTGCCCCTGCTGCAAGCACCTGCTGCTCTTCCTAATGGTGGGGCTGGAGCTGTCCTCTGTTCTCCAGCTCCAAATCTTCTGCTCAGGAAACCAAACCTGGAGACCAATAAATAGGTTGGGCTGTGCAGTTCTGGCAGCATAGAAAGATGCCTTGTAATCCTCTCCAGAACGTGGTTGTTTGTTTGTTTGTTTATTAAATTTGTATACTGCCCTTCATCCAAAGATCACAGGGTAGTTCACAACATAAAAACCCAAAATGAAAACCCGAAACATATAATAAAACGAAAACAAAAGTGAACAAACCAATAACCCCTTTCCCACAGACACATTTGAATGGCCTTCTTCTTTAACTGCTGAGTGATGCCAGGTATAGTAGGGCAGGCTTCCTCAACCTTGGCCCTCCAGATATTTTTGGCCTACAGCTCCCATGATCCCTAGCTAGCAGGACCAGTGGTCAGGGATGATGGGTAGTCTCAACACATCTGTAGGGCCGAGGTTGAGGAAGCCTGTAGTAGGGGCTTGACGATGGCTTGTCCCTTGCTTGTCACATTGACCCTCCAGGTGTTACTAGACTACAGCGCCCATGATCTCAGGCCATTGGCCATGCTTCCTGGGGCTGATGGAAGCTGTTGTTCAGCAAAACCCGGAAGTCCAAACGTTCCCCCATGGCTTTTAGGCAATGAACACGTCTGAGTCAGGAATTACCCACCTGACTCCCTACAACATTCCCCCCCTCCTTCCCTCTGCTTGTCTTTATTGCTGACACCAGACTGAATAATAAGACACGCTTTCTCCACACACAAAATGTGTATTTCCGACAAGGCTCTTCCACTGTTCATCTTCCTGGCAGCTTCTTACGAGGGGTGGGTCGTTGGCTTTTCCTTCTCAGTTTCCTGCTACATTTCTCTTTTTCTCAACTTAGTGACTATGAGTAGCGACAAGGCTCCTTGATATGGCAGGTTATAATCCTTTCCTTCTTTTTTTGTTTTGTTTTGTTTATTTTGGAAAATAATAGGGGGAGCCGTATCAATTATCAGGACTGTATAAGCAGACATTGTCCCCCCCCCCCCCCGTGCGCCTTTCCCTGCCTTCTGCTAGAATATTCATCTCAATACACTTTATCACTAGTTACCCGTTGTGACAATCACAATTCTAGACGGTTGTTGGGCAACAGAAACAAAGCAGAAACAAAATGTTTGGAGTGTAAAGGATAAAAGACTGTTGAAAACTGTTATATTCTCCTCCTGTCTTTGGAATCATTGAGATCTTCTGCTTTTTTTATTTTTAATGCTGGGCTGAGGTGTGTGTGTTTTTTGTGTGGTTTTTTTTTTAACTCAATGCAAGTGGAAGTCATTATCTGTAAACATTTGAAGAGCCAGCGAGATGATTTTCATAACTTTAAGTTCTACAAAGGAGCCAAATAATCTTGCTACGTGCATGCCACAGTGATAGAACCCTCTGGCTTTCATCTGATCTGATTCTCCCCAGTAAGGATAAAATGTTCCCTTTGGTGAATGTCTAAAGCTTACACTAACCGGTCTGAGAGGCACGTGCATGCCCCCCCCTCAATGAATTGAAATGAAATATAAAAACTAAGCAGTATAGCCTTGAAGCCAGCCGCAGGGAGAAATTGCATTCTGAGGAAAGCCGGCAAAATATCCTATTCCCCACCGCCCAGAATAAAATAAAAGTTCATTTCTACAAAGAATTTGGAGTGGATTAGGGAACAGGAGAAAGACAGAAAGCTAAATAATAAACAGGAGATTTCCCCCTCTTCCAAGTTACCTCTTCCAATATCCTTTCGGTAAAGATATTTCCTGCATTATGAAGCTTGAGGCATGAGAAATCCTGGGATGCACTTCATACTTCAGGGTTGGAAAGTGGAGGCTGTAGTTATGAATGAGCATAAAAAATTCCCCTCCGTATAGTAAAGAAGTGAGAGCGGGTTAACATAGTCATCTCCCTCAAGTGCTGGCCTGCTACACACGGGGGGCTTTGGGCTTAGGGGAGCATCTGAAAATAGGAGCACACTCCTGTAGTCAGTTGGGATAGCCCAGGAGTGTAAGTCTTGGTGCTTTTCTCCCAAGGGTCAAAATGATATACATGATGAATGAGTGGTGGAACTGCGGGTGGAGGAGTTCCAGATTCAAATGCTCCTCTCAGTTCTTTCCCTTACAAAAACACACACCATGCAAAGAGAAAACTAGCAGATCAAGGACAAAGGTTCAATCATGGCCTTCGTTGTGCTCATTTTAAATAAATAAACAATATTTATGTGTGGCAGGGAGTTTTTAATATTGGGGTGCATTTAAAAATGTGTAACTCCCTCAACTGGCAGTGATACGGGCCAGATTTATTCCAGCTCATCCCTCTGCATAGATTAGACTTAAGGCATGCTCAGAAACAAAATCTAGGGAAGAAGCCAGCACAGGAAGGAACTCTGGCACATCCTCTATGGAGAGGTCTCCTGCCTTTCCTTTCTTTGAAACCCCGGGTTCAAATGGACTGAGCTTCCTGGGCTCCATGAGGGCTTACTGGTAATGCCTGAAGAAGGATAATAGCCCAACATAAGAACAGCCCTTTTGCATCAGGCCAATGATCCCATCTAGTCCATCGTCCTGTTCTCACAGGGGCTGAACAGATGCCCAAATGGGAAGCCAGAAAGCACTTGTGATCTCCAGCAGCTGGCATTCAGAGACATCACAGCCATTGTGGCTAGTAGACATCGATAGCCCTTTCCTCAATGAATCTGTCTGATCCTCTTTTAAAGCCATCCAAGTTGGTGGCCATAACTGCCTCCTGTGGGAGCAAGTTCCACAGTTTAACTCTTAGGTTCAGTTCCTTTCCTAATGATCCTTAACATGGAAGTCACCTTTTTTCAAAGCTGTGACACTCCAGTTTGCCTTTAAGGCCACCATTTTAATGTATGCTCCAATGAGGGCAATGTGGAAAATTAAAACGGCACCTAGACACAGCACTTTGGTGCTACTGGGAACATTCCAGCCAGATAGGACCACCAGGGTCCCTTTGATGGAAGAGAAATCCTCTCTCTTAACTTGGAGGCTGATTGAGAGGGACCGCAGCATCCAAAAGGCTTCTGCAGGTTAGAGGACCAAGTGCAGGCAGGTGATGGGAACAGACCCTGGCCTTGGACTGAGGCAGCTTCTTGTATTGTTAATCAAAGATCATTATTCTTTAGGATACAGCAAGCCTGCAACTTGGGTGCATTTCATTTGTGTGCATGGCAAAAAACAAACAAAACCCTATTAAAAATCAAAAAGGGGGCAGAAACAGGTGGAAATGACTTTGGCAGTCCCACCTGCCACAGAACCCAATGTATTTTGACTATACGTGATTTTGGCGTTAGGCTTGATCCCTGGAATAAGTTGCGGGCCTACCGTATAGGAAGAATCCAGCTGTTCTCAAAAAACAGTCAGTGTGCTACTGCTAGTGGCATTAACTGAACATTTCCCCCTCTCCTCTCTCTTCATAGGGTGTTTTTCCTGCACATCACACCTGAGTCCATTCTGGAGCGCCTGTGTTACCGTATGCTTGACCCGGTCACTGGAGAAAGGTTAGTAGCACCAATGCAAGTGTGCTGGGGATAGTTTCCCTGCTTTGGAAAATTTATACAAATCTAGGGGGGTGGCGTGTTTTTTGTTTTTGTTTTGCAGAATAAAGTTCACTTTTTGAAGGGATGTCTGGTCCAAATGCAATTCAAAGACAGCCCTGAGTTACCCTTCTCAACAGACAGCCTCACCTGGACAGCAGATTGAGCAGGCATATGCACCTAGTCACAGCCTAGGGAGAGATGAATTTCCATTGGAATGACAGTAACCCTGTCTGCATTTGCATTTACTCTAGGGGTGGGTCACCCTTCTTAAGCTGAATATCTGCCTTCCCTTCTAGACAACCTTGCAAGGGCTGCATGCCAGTGATGGGAGGAGCCAGAGGCAAATGTGGGCAGATCAACCAGTGTCAGTTTTCGCATTTACACAGTAAGCTAGTTTCATCACACGCTCACACACACTGCTCTGTCCTCCATCCAGACAAGCAAGAGAAAGGGAATTTACCTTTGGGGTTAGACTGTAAATTTGAATCCAAGACTTGCCATTTAAAAACAAAAAAATATTTGTTCAGGGGCCAGAAAACTGTAGGCCAAGCCTCCCCAGCTTTGGTTGGTTTAATTGTGAGCACTTTTGCCAACAATTTTCCTGTGTTTTTAAAGAGTATTTTTTCTGAATTATGGCTATATATTGTTATGTCAGCATTGGGGGACCTGTGGCTCTCCAGATGTTGCTGGACTCCACCTCCCGCATCCCCTGACCATTGGCCATGCTGGCTGGAGCTGGTGGGAGTCCCACAATATATGGAGGGCTACACAGTTGCTGATCGAAGAAGAGGCGCTCCCCTCTCTCAAATGAGAGACTGCTCTTCTAAAGAGAAGCATCCTTCCATGTATTACATGCAGTAGGGAATGCTGTTTATTAAAACAGGTGTGATGGACTCCGTGGCCTTCCAGATGTTGTTGTACTTCAACTCCCTTCATCCCTGGACCATTGGTTGTTGTGGCTACAGGGGCTGGAAGGCCACAGGTTCCCCATTCCTGCTGTCACCAGGACACTCTTTAAAAGGTAGGGTAGAGCTTCGTCTCTGAGCTTTTTACTGTTCTGCCCCATTTCCAGGTACCACACACTGTACCAACCGGCAGCCTCCAAGGAAGCCAGTGAACGCCTCCTGATACATCCGAGGGACTTGGAAGAGGCTGTGAAACTCAAAGTGGACGCTTACTTGAGGATCGCCGAAGGCTTGGAGACTGTATTAGAAGATGCCATTTTCATCAATGGCGACCAAGACCCTCAGACAGTATTTGAGTACATCGAAAGCTACATTGTCAATCCCCGACCAACCACCCTAGGCTTCCCACTACAAATGGTTTGAAGTGTCTTCTTGAAAATGATTAGGCAAGTGCTTGGCTTGGCTTTGTTTTACATTGTTTTCCTTTACTTTTTTAAAATTATTTTCAAATTTTCAAACAACAATTAAAAAGAAAAACAAAACAGCACACATATCCCATTGGACTTCCCTCCCCCCTTTTGTGTATCCATATATATATCCAAGAAGATGCAGGGGGAAAATATCTATCTTTATATCTATATCTATCTATCTGTCTGTCTGTCTGTCTGTCTATCTATCTATCTATCTATCTATCTATCCCCTTTTGTGGATCCATATATATATATATATATATATATATATATATATCCATATGCGTGTGTGTGTGTGTGTGTGCGCGCGCGCGTATCCCCTGCATTTTACACCCACCCACACCCTGCATATATATCTCCACAAAAGGGAGATACATATATATATATATATATATATCCCATGCATTATATATATATATAATTACCATCCTTAACTGTTCCTTATTTCAAAATTTTAATTACATGTTTTCCATCAATCTTGCACTAACCTTTGCTTTAAGCTACCCCACCCCCTCCACCCAGGAGGTTGCAGACGCTCAACGGGGCCAGGAAACACAAGTTCCCCACAGCCTACAAAGCCCTCAATGGATTCCTTATAATAAGAGCGGGGAACTTGGGGCCCTCCAGATTGGTCAGGCTGCTGGTGTGGGGCTGCTGGGAGTTGGAGTCAAACAATATCTGGAGGGCCAGTTTCCTCACCACTTACTTGGGTATCATAAACTTTCAAGATCCCCTGGGCCTGGTATATATAGCAGAACTGTGAGTGCTTCCTCCTGCCTTTGGCTAATCAGTGGAGCAGGGTCTTTTGGCTCCACCTACTCAGGTCACCAATCTCAGGGCTAGAGATAAGGCTAGAGATAAGGCACCTTCCTGATCTAGATTTAAGTGTTGCTGCAAACAGCCCTGCTTCTTACAAGAGGGTGGGGAACCTGTAGCTCTCCATCCCAACCATTGCCCTGCTGGCTGAGGCTGATAGGAGTTGGGAGTCTGATAGGAGGCTGATAGGAGTTAGGAGTCCCACTTTGATCTAAGAAGAGGCATTGTCTCTCACATGGAATGCCTCTTCTAAATAGAGACATTCTTCCCCTCTCTGCATGCACTAGGGAATGCTGCTCCTTAGATCAGGAATGGGGGACGTGTGACCCTCCAGATGTTGTTGGAGTTGGGTGTGTAACATCTGGAATGCTGCAGGTTCCTCAAACCTGACCTAAAATAGGCGGCGGCAGACTGCTAGTATCCATATGTTGAGAGTTAGACCTGAGAGCATCCAGTTGGACTAGAATACCCCACCTCCTCCTGTAAATTTGATGTTTTGTTTTCCCAAGAGAAATTAAAGGGGTGGTAACATTCTTGATTATTAACCAAACAGGATTTTTCTCTTCTTTTTTTGATTTTTGTGTCCTGCTAATTCCCATGGTTCAGTGACAGAAGAAAAACCTCTCCCCTACCCCATCCTGTCCTTTCCTATATGGATGATTGTTCAAGGCAAGCTGTAAATCTAATTCCTGTGTTCTTGGGTCAGAAGATTGTAGAACAGACTATTAAAAGCTCTCTGAACTTACGTTCCAGCCTCCTTATTGTGTGATGTTGGCCGACTTGCGCTGGAAGAAAAAAATTAAAAGGTGCCATTGAAATGTTGGGGGAAGGAGGAAAACAGAACATAAAAGCCTTTTATAAAGGAAATGATAAATAATAATGGAAACAAACAATGGGGCCATAATCCTGTCTCAGAGCCAGACATATTTGGGGGAAGGGTCTGTGCATCTCATAGCAGATGGCTGATGGACTCCAGTTGTGCCCTTTTGGTGACACCAGGCGTCTTCTTTGGTGGAGGGGGCCAGGATCCTGCTGAGTAAGCAGATGTTTGAGTGAGACTCCAGAGAACCCATGAACTGTCTGTTTGAGCTAGAAGTCCCCTTTCCTTTCCAGCAGGTCGTCTCTCCGGTCTTTAGCCAATGACCTAAGGAATTTATCTACACACTGCCACATCACTTCTGACCAAAGGAATGGAGAGCATGAATTGAACCATGCAGGCCCAGGCAGCCTCTGCACTAAAAGGCCCCCAATAGGTCCATCTTTCTCTATAGTCCACGGTTGGCTGTCTTTTTCAGCCCGAGGGCCACACTCCCTTCAGGGCAAATTTGCTGAGCACCATGTGCTAGTGGTGGGCAGAGTCAGAGGCAAATGTGGATTTTACACTTTGTGCTGTAGGCCAGTTTCTACACAGACTTACACACCCCTGTCTGTGCTCCATCCATGCAAGAAAGAAGCATTAGTAGAATTCAAGGATACATCCCAGCCAGGCAAAAGCATTCAGGGGGGAGAAGTAGGGTCAGTGAAGGGGACAGTGGGTGTGGTCTGGAGGACCACATTTGGCCCCTGGGCCTGAGGTTCCCTACCTCCTATTATAGCCCCCAGCTCTTTCTTATATGTGCTTCCAGCTCAGGCCTCAATGACTCAAAGTCCTCTTCATGTTTCCTGAAGGACCATCTTTGCCCCCAACCTCACAGGAAGCGGATCTGACAAAGCTCAATATGCTGCTTTACATTCTTACCCTCCCAGGCTGGTTACTCTGGCTTCAGCCCATTGCCATGCCTCTGTGCATGGGCTTTCGACTGCAGCTCCAGCCACTGCCACCTGGCTCGCCCTTTGCCATTTTGCTGTGGACGTGGTTGCAATCTCTGGCAAGGAGGCCAGGCTCCAGGTCAGCAGTAAGCAAGGTATTCTTTCCTTGTCCTCCCCAGCCCAACGGGTGTGGATGTGGGGGGCATCACCTAGCAATCCCTGTGGCCCAGTAGCCCCTGCTCACCCCTTGCTTCTGGCTGTGACATCAGACCAAGGGCAACCTTTGGACTGCTGGAGCTCAGCAGCGTGACGTCAGCAGGCACCTGTGAAAGGGCTGCAGTGGCTCGACCCTGGGGCATTTCTGACGGGTTTCCCCTTACCGGTGGGATGCGTGGCTGCTTACCTCAGCAGCTGCCTCCTCTCCACCCCAGGCCCTGGCCCAATGCTTGTAAAGCTACACTGCCGCTCCCGTGCATAAATTGGAATGGCGGCTATTAATAATAAATGGAGAGTACATCTTGCTAATATCACCTCCATCAGAGTGTTCCTACTAAATATTGATAGGCGAAACGGCTCGGCCGCGCATTTAAATACTGTTTGCCGTGCAAGTGAGGGTACAAAGGGGACAGTGGCTCTTTAATTAGACAGGTACATCTGCTTAATTAATTTAGCCATAAAGCTATTCCCTCCCCCCCCCCTTCTTTCATCTATATGCGTCGGCAATATTAGTTCCGCTCAGCCAGTCGCAGAGAAACCGAATGAGGCCGGCTCATTGAGATGCAGCCGGTGTGTCCGCCCAGAGAGTTCTCGGGTCAGTGGTCAACCCCCCAAGGGCTTCCGCCAGGCCTGGAGTGCAGGCCGTCTGGGTTAGCAGAACATGCTAATACTCTTGTAGGACTCTCCCTCAGAAACAACTAAAACAATTGACATTCATTTAATTACTGGGGAAACGAAAGAGGCCTTTGCATCCACTTTGCATAGTAAGAGGCCCTGTTAATGCTACAAAAGGTTCAGCGGGTGAGAGGAGGAATTACTTTTATAATTGGAAGACGATGCTTCAAAACCAATTTGGGAGCTGGGCTGGATTTGATTAGCATCTGATTCCAGCCAAATAAACATTTGGCAAGGAGAGCACAAGCACAAGAAAGAAAGCTAGGAGTGCATCAGATGACAACAACTAGTCCTTGGATGTTTGTGTGGCCCCTAAAACATGCAACTCTTGTCCCATCCACCAACTTGCTACATTCTCAAGAGAAATGTTTCCCAGATTCTGCTAGCAGGCACACGTCTTCCTGTCTGATTTGGAACTGGAAGCGCATGCCATGCACAAAAATGGGCAAGAAATAATCTGACTTCAGAAGGAGGCAACCTGTTTTTGCCCTGTGCAAAAACACATCACTGTTTGTGAGTGTGCCTCCTGACTGGATAGAGGAATGCCAAACAGAATGGCCCCAGGCAGAGGCTGAAGAGGCAGCCAATTTGCTTACATGCCTGCATTATGAGGGCTTAACTGATCTCATCATGCCCAAGGCAGAGACATAGCAGAATCCTTTATGCAGCAGGGGCAAGGCCCGAGCAAAGTCATTCAGAGATGCAGCAGGCAGACTCCTCTGTGTCGGTGAGAGTTTTGGGTTCACGGGAACCTGCAGTCATAGAATTTATTACCCTTTGCAATCATGTCCCAGAATTCTGGTGGGAATTCCTGCTGAAGAGAGTGGGGAGGAGAAAAAGGCTTTCAATAGAGGATTAGCTGTGTCAAGGACTTCCCTTGCAAAGCAAGGCAACCATGATTACTCAACTCTAGTCTTGTGACAATATGCAATATGCTCACAGCACAAACCATCATGATACCAAAACTGCCTAGGCTCAGTGTGCATAGGACAACACCCGGTCCTGCACATAACTCCCCTGTCACGCTGTGCATGAGGTTCAGTCATCAGATTGAACCAGATTGGCATGTTCACACCACACCAATGTTACTACACACCTCCTGGTAAATGGCAGTGGCTTACATGCCAGGTCAGGGAAGAATCTCCACTTGACCAAGCCATGCAATGACTCAAGCAAGTCATTTAACAGGGATGGAATAAGATGGAATAGATACTGATGGGGTGGGGCTGAGTGTTCAGTCCTTAAACATTCTTCCTCTGGTTCTTAAAGTGGCCATTAAAGTACTGCTTTCAGCTCAGTAAGACTCTTAGTTGTCTGGCTTTCCTGGAGTCCTTGCTACTAGAGTTACAGCTTAATTCAAAATTTGGGGCTTATTTGATGGAATTTCTGCATGCTGAGAAGCAAGAAGGACCTCTATCTAGTAGCTGAAAGGAGAATAAGGCACAAAGAAGGGTGGCCATAAGTGCTACTACTGTCCCCTCCAGCTTTCTCTGTTTTGGCTCTGGGATCCCCTTCAGAATCCTCCGTCTCTTCAGTCCCTGGCTTACCCATGACTACTGCACATAGGATGGAAGTAACATATAGTCAGGCTTGCTGTCCCTTCTGTTGGGCTAATTGTCATAACATGAGAAAAACTGATGGATCAGGGCAATGTTCTATCTAGTCCAGCATCCTGTTTTCACAGTGACCAGCTGGATGCCTGTGGGAAACCCACAAGCAGGACCTGATTGCAACAGCATTCTCCCTGCCTGAGGTTTCCAGCAACCAGTATAGAGAAGCTTTAACGCCCCGAACCATGCAGGTAGATCAGGCTTCCTCAACCTCGGCCCTCCAGATGTGTTGAGACTACAATTCCCATCATCCCTGACCACTGGTCCTGCTAGCTAGGGATCATGGGAGTTGTAGGCCAAAATCATCTGGAGGGCTGAGGTTGAGGAAGCCTGAGGTAGATCATAGCCATCATGGCTAGCAGATGTTGATAGCCTTCTCCTCCTTGAATTTGTCCAGTTCTCTTTTAAAGCAATAAAAATTGGTCAAGAAATCAGCATAATGCTTTATCGGCCAAGAATCCAATGTCTGATCACCCATTCTCCTTCACTTTGCCAAGGCACCTATTTAAACACAATACACAAGTTGTGTGTTTCTTTATTTAGAAAGCGATTCATGTAACAGTGCTATTGTTGCAGTATACAAAACACATTCTCCAGATTCTGTTTCACATTTACAAAAGAAGTCAACCATATATACAGCATTAATATTCACAGTAATGTACCGTCCTCTAGGGAACCAGAGCATTTTCATAACACAGTCTTAATGCGGTCAGCTTGGTAACACAAGAACCAGCTAGTTGATTAACATTTCTTTTCTACAACACATTGATTTTGTTTTTTGTTTAAAAGCCAAGATGCAAAAGCCCTAACTGGATTAAGGAATGAACCCTTAATCAGACTCCCTTATTGCACCATAGCATTTTAAGAAATCAACAACGCATAAACATAACACATATTTTATATTTATGCTGAGTGGGTGGATAATTAATGTCTTTACAAATGACTATAATTTTTGATGGCTTTTCTCCTCGGAATTGATGGTTTGGTGTGTCAGACCTCTGGATGTGCTACTATTTAACTTTTGTAAAATCGAGCCAGAAAAGGAGGTGAGCTTTTCCAACCAGAATCTAATTCAAAAGGAAATCTCAGCCCACTTTTATTTGGGACCGATATCACGAGGGTTGGCTAATGTTCCTCCTCACCCCATTTCTGCAGAACAGCAACACAGAAAACATTTTCTCTTCTGGCTCCATCTTGCAGGGTCATCAGACCCAGCATCCCACATACCACCAAGGAGGGTTGGAGGGATATAGTGTTTTGGGGTGAAGGGTTCCTTCAAGACAGTTATTTCTGTATTGCAGAGACCCCACCACCTTCTCTGGCAAAAACTTGCATGAAGTGCCTTGAAACAGAAGGAACTGTTCTTTTGCCATATGAAATATGCTGTTAAGGGTTAACTGTATCTGTAATGGGTAGTTCCCAAGGTTGCTCTGTCCCACTATAGCAGGATCTCCCAAAGTGGTCAATATTTCAATATTCACAAACATGGTCAATGGGACTGTGCAGTGGCTGAATAAGCAGTTGAAAGAGGGTCAAAGCCTGGGGTTGTTAGGAACTGTTGAGTCTCAGAAATAAAGGATGTGGGCATGTGCAGAGTGCACCCCTTCTCACCAATGAGGAACCTCTGGTAACATTATTTCTGCTTGTTTCACTTCCTTATTTTTACATGCTCTGACTCCCAGTAATGGTAACTAATAAATTAAAAAATGCTGACTATATGTTGATCTTTCTTTATGTTACGAATTTGGGTTGGGCTGGGTTGGGTTGGGCTGGGCAATGATCATAAGCTCATTGAGGCTGCATCAACAGAAGTATAGTGTCCAGATCAAGGTAATAGTAATAGCCCCCCTCTATTCTGCCTTGGTCAAACCACACTTGGAATACTGTGCCCAATTCTGCGTGCCATAATTTAACGTGTACAGAGGAGGGCAACCAAGATGATAAAGGGTCAGGAAAGCAAGCCTTATGAGGAACGGTTGAGGAAGTTGGGTATGTTTAGCATGGAAAGAGCAGACTGATCGGAGATATGGTAGCTATTTTCAAATACCTAAAAGGCTGTCACATGGATTGCGGAGAGAGTAGGGCTTGCTTCAGAGAGTAGGACCTGAACCAATGGATTCAAGTTACAAGAAAGGAGATTCTGACTAAACACCAGGAATAACTTTCTGACGGTAACAACTGTTCAGCAGTGGAACAAACTCCCCTCGGCAGGTAGTGGACTCTTCTTCCCTGGAGGTTTGTATGATCTAGTTGAGATTTCTGTATCACAGGGGGCTGGACTAGATGACTCTCACAGTCCCTTCCAACAATTCTACAATTCTGATTCTAAATGAACTTCAGGTTCACACTTTAATGGGACCACCAGGGGCTGGGACCAGATTAAGGCTCCCTCACAAGCCTCTGGAGCCATTTGCACCCATGGAGAAAAGCAAATCTTTGTTTTGGGAAAAACCTGCAGTAAAGACAAAGCTGCACTTCACCCCAATATTAGGAGATACGTCTCACACTCCAACCTTCATTGGAGCTTTTTAAGCATAGATTGGAGAGCATCTGTCACAAATGCTTTAGTTGAGATTCCTGCATAGCAGGAGGTTGGACTAGATGAAACTTGGGATCCCTTCCAAATCTACCTTTCCATGGTTCTATGGGTAGGCAACTTGCATCCCTTAGCCTAATTTCATGCAGCGCCCCTGAAATGAGTGCTTATTACTGGCAAGAGTGACCTGTGTTGTTGTCCCCCAGAAACCTTGCAGAGAGGGGAGGAAAAGCACAAGAGAGAAGAGGGGCGAGGAGTGGTTGCACCCACTGAGTGAATGTGGCCCTTGCCAACCTTGTGTTACAGCATCCTTGGCAGACAGAAGCCCTATCTCCAGACCCACGCTATCCATCAGACTGGCAGGCATTGGTTTCTACTTCATAAAAATAACAATGAAGCATTCCCCACCCCTGTTCTTTAATAAAGGAGATCAAATGTTAAGCTAGTTGAGAATTTGCTACTTTTTGGAGCTGAATACAACATAATAGTCACCTCTGTGATTAAAACACCTCACCCCAAGGTGACTGGGCAGGTTTATGAACTCCATATTGCCTTTCAGAAATATCTGCCCTAATTCTTGCAAGAAACTCAGTTCTTTAAGGAAGAGCAGCCTGGCTTTTGTCTAGACATTCAAGCTGTGCTGGCCTTCATTAAATCTTGAGCCAACAACCAGTGTTCAGAGAAAGTACTGGGAGCACAGCCACACTGATATTAATTCATAGGCACAAAGTTCTGTATTCACCTGTTTCAAATGAGGTGTATGAGTCAAAATAAATCTATTCAAGCTTTTGAATGTAGCTGGAAAGAAAACAGGAAACCCATTCCAAGATTACAGGTTAGATCAGTCAGATACTCCTAGAGAAGGGGTGGCAAACCACTGGCCCTCCATGTTGCTGCTGGACTCCAATTCCCATCACCCCTGAACACTGGCCATGCTGAGTGGGGCTGATGGGAGCTGGGAATCCAACATCTTGAGGTCCACAAGTTAGTCACACTTGCCCTAGAGCATTCATGCCCAAAGTCCATATTGGGGGCCTAATCCGGCCTGCCGGTTGGTATAATCCGGCCCCTGTGGCAGTTTATTTCCTGGGGTAAGATCCTAAAAAAAACTCAACAACTTCAATCCTAAAAGAAGCTCAACAACTCCCAACCATAAAAAAGCTCAAGAACTTCAATTCACTTTGGGGTAAAATCATAAAAAAGCTCAAGAACTTCAATCCTAAAAAAAAGGTCAACCACTTTGGTTGGCCCTCACAGCCCATCACTTCATCAAATCTGGCCCTCTTTGAAAAAAGTTTGGACAGCACTGCCCTAAAGCCTTTTGGGCTCATTATTGCTATCTGTATGACAGCTTCCTGATGACTGGCCAACTGTTGTTAGACCAGAGGGACAACTGGCCTGATCAAGCATTAACATCATTTAGTATTCTCATCTCTTGCTTCTAGTTTCTGGATTTTTAAAAGAATGAAACTACAAATAACTGTTATTGGAGGTTGGTCCCATCTGTCCTCTGTAAGCAAGAGGAAAAAGTAATGGAAAGGATGGTTTTCATTTTCATTCTGAGCCTTGGAAGAAAGGTTGTGATCTGCCCCAATTTCATCTTCAACTTAAGTGGGATGCGATAAAGGGGAGCAGTAAAGGCATCCTCCTCTATTTGTCTATTGGTTAGCTTTTCTAGTAAGGCTGTTTCCCATACTACACCCTTGTGCAAATTAATTGAAACAAACAATGAATTTAAGTAGTTTACTGTACAGTACAAAACTCACATATACATGTACAAAACTCACATATATGTACATTAGTAACGGATATGACCTCCGCTATTTTTAAGCAGCATTTGAACACGGTTTGGCATGGAGTCTACTAGTTTCGAACAGTCACTGTTGATTTTCCGATCCCTGTACCACACTTGAATCAGCGCCTGAATGAGCTTCTCCATAGTCATAGTCTACAGCAGGGAGGTGACTTTTGCATATAGCCCACAAATTGTCAATGGGATTTACGTCTGGGGAATTCCCTGGCCAATCAAGTACCTGTGTTTGCTGCTCTGTCATGAATTTCTTCACCACTTTTGATGTGTGACAGGGGGCTAGGTCCTGCTACAATATCTCAGTACTGTCAGGATACCTCTTTTCCGGCTCTGGAATAACTCTCTTTCATAGAACCTCAACATATCGTGGTGAGCGCATCATTCCTTCTATTGGCTGCAGGCTTCCAACACCATAATGATCAACTAAATTTTCGTGTTTGTTTTGAGTACAGGATTACGAGTAAGATAGAAAACATGCTTTGTTTCCATTAATTTGCACAAGGATGTATTTGATAGCAGTGTTCCATGTTTATTCCTGACAGGTCCTTCCAGTGTCTGGCTATGATGTTTCTGGCTGCTGAGGGGGTTATGAGCTCTTTATGGTGTGAGTGAGCATTGTTATCTTGGAAGATGTTCAGTAGGGCCAGTTCTGGGGTGACTTCTAGTACCTGTTTAGTTATTTTGCTTATTTCTTGTATGACTGTTGTCCCTACGCCACCCCAGCCTCTCTCACCACCAAGGAAACATAACAAGTGAATAGAAAGAGAACCTACCCAAGTGACACTGACACAAAAACCCGGCGAATACCCTAAGTAAAAGAACATAAGCTTTACCACCCCACCCCCGCTCCCATCTCCCTCTTTTCTTCCCAACCCTATACTGCATATAACACCAATGTCTCACAACAAATGTAACTGATCTGTAGAAAACACAACCTGAAGAAAGAGACAATGCATGTGCTTTTGTAAACGAGGAAAATCTTTAATAAAAAATATTTATATAGATATAAAACTAAAGTGGGATGGATAAACTCCTCCTACATTCAGTGTGTGGGGTTTTTTTTTTTAACACACACAAACACAGAGCAGAAGTGGGAGTCGTTTGGTTATGAGGGTAGCATTCAGAAATAAGTCACAAGACAGAAGACTTTGCTAAGTTGTAAACCCTTTGTCAGCAGCAGACTGGTGCTCCTCCATTTTGATTCTACAATGTTCCTTCATCAAAAATTGGCCCCTTCAACTGCCATGGGCTTGAGTCAGCCACTTGACAAGTTTTGTCACAGTCAAGACAGTTGAAAAACAGAACTGAGTCTGAACTCAGCTCTCATGTGCTTCTGAGGGTTCAGTGGGTTCCTCCCATTGTTAAATCTCTCTGCAACTAAAAGATACTGGGCATTACCTTTGGAAGGAAATAGAAAGTCGATAAAGGAAAGAATTGAAGTCCATCTAGTAGAAGTACAGGTGCTGTATTTTGCCCGCATATAACCTCCCACACAACACCAAATCTATTACAGCAGTTTGTGGAGTTCTTCAGTAGTGCTGATTGATGAGAATTCAGCTCCATACACTCCACTCTCTTGCTCAGCTTACCATAGCAAGAATACATTGTTCAATATTTAATTAGCCTTTTACACTGTTTTAATCCAATTAACCCAGCATACTGCCTAATGCGTACTATTTAGGTCCTCTCAATAGGCTGAGAATGGGCTCCAACAGGCTAGGGGTGGGGGGTGGGGAGTGATCGCTGGGAAATAGCACTGCCTCCTCCAGCAGGGTCAACTCATCTCCAGAATAAAAAACAAAACAAAAAGTAGATCACTTTGCCATCAACCTATTGAGCCCAGTGTTGTCTACACTGATTTGTAGTTACTCTCAAGACTGCACTCACTGTTCTATTCAATATCCTTTTAAACTGGAGGAGACCTTCATGCTGGAGTTGTAGGGTGAGGACTATCATCTTGACCTGCTTACATGGATCTTTCATACCCACAGCGTGAAAGACCTTCTTGGAAAGTACAAGGGGAGCAGTAAATAACTTCAGGAGAAAGCATTAGAACAAAGTCATCAGAGGCACTAAAAACATCAGCCCCAAAGCACAAAATGATTAACATAACCAACAACATTTTATGATCCCTTTCGGTTCACCCTGCCAATAAATTCCTATTTCCATGAACTGGTTGATCAATCCAAATTGACCTCCACCTTTTAAAGTGCAAGGACAACTAAAAAGTGTACCTACAGCCTATGAACGGAGTCCTAGAGAATTCCTGCTCACTCCTATGAAGGGCATGTCCTCAGAGGGCTTAGCCTACATATGCAGATTACTTGATTTTAACCTGCAGGAACTCTTTACTGGTGACTTTATTATTTACAGAGAGAAGTGCTACAAATGTGCTCCCCACTACACAGTCTGAAGTAGTTCTGAGGACCTCTGATTTATTCTGCTGCAGCTTGTAAGAACCTAAGAAGAGCCCTGCTGGATGAGGCCAATGACCCATCTAGTCCAGCATCCTGTTCTCACAGTGGCACAGCCCCTTCTGGGATGCCCATAAGCAGGACCTGAGTACAAGAATACTCTCCCCTCAGGGGTGCCATCTCCTAGGAGCTGAGCCCTTTTGCCCTCCCAATTTTGGGGGGAGGGCCCCCAAGTCCAAAAGCAGCAGAGGCGGCCAAGCGTGGCGTGGCTTCAGTAGCTGGCTTCTCCTCCTCCAGTCATGGAGCAGAAGGAGCAGGGAAACAGACCCTGATGGTGGCAACAGCAGTAGCAGCATCTGCCATTGAAGCCGGGCTGCCACTGCACTGCTGCCACGTTCGGCTCTGCCCCCAGCTCCTCCAACATCCTGACATCATGTACCACAACCCCCCCCCCCCCAATTCACCTTCAAAAGCTGGCACCTCTGTCTCCCCTTCCCTGTGGTTTCTAACCACTAGTATTCAGAGGCAGACCACCTTTGACAGCAGAGGGAGAACACAGCCTTATCCATCTGTCTAATCCTCTTATAAAGCTCTGCAAGTTGGTTGCTATCACCACCTCCTGTGGGAGGGATCCAGCTGTAGATTCTGCCACAGCAAGCTGCAAATGTTTTAATTTTATTTAAAACATTTACACCCCACCTCTCTGCAAGCAGAGCCCTAAGCAGCTAAACTGAAAGAGAAAATGGATTTTTACAAGTGTTAGTTCTCTGGCTGGATAGCTTCATTTCATAAGACAAGAGTGAATGGCCGCAGAACTTTGGTGGGAAAGTTAGACATTTGCCTGGTTGCATTTTCTAACATATTGACTGCCAAAGCCAACAAGCTACAAATAATGTATCCATCTATAATGGGAGGAAGAAGAATTCCTGGCAAGCATAATTGTTGCTAAAAAAATTAAAAGGCACTGGCAAAAATTTGGGAGGGGATTATGCGATTAGAAGGGGGAACTGGGCTGCAAGGGGGTAAAAATTCACTGGCAAGAAGAGTTTGATCAAAAATGCTGATGCTCAGACTTTTAGAAAAGAGGCCCTGTGTGACATGCTCCATTGCTGAAATAGCTTGATTAGCCTTTTAAAACTTACCCTCCCACATTTGGCACAGAGGGATTAACGTTTCCTATAAGAAGCCACTGGACTTGATTGCCAACCTCTGTAGGAGTGAAATGGTCAGGATTTTCACCCTCATGTGATGGGCATGCAGGACATTTTAAAAAATATTCTTAAACCCGCATGTTATTTCTAAATATTTAATTGTCTCTGGCACAGTGAGCACCATTTGTTCAAAACATTTATTGAAAAATAAATGAAAGACCACAAAGCAGGCTCAAATCCTGTTGTCCTATGAATTCCTATGAAGTCCTATGAATTTCTATGAAGTCCTATGAAGTAGTAGTAGTAGCAGCAGCAGCAGCAGCAGCAGCAGCAGCAGCAGCAGCAGCGGTATCCCCCACTGCTGGGATCTTTGCACGAAAAGCATCCCATTGCCAAATGAAGCAGGCTGGAGGGTGGTGTGAAGTCAGCCCCGGTGCATTTCTCCAATTCCAGACCCTACTTGACAAGAAAAGAAAGGAGTCAAGTACCAATGCTTAACTGGGATGGGTCAGGGCTGTTTCCAAAGTGTCTGTGCTGAAGTTTTCCCAACAGAAGGCTTTTCTGCTTCCTCTCAGGTTTGAAATGGGATGCTGGACCACTAAGCATGTCCAGCTCACTGTCTTCTACTCAAAAGTTCCTTTCTGGGTAATTTACATGCTTGCACCTTCAGGCAGTTTCCAGGGTTAGAGTGGTGCTTTGTGCGCTGGAAAAACATACATCAGGCTCTCAATCTTGTTCTTTAGAAAACAGGAGAGTCACAAAAACTGCAAGGCCCCTGCAGCAACCTCTTGATCCAATCAGGATCTGAAAATAAGAAAACGGGTTGTTGGAGAACTAATGAGGAAAGGCGATAACGAAAGAGAAGGCCAATCATGAGACAATAGGGGGAAATGCCTCACAGTACAGTACACAGAATACCACCATACTTTTCCGTATGTAAGACTAGGTTTTTTAACTAATAATAATGTTAAAAAGGGGATAGTCTTATACAGGAGGGCAACCCCCCCCCCCCCATTTTCTTAATTTTGAGTCTTATACACGGGGGCATGTTATACACAGATAAATACTGTCTAAAGTGTTTTGAAGAAAATAATCTGGGGGTTAGGGTGGTGGGAGGCTCCACAAAGCACAGTGTTCTGTGCTCGCAAATATTCTTCACACATGTAATTATTTGCAAACTGTTACTGGGGAGCACAGATTTGCTTCAAAACATATTGGACCAAAGAAACAGCATTATATGCAACTTGGGATCTTCTTGCCTTTTCTTTCATGGATGACTTCAGTCTCATTATGATACACAAAAAGAGGATGACTCCCCATTCCAAGAAGTGCAACTTCTGGAATGAAATCTCAAGTGGATTTTGAAATGGAGAAATGAGAATCTATGACCTAACAAAAAGGTCAAGGTAAATCAATATCTGGGGTGTTTAGGCCTCACCCAGCTGATAGGAATGCTTGATAGGTGCCTAGGGTAGATCAATGCAGAGCCTGCATCTTTGCCCAGATCAGAAACTCAGCCAGACTCTGCCGCATCATCCACTCCTAGGTCTAAAGGAAAGAGCTCACCTTCTGGGGTTGGATTCCGCGCAATGCTGTCACGAAGCAAGCATCTTCTGTACACCAGGCTTTGGCAGGCTTGATAGGTAAGGAAGCACCTGCAGAAGTGGCAGAAGTGGGAAAAGAATTATGGAAAGGCCTTTGTGGTTAAAAGGATCAGATGCTTCTCAGAATGCCATCTGTGCCACCCTTCGGATCATAGCTGGAGGACATGCAGCCCTCCAGATGCTATTGGACTCCAACTCCCATCAGTCCCAGCCTGTAGAGCCAACTGTCAGGGTTGTTGGGAGCTGGAGTTCTGTAGAACTGCACAGGTTCCCTAGCCCTGTTTCAAATGATACCAAGAAAGGAAATACTGGACTGGATGAAATTAATTGAATTCTGCTCCCATGGGAATAATGAGTAATGAGTAACTTGCACAATAATTTCAGTGGGGCCTAAGATGAACTAACTTAGTCTAGATCCAAACTCTTCTAAAAAGAAATCACCAGTTGGATGTAAATGTAGAATACAACTAATGAAAGCAAATCAGATTATCCAAGACTAGTACAGGAAAAATATGAATTTCTTGACTGGGCAGGAAAGCAGGTAAGACACATAATTCATCTCTCCTATAAAGTGGGGAAAGAAAACATTTAACCACTGTAGCTACAATGATAGGATTGCCTCCAAATCTCAAAATTTTGTCAAGCAAAATTTCCACTAGTTTTGCCCTGAGGCTTCAAGATCAGTTTTGATGGCCTGGGCACAGAATGTTAGCATCTTTTAGCAAATACACTCAAAATAATGATTCAGATGACATTATTTTTCAAACATTGTTGGCATGGTAGAACTATCCTGCATAATCTGAGGTAGTGATGCCAGTTACCCACCTTACTGAAACTAGCTGGCCACGTTGCCCACCTACCAGTATTTGAGACTACCACATTGTTGGTTTACACACATGTTTTTAGGGGTATACAAAAGTTTTTTAAATGAGTACATTTGAAAATACTGGGAAACTGTATCAAAAAATACTACATCACTGTCAGGGAGGCAATCGGGAAACACTAGTTTCAAATCAGAACAGCCAAGAGTCAACAGCACATTCAAAGGCTTACAAGTCTATAATGACAGAAACTTTGGTGGAACAGAATCCATTTGGTCAGATCTACCACAGGTTTCAAATCAATATGGCAGCAACAAACAATTCTCCAATAGAGTTTTACATGAGCACAGGCAGGTAACATACTCCAAATCGGCTCAATATTCAGCTTCAGCACTTGTAGTTTCATGGTCAGATTCCGATTCCTATCCCTTTGGCTAATTTCTTTCAATTTAATGAATCTATACCCTTCGTTTCAGCCCATCTTAGGCTGCCAAGGCAGCTTCTTGGGATAAAACACATTTCACACACACCAAGAAACAAGTACAAAGTTAAAAGCATTTTAAGTTGACATAATTTTAAAGACAGTTTGGGGGTGGGGTGCAGATTTACAGGTCTGTCCAAAACAGCACATGCTGGGAAACACCTCCGGGTGTTGAATGCCCACTTGCCTCCCAGGAACCTCAAAAGCGATACAGTGGTACCTCGGGTTAAGAACTTAATTTGTTTTGGAGGTCCATTCTTAACCTGGAACTGTTCTTAACCTGAAGCACCACTTTAGTTAATGGGGCCTCCCGCTGCTGCTGTGCCGCTAGAACACGATTTCTGTTCTCATCCTGAAGCAAAGTTCTTAACCTGAGGTACTATTTCTGGGTTAGCGGAGTCTGTAACCTGAAGCGTATGTAACCCGAGGTACCACTGTACACCACATTCCAGTGTCTGTTGTGAACAAGATGGCAATGAGGGAAGTGGCAAAAGTTAGGCACTCAGGCACACAACTGCCAACAGGCTGAAATAGCATTGAAAAGAAATTTCAAACTGTCTGCGTAAGAGCCATACTTCTCCAGCCCGTGCAAGCAAGCACCCTGCCTGTTTGCAGACTTTCTCAGGCAAGCAGAGATCAACATGATTCTAACTCTCTGCTCCCCTCGGCATGCAGAAAGGCATTTCACAGCCACTGATAAACACCTGCCCCCTCCCTCCACTTGGCTAAATCAGAAAGAAGGGAACCTGACAGCGCTTGCTTGAAGTTGGGCTTACCTGAGCCAAATGTGTCCGTTGGAGCAAACTGCCTGCTTGCGATCTGTGAACGGCAGGATCTCTTTGCACAAGCTGCAGTGCTCTGGGAAAGTCTGTTTGTTCATTTTCTTTAAGATATGCCCAATCAGCACCTGGGAACACACAGCAGCAGCAGTCAGTAGCAGCACTTATAGGAAGAGACAGCTGCCTGCTGAAAGGTGGGGAAATCTCACAGGAGTTGTGAGGCGGGCTTTCTGAAGAACACAAGATGCAAAAGCCCAAGCCCTGCTTAAAAAGGAATACAACAGAATGAAAAAGCAACAAAGGCGTCTCAGGCATGCAAAATGCAGAGTGAATGACTTCTCCGCATGCCGCTCAGGTAGTCTGAGGAACTTAATTGCCCTAACCCCCCACGCATTTCGGAAGAAAACTGATGGTTGAAGGTAAATCGAAAAGAGAGGAGCTTTGCCTCAAAGCGCATGTTACCACTCAAGAGAACATGATAAAATATTTTTGAACACTCTTTCTTATGTCAGCAGAGTTTCAAGTCTTAGCTACTTAGGAAGCTGCAGAAAAATACGGGATTGTGGCAACCACGGAACTGCACAATTGTTATTTATGTAGAACCATCAATGGAGGCAGGGCTCTATGGACCACCTGCTCCCACATCAACCAAGCAGAAAGATCTTTTGCTGTGGCTCTTAAAGAGTTTTGCAATCATCACAGATTAAAAAGGAAACAAAAGAGACGGCTTCTTCATCTAGGGTATCCCAAGCTGGGGAACTCTCCTGAAGTCAGGAGTGGTCAGTAGGGCAGGGTGGTAGTGCTTACCTGGCTTCCCAATTCCAAGGTTGCTGCTAGTTAACAGGAGGAAGAAGGGAGGTTGGCATGGTGCAGGCATCAGACTGGTTGCACCCTCCCAGTGCCAACCTCCTGGCCACCTGCACCCTTCCCCTGGTACATGGCAACGATCTTGGTGTTGGGAATCCAAGTAAGCCTTGCTGACTGCTCCAGCCTTAAGGAAGCTTACCTGGCCCCCACTTTATTATCTAGAAGGCATCAGCTTCATACATTTTTATTCTCTCAGACACGGTAATGGTTTGTACTTTAAGATCATAATGGAAGGAATATACATTTTAAAACCACTGGAATTGAAGTTGGGGTTTTGTTTTTTTTTACTTTCCAGTTTAATTGCTATTTTGTGTACAGGCAGCCCCCCGTTTATGCACATTCAGTATGCCTGCTCATGTATATGCGAATCGCACCGAACCTGGAAGTGACTTGGAAAGGTCATAAAAACATCACTAAAAGGTGGGATGAGAGCAGAGCAGGGGTGGAACATGGTGTTTGCAGGTTTTTTCGATGGGTTTCAATTAAACCCCATTTCACCAATGTGTGCAGTGCCTCGGAACATAACTCTGCGTAAATGGGGGGCTGCCAGTATTGTGCTAATTATGTTATTTGTTACCTTCATTCGGTTTTATTGCATATTTTATTACTGTTCTGTTTTAAACTGTACTGTAAGCACCCAAAGTTGAATATTGTGAAGGACTGTATATAAATACATTAATGAAAGTAAATAAATAAGACATAAGCAAAAGGTCAGGTCCCCTGCCCCAAGGATCTTACAATTAATATGTCAACTGGAGAGGCAGCAGGGGAAGGCCCTAGCACTCCCTCCTGAAAAGTATGATGTTTTGACTTCTACAAATATTTACTGATTTTATTTAGGATATTAATATACCACTGGGTAACTCACAAGTTTTGAAAGCAGTTTATTTGTTAAAAAGTGGCTTACAAGTAGGTTTCAAGAAAGTTGCTCTCAGTCCAGTTTAGCATAAGTAAGCAGTCTCCTCTGCCTTACAGACTGTCTATACAGGTGCCACTTGTCTTGGGGGGGACAAGCAACCCTTTCCCACCCCAACCCCGCCAGACCAAATTCAGGATCAGATAATGCCCAGGCCAGGAGGACAAGGCAGCTCCTGCCACACAGTTCTTTCCTCAGACAGGTGATTTGATGGTAGTTAGAATCGTCACAGAAAGGAAGTGACGCAGAGTTGTCTGTGGTAGTTCTGGCCTTACCAAAGAGCACCTCCCCTTTGATCCCTGATGAGATCTGGCATTAGATCAGATCAACAAGTCCACGATATTTACAGAAGCCAGTAACAGAAGTTGTGATCCTCTGGCAGACCCTCAAGAACTATTAGGAATCCAAACTATAACTTGCTAATATGGGCAGGTGGGACCTGCTTTCTTCGCCAGGAGCACAGTCAGGGCTACCAGATCTGCCTAGTGAATAAGGACAGATAAACACTGAAGGGCATCAGAAGCCTGCACCAAAGACCTAGACACAGTAGCCTTTGACTTTTCCAGATTAGAGACCCATCTTTTAAAAATTTTAATATGCACCAAGGTTTACAGCTGGCTTTTGAATTGAGGTTTGTTTGTCACACATAACAAGAAACTATGGTTGCTTCGCTGATTGCACAAAGAGAGGAGCAAAGAGCGAGAAATGGGGCTGTATGTGTATACATGAAGCTGGTGCATATCCTGGTTTCTTATGCCAGGATTTGATAGGGCAAACTAAGCCATGCTATCCTACTGCAACCCAACAGCTTTTATGCTGGGATGCACTTACCCTTGCTGTCCTGTCATCATAACTTTCATCAGACATTAAGAAGTCGCAGACTCCCCTCGTGGGAATGCTGGTGTTCTCCGTAATCCATGTGTGCAGGTAGACTTCGCCCAACACTTGCTTCATATGTTCCCGTGTCAAATGCATTTCTACTGCTTCAATCTGAGCTTGGATTTCAAGAAGCTTATCTTCCATTGGCTCCCGTCCTCCTATGTCACTGGAGTAGACAAGAGAGTCATCTGCCAGATCATCCACATCTGCTCCTCGGATTATGTCGCTTGGATTCTGCTTGCTGCCCTGTTTTGAAGTGCCTTTGTCTTGTTGATGCTCTTCACTGGTGCCCATCCCAGGGGAATGTGCTATTAAGACTTTTGTGTCCTCATGGGTTGGCTTCCACAGGGCCTCAGAGGGAGCCTTCTGCAGTGACTGGTACAAAATCCGCAAGAGAAACAGTTTAAAGCGCCAAAAATAAGTGGACCCAAAGCTCTCAATCTTTTTCTCCAAGGCTTCCTGTAGGAATCGTGGAATGTGCTTATCTTTCAAGATCTTCCAGCGGACAAGATCCGTGAGGTCAACCTGCTTGAAAAGGTTTTGGACAGATGATTCTAGCAGCTGGGCTGCTGCCTCCTCAAATGTTTTAAGAGTCACAAACTGGACCTGGTAGCTCTTGGTGATAGGGTGGAGGCCATTGGTCATGCCTTCTGTGGTCACTACCGCCAGGTACACCCCACACGGGCTCACTGCGATCCCGTGAGTCCGCACAGAGCCAAGCACTTCAGACAACTTTATCAGCTGGTGCTCAAATTTCAATGCAACATCCGTGAAGATGGGAATCAGCTGCCTGACCTTCCCATCAATAGAGCATGTGTAGACGGTCCCATTCTGTTTGTCTGTTGTCATGGAAATGATTGGGAGAGAGTGGAGCCCTGTAACATGTGAATTATGAACATTTAAACCTGCTTTGGAAATTAAAAGAAGACACCAGAACACATAGCATCCTCTTGCGGCCACCACTAAGCTACAGCTGCATTTCTGATATGGGTGGTAGAGTGAAATGCTCTTGATGCTGTGTACAGGCAACTGGTCCATCTCTTGCCACAAAACCACTGGTTGCCTGAGGGTGAAATAGCCCTTGACTGCTTTAAGGTTGACGGGGAGGATTTTAACGGGTCCAAAAGCACTCCCAACAATGAGACCACTCATCTTCCTATTATTGTGCTCATATTCCCACCATGACAATACGCTGGGGGAAGTGATTCCTGACTCAATAGTATTGCAAGAGGTAATTGATTCCTTGCCCATAAATGGGAGCTGGAACTGCCAGATGGCAATATTGCCATTGTCAAAGATTCCGGCTAGCAGCACGCTGCCCACATCCCGACACTCATTATTATGCTTCACCTGTTGGGTGGTGCAGATTCCAGACCATTCCATGCGCACGAGGGTCTGCATGCTGTGCCTTCTCTGGAATTCAGAGAAGTCCCCTAAATCCACCCTGGGACCCTCACCCTTACAAAGCCGGTAGCCGTTCTCAAACAGGCGCTCTCCATAGAGCTCAGTCAGGTCAACCAACTGCACCCACTGAAGTCTGTCAAGGTTAGCGTGGATGGTCAACCTGTTGTCCATGGTTAATGCTGCCAGCAGGCATCTGCTGTTTGCATCACAGCCCAGCGGAGACCAACTGGAGTATCTGAAGCCTCGCATGGACGGCAGCGACTTCCCTTCGGGGTTAAACACCCTGTCCAACATAAACGTCTGGCTCACGGTTGGATCCTTAGAACTGGCAAACTTTTCCTTACATTCAGCAACTTCCTTTTTGGAACCAACCTGTAAAAGAATAAGTGTGTTAAAAAAAATAACAATTAAACATTTTACTAGCTTGTTCAAAATGAAGGCTGGTGTAGCAGCTTAAATGTATATAAATGAGCTACTTTTAGCAAAAGCCTGGTGCAATACTGGTGAAAACATCTGATCAAGCAAGCTCTTGCCACAACTTTGAACACTCTAGCATTAAATACCGTAAGAGCAGCCCAGTAAGATCAGACTGAAGACCTATCTTAGGGAGGTCCAAATTTTTATACCAAGTGGGCGGCTGTAGTAGTTTGACATGGAAACTGTGAGCAGCACACTGCATGTGGCCCTTGGGCTGCATGTTGGACCACCCTGGCACAATAGCCACCTGCTGTCATTGTTCCCCTGCAAATGGTGCAGTATTCAGAAGCCTCTGAGCCTGGAGGTAATATAACCATCATGACAAGTAGTCACTGATAGCCTTATTCTCCATGAAGTTGACTAATCTCCTTTTAAATCAGTCCAAGTCAGTGGCCATCACTACACCATGTGACAGCAGATTCCATAGTTTAAGTACATGCTACACCAAGAAGTCCCTCTTTTTGTCTGTCCTGAATCTCTCACCATTCTGTTTATTGCATGACCCCATTGGGTTCTATTCTTATGAGAAAAGGAGAATATTATTATAACTTATTCTTATTGCCCACCTTTGCTCCATAAAGAGGCAAAGGCAGTTAACAATGATCAAAGTAATAGAAATTATAGAACTACAAACTGTTATATTTATCACATTTCCTTCTGGCTTTGTAAGAACAGAGCAATAGCCCTCCTGGATCAGACCCAATGCCATGCAATTCAGCATTCTGGGTTGTATTACAACTTGGTTCTACTCAGAATACTCACTGAAACTGATATATTTATTTCATATTTTATTTATCTCATAAAATTAATACACTGCTTGATTGCTTTTTAAAAAAACAAAACCCTAAAAGCAGAGAGGACTAAAATACATTCATTTTAGGAGATCTACTTTAAGTAGAACTAAGTTGGATACATTCCTCTGTTTCTTGCTGCAAGCAAGCCAAGGACACTCAGAAGTAGGATATGAAGACAATCACATTCTCGTTTGTCCTTAACACCCGATACTTAGAGGCAGTTATCATGACCCCATAGCCCTATCCTCCATGAATCTGTCCAGTCCTTGTCAGAAAGTAAGACAGTGTCAGCAGGATTGAACTAAAAGTCTATGGAGTCAAGCTTCCTGTCAACAGTAGCCAACCAAATTTATTTTATTTTACTTATCTTTTTTCATAAAAAAACATTTTTATGCCACCTTTTAGGCCAAAGCAATTTGTGACACACTGAAAATCAGTACAACAACTAAAACACTGTTAACAGAATCATTCAGAGACTAAAAAAGCAAGGAAAATGGAATGAGAATATCAACCGCCCAATCAGCCATTGCTGAACATCAGATGAAATAAAAACATTTCTAGCTGCCTGCCTAAAAGTCAACCGGGATTAGTCCAATCTAATCCTATTTGGGGAGCGAATTCTACAGCCCGTGAGCTGCTGAAGAAAAGGCCCTGCCTGGTATTCCCAACCACCAAAACCTGTTCAGAAGGTGATTGTAACCTATGAGCCATTGCAAATGAGAGGAAGAAGTCTTTCAGATATCCTGGCCCCCTTGAAGAGGGCCTGGAAACAGAAGCCATTGCATTCCTATCACCATCAGTCCCAGCCACACTGGAAAATGGTCAGGGATGATGGGAGCTCTAGTCCAGCAAAATCTGGAGAGCAGTAAGTTTCCCATTCTTGATTTGACTAAAAGTCATTTGACATGAGGAGGGAGGGATTGTGGCTTTCATTTAAGAGCCCTCTTACCATCTCTCCCCACGCCCAATCATTCAAGAATGAGACTAGCAGTCAAGCCCACATCTTGCAGCAGTTAAATTCCACATGCTGGCCATGCCTTGTTCTAAATATGTAAAGCGTGGAGGTGCACAGACTTCAGGTTTGTGGGATCTACTTTGTTTTAGGTTTTTTTTTTTAAAAAAATAGAACTCTGAGTTAATAAACCAAACCAGCTATGATGTGGAAGACAAGCACAAGAATATCTGAGCCCGGAAATGAAAAGAATTCCTAACTTTTCACCCCAAAATTCACTTCTGATTACCCAAAGTTTTCTTCATTTCAGTAGTAGCAAAGGGTGGGACTTATTTCACTGCTGCTGTTAAAACACCTGAAATCCTTCCAGAATTATTGCAAACCACCCAGAGATCTGGTGGTTCCACCTGGTACGGAGGCTAAGACCCTACCTGCCCGCAGACTGTCTCGCCAGAGTGGTGCATGCTCTAGTTATCTCCCGCTTGGACTACTGCAACGCGCTCTATGTGGGGCTACCTTTGAAGGTGACCCAGAAACTGCAATTAATCCAGAATGCGGCAGCTAGACTGGTGACTTCAAGTGGCTGCCGGGACCACATAACACCAGTCCTGAGAGATCTGCATTGGCTCCCAGTACGTTTCTGAGCACAATTCAAAGTGTTGGTGCTGACCTTTAAAGCCCTAAACGGCCTCGGTCCTGTATACCTGAAGGAGCGTCTCCACCGCCATCTTTCAGCCCGGACACTGAGATCCACCACCGAGGGCCTTCTAGCAGTTCCCGCATTGGGAGAAGTGAGGTTACAGGGAACCAGACAGAGGGCTTTCTCGGTAGTGGCGCCCACCCTGTGGAACACCCTCCCTTCAGATGTGAAGGAAATAAGCAGCTATCCTATCTTTAAAAGACATCTGAAGGCAGCCCTGTTTAGGGAAGCTTTTAATACTTAATGCTGTACTGTTTTTAACATTTGATTGGGAGCTGCCCAGAGTGGCTGGGGAAACTCAGCCAGATGGGCGGGATATAAACAATAAATAATAATAATAATAATTATTATTATCTACCAGGAGATCTACCATGTGGTGTAGTGGTTGGTGTTGGACTATGGAAGAGGTGCAGGAAACCCTTTTCATCCTTTCATAGGGAGGATATGGCAGTGGTAGATGGGGCCAGAGGACAAGTGGGCAGAGCAGAAACAACAAAACTTTTGCACGTTCCAGTCATTCAAATATCAGAGGTTTCAACTATCTGACTTTTCTACCCAGGCAAGAAAGAGGCAGTTTGAAGGCACATTTCAGTGAGGCAAAAAAAAGGTGTGGAGCAGGATATCTGAGGGTTTGTGGCCTGAATAGGGGGTGTGGTCTAGGGAGAGTTCCAAGGGCCAGATTGAGTGGGGCCTGGGGCCACATTCATGCTCCTGAGGTCTCCTAACCCTAGACTAGGATCTGTAAGACTCAAATCACCACTCAGCCACATAAAGCTCATTAGGTGACCTTGGGCCAGCCTGTGTTTCTCTTTGCCTAACCTAACATGCTGGATTACTGTGAGAATAAGGATCGCTTACTTCATTAAGCAGAGAGTGGAAGAACCATGTTAAGCTACTTTGCTCCCCTTGCAGAAAAAGCAAGGTCTGCATGCGATTCCTGCATTGCAGGGGGTTGGACTACATGATTGGGGGGGGGGGGGTTCCTTCCAACTCTATGCCATTTGAGAGCACAGGCTGCGCTTAACGTTAGTCCTACTGAGAGTGAACTCCTTTAAAACAGACACACCTCCGCATATTGTGGCGGTGGGTTCCGCTGGTTGATCATGCACACGCCGTGCATGCCTAGACGCGGCCGCCCATCCCACCCTGCAGCGGTCGCCATCCACTGCCCACCTTGAGGTGACAGGCGGCGGCGGGGGCCGGCACGGCCGTGCGGTGGATGACGAGGTCAGCGCCGCTGCTTCCACCTCCTCCTCCGCCGCCGCCTTGGACGTCGCTGAGCTGCTCCAGGACGGCGATGCTGCGGGCTGTGCAGACCGACACGCGGTGGTCCTCGGACCAAGCCAGCGGCTCCACACCGCTCACGCCGTGCTGCAGCCGCACTGCCGGCTCGCGACGCACCGCCGTCAAGCGGAACCCCGCGCTGCCGCTGCTCGGTCCCGCCGCCTCGTCGTCTTCCTCCTCTTCCTCTTCTTGAGGCGGCTCAGCCTCCTCCTCGTCGTCGTTCCCCTCCGTCAGCGGCGACGCTGCCGGCTCCACTGCTGGGCTTCCCTCAGCTGCCGCCATCGCCATCTTATCGCCGCCTTAAAGGCCGCGCGACCCTCCCCTCCACCCCCGCGACGCTCCACCGCCGCCAACCGTCACTGCCCACCATCCGAGCACAGAGAGCCCATGCGCCGCCGCGCTTAGCGTGGCCTGCGAGGAAGGACCTTCGTTTATCTCTCGCGTGTATGGGCGGGGGGAGGGAGAATCCGTTCGAGGGGTGTCTAATTAAGTGCCTGAGAAAAGGAATTTGGATTTTTGAGAGTGCGGGTGTTTTTTGGTCTTAGCAGAGGAAGGCAATTACGGTATTTTATTTTATTTTGTTTAGTATCCCTGCGGGTCTTTAACCAAGCATTAGTTTAATTTTTTGTTCTTGTTACTCGCCCCCCCCCCCGGGCAACTCAAAACGATGTACATACATTCAAACTAGCGTAAAAAAAAGTAGAGAACAAAAGGAGTGGCTATGCAGGCGTTGCTAGGTTACGCTATTATTTTATGTTGCTTTTATTTATACCTCAGCTACTTTTCCTTCTCCCCGTTTTGCCCTCACAACAACCCTCAGAGGTAGGTTAGCTAGGCTGAGAGTGGCTGACCCAAAGTCACCCAGTGACCTCCATGGCCGAGTGGAGAGATTTGAACCCTGGTCTCCCAGGTCCGACACTAGATCCACTACAGCACACTGACTCTATTATTAACATTATCATTTATGAGACCACCAGCCTCAGGTTCTAGGACAGGTTATAACAATTAAAACACTATGTTAAAAACGACTTGGAATCACATAAGATGGGTCCTAAAAATACACCTTTCAATTGTTTAAAGCGCGGAGGGGAATAAAGACCACAGCTCCTATTATCATGTTTTTGTGTGTGTGTTGTGAGTGTCCGCAACCAAAGTAACACGATTCAAACAGGAAAAACGGCCCTGCGGCACCTTAAAGACTAAGACACTCTCGATTATGTATAACTTTTCCTAACACAGAATCCACTACACTTCTGCTTTTCTGCAAGGGATCTTATTAGACACCTATGTTTGGGGTCCTTCTCCTTCCAACATACGCACGTGGGTGCTGGTGGGGTAATGACTCAAGTGTGCAAAACTCTGGGAGTCTGTATTGGGAGTTACTACTGCTGCTCCCCTAAAAGCCTGGTATTAAATCGATTTCTGGGTCCCCTAACTCCCTGTCAGAAGTGCTTCGATTCAAGCAGCCATGGAATGCGATGAGGGGCTGTTCATCAACGTCCGCCAGCCTCCTTCAGGTTTGCAGCCCCGCACTCAGCAGAGGACAGCCTCAAAGCCACAGCATGGCAAGGCAAAAAAGGTATGCTTGTTTGAGGTTGCTGGTGAGGGAGAAAGCGTTTTGGGGGAAAGGGGGCCGCCAGAGTGAACGGAGTTGGAGCAGCTCCTGTACCTACCTCAGTTGGGGCGTTTTAGTTTAGGTTGGGAGTCGAGTAAGGATGTGGGTGAGATGTTTAAATATATATATATGATCAAGGAGCTGGAGGAACTCCCCTAGTATTAGGAAAGGCTGCAACATGTTTTAATGGTTTTATTAATGTTTTACTGTGTTACAAAAGTACATACAGTGTCTTTGATTTAAATTCGTAGAGTTGAAAGGCTGCAACATTTGAGGCTAATTTATTTAAGGGAAAAGGCTGAGTAAGGGAGGACATGGTAGAGGTGTATACAATTATGCATGGTGTGGAGAATGGGTTTATCTACCCTTCTCATAAAACTAGAACGTGGGGTCATCCAAAGTAGCAGAAAGGTGGGAGATTCAGGGCAGACTGAAAGAAGGATTTTTTCACACAGGGCACAATTAAACTATGGGATTTGCTCCCACAAGTTGTACAGTGATGGTGGTCAGGGCAGTGATCTGGCCCTGGGGCACCAATCTCAATGGGGGGGGGTGCGCTCACATTATGACACTTGGTTTTTTGGGGAATTTGAAAAGTTCCTCAGTATGAATTAGATCATCTTGGAGAGCCATTGTAGTGTAGTGCTTTGAGGTGTTGGACTAGGACCTGAAAGACAAGGTTCAAATCTCTTCTTCTATGACTTGGGAGCCAGTCACTGCCTCTTGGCCTAACTAACCTACCTCACAGCATTGTTGTGGGGATTAAACATGGAGGAAGAGAATCATGTACACCACCTTGGAGAAAAAAGATAGGATATAAATGCAGCAAATAAATTATTTGCATATCTAAGCAAATAAGAGACATGATTTTGTAAAATATGTACAAGTTTTGTTAACCGATATAGAACCATAGGGTCATAGAATCATAGTTGGGAGTTCAAGGGTCATCTGGTCCAACATCCTGCAGTGCAAGATTTTGTTCTGTACATAATATTAGCAGTCATGTTGCTTGAAACTAAGGTTTTTTTTCATCAAAAATGATTTCATATCACAGAAAAAGACTGGAAAAGAATATGCCAAATTAAAAATATTTTGTTTGCATATGTCATAATCCTTTTGTGGCCATGTTTATTATAACGTGGTGCCTGAAAAGCTAGAAGTAATGTGGGGCTTTACTGTCCTCTGATAGGTCCTGGCAATGCCCCCAAACTAGGAGAGCTTTAAGTGGCAATAACATAATTAATAAATTTCCCCTCTCCATTATACTGCTGAAATATAATTAAGATTTTTAGGGAGCGGGGGCATGGATTTTTATGTGGCAGGATTGTGAAGTTAGTTTAAGTTCCGGTACTTAAGACAAATTCCTGAGCACCAAATTAATTTTATGCCTTTTGTATCAGGCTCTGGTTGGTGAATTTCAGGGTTTGCGTAAAAAAGAAAATGAAAAAGCCCTGCAGAAGTCTGCCCACCCTTGGTTTAAGTGAGCCAGATTCAGTATCTATAACAACACAACAGTAGAAGAGCTGTGCTCAATCAGGGTAGTCCAGCATCCCAGTCTCACAGTGGCCTACCAAGACACCCCAATGGGAAGCCTGCAAGCAGGGCCTGAGCACAAAAAGCAACACCAGGGGTCAGCAAACTTTTTCAGCAGGGGGCTGGTCCACTGTCCCTCAGACCTTGGGGGGGCAGACTATATTTTGGAAAAAATATATGAATTCCTATGCCCCACAAATAACCCAGAGATGCATTTTAAATAAAAGGACACATTCTACTCATGTAAAAACATGCTGATTCCCAGACCATCCGTGGGCCGGATTTAGAAGGCGAATGGTCCGGATCCGGCCCCTGGCCCTTAGTTTGCCTACCCATGAGCAACACTTTCCCTACTTGTGATTCCTAGCAACTGGTATTTGGAAGTATATTGCCTCAGACACTGGTTTGAACTTGTTGGTTTGCAACTAACCATACTTTGCATGAACCATGGTTTGGCAGTCCAAATGCCATGACAAATATGGTTAAGCAAAATCTTCTGAGTGCCAGGTCCCAGCCGCATGGGAGGTGGGAACCACACAAGCCTAGGCTCATTCCGACATTTGTTGCTGAATCTGTCCCCCTGTTCCATCTTGTTTTTCTTCCTTAAGTCTGGGCAAATAAAATTTGAATGCTCCCAGGAAGGGAATCCACTAAAGCGGAAGCCAGCTCCACCTTCGCCCCAAACCAGGAGACTTCAAAAGAAAGCTAAAAGTGGCATCAAAGAAGCAGGGTTGCCGAAGTTTCCTTCACAGAAGCCTTTAACTGATGCAAAGGACAGTGACGCCAGCGGCAACAGACCTTTTGTTAAGACTTCCTGCCTCTTCAAAAACAACCCTGAAATTCCAGACATTCAGAGGTACTTATTTTTAATCCCGCTTTTCTGATAAAATGTGGGTAACCAAAGGGAGGGAAAACTTCATGCCGAGGTGCAAAATGTGGCCCTCCAGGCCTGTCTGTCTGGCCCTAGGAGTTTCATGTAGACCACCCTCCCTAGCCACACCCTCTTTTCTTAGGCCACACCCTTAACTAGTCTTTCTTCACAGCCCCCTTTGATGCTTTTGCCAGGCTTGATTGTGATAACTACTCTTGCTTGTCTGGATAGAGAGGGATGTGTGAGTGTGTTTAGAAGTAGCCTACAAAGGTTAACAAAACAACAACAATAACAACAACAACAAGAATAATAATAATACATGAATTGCTCTGCCTACTTTTGCCTCTGACCCTGCCCTACCAAAGTGGCCCTTGCCATTGTGGCCCTTGCCACAAATGCATATGTTAGTCCCAGGTTTGGTGTACCTCTAGCACACTGGAAGCGCTCTCCCTTCTACAGAGTTGGAACCATCCTTTCTAGCCATGTTTCAAGGTTGCGACTTAATAAATTAATTCCTTCTACAGAACATCAGTGAAGCAAGTGCAGGAGAAAGTTTTCACTTCAGACTCCTTTGATCAGCTGGGCCTCCATCCCCATTTGGTGGGTACTTTATTTCTTTGTGCTAAGTCTCAGTAGGTGTAGGAGTAGTTAATGATATTTATTAATGCCTTTCCTCAAAGATCCAGTGCAACTTTACAAAAGTTCCTGTTCAGTTCCCAGCATACAGCACTAAAGCATTATTTATAATGTCCGCAATACTATTTTGGTGTGCAGAGGGGCCAGCTGCCTCATTTGGAATTGTTGTTGTTGTGCTAAATTAAATTTTTATACCACCCTGTATCCATAGCTGTCAACGTTTCCCTTTTTTAAAGGGAAATTCCCTTATAGGATTCCTCGCAAGAAAAGGGAAAAGTTGACAACTGTGCCTGTATCTGAAGATCAAAGGTGGATACTATGTTTTATCTGGTCCAGGGATGGGGAATCTGAAGTCCTCCAGAGGTTGCTGCGCTCCCACAATCTCTGACCATTGGCTCTGCTGACTGTGGCTGAAGGGAGTTGGAATCCACTAAATATATGAGGAGCCACAGATTCCCCAGCTGTATCACACTTTACCCTGTGGGGTGGGTTAGCTGGACCTTTCCCCTCCTCTGTTCCCCAGAATTAGATCATTATCATCATCGAATTAGAAGGGACCTTGGAGATCTACTCTAACTCTTTGCTTAATGCAGGATCGGAATTGCAGGATGCAGCATCTACAGCAGAAGTGGGGAGCCTTTGTCCCATGGGCCAAATTTTCCCATATGTTACTCCTTTAGTACAAAGTGGCTTGCATTGAAACTGCAGCTAAAACAAAAAGGGGTACTAAGCTCATTTTTAACAATGCCTTCTATGAAAACTTTGGCAGGTAGATGGGATGCCGCTGCCCCCCGGCCCCCCGTCAATCTTCTGAAGTTACTAGGGATTTGGGGGGGCTGGAACTCACTGGAACTGAGTTCTGCCACCTCTTTGTAGCATACTGGCTGCTGTGTCGGAGGTTTCAGGCTGCATGCAGCTCATCGCTTTGTGTCAGAGGCGCATTGGTGTTGATTGGGCAAAGAAGCATTTTTTAGGCTCCCACCCACCTGCCATAGTTGGCCCACAGATGTGGAGGCAGTCAAAATATCTGGTCCTGTAGGCCTAAAAGTTTCCCTCTCCCTGGAGAGATGGCCATCCAGCTTTTGATTATATATATCCAGCAAATGAGAGCCCACAACCTCCTGAGGGAGTCTTTTCTTAAACAGCTATTACACTCAGGGGTCAGCAAACTTTCAGCAGGGGACCAGTCCACTGTCCCTCAGACCTTGTGGGGGACCAGACTATATTTTGGAAAAAATATATGAATTCCTATGCCCCCCAAATAACCCAGAGATGCATTTTAAATAAAAGGACACATTCTACTCATGTAAAAACACGCTGATTCTTGTACAGTCCATGGGCCAGATTTAGAAGGCGATTGGGTGAGATCCGACGCCCGGGCCTTAGTTTGCCTACCCATGCTTGAGAAGTTTTCCCCTAATGTTGACTGTTCTCGTTAAAATATTTGTTGCTTTTTCTTCATTCTCCTCTCTGTTTTAACATTTTTGACATGATACTGGTTTGGCTATTTCTGTCCTATTCTAGGATCAAACATGTTATGCCCTAAATGTTTTGTCTCTGCCTCCCCACCAGGTTTCAACCCTAATCTCTGTCTTAAAAATATCTAGCATGACCAGGTAAGTGTGTGGGTGTGTAATTATTGCATGAATAGAAGTTTTTATTGTAAGTTTCCTAGAGACTGCCCTTGGTTTGATGACCTAACAAATCAGTTAATCAGATTTATTTTTGTTTGGAGAAAAGGCAGATTGGAAGAGACATGATAAATATGTAATTCTACATGGTGTGGAGGAAGTGAATCTTGTGATACTAGAAGTCGGGGATATCCAGTGAATGTTAGTTTTGGATGGCTGGCAAACTCTTCTTAAGATTTAGTCCCAAAGCCTGGGTACAGCACTGAGAAGGTCTTGTCCTAGGTCCCAACAGGGTGTGTTCCTGGGGATGTTGGGACACACAGGAGGAGCTTGGAAAACGGTCTCAATAGGCAGGCGCATGGTCCTTTGGACATCCCAGTTACAAACAATAACGGCCTTTAGAAGTCATCACCAGCACTTTGAGTTGGTGTAGGAAGCAAACAGGAAGCCAGTTTAGCTGTTTCCATAAGGGAGTTGCATGCTACCCATTAACAGCTTAGTCACAGCAATTGGGACCCTTTCTAATTTCCAGACTGGAGGTTCCCACTGCTGCACCACAGTATTTAAAGGTAGAGGTAAAGGGACCCTTGACCATTAGGTCCAGTCGTGACCAACTCTGGGGTTGCGGCGCTCATCTCACTTTTTTGGCCGAGGGACAGCTTCTGGGTCATGTGGCCAGCATGACTAAGCCACTTCTGGCGAACCAGAGCAGTGCACGGAAACGCCATTTACCTTCCCGCCAGAGCAGTACCTATTTAACAACTTGCACTTTGACGTGCTTTCGAACTGCTAGGTTGGCAGGAGCAGGGACAGGGCAATGGGAGCTCACACCGTTGTGGGGATTCAAACGGCCGACCTTCTGATCGGCAAGTCCTAGGCTCTGTGGTTTAACCCACAGTGCCACCCGTGTCCCTCAACCACAGTATTTAGTTAACCTATTATTATTTTAACAGATGTTAGTTACTTAACCAACTATTATGTATTGTGGGGGGTTAGACTAGATCAGGCACAGGCAAACTGAGCCCTCCAGATGTTTTGGGACTACAACTCCCATCATCCTTAGCTAACAGGACCAGTGGTCAGGGATGATGGGAATTGTAGTCTCAAAACATCTGGAGGGCCGAGTTTGCCTATGCCTGGACTAGATGCATTTTGTGGTCCCTTACAGCTCTACAGTTCTAGGATTTTATTATTTAACTATTAACTGACAATTACTTGACAGAGTGACTATTATCTCATTGACTATTATCTAACTATTAATTAGCTATCATCTAACAGATTGAACCAGCATCTTTCTAGCTTACACTAATGACCAGCCAGCACTGTTAGGTGAACTAGCAACTGTTACATTCTTAATACTTTGACCTAAAATAGAACGTGTCTTGTTTTTTCTTAACTTCTCCTTTTGTTGCAAAAGTGTTCAGAAGCAAACTATTCCCATACTATTGCAAGGAAAAGATGCGCTGGTGAGATCGCAGACTGGTTCTGGTAAGTGTGGGGGAGGGGTTGTGTGTGTGTATGTAGGCTGCTTGTTTGGGCTTTGCTTTAAAAGGGGGCCTACAAATAATTTTAAATACAGTCATACCTCGGGTTACAGCCGCTTTAGGTTGCGTTTTTTCGGGTTGTGGACTGCCGAAACCCGGAAGTACTGGAATGGGTTACTTCCGGGTTTCGGAAGTCGCACATGTACAGAAGCACTAAATTGCGCTTTGCGCATGCGCAGAAGCACCGAATCGCAACCCGCGCATGGGCAGACGCGGGTTGCGAACGCTGTGGGTTGCGAACGTGCATCCCACGCTGATCACGTTCGCAACTCGAGCATCCACTGTATAGTATAAAGGAGTAGTAGGTGACCTTTGACCCTCCAGATGCTAGGCAGGGACTATTAGAGTTGTCTTTCAGCAACACATGGAGGGGTCAAAGATTCCCTGCACCTGGTGTAAAGTGACCCTTTGGTTGTACTGCATTATGTGATGGTCAGTTGTGTGGGCACTCTGTTGTCTCAGGGATCTGACAGAAGTAGGGCAGTTGATTGATTCTGGCCCACCATGGAGAAAGAACAGTGGTGATGTCATTAGCAAGCAAGCTCTGTGCTAGATTTGGGAAGCCACCTTTGATATGGCGTGTCAATGGCTAAATGTCTGGTGCAGGGACAGGGAACTTGCTGCTCCTGTCAGTTCTAGCCAGCATGGCCAGGGGGAGATGGAAGCTAGAGTCCAACAGCATCATAGTTCTGTTGAGTCAATCCCAATATGTTCCCACTCAACCACTTCAATCACTGGAACTGGCAATGTTACAGGTGCCACAAAATACTTGTTCTGCACTTGTAAGGAATCAATCTTGTTGTGTGGTGGCACCTCCTGAGAGATAGATGGATGCAAAAGATGGAAGAATGCCTCTTATTTAGAAAAGACATTCCTCTCTTGAGAGATAGATGAATGCAAATGGTGGAAGAATTCCTCTTATTTAGAAGAGACATTCCCGAGACAGAGAGAAACGGGGGGAGGCTGTGGAACCTGTTTCCCTCTATGCATTGTTGGACTCCCAACTCCCATCAGCCCCAGCCAGGATGGCCAACAGACTGAGGATGATGGGAACTGTAGTCTGGCAACATCCAGAGGGTTCCCCACTCCTAATCTGAAGAATGAGGAGATATGTGAAATTGGTCTTTTATAAAGGCCTATGCTCTGGGTGAAAGGGACGCGGGTGGCGCTGTGGGTAAAACCTCAGCGCCTAGGACTTGCCGATCACATGGTTGGCGGTTCGAATCCCCGCGGTGGGGTGCACTCCCGTCGTTCGGTCCCAGCGCCTGCCAACCTAGCAGTTCGAAAGCACCTCCGGGTGCAAGCAGATAAATAGGGACCGCTTACCAGCGGGAAGGTAAACAGCGTTCCGTGTGCTGCGCTGGCTCGCCAGATGCAGCTTGTCACGCTGGCCACGTGACCCGGAAGTGTCTGCGGACAGCGCTGGCTCTCAACCTATAGAGTGAGATGAGCGCACAACCCTAGAGTCTGGCAAGACTGGCCCGTAAAGGCAGGGGTACCTTTACCTTACCTATGCTCTGGATGTAGAAGGCAACTGTGCCTTACTCCACACACAGTTTTGCTTATGACTGTTAAAATCTAATATCTTTTCTCTCGAAGGTAAAACTCTGGCCTACGGAATCCCTCTAGTACAGGCCTTGCAAAGAGCAGAGCCAAAAATAAAGGTGAGTGTGTTGAAATGGGCTTTCTCTCTCTCCACCTTGTAAAAAAGAATAGCCAGTTTTCTCAACCACTTCATATTTATCAGTAATTCTCACAACAACCTTGGATGATGTCTTTAAGGCGGAGAGCATTCCCCGCCCCCCCCCCCCGACCAAGGACTGCTGTTCTTGCGCCTTTCACTTATGGGAGGATGCTTGCTGTTTTAAAAATGACTATGAAGGTTGAGTTCGTTGGCATGACTTGTGGCTCCCTCAGAGATTTTCTGATAGTCCCTTGAAAAGCTCTTCTGGAAGCACAATGTGAGAAAAGAGAGAGATCCAAGCAGACTCTGGCACTGCGGGGAATTGTGGCACGCTGGGTTGGTCGAAGATGACAAGGGCTCTTTCCCTTCTCTCTCGCGTTCCTCTGTGTCCAATGTTGCCACTTACCCTACGCCTCTTGTTTCCATAGCGTGGTGATGGTCCGTATGCTCTCGTACTGGTCCCAACCAGGGAGGTAAGTTGCTGGGCATTTGAGGTTAACTCCCAACCACACCGGTTTCATGGTTAGTAATGTTGCTAGGGGAGCAGCAGGCAGCCTTCAACCTAATTGCTTGTGGGTAACAAGAAGAGAGGCACAGAGAGAGGGAAGGGGTGGTTGAAAGGGGGGAAGGAGGGAGAGAGAAGGGGTGGTGAGGAGAAGGGGAGGGGAGAGAAAGAAGGGGTGGTAGAGAGTGCTTGCTCTGAATGCAGAAGATCTCAGGTTCCATACCCAACAGGTCCTGGTAGGACTGGGAAGGATTCCCTGCCTGAAACCCTGAGGAGCTGCTGCCAGCCAGTGTAGACAGTGTTGAGCTAGCTGGACCCACTAGCCTGACTGGGTATACCACTGGAAGGAGTGCAGAAAGCAGAAATGCCATGGTGCATCTGCACTAGTGAAACCGGATACCTTCAGCGGCCCCACCTGCAATAAAACATGTCTCTCTCATATTGGCCTCTACAGCCATAGCAGACGCCATAACTCTCCAATGGTTTGACTTTACCCCCTATGGCACATTCTTCCACTGTCTCTTGAGACAGACAAATGCAAACCACAACAATAGCAAGAGAGCCGATGGCTTTCAACCATTTTGAGTCCACGGCTGCCTTGACCAACTCCATTCCTTCTGTGGCCCCCTGTGCGGGTCAGGAGCCCAGTTATGTCACCCCTTGCGTTCAGAGCTGTCGGCCTCTCACTCTTTTTCAAACACCCTCCTTTGTGGAGTGTTCCCTCAGCCTCTTTTCTTCTCTATTCTCGGGAGTCCTCCGGGCAGCTACTGTTACCGCCCTTGATCTCTGAGCTCCCCACCCCCTCTACCCCAAGGAGAGGTACCTCCTCACACTACCCCACAACGGCCTGGGAAGAGGATGCTCACAGCCTTAGTGGCCCATCAGAGATTGACCAAAGGTTAACATGGGGCCAGCACCTTACCTTGGGTGGCAGCAATGGGTGCTGCTGGGCCTGGCGGAAAGGCTCCCTTTCAGCACCAGGCACTCAGCTCCCAGGCAGGCCATGCACACAGCAAGAACAATAAAGGCCAGCGCAGCACCTGCCTGCCTGCTTGCCCGGCCTCCCACTTGTCTCTTCATTCCCAACAGCAAGGCTAGTGGCTGGCTGGGTTCCCTCACCCGCTTGCTTACTCTGAGGCCGCTTCAGCTCCTGGCAACCAGCACCCCCTGGCCAGCCCCAGAGGCACCATTGACTTAGGGAGCTTGTAGCCAGGGCTGCTGCAACAAACAACTGTGCAAGGCAGAGATGAGAGGGCATCGAGGAAGGGAAGGAAAGAGGGTCAGAGGCCAGTGTTGCTCATGACACCCCTGAGCATCATTCAAGGCACTCCAGGGTGCCACAGCACGCTGGTTGAAAACCACTGGTTTATGCCAAAGGAGAATGGTGTTTTAATGCAAATTTTGTGTGAATGTGTATTAATTTGGTTTAATCCCTTCTTTTCTCCAGCTAGCTCTGCAGAGCTTTGAAACTGTCCAGAAACTGTTAAAGGTAAAGATTTACTTTTGGGGAAGTAGGAGTCATTTTAAGTTCTGTGTTGTTCAACTTTTGATTTCCTGATGTTGTTGGACTGTAACTCCCATCATCTCCAGCCAGCTTAGCCCAATATTTAGGGATGATGGAAGTTGTGGTCCACAGGTGTCATGAGACCCATGGTTGAAGATACTGTTTAGAGAAGGAGATACGAGATAATTAGAGAGAAACTTGGGGTGCAGAGAGGTAGCCAGAGGTTCCTCAATCTTCTTCAGCTTTCCCCATCTGTCTTGGGATGGGGGATTCTGAATGGTCAAATTCAGCATACATTGGCCATGCTTGCCCAACAGAATGTAAAGTTTAGCAATGGTTCTGATACTGTACAGCCTTTGTATAGCACTGTATTAACGTATACGATAATGGGTGCATGTGTCTCTCTGTACCTACAATAGTTCCCTGGTCACTTGGAGACAAATGCATGCTTGCCGTAGGTGATCAGCTGTGCTGTTTAGGGGTGAGGGGTGCATGTTCATGTAACATTAAGCCATTGTTTAGCATTACTTCCTTACAAGACCAACGTCATGGACAAAGATGGGATCCTGTCTGCATTGACTTAAATAATGGTGGCTGGTGCCCATTGGGACTAGTGGGAAAGAAGGCAGGGACCCCATTCTAGTTTTGATCCCATCCTTCTCCCTGCTAAGTTCTGAAAGGGCAAAACTAAGACCCAGGAGGAGGAAGCTGACAGGCTAGATGAAAATAAGAAGGCTGGCAGTGAGGGCTGGCAGGAGGAAGATTGCAGAGGTGGGGCTTGAATTAGTTTGCTCTGCCTGTCTTAGGCTCTGTCTCTGCCTACAGTTGGTCTCCCTGCCTTCCACCCTACCATTCCCATCAGCCACCATTGCCTGGCTCTTTACGTCTCTGTGTGTACTGGCCATTCCTCCTGATAGAAAGGAGAACATGTTAGATCAGTGACATACAGAGATGCAGCAGAGACACTCCATTGTGGATAAGTGCCTTGTGCTTATGTTATTCTACAAGGGGCAACACTAGAGGCAGAAGCTGACAGCCAGGGCCACCACCCCTGGACGGGTTGTAAGGGAGAAGACAAGCAGGGGTGGACTGTCTGGGAGCAGACTGAGGTTAGTGAGGCATTGCCCCATTCATCCTAATGGGCCAGTCTCCACTGCTTTGAAATAACCCCTGAGGATTCTGGAGCACGTTCTAGGGCACCCACTTGATTCACATCACATCCTGGCCTGTGCCCCTTCTATCTTAAGCTGTGTGAACTGAGGGGGCTTGCTAAAACATATCCAGCTCTCCCCTAAGCTTTGCGGATGGCATGTGGATCATATATAGAGAGCAAGTGGGGTGGGAGGTGTTTGACCCTCCAGATGTTCCTGTACTACAGCCCCCATTATCTTTGGCCAGGCTTGCTGGGGCTGATGGGAGTTGTAGTTCAGCAGCAGCAGGAGGGCCAAAGGTTCCCCACACCTGATAATAGAGTCAAAAGGAACTTCAGAGATCACGTGGTCTCCTGGTCAATGCAGGAATCAGTGCAAGAAGACCACTAGGGTGTTGCTGGACTGTTTTTGTTTTCGAAGGAAAGCCTTTCTGCTTCCTGTCGCTCATTGTCGAACTCCCTGCCTTTGCAAATTGGTTTGAAATGTGAGTGCCCCACTTTCTCAGTTATCCACCACTCTTCCTTCCTTCCCCCTCCTCCATTTAGCCCTTTACCTGGATTGTTCCTGGCGTGTTGATGGGAGGAGAGAAGAAAAAGTCTGAGAAAGCCAGGTAGGACATCACTTTCATAAAACCTGTAGGGGTTATTTTTTTTTTTAGTTCACTCTTTCTCCTCCAGTCCCTTTCATCTGTCACTCTCTCTCTCCCAGGGTGCCTTTTTTTTATTAGTGGGGAGAGAGTGACTTTGGATCAGGCTGTGAGTACCCCCCACTGTGGATCTTACAAAAAACGGACAGCTGAGCCAGCAGGAAGTGTGTTCATCTTTCTCTCTCTGGTTGTAAAATGTTGATGAGCTTCTTTAGCCTGTGATCCCTGTCGGTGTGTGTAAGATTCTTTCTCTACTCTTCTCCGCTCCCCTCACCCCCCAAAAGATCTGCTGTTCCACCCAGGTCTCTTGCAAGCTCTTCTGTTTGCTCAACTGATGGGACAGGGAAGGACCATAGCTCAGTGGCAGAGAATCTGTTTGGCATGCAGAAGGCCCTTTGTTCGGTCTGCAGGTTGGACTGGGAATGTTCTCAGTGTCTGATACTGAGCTAGATGAACCCAATTGTCTGACTCGATATAAGGCAACTTCTTAAGACAAGAACTGGGATCTTGGAAGTTATTTTTTAGAGGAAAGGACTGTGGCTCAGTGGTGGAGCATCTGTTTTCCATACAGGAAGTCCCCCGTTCAATCCCTAGCATCTCCAGGTATGGTTGGGAATGTGCCCTGCCTGAAACCCTAGATGATGCTCAGCTAGAAGGACCAATGGCCTGACTAGGTAGGTATAACACAGCTTCCTATTTGTTTGGAACCATGTCATGCTTTTTAAAGAGGGAATCCTAGAATCATAGAGTTGGAAGAGACCACAAGGGCCATCGAGTCCAACCCCCTGCCAAGCAGGAAACACCATCAGAGCACTCCTGACATATGGTTGTCAAGCCTCTGCTTAAAGACCTCCAAAGAAGGGAGACTCCACCACACTCCTTGGCAGCAAATTCCACTGTCAAACAGCTCTTACTGTCAGGAAGTTCTTCCTAATGTATAGGTGGAATCTTCTTTCTTGTAGTTTGGATCCATTGCTCCGTGTCCGCTTCTCTGGAGCAGCAGAAAACAACCCTTCTCCCTCCTCTATGTAACATCCTTTTATATATTTGAACATGGCTATCATATCACCCCTTAACCTCCTCTCCTCCAGGCTAAACATGCCCAGCTCCCTTAGCCGTTCCTCATAAGGCATCATTTCCAGGCCTTTGACCATTTTGGTTGCCCTCCTCTGGACACGTTCCAGTTTGTCAGTGTCCTTCTTGAACTGTGGTGCCCAGAACTGGACACAGTACTCCAGGTGAGGTCTGACCAGAGCAGAATACAGTGGCACTATTACTTCCCTTGATCTAGATGCTATACTCCTATTGATGCAGCCCAGAATTGCATTGGCTTTTTTAGCTGCTGCATCACACTGTTGGCTCATGTCAAGTTTGTGGTCAACCAAGACTCCTAGATCCTTTTCACATGTACTGCTCTCAAGCCAGGTGTCACCCATCTTGTATTTGTGTCTCTCATTTTTTTGCCCAAGTGCAATACTTTACATTTCTCCCTGTTAAAATTCATCTTGTTTGTTTTTGCCCAGTTCTCTAATCCGTCAAGGTCGTTTTGAAGTGTGATCCTGTCCTCTGGGGTGTTAGCCACCCCTCCCAGTTTGGTGTCATCTGCAAATTTGATCAGGATGCCCTTGAGTCCATCATCCAAGTCGTTGATAAAGATGTTGAATAAGACCGGGCCCAAGACAGAACCCTGTGGCACCCCACTAGTCACTCTTCTTGGGAAGGACTGCACCAACAGTGCTAGAGCATCTGTTTGCATGCAGAAGGTCCCATGGTTCAATCCAGATGGGTTTGGGGATGACCCCTGCTTGAAACTTTTGAGAACTGCTGCCAATCAACGAAGACAATACTGTGCTTGAACCAATGATTTGACCTCTGTATAAGGCAGCTTCCTATGTTGCCATTTTGCAGTAAGAAAGTGTGTGTCTTTCTTAAGAGTCAGAAAAGGGCAGCTTAGATTATCTGTCTGGAACTACCTTGGGGTTCCACTCCCATTGGGCCCTTCAAGCATGACTAATGGTCAAGGATGACAGGAGCTCTTGCACAGCAACATCCAGAGGATCACCATATTGGGGATATATAATAATAATAATAATTTATTATTTATACCCCGCCCATCTGGCTGGGCTTCCCCAGCCACTCTGGGCGGCTTCCCAAAAAATATTAAAATACTGTAATACATTAAACATTAGAAGCTTCCCTAAACAGGGCTGCCTTCAGATGTCTTCTAAAAATCTGGTAGTTGTTGTTCTCTTTGACATCTGGTGGGAGGGCGTTCCACAGGGAGGGCGCCACTACCAAGAAGGCCCTCTGCCTGGTTCCCTGTAACTTGGCTTCTCGCAGTGAGGGAACCGCCAGAAGGCCCTCAGTGCTGGACCTCAGTGTCCGGGTGGAATGATGGGGGTGGAGACGCTCCTTCAGATATACTGGACCGAGGCCGTTTAGGGCTTTAAAGGTCAGCACCAACACTTTGAATTGTGCTCGGAAACGTACTGGGAGCCAATGTAGGTCTTTCAAGACCGGTGTTATATGGTCTCAGCGGCCGCTCCCAATCACCAGTCTAGCTGCCGCATTCTGGATTAGTTGTAGTTTCTGGGTCACCTTCAAAGGTAGCCCCATGTAGAGCGCATTGGAGTAGTCCAAGCGGGTGATAACCAGAGCATGCACCACTCTGGCGAGGCAGTCCGCAGGCAGATAGGGTCTCAGCCTGCCTTAGATCTTCTGGGGAATCCTTGCCTTAGATCTTCTGGGGAAATTCTGCTTGTGCAGAAGTCTATGAATATCACAGGGCGCTAAACAAGAAGCAGTCACCCCTGTACAGACACCCTTCCCTCTGCCATTTGTGAAGCAACAGCCATGAGCTGCTTCTTGTGAAGACTAATCTTTTTCCCGACCCGTAAGATTGGACCCCTTTAAAGTTTATCTTGAGTTCCTTATTTTTAAATTTGTTTTTACATGCTTTCATGCAACTGTTTTACTGATTTATGTCAATTTTTTCTTTCAACCATGATGTTTGCTATCTTTATGCTGTGTTCTACTTTTCGGGTGGGGAGTTCCCATGTTTGGAAAATGGGCAAGTTACCTGTTCTGGATGGGGTTGTGCTCCCTCTGAAGGACTAAGTTCATGGTTTGGACAGGGGTAGCCTCACTGCTATAGTCCATGCACCAGGAACCTTGAACCTAGATTACTGTAATGCGTTCTATGTGGGGTTGCTCTTGGATCTGATTCGGTAGCTTCATCTGCTGCTGAATGCTGCAGCCACATTGCTGATGGGAGTTCTGGGTCAAGAACATGTGACACTAGTATTAAAAAAGCTGCACGGGCTGCCTACCTGCTGCTGAGCCAGGATCAAGGTTCCTATTTTGATTTACAAAGTCCTGAACAACTGGGGTCCAGGATACCTCAAGGATTCTGGTTTGGAAGCAGAACTGAGGCTGGCTTGGCTCACCTGTGATACGAAAACCATGAACCTTGGCAAACAAAGAGGTTCATTGTGTTGTATGTGTCAGGATTAGAGATCACAAAGGGAGGAGCTTATGAACGAGGTGTGATCTTTTGTTAACAGTTAGCCTGTTTTACACATGTGTTCAATCACTCTTCTTCTATTTATTTATTTTTTTTAATTTAAAATAGATTACGCAAAGGAATAAACATCCTAATTGCCACTCCTGGCCGCCTGGTGGACCATATCAACTCCACCAAATGCATTCACTTCCGCCACATCCAGTGGCTGATCCTGGATGAGGCAGACAGGTAAGCAGTCCTGGCTGCATCCTCAGTTGTTGGAAGTAGCTGCCCATGAGGGAGGTGGGATCTTTGAGACAACACACAGCAGGTAAGAACATTGGAAGCTGCCTTATATGGAGTCTGTCTAGCTCAGCACTGTCTACACTGACTGGGGGTGGCTCTCCAGGGTTTCCCCCCAGCCCTTCCTGGCAGGAGATGGAAGGGACCAAGCCTGGAGCCTTCTGAGGATGCTCTGCTACTGAGCTCCCGTAATGCCAGGTTGCCACCATGAACCAGGAAAGTTGGATGTGTTGCTTATCCTCGTGCTGTTCCTTTCCCCCCCTTATCTCTCACCTGTGTTTCAGGATCCTGGATCTGGGTTTTGAGAAGGCAGTCACTGCGATACTGAATGCCATAAATGCTGACAGTGAGAAGCGGCAAAACGTTCTTTTGTCGGCAACGCTTACAGAAGGTATGCGCTACATTGGTGCTCATATTTTCATTGCAGCAGCCACTGTGGGAGGAGGGGCAGATGGGGAGGTTGACCAGAAAGTCATTGGTTGCAGGGAACTTCTTCCCCCACCCCTACCTGCACCCACGCAAGAGACCTGAGAGGGCTCCCAGCAGCTCTGGCAGGGGTGAGGGAACCTTTTTCACCCTGAGGACTGAATTCCTTTCTGGGCAGCTTTCTAGGGGCGACATGCCAGTGGTGGGTGGAGCCAGAGGCAAAGTGTGGGCTGAGCGCAAATGTAAATTTTACCTTTTTAGAACACACTAGTTTCTACACACACACACACACATGACCAGAGTTTAAGGATACATCCCAGCCAGGCTAAAGCACTCAAGAAGGGTATGGAGCAGAGCCAGTGAAGGCTGTGGTCTGGGGAGAGTTCCAAGGGCCAGACAGAGGCCTAGAGGGCCACATTTGTTCCTGGCCCTGAGGTTCCCCACCCCTGAGATACAGTTTTCAACCAGTATCTCATTAATATTTGTAAGCTCTTCTGGGAGCCATTTCATGTTGAAGAACAGGATAAAGAAAGAGTGATACTAAATAAATATTCCTCCCCTGCCTGAAACAGGAGTCTCGAGGTTAGCTGACATCAGCTTGCATGATCCTGTTTACATTTCCATTGCGGAAGGATCACTGGGGTCAAACACTTCCAAGGCAGAAGCGTGTGCTAAGGAGGATGGCGGTGTCTCTGCAGTGAGCCTGGAAGAAAGAGGATTTGCTGTACCAGAAAACCTCCAGCAGAATGTTGTGGTTGTCCCTAGCAAGCTAAGGCTTGTGACGCTGGCAGCATTTATCCTTGGGAAGTTGAAGGTGAGGTTCTAGTTCTGTTGGCTGACAGGTTAATGGGTGGACCTTCCCCATGTCTTTTCCTACAGTAGACTTAACATGACCCCTCAAGGGTTTATTGTTTAGAATGTAATAACATAAGAAGTGACTGATGGATCAGGCCAGTGACCCATCTAGTCCAGCATTCTGTTCTCACAGTGGACAAAAATCAGGTGCCCCCAATGAGAAAAACCTCAGATCAGGACCCAAGCGCAAGAGCAGTCTCCCATCCTGTGGCTTCCATCGACCAGTATCCAAAATCGTTACTGCCTCTGACCATGGAGGCCAAACATACGTAGTCATTGTGATTCGTAGCCACCAGTAATAACCTTGTCCTCCATAAATTTGTCTCCTCCTCTTTGAAAACTACCCCAGGTGGCCATTGTTACATCTTGTGAGAGCAAACTCCATAATTAGAGCACTGTGCAAAGCAGTCCTTTCTTTTGTCTGCCCTGAATCTCCCAACATCAATTTCATTGGATGTCCTTGAATTTTAGTATTACAGTGGTACCTCAGGTTCCAGATGCTTCAGGTTACAGACTCCGCTAACCCAGAAATAATACCTCGGGTTAAGAACTTTGCGGAAGGCCCCCTTAGCTAAAGTGGTACCTCAGGTTAAGAACAGTTTCAGGTTAAGAACGGACCTCCGGAACGAATTAAGTTATTAACCTGAGGTACCACTGTGTGTGGGTGTGTCTTTTTCCACTTCACTTCAATCCAGCTTGGATCAGCCCTGTGGCCCATCTAGTCCAGCATCCTGTTCTCACAGTGACCATCCAGATACCCATTATGGGAAGCCCACAAGGAGGACCTGAATTCAACAGCAACTCTCCCCTCCTGCAGTTCCCTGCAGTTGGTATTTAGAGGCCTACTAGTAGCCACCAATAGCTTTATCTTCTGTTAATTTCCCCCCACCCTCCTGTGGAATTCCACAGTACACTCAGCCCTTGATTTGTGTCTGTTCTTATTCCCACAGTTTGAAAAATGCAACAAGATGATTGTCTTCTTCTCCAGCTGTGAGCAGGTGGAGTTTCACCACACCCTCTTCCACAAAGTCTTAGCTGCGGACCTTGAGCAGCCGTGGCTTCCTCCTTCGCCCTTGACGTTCGCACGCTTGCATGGTGACATGAAGCAAGAGGTGAACTGCCCACTCTCCCAACACCCCTATTCAGGAGCCGGCCAAAATTGGCTGAAGGTTTTCAAAGGCAATCAGGAATCCTGCTTCTTCCACGTGCCATTTTTGGGAAATCGTTCTTTAAAAAGAAATGAGGCTTAGTCCTAGTCAGAGTAAACTAACGGATAGCCATGACTAAATTAGGTCTATTCTTTCAGTGGGTCTATTCCCAGATACTATCCACAGCCTAATAGTGAGTAACTGGTCTACCTAGCTTCAGTATTGACTGACTGGCAGCAACTCTCCAGGATTTCATACAGGGCACATTTCCCAGCCCTACCTGATGGTCCCTTGGGACTCTCTGCATGCAAAGCAGCTGCTCTGCCACTGAGCTGTGCTGCTTCTTGTGTGTGAGAGAAGGAGGAAATGTGAGAGCTGTTGGGTACTGGTTAGAGAGCCAAGCTAGGGCTAAGGAGACTCTGGGGTTCAAATCCTCACTCATCTATGAAGTTGTCATTGGACAACTTTGGTTTTTGAAAGGACTTGGGGGGCCTCAGTGGGATGCCTAAACAGGAAAAGGCTCTGTCACATTTCCAAGTTGTGTTGCAACTGCTACACCTTGAGAAATAAAGAAGCTGCAGTTATGTCCTCGTCTTCTCCTTCCCCGTGGCACCTGGAAATGTGCTTTTCTTGCCCTTGGAATTCCTCACCTCTCTCCAACCCGAGAGAGGCAGAGTGGGCTTCACCTAGCCTGATGCAAACCCCAGCTGTTAAGACAACCAACATACCATTCCAAAGCCAGCAGCAGAGGGCAGATCCTGTCTTTTAGGGCCCAATGTGCAATTAGCCCTCTGTATCTTCAAATTAAGGGCATTAATGGAGCTAAATTGTGCCTTCCATACAGCACTGCTGGGCACATCACTACAAGTTCCTTTGCTTGGGGTTTGAGGGCAGCTTGGCCTAGTTGTTTTCTTTGGCGCACACTGGTGCATCTAGTTCTATCCTCTTCCTTGCCTGTTCTGCTCTCCTTAATTATCAGCCCCCATCCCAGCTGACAGAGTTTATTTATTTTTAAAACCTCTGCACTTTAGGTGCAAAAGTGCCTTTAATATGATATGCAGATTTAGCTCTTAGGAAATTGCCTTATAATATATTGAGTGACACCATTGGTCTGTCAAGGCTTTATTGTTACTGCCAATGGACAGCATTAAGTAAACAAGAACAGGTGAGGTCTCTGCAGACTGGAGGTAGCCAAATGTTCCCATCTTAAAAAAAAGGGAGGGGGAGAGAAGACCCAGGTACCTACTGACTTTTGAACTTGACATCAATACCAGGAAAGGTCCTAGAACAGTCGGTCTGTGAGCACTTAGAAAAGGATATTGTGAATACTAAGACCCAGCGCAGATTTCTCAAAAACAAGTTACGCCAGACAAATCTTATTTCTTTTTTTGATGGAGTTACCAGCTTGGTGGAATTCTGTGGACATAGTATATCTTGATTTCAGTAAGGCTTTTGATAAAATCCCCCATGATATTCCTGCAAAGAAGGTGGTAAGATGTGAGTTGAATGAGGTAACTTGTTAGGTGGATTTGTAGCCAGAGCCCATACTAGCCCTTGAAGGCTAGTGTGACAGTAAATTAGTTAATTTAAAATCTACCAGTCACTATTAGAGGGGAAAGCCATGTCTGAGAGTTCTTCTTTCATCCCCGTTGCAGAAGTAAAATAGTATCTAACCAACAAGTTTTCCCATTGCCCAGCCCCTTGTGTTGAAATCCCCCCCAATGATTAACCAATTAAATGGCTTTAATTAATCTACTTATTTGTGTAGCACTATCCAAGCACATTTTTGTTAGAGCAGTATAAGATAGGTCCCTGCTGCAAGGAGTTTACAGTATAAATAATTTAAAAACCAATTAAACATGCATCATATTTGGTTATTTATAATTAGTTTGCATAATCTTTTTTTCCTCAGCCTCTCACATTGACAGGTCTCATAGGCTCTATCCAAACCCCCAAATCCTTTGTAACTTTTTGTGATCCATGTCCTGCCCATCTACAGGATTAATTTTGCTCACGAAGCACATGGATGCTTGCTTCATAAATCCCTTCATTTCTTTTAGGAGAGGACGTCTGTTTTTCAGGACTTCTTGCAATCAAAGACGAGCATTTTACTCTGCACAGTAAGTTACTGGATAATAAGTTGACAGGAGCGGTTGAGCAGTGTATCACACCAAGTAAGCTGGAGTTAACTCTACATTAGCAAAACAGGATCTGCACAGGAGTGTCATGTTTGATGAGCACAGCAACTCAGGTCTTGTCCCCATGAGGCAGTTGCTGAAACTAAAAGTCCTGCCTCTCCACAGCTGGTTATGTCTCCTCCTCTGCAGGGTTTTTTCCCAAGCAGTCAGAGACTGTGCCTGCGTGCCTGTCTTTGCTTCTCCCACTTGATGCCTCTCCTGGTTCTGGGAGACCGGGGGGGGGGGGGGGCGGGAACTTATCGCAGCAGGAGGGGGAGACACTCATACCTCTTCATAAGCCTGACTCACCTCCGCTTCTTTGCTTCCCTCCTTTTCTACTTCAGCTTCTACCTCTGATTCTGGTCTGCTGTCTGTCACAGAGTCTCCCTGCTCCCTAAGCCCTGTTACCTCTTCAGCTTCTGGCACCTCCTCCTCCTTCCTCTTCTCTCTCTGACCACTCATCATCATTCATCCCCCACTATCACAGCTTTGAGTCTTCTCCCCTTGGGGTTTCCCCAGCTGGTTCCTCCCACCATTCTTTAGCATCCAACCAGTCCCTGGCATAGCTTTGAATATGAGCAAGTATAATTGACACGCAGTTTATCTTGTCATCTGGCCGGGAAAGGCATGGAATGAATTCAGGGTAAGGGGAGTCCAAAATAAAGGAGTGAGGACTGCATGCCCAGTGGATTTCCAGTTGCCATGTCTGTTGTCTGTCTAGTCCTGATTAACTTAGAAAACTAAGAATACTGAGATCAAAGCACAATAACGTGTTTTATTATAAACTCAAACTTGCTTCAAGGGCGGATAGAAGACCATCACTGCTTGTGGGATGCTAGTAATCTTTCTCTCTACTGCTTCAGACTGCTGCATCACTACACAATTTGCTCACTTAGCCATGGCAGCTGTTAAGCCTGGGAAATCTGTGTGTCTCAGTGATGGCTGCCTACCATAAATGTGTAAATTAACAGCAATCAGGAGCCGTTGGAGCTGAAAAGTTCTGGCCACCTCTGACGTTCTGGGTTGCCATAATGTGGCTTTGCTTGATGATTTATTTTTTTAATTGGAAAATGGTTGCAAGTTTTGGGAATAGGAGCAAGGTGGGCATCAAAGAGTCCTACTGGATCAGGCCCAAAGGTCCAGCAGCTAATTCCCTCCCACTGCTGATAATTTCCAGTGTCTTTACTTGCTCAGTAACCAAGAAGGAAGAGTGTAGCCTTCTCTTCTTGTCTGTCCTCAGCATCCATATTTAGCAGCAGACTGCCCTTGGGTATAGCAGCTGTATTTCCAATTGCCAGAGCTGTAATGTGGCTAGTCCTTATGGATTTCCAGTTGCCATAGTTGAGGTCCTGTTTTTGGGCTTCCCATTGGGACATCTGGTTGGCCACTGTGAGAACGGAATGCTGGAGTAACCTGGCCTCCCTTTATTTGAACAAGCAGGATTGGCCAGCCATACTGTTTGGGACCGTTTGGTGCAGCTACAGCAGTCTACCTCCAAGGAAAGACTTTTTATGTGGTTTTTTTTGTTTTGATTTTGAATTCCTACTATCTGAGTAGTAAGGAAAGCTGCTTGGATTTTCTGCCTTCAGGTCCCAAAATTATCTTCTCCTGAGGTGTATAAAGCCTATGCTTCAGACTTTCTCTAGAGTGTGTGAGTCCCATGAGCTTGTGTTTGCCATTTGCCGTCCTAACCAGTATGTTTCCCCTGGATCTCCTGTTTATTTCCCTGTGCCAGTTTCTATGGCACAAAAACAATAATGGCAATCACACCCCTCCAAAACTATGGAATTAATAGTAAAAGCCAAACTTTATTTGACTAGTGGGCATTTTGAGAGTGTTGGGGGTGCCAGTTAAAAAATGGCTGCCATGGAGTGGGCATGTCATGACACAAAAATGACTTCTGTGGAGCACAGCATAACACAGAATTGAATAGTGAACCACCACAACAACTATGCTTACCATGGGAAGTCAGCTATGCCCTGTTGGTTCTGATTATGGACATCACACAGACAGACAGACAGACAGACACACACACACACACACACACACACACACACACACTGTTGCTGTCTAATAACAAGGAGCATTCCTCAGTATGAGGAAAAATATAGGAGGTAGCCACACAGAAATCGCTTAGTGTGTGCCTGTACATTTTGCCGTATAACGTTCTTTCTAGAAGGGCTAGAGACTTGCTTTTTGTAAAAATAATAATGAAAAATCAGTCTGGGGCACCTTGCAAGAGGCAGCCCTGAAAACCTTCAAGGTTGATAACCCCTGGTGTAGACAATACTGAGCTAGATGGCCCACCAACGCTTCCTATGCTGTTCTTATGCAGTAATTGTAATTTTTTTCCTAAACACGCCAATTAACGTTTGAAAAACAGACCAGGGCTTGTCTTGCGAAATGTCTGTGCTTTCTCCTTCACTGAAGTTCTTTGCTTGCCTTTCTCAGGGAGGTGCCTCTGCTTTTTTAAGGGGGGGGAGAGCAAGTTCAGTGAGAGGAAGATCATTTTGGAGATTTGTTTGCCTGTTAACTCCATCACGCTAACTCATCCTGCCAGTTTTCTGGCGGGCGCGGCCAAACGCTTTCGCCCTCTGACAGCTTTCTGCGCTCTCCCCCTCTCCTTCCTCCTCCAATCGTGCAGCCCAATCTGTCACTTGGCCGACGGGGGTCCCTTCCCCGCTGATGGCTTTCGACACTCAGCTGTAATGACTCTTGGCAGGCTGGGAAGTCATGAGAGCTCCTACCTTCCGCTTGGCCCTCTCTCTCCCCACCCCCCGACTCTGCCTCTCTTTCTTGCTTCCCCCTGTTTTAGCTAAAGCGCTTTGTGTGTGCCTCTTTTTGGTAAATAAATGAGTCATTTTAATCCAACTGACAGCCTGGCACCTGAACGAGCTGCCTTCCATCTGCACCTTCTAGGCCTAGCGGAGGCTGCCAATTGTCAAGACTAAGGCCTTCAAGGCCTAACCACTGAGTGCCCTTTCAGGAACAACTTCATCAGATTTCTCTCTCTCTTCTGTCCCTAAATCTTGGGGAAGTTGGTGGGTCCTGAACATTGGGGTTGTACACAGGATCCAAATTTGGAAAGATTTTTAAAACACCCCTGCCTCAGCTCCAGAGCTCCAGCGGTGGAGATGGAAGTGCAGCAAAGACAGAAAACTAACTTTGAGCCCTTGCCGTTCATGGTATTTATACCAGGCCAATCTAGAGGCTCATACTACTGGTAAGACATGGGTGCTGCTGTTCCTTTCTCTAATGGGGGCTTTATGTGCACATAGTCCCAGTCACTGCATGTAGACCCCCAGCCTTTGCTCACAAGGGACCTTTTTGATCGCAAGCTTGCTGGTAACAAATTTTGTGGCCTCTTAAGCCACCAGGCTCACTAATTTTTATTTTACTTCCTGTGCGAAAACTCCAGCCTATGGGTCTGGTCCTTGAGTCTTCCCCAGGCCCCACCCCTTCACAAGCCCCACCCTCTTTCCCCCAGGCCACACCCTCTTTTTCTGCAGGCCACGCCCTCTCAGCAACCTTGCTTCAAATCCTTCTCCAGTGTTTTTCACCTGGCAGAGATGTGTCTTTGAACTCTAATAATACCTTTGCTTTTCTGGATGGAGGATAATAAAGAAATTAGCCAGCTGTACAAGAGTAGCTCCAGAAGGGTATCTCTTTAAATTCTCAGCACCCGTAACAAACTAGAGTTTCCACCATGCTTTGGTGAGAGGTTTCCAGAGAGTCATATTTCCCTCCTGGTGCTACAGTTCCCGGAGTTCCCTAGGAAAAGGGACTGATTGCTAACACATGCTGGGAATTTTAAGTTTGGAAGGGGAATTGGTGGGTGGGTGGGTGTTCTCTAACAACTCTCAGTACCTTTAACAAGTGACAGTTCCCCCAATCCTTTGGGGCAGGGCTTGACTGTTTCAAGTGGTATTATGTTGCTTAAGTGTATAGTGTAGATGGGGCCAGATTCTCTGCAAACAGCAACAGCACTCCCATAAAATGTTATGAGACTTTAACTTAATGGTGTGTGTATGTGATATCACACACCAACTGAATCATCTCATTTGGCTAAAGTTCCCAGAAGAAGAGAAGGTGGCTGGACACTGGTGGCGAGAACTTGGGTTAAATGAGCATTCCAAGTAATCAAGATCTCTGTCCTACCACCCTTCAAAACAGGCACAAAACCACCAAGGAGGACGAAGCCTGAGTGAGGCCTTGAAATGAAATCTGAAACAGGCCATGCGGGCCCCATTCCCTCAACCAGGCAAAGGCAGAATATACCAGTCCAGCCAACCCAGAGGATACATTCTGCCAGCCTGGGGTAGAAGGTGCTTCTCAATTAACCTTCTCCCCTAACCCACCAATCAGGGCACTGATAGTGGGACTGACCGATCTAGATGCTTCAACCGGCTAGCCAATGGTAGGAGCTGGAGTTGTAGGCTGCTATTCCCTTCTGTGCCTGATGAGGACTCTGAAGCCCCGGGGCACATAGTCCATGGCATGAGTTTACTGGCTGAACCCTCTTCCTCTCCAGCATTACACTCACTGCTGAGACCGCCCCCCCCACCTGAACTTTTGTTTAAGAGGAGGATACAGCTTCCAGGACCACTGAGCGTGCCATTTTGGCGAGGAATGAATAGATTGTGTCTCATTTGAGAAGCCAGTTCCTAAAGGGTGGTGTGAGAGACAACAGGGTCTAGCTACTGCAATGCTCATTCAAGATTCCTTGTCTTGTTGCACCAAACCAGGAACAGGAACCCAAGGGACACTTTCTCTTCTGGACAAATGCTCAGGGGCCTTGTGCCAGTGGTGGGCAGACGAGGAGTACAAAAAATTGCCTTTGCCTGAGAGCCCTGGGAAGAGGAATTGATTGTTAAACTTCTCTCTGGGAGGGGGAATAGGGTTTTCATAACAACTCTCAGGACCCTTAACAACAAACGGATCCCAGGCTTCTTTGGGGAAGGTCATGGCTGTCTAAAGTGGTATCATAGTGCTTTAAATGTGTGGTGCAGATGTGGCTCTAGTTGCACCTGCAGAATCAGAATGACCATGCGTGAGGGGTGTGAGTGAATGCAAGTGCGATTTGTGTTGGGAGGCAGCTGGTTTTAATTGCAGGAGAAGAGAGCGAAAACCATGCTGGCGAAGAGCTGTAACCAGAGATGATATATTTGCATACTCATTACGGCTTTGCATGGTGTTGTGCCTTGATCTGCTTAAACTAATAACCTCTTTTGGCAGTGTATCTGCTTCATCAAGTGGACTGGGAACAGGCGGCGACTCGACGCCGGTCGCGGCTGGGTGTAATAAATCCCCCTTCTTAACTTGGCAGCTCCTTAAAACTAAATCCAATATCTTGGCATAATGGCATCTAATAAGCTGAAGCGATCGGTCAAATCCAATTTAAATCCCTTAACCCGCCCCCCCTTTTTTTGGTGCTACGAAAGGAAAGCTCAACTAGGGTTGGGTTGGACCTGGATGGAAAGTGTTATTTTATAGTTACGCTTTTTTATATATATATAAAAACAAAATTTGGAAATCCTCTTCCGACACTTGTGATCACTAATTGCAGTTCCAGTTGGAGAGGGCTTTTGAGGTTGGATCCTGCTTGCGGGTTTGCTAGAAGCATCTGGTTGGCCATGTGAGAACTTGAGGCTGGTCTAGATGGGCCATTGGCTTGATCCAGCAGCACTTTTCATGTGTTTTTATTTGGCGTTAGGGATTTTTCACCCGCCAGTATAGGTTTCCATGCTGAGGAATGCATGAGCCCCAGATTCTGCAGCTGTTAAGATCCCAAGTTTTGTTGGCATATGGCTGGAGCAAACACTTTAAACAGACAGTGTTCAGGCTGAGACTCAGTATGAAATAAGAAAGCTTCTGTTTATTAAAGGAAGTCCATTTTTTGATAGGAAGTCTCTGGTGCTAGCTAAATAATCAGGAGAAACAAATGAGCCAGTTTGCCCCTCAAGAAGGTATATCCAGGTAGACTTCACAGCTAGAGGTCCAAGAGAAAGTGGAAGAGAGTGCAATGTAATTCATACAACTTGGGCTTCAGCACAGAGATCAAAGGGACAGATACAGGTTAGGACTCACACCTCTGGCTTGGTTCAGGTGTAAACTTTTGTTACAAGTCCTTTGCTTGCACACACTTTCCCTTTCCTGCTTGGCTTCAAGAGAGTTAATTCCTAGTAAACAATGGTTTACACTTTGCCTTGCAAAATCTGCTTTAAGTTAGTGTTCAGAAACAAAATGCAAACCATAGCTGTCGGTTCAGATGTAGTGTGTCATTTCTTGAAATCAAGCATATAGGCAGAGAAGGGAGTTAATGAGCATAGGACTCATTCTTAATATTACACTTTTTTCGTATTTTTCCTGAAGTATGTTATTTAAAGGGCTATGGATATGCATTCTTCATAGTGCATTGGGTTGAAATATCTTTTTATATAACTATGAACATATGGTCATGCATATATTTATTTGATTTAATTATCCAACTTATTGGGAATTGTTGTTCACGGGCCCTTGCTAGCATTTTTGTTTAGCCCTTCCATTTTGTGGGTCTATAGGGGATGTTCTTATTTGAGTTTAGAAATGTTTCCTTCTTTGTTGCAATAGCTTTTTGGAGTTTAAGGTTCTCCCCTTTCTTTACACCCCCACCCCAATTTCCCATAGAGTGCCAAGCCCCAGTTTAGTATAATATCTCCACCGTTGATTGATTGTAATTTGCTCCTGAACACCTTGGATGAATGACAGGATAAACCATAATAAATGTAGTGAATGTAAACCTTTATAAAAACTGAGCTCATCATACATTATTCATTTTCAAAGGACGTTGCTGCTCGTGGATTAGACCTGCCACAGGTTACCTGGATTGTACAGGTAAGTTTTTCTTTCCTTTCTTTCCTGTGCATGTGTGTGTTGTGTGATTGATGGGTGGAGGGATCAATCTTCAACATCACGGAAACCTGGTGCCGAGCTCTGGTATGCTCTAGGTTGTGCATCAGGAGTGGGCAGGCATCAGGCTTGTTGATTCTACTTAGGTTTTTAGCTAGACCTCTCAAGATCTAAAAACCAGAATCAGCCTCTGGCATAATTATTTCCCAAAGGTCATTTGCTGTGCAGGATGGTTCTTAACAGGAGAAACTGGAAAATTGAGCCTAGGACTTTCTGCATGCAAAGCAAGTGCTCTGTGATTGAGCTACACCTCCTTCCCAAGGCAGCGTATTTGGGGGGCGGGGGGGGGAGGGAATGAACTCCTGAAATCCTGTAGATGTGCTGCCAGTCATCAGCTAGGTGGACTGAATGCTCTGACTCAGTGTAAGGCAGTTTCCTATGCTAGGCATCAGAGCAAGGACATATCCCAGCCAGACAAAACCGCTCAAATCAGGGTAAGTGAGGGGTGTGGTCTGAGGAGTGTCCAAGGGCCAGGCATAGAGGCCTGGAAGGCTGCATTCAGCTTCCCTACCTCTGGCATACAGGCACACACTTGCCCCCATGTATGAGCATGCACATCTCACCAACATGCCCCTCTAAACATAAATGCTTTCGCCAGTCCTAACAGCAGGTGTTCCACTGGCCTGTAAATAAGAGAGCAGTGCTTTTCTGCCATCTGATCAACGGTGGTTTAGAAATTTAATAAATAAATAAAATAGATGCTGCGTCCTTCCCGAATGGTCATGCCTCTTTTCAGGTGCAGGATTGGCTTGCAGGTTGACACCCCCCCCCCATATTAGATGACAGTGTGTTGGAGACCCTGGGGAAGTTGCTGCTTGTCCAGAAGGCTTGGCTCGGTCATCCGGATAAGCCTGAGGAGAGACCTGTGGGAAGCAATGATTACTCTCTGTGTGTCTCGGGTGGCCCTGCAGCCTGTCGAAGGCATGCCAGAGGGCACAGGGGAAAATGATGGAACGGGGCTGTCGCTGATCGGTCTTTAGGTTTCTGATAAGGGAACAAGGAAACGGCAGAGTAAGCTCATACAGTGGTACCTCTGGATGCGAACGGGATCCGTTCCGGAGCCCCATTCTCATCCAGAAGCGAACGCAACTTGCACGTGCGCGGGTCGCGATTCGCCGCTTTTGCGCACGTGCGTGACGTCACTTTGACCGCAAGCGCGAGTGGCGAAACCTGGAAGTAACGCGCTCTTCTGGGTCGCCGCAGCGTGCAGCCCGAAAACACTTATCCCGAAGCTACTTCAACCCGAGGTATGACTGTACTAGATAGGAACATGGGAATCTGCCTTATTCTAATTCAGGCCCTTGGTCTAGCTAAGTACTGTTTACACTGACTGGCAGCAACACTTCAGAATTTCAAACAAGGGGTCTCTCCCAGCTCTAGCTGGAGATGCCATTGGGGACTGAACCTGGGACCTTCTGCATGCAAAGCAGATTCTCTGCCACAGAGTCTATGTGGTGCTTTCCAGGAACATAGGAAGTTGCCTTATATGGAGTGAGACCCTTGATCTATCTAGTGCAGTTTTGCCTGTACCGACCAGCAGCAGCTCTCCAGGTTTTCATGCAATCATAAAATCATTGAGTTGGAAGGGATCCTGCAGGTCGTCTAGATTCCAATGCAGGAATCTCAGCTAAAGCATCCATGGCAGATGGCTGTCCAACCTCTGCTTGAAAATCTCAAGTGAAGGAGAGTCCACCACCTTCCAAGGGAGTCCATTCCACTGTTGAACAGCTCTTACTGTCAGAAGGTTCTTCCTGGTGTTTAGTCGGAATGTCCTTTCTTGAAATTTGAATCTATTTGTTCAGGTTCTAGCCTCCAGAGCAGCAGAAAACAAGCCTCCATCTTCCATGTGACTGCCCTTTAGATATTTGGAGATGGCTATCTCCTCTCCCCTCAGACTGCGATATCTCCCAGCCCTGCCAGGAGATTTCGGGAATTAAACCTGGAAGTTTCTGTGTGCAGAGCAGATTCTCTGGCACTCAGATACGTACAGTTCCCCCCCCCCCCTCCAAAGAAGGCAGTTCAGAAATTAATTTAATAAATATGGTGCCGCTACAATATGACACTCACCTTCAGGTGTCATTTGAGTTCTCTACCCTTGATTCCTTTGCTTGCTAATTAAAAGCATAAACTGGAACCTGTTGCAAAAAAGAAGATGTGTGTTTTGAAATGATTTTTTTGGGGGGGGAGCAGGCAACCCGATCAGTCTGTCTGCGAAACCCGATTCGCACATATGAGTGATTGCCCCGTGTTGTAGTCCATCCTAAGGAATTGACTTTGCATGTGTGAAGCGGTTCTGCAAGTGTATGGAATGCAGCTCCCCCCGCCTGCCCCCCCCCCCCGTTTGTCATTTTTTAACATTTTTGAAGCGTGCACTCAGTGTATGGTACATATACGGTAGCAGTGTAATGTGTGAATCAGCCATCAAATGCCATGACACTGTAAAGCTAAGCCTATGTAAATGCATCTCTCTGCTGAGTAGCAGGTCTCGGAAAGCTTTAAGCAAGCCAATTACTGTATACTTAAGCCAATATAATTTTAAGGGGAACCAACTCAGGTGTGCTCTCTGGGTTTATTTGTCTCGCGCCTATGGCGAGCAGCTGATGCATATTAAGAAAGGAAGCAAATAGGTCACTGATCCCCCCCCCCCCCGCATAGAAACAAATTTTGTTTTTTAAAAAAATTGGTGAGAAGACAGCTTGGCCAATGTGTCATATTCATATGTCAAAAAAACCCTTGTTACCACTGTAGCTGTGAATGATGGTTGCGGGGATATGAGGATGATGGGTTCTGATAAGCCATTTCTTTCCTTGGAAAAGGAAGCTGATATGACCTGGGATTTATTTTTCTAAATGACCTCAGACACAGCACTCTCTCTGATAATTAACCACCCATGCAATCTGTTAATTCCTTTTCTTCCCCTCCACTCTCCAAACTTCCTCTCTCTCTCTCTCTCTCTCTCTCTCACATTATTTTTTCTTTTCTTTTTTCTTTTTTAAAGTATAATCCTCCAGCTTCGCTTGCCGAATACGTCCACCGTGTTGGGAGGACAGCTCGGATTGGCAGTCACGGGAACAGCCTGCTCATCCTTGCACCTTCAGAGGCGGAATATGTCAACTTCTTGGCTTCTTGCAAGATTAAGTGAGTCACAAACTCCCCCCCCCCCCGCACTCCTCTCCTCTCCAACCAAACTTCCTAGCTAAACCAATAATAAGGTATCTGCATTGCTGTGTCTCATTACAAATGGATGGTAGTTGCTACCTTCTTTTTAGAAGGATGCTTTTAATGACAGCCGAAGTACGATTCTCAAAGAGATTTTTTTAAAAAAAAATTCATTACAAAAAAAGTATTAATGAAATTCTCAGTTGGTTGGCATCCTTGTGTCTCAGGAGACAATTGAGGAGTGTGCCTTTGGGGGTAAAGGCAAGCAAATGGAAGGTTGCAGCGCCTGCTGTGGCTGTAGAGACCGATACGGGAGAAATGATGATGATGATGATGATGAAACCAGTGCTAGTCCTACTCACAGTAGACCCACTGAAATTGGTGGACATGACTAATGTGGGCCCATTAATTTCAGTGGGGCAATGCAGAGTAGAACTTAGTTAGACACAACCGATTACTTATAATAATTAATTGTTATTGTTATTAATAGTCCATTAATAGAGACCATTGCATGGAAGCGAGAAGGTTTAAAACAACAGGAGAGGTTTGAATAGATTGGGGAGGAAGAAATACTGATTTATTTATTTAATGTTTTAACAAGGAGATATAGTGGAGATGGGTACAACACAGAAACCAACACCAAAAAGCTTACACAACAAAGCTGTTCTCAGTTCCCTTCTAGCTGTACTGAAATCTTGCTTAAGACCACCACTTTATTCCTCTCAGTGTTTTTCTATCCATGCCTTATGAAAACCTCTGCCGTTGTTTTATACAGTCATACCTCAGGTTGAAGTAGCTTCAGGTTGAGTGTTTTCGGGCTGTGCTCCGCGGCGACCCGGAAGTAACGAAGCACATTACTTCCGGGTTTCGCTGCTTGCGCATGTGCAGATGCTCAAAATGACATCATGCGCGGAAGTGGCGACACGCGCAGACGCAGGTTGCGTTCACTTCAGGATGCGAATGGGGCTCCGGAACGGATCCTGTTCGCAACCAGAGGTACCATTGTACTGCAACTTTTTCCTTCTCATTGTCCTTCCGTCCCTGCTTTACTCGAAGCTCCCCCTCTTCCTTTCCTCAGCTGCCGCATGGGTGAGTGATAAAGTAGCGCTAAAATATCACTTCACTCCTGGTAGCAAATGTTGCCTTCAAGATGAAGTTCCAAATAGAATGTAGTAATTTACAGCAAGTATTTTATTAACAAGCAAACACTCATGTATGCACACCATCCATCACTTAGCCTTCTCTAACTGAACGAGCTTGCTTTTAAGATGCTATTCATCTTAAACTTGTAGGAACATAAATCTGCAGATGTAGGAGAATAGGGAGGTGGTAGTGTGGAAATGGTGGTGGTCTGTTTGCGAGGGGTAAAAGGAGGCAAAGAGGAGGGGGAGAAGGTGCAGATGAAAACGGAGGAGTGCAAAGGAGGAGATGCAAAAAAGGACAACAGGGGAGGCGTGCAAATGGGGACAAAGATGAAAATGGAGGTATGAGAGAGGCTGCAGAATAGAAGAGAAACAGAATAGGAGGTGGCCTCATAATTGAATAAAAAGTGAAAAGAGTACTCAGTAGTTACAACATGTGGTAGAGGAGGAGACTTGTTGGGTTATGCCTTCTGAATTTGTATGTGTAAAGATTTTCTGTTGATGGGAGGCCCCATCTTCACTGATGCGATAACTTTCCCCCCATCTAAGTGGAACCTGCAACAAAAAGTTGCAGTGCGGTGATTTCCTGTTCAGGGTGCCAGCCAGTCAGCCATGTCCTCTACAACTATAATCCATTCCATCTCCCCAGTTGGTCTCAGTTCCCCATCATTTCCCACCAGGAGTCAGTCACCACAATTCCATGCCCCCTGTGTGTGTTTGGAGGTGGGGGGTGGGTTCTTCTTAAATATTTATTGTACTCCTGCAGGTCTTGAGATCTCACCAAGCCTGCTGCTACTTCACTCTTCTTCAAAGATGGTGCTGTTTGGCTCGATAAACTGGCCTAGGATAATCAATTTGCTGTATAGGATTAGGTGGTTCAGTAGCTCTAAAGTGTTCCACAATTTCTATAGATAATGCTGGGATTTCATTACTATCAATGGCGGCAACAGTAACAGAGAGGGGTGTGCAAGAGAGTGTAAGCTAGCCTATTGTACAAAGTTGAATTTTTGCATTTGTTGTTCCTCCCACTTTTGCCTCTAGCCCTGTTCGTCATGGGTGTGAGGCCTCTGAGAAGTTGCCCAGAATTGAATGTGCCCTTGAGCTGTAAAAAAATTCCCCACCCCAGTTAGAAAAAGCTCCCAGTATCTCCCAGGAGGACTGGGGGAAATCTTAAGGGGACAGGAGTCAGGACCCCTTTGTTGTGGGACAGGACCTTGGGTTAGTGGAGTGTTTATAAAGTCCTCATTTCAGAATCTATGAGCCTAATTAGGACAGGTAGGTGCTTCTTACTGTGTGATAGTTATCTAAGTGGAACTGGATTATCCCTGTGTGTAAGTAAGAAGGGACTGATAGCAGGCTGTGGGCTTAATGGATTACAGATCAGATCCGGATAGACAGTTCCAAGCCCAGGGCAACACGTGGCATCAAATCTAATTGCCCTTTCCGTTCATAAATGGAGCCTGGTGGAAATTTATCCTGACAATTTCAGTGTGGGAAACGAGGCAGAAGAATGGCCATGTGCTGGTCTGGTGCATAAACTATTGTGCTTTGAAAGCAAAGCTGTTCCGCCACCTTCTGAAAGGTTGGTCGCCTGCCTCGTGTCTCTTTTTTCGCATGCCTCTTGTCTCTTTTTAAACTAATAAGCTTAATGAACTGATGTAACTGACAACAGTAATAATACGATTTGGGCACATTCATGGCAGATAGCAATTTGCTCTGAGCTAACTAACGCGAACAAATTGCTTTATGTGTCTGACAAGGTGGTCTCTAAGTCCATGAAAGCTTATGCTGTAATAAATTTGTTAGTCTTTTTATTTATTTAGAGCATTTGTGTCCTGCTCTTCAGGTGAAAAGAGTCCCAGCACGATTTACATACAATCAACTAAAACATGACCATTCCCACGCAAAGATTTAAAATCTAAAAGATGCAACACAAAAGGAAAAGGTGATGGAGAGGGAAGAGGAAAAAAGCAAATTTAGGTACCACTTTTGTGGACCAGAGCTCACTTCATCGGATGCATGAAATACTATTATTATATTGACAGATACATTGACATGGGTGGAGGGAGAGAAGATGTTAGCAGTGTCATCATATGGATATATTATACAATATAGGAAACACAAGACTGTCGTAAATGCTCGTTCTGCTCAGAGTAGGCCCACTGAAATTGATGGACGTGACTAACTTCAATGAGTTTGCTCTGAGTAATGCAACCCACAGACTGTGATAAAGCTTAAATGTAAATAAGAACATAGAATGAGCTCTACTGGATCAGGCCAATGACCCATCTAGTCCAGCATCCTGTTCTCACAGGGGCTAACAAGATGCCTGTGGGAAACCAGGAAGCAGGACCTGGATAGAAGAACACTTTCTCTCCATGTGGTTTCCAGCAACTGATACTCAGAAGCATTGCTGCCTCCAGCTGTGGAGGCAGAGCATAGCTGTCTTGGCTAGTAGCCTTCTCTATGAATCTGCCCAATGGCTAGTAGCCTTCTCTATGAATCTGCCCAATGCTTTTTTAAAGCCATCCAAGTTGGTGGCCACCATTCCCTCCTGCAGGAGTAATTCCATAGTTTAACTATGAGTTGCATGAATAAGTTCTTTCTTTCTGTCTTTCTAGTACATTTTTTGTAAAATTGTATATAGTCATTGCTCAGAAAGCTGCATCGTCGCTTACATACAGGCATTGGTAAACCAATGAATACCTATAGCAGGATTTAAAAACAGATTCAGGCCACAGGTAATGGAACTGAACTTCTTGATAAGCTGTAATTCAGCAGTTTTACATGGGAAACCCCCCTCCCCTTTATCTTGTTCAAGACTGGCTTCTAGCAGCAGAATGTTCTTGCAGGACGAAATGTTAGCTAGGAAACTGCTTTACTGAGTCAGACCCTTGCTCCTCCCTCTGGCTCACTTTTGTCTATGCTAGCTGACAGTGGCATCCAACGCCTCTTGTCCCAATATCAATTACAAGATCTTCAGGTGACCATGAAGATGGATAAGAGGCACTTAAGAGACTGTCTCTTTAGGTCCGATGCAGAAAGGGATCTAACTGTGATTGCTTCTACCAAGAGTTCACTATGGTTCCCACTTATCAAAATGGAACATGCCCGAGCCAGATACCTGACAAAGCTCCCACTTGCCATACTAAGAATCGCTTTTACAGAACTACGATTCCAGTTGATGCCCTCGGCGGTGTTGGATGGATGGTACAGCAAAGTACATTACGAAGAGAGACTCTGTCTGTGTGGACAACCCTGTGTCGAGGACCTGTGCTAGCTGACAGCAGCTCTTTAGGAGTTCAGACAAGGAGTATTTCTCCTATCTGGAGATGTTGGGGATTGAACTTGGGACCTTCTGCATGCAAAGCAGGTTCTCTACCACTGAGGTGCAGCCCTTCCCCACACAATAGTCCTTATAAAGGGCTGCATTAAATAGGAACATGGGAAGTTGCATTGCACTGAGCCATACCCTTGGTTCATCTAGCTCAGTTCCTGGGAATCAGGAGTGAGAAAACGACTGGTGCCCTTATGCCCTTGCTTGTGGGCTTTCCAGAGGCATCTGATTGCCATTGTGGAAAGAGAGTGCTGAACTAAACAGACAATTGGGTTTCATCTCGCAAGGCCCTCCTTATATTCTTAGGAGTTCATAGCAGAGGCAAGAGACAAAACCAACAACTTTGTGATTCATGGCACAGGCTAACCTGGGGAAGTAAGGCCCAGCAAGCCTGGCAGGACTGCCCTCTGAGGAAACATGGTCCAGATCCATCATTCCTCACCACTGCGCTAGATCTCAATAACCCCCTTTTGGTTCTTCTTGATTATATTAAGTCATGAAATTAAGATATGAATGGCAGAGCGCTTTTCTTTCTTTCTTTCTTTTTTTTTTAAAAAAGAAGAAGTGGTGTTTTCCCCACTGCTCTGACACATTTGTGAATGAAAATGTCAAAGCCTTCTCCCCACTTGACAGTGATTTCCTGGAGATATAAAGATAACACCCCCCTCCCCCAAAAGTACTCCTGCTGCCCCTGCCATTTCTCTCCTCACGCTTGGCATGCTGCCAGCTTGCAACCTTGCATATAAGCGAACTTCGTTCACTCAGCAGGGAGCACGTCACAGAAAAAGGGGCTGAAGCTGGTGTGTGTGTGTGTGCATGTGTGTGTGTGGCTTCATGCCTTCACGGGGATCCGCTTTCTTTTATAAACTTCGTTAGGCAGCTGTTAGGAAATAAAGCAATTGTCTGATGAGCTGTCGGCAAGGAAGCCCCTGTGCTGTTCTTACAACAATGCAATCCTTTTCAACCCGTCTCCCCCGCAACCCCCAAACAACCGCAAGTCTCAATCGAAGGAACCAAGAGAGACATAAGCAAACACACACACACAGCAAAAGAAAAATTACACTTTAGAGCTGACTTCCCCTCCACTTTCCTTGTCTATTTCTCCTTTGAAATGTCAGTTTCATTCCATGTGGATGCAAAAGGAAGCTAAATTTTAAAGGTGTGTGTGTGTGTGTGTGTGTGTGTGTGTGTGTGTATGAGAAATCGGGGGGGGGGGGAGAAGAGGCAGGATTGTACAAAATGCTATCATGGTCTTAAGGGAAAGGTTAATGGAAGATAATCCAAGGTTCAGATAACAGCTACAAAACCCAGTTGCACTGAGTTGATACCCAGGACACTGGGTAAGGTTTTATGGATTGGTCTCTTGTTGCTGCTCTGGGCTCTTTAGGGAGGAAGGGTGAGATAGGAAATGAGTAAATCATAAAAAATTTTAAATGATTCTTGACTATATGGAATTGTGAACAATTTTGTTTTTCACACGTTATTTGCCTCATAATATTAAAAAGGAATTATAGTGGTACCTACCTCGGGTTAAGAACTTAATTCGTTCTGGAGGTCCGTTCTTAACCTGAAACTGTTCTTAACCGGAGGTACCACTTTAGCTAATGGGGCCTCCCACGGCGGCTGTGCCGCCGCCGCGCGATTTCTGTTCTCATCCTGAAGCAAAGTTCTTAACCCGAGGTACTATTTCTGGGTTAGCGGAGTCTGCAACCTGAAGCATCTGTAACCTGAGGTACCACTGTATTATGAATCCGTAATTTTTTTAAGCCTGCAGGTGCGCCTGCCGTCATTGATGAGCAGCAAACCGACCAAGCTGCCATCAGTGGTGGTTCTTACCCTCTGTAAAATGGATGCAGGGTCTGTCCTCAGAAGGATTGCTGGAAGGAGGAAGGGAAGAGAGGGGATGTCTTGGTGGCTAGCCTGAACAAGCAGGAGTTGTGGGATTCAGTGCTAGCAACCCTACAACAATAGCCACATTTCAAAAACATTCCATCCCTCCTACCTCACAAAAAGGGAAATATTCAGAAACCATAGGTAAACATTTTGGCCTCATTTATGAGGAAGGACTGTAGCTACTTTCCCTACACTTCTCTCTTGGTCCTTCCCATCTGCAGTAGGGAGATGACAATATTGGTGTGCCTTACAAGCTCGTGGGCATTTTGGATTGAGTGTGTGTGTGTGAACACCAGGGCAAGATGGTTTGATCATATAATGCCAATCCTGACCTGACTGTAATGGCTGCCAATTAGTTTCTGAGCCCAAGTCAAAGTGCTGGTTTTGACCTAGAAAGCCTTAAAACAGCTCAGGAGCTCAATACCTCAAGGACTGCCTCTCCCCATATGAACTGGCCTGGACCCCGTTATCATCATCTGAGGCCCTTTCCTTGTGCCCAACCCCCATGAGGGGCCCAGAGGGTGACAACATGATAACAGGCCTTTTCTGTGGTGGCTCCCCATTTGTGGAAGTCTCTCCCCAGGGAAGCTCATCTGGCACCTTCATTAAATAACCTTCATCACCAGGCAAAAACATTCCTCTTCTCCCAATCCTTTGGCTGATGAAACAATCTATGCCCTCTTAAATGTGTCTGGTGTGTGTGTGAGGGTAAGCTATTTGTCCCCCCCCCCCCATTATGTAATGTGTTTTTATGTTGTAAACCGCCCTGTGATAATAGATAGATTAAGCACCTGGTATTTTGTGGCGCTGTGGGTAAAACCTCAGCGCCTAGGGCTTGCCGATCGCATGGTCGGCGGTTCGAATCCCCGTGGCGGGTTGAGCTCCCGTCTTTCGGTCCCAGCTCCTGCCCACCTAGCAGTTCGAAAGCACCCCTAAAGTGCAAGTAGATAAATAGGTACCGCTTTCCAGCGGGAAGGTAAATGGCGTTTCCGTGTGCTGCGCTGGTGCTGGCTCGCCAGAGCAACTTCGTCACGCTGGCCACGTGACCCGGAAGTGTCTCCGGACAGCGCTGGCCCCCGGCCTCTTAAGTGAGATGGGCGCACAACCCTAGAGTCGGACACGACTGGCCCGTACGGGCAGGGGTACCTTTACCTATTTTGTGTGAAATACCTGGATGGAGGATAAAGAAAGAGTGTATTTCTATAGAAACTAGCATACTGTAGAAAGGTAATGTTTATATTTTTGTTGCTTTCTTACTCATGGTTCCGCCCACCACTGGCATGTGGCCCTCAGAAGGTTTCCCAGAAGGGAAATGTGGCCCTCAGGCTGAAAAATGAAGCTACACACCTTCATTATAGCACAGCAGAACCTGAATGACATCGCCTTGGGCTACCCTTGATGTAGCACTATTTTTATTTTTAAAGTGCCATTTCCAGCCATGATTTAATAAAATATGTGCTAAAAAACAAAACATGAGTGATCTTTCCATCCCTTGTTTTTCGCCTTCCAGTGTTTCAGAGATGAAGATGGAATCTGTCCTGTCCAGCTTGATGAAAGATGACCGTTTCAAGGGCAGCCAGAGGGGAAATAAGGTGAGTTCTTATGGAAGAGGGAACCCCTCTCTCCCTCCATGTTTCCTTCCTTTCTAGGGAGGAAAGTTAAAAGGTTTGCAGTCCTTTCTCCTAGTCACAAGAGGCATTACTTCCTGGGATGCTCGATGAGAATGGACCTAACATTTGGTCCACCAGCTCTGCTCTTATAACTCTTCACTTAAACCTGGGTTTGAGGATTAGGTGAATGACCTGTTCTGGAGGGAGATGGGCCTCTGAAGGACCAGGTTCACAGTCTGGGGGTTCTCCTCCTCGTCGTCTTCCTATTGTTGTTGTTAAACCTATTACCTGTCCTTTACCAGCAGATCCTGGGGCTGGTTACGGCAATTCAAAATTTAAAACAGTCTAAAATGAATTGCAGTCCCAGGAATAAGGTGGGCCCTGAAAGCACACACTTTTCAGGTGTCAAAGGCCTGGCAAAGAGGTGCATCTTCAGCATTCACTGAAAGCTGTATGGGAAAGTGGCAGCCACACGTCTGTGGTGAGGAGATTCCACAGAAAAAGTCCTCTGCAATCAGTTAATGGTGAAGAGTGGGATCTAAATTTGACATTTCATCACCTGAGGATGGTAGTGTTTGAGGAAGGTATAGTGGGAAAGATTAGTAAATGTCTTCCCTGCTACACACCTTCCTTAAGTGTTTCTACCTAGCTGGAATGTGTCCATGGACTCTGGTAATGCCTTTAGCTTGCCTGGATGGAGGATTTTGTGTGTGTGTGTGTGTGAGAGAGAGAGAGAGAGAGAGAGAGAGAATTATCATTTGTTCCTGCACCCACTTTTGCTTCTCCCTCTGCTTACGGCTGGCAAGGGGCTGCTAGAAGGTTGCCTAGAATGGAATATAGCACTTAGGATGAAAAGGGTTCCCCAACCCTGGTGTAAAGCAAACTATTTGCTTGCTCATCTGTGGTGAGTCAGAAACTCCGTTTAGGAGATGAGGCTTGGAAGGCATTGCAAAAGTGGCTTTTTTATTTTTGGCCCAAATGACTAGCATCGATACACGTTGTCCATTGTTAGCTACTGGGGATTGCCTTGAACAGCTGTGTTCCAAAGTTGACCTTGACCTTGCAGCAGATCAGAAACTTATTATTTCTGCAAAAGGATCCCTGTCCCTTGTATCCTAGAGCCACCCAGTCAGCATGGAAAGGGACCTTTTTTAGCCACCGAGAATAAGTTTCCTGGCCCTTTGTGCTGATTAGAGCTGATCAACTTGGAAACTGAGTGTTCTGCCTTCTTCCAGTTCTTTGCGTGCTTCCAGTTTTTTCAGTGTATAAGGCTTTACCAAATCATAGCTTTCTCTCCTTGCAGAAGTCTTCACTGATGTCCATTATAAATACCCCTTTAGAGTGTGTGTGTGTGTGTGTGTGTGTGTGTGTGTGTTTGGACTTCTCTGAGGAGCTGATGGAGGAAAAGATGCCGAAAGCACCTGTAAAATGTATTTTTTATCTTTAGGCACATGAAATATATATGCGGCCGCGTCTGGGTGTGTGAATGTTCACCGGCCTACAAAGAGAATACATTTGATCTGCCTGCACTTTTTCTGCCAGGCTGGGGGAGGCTCCGAGCGGGGGGCACGCTCTGTGTGTGAGAGAGAGGCTTGGAAGGTGCAGGGCAAAAAGTTGCTAAAAACAAAAATCTTCGTTTTGTATGTATCCCTTTAAAAAAAAAAAATCAAGAGAGAAGGCATTGCAGTTCTCACCTTGCTTCCTGCCCACCACCAACTGGAAGGAAGATGTCTCCCTTTTATAGTCAGGACAAATAAAGTCCTTCATGCAGCACATAGTTAACTATGGAACTCCCTCCCACAGGAGGCAGTGATGGCCACCAACTTGGAAGGCTTTAAAAGAGGATTAGACAAATTCATAGAAGGGCTTTTTAATAAAACAGCATCAATCAGTTCCAACAAAAGCTGTACATGGTTACATGCTTACTTCAGTCACATCTAAAAAGAAAAGTTGAGTAGGGACTCTTAATCCAATAACTGAATCATTGAATGTTAGCATGAATGGCTGGAGGTTTTACATTTAATGTCATGTCTGTTTACTTAGCTGATCTACAGGGACCACACCTTATCATGATATATATAGCTATATTATTATGAGAGCCGTGTGGTGTAGTGGTTGAGAGCGGTGGACTCGTAATCTGGTGAACCGGGTTCGCTTCCCTGCTCCTCCACATGCAGCTGCTGGGTGACCTTGGGCCAGTCACACTTCTTTGAAGTCTCTCAGCCCCACTCAACTCACAGAGTGTTTGTTGTGGGGGAGGAAGGGAAAGGAGAATGTTAGCCGCTTTGAGACTCCTTAGGGTAGTGATAAAGCGGGATATCAAATCCAAACTCTTCTTCTTCTTATCAGAGTGAACGTATTTATTTTGACCTCTGCCAACCCTCCTGTGTTGCATTAGGTGCTCAGAAACAGCTGAATCCCAAACGCCATCAGAGATGGTCCTTTAGAGTCTTTCCAGTGGGAGGCTATATCTAAACAGGCATCTATCCTAACTTACGGATCACAGCAGGGTATGAATGCAGGGTCCAGCTACAGCAGGGGTGGAGAGACTCAGGTCCAGGGGCCAAGCCACACTCCTTACTGGACCTGGATCAGGTGTTTTTGCCTGGCTGTGTCCTGTCCTGGTCCCTATTGTAGAGGTTCAAACCATAATGTGAATAGTTGGTGCTTGTGTTTATCTTTCCTGCAGTGCTAAGTGCAGCTTTAGCCAGTATTTCTTTAGGTGTGTGCCTATGATGTGTCAAGCATATACCTGGAAGTTTGAGGTTAAGTGCGAATGCAGCAAAAGTGGCGGTGGGGGGTTGGGGGGGAGGGTTACAGGTGTGGTCATTGGCTACAACTCTACCCAATTCCAGGGTGGCAGGTAGTACTTTGTGTGTCTACGTCTGTGTCTCTGTCCTGCGTATTTTCCCTTTTCAGCTCTGAGTCAGTTTTTAATTTTAGATTTTTCTTCCTTTCCCCAGACCAGCCACCCTGGAAGGCAGAAATCAAAACATGCCCATTAGAGTGCAGTTTTTAAAAATAAAATCGCTCCCTGGGGGGGGGGGGGGGGATGAGAAGATGTATAAAGAGACTGGTGGAACTGTGTGTTGGCGGGGGTTGATGCTAGTGGCGTGGGTTTCTTTTTTTAATGTGTTGTATTTCCCCCCGTACTATTTCCTTCTCTTTTCTTTTTTTCCTGTTTGTTTATCTCTCTCTGACCCCCAAACTTGCTTCTCTACCTGCTTGTACATAGGGGTTTGTATGTGTGTGTATACACCCTTGATGAAATTGTTTTTTAAATAGATATATATAAACAAGTCTTTCTCCCTTCTTTTTCTGGAAAAAGGAGAGATGCCTCATTCTGAAACCTAAAAGGTGGGAAGATTTTTTTGGTGGGGGGGGGGGAGAGGGAGAGGAATGGTGTGGAAGGAGAGAGAGAGAGAGAATGAGGAGTCCTTTGTAATATATTGCCATATTATCACTAAATCCCCAGACAGTTGTGGCATAGAAGCAAGTCACCTGTCACTTAAGTTTGAGGTCTCTTTAATTTTCTCCTGGAATTCGCGCCGGGCTGTCTTTAATTTGAGGCCTTTATTGGAATTCGGGAACCTTTCCTGCCTTCCCTGGTGCTCAGATCTATTCTGAGCTCAGATACAGAATGTATACAATAACCATCAGAGGGATTTGGAGAGGGCTGAAGCGCTGTTTATTTAACACTCTGGAGGGATTTTCGGGGTTTATGCCGTCCTCGCTGCCCGCTTTCAATAACGCTTTTGACAACCGTTCTGCCCTTCTCATTAATTTTAAACAGTTAAAACACCGGGAGGGGGGTGAGAGGGGAGGGGGGAAAGTTTTTCATTATTAAAGTGCTTTACTTTTTAATAACAGAGGATTCTGTCCACCGGGGGAAAGGGCAACTCGCTTAATTTCACATTCATATTAAAAAGATGGCAGGAGGGTGACACTCTCTCGCCACCCAGGAGGCTTAAGGAAAGAAAAAAGGTGGATCGGGGTGGTGTGGGCGAAGAGCAAGGGGGGAGCAGGGGGAGAGAAGGAAAGGAAGTTTTTGGCCTTTCACAACAGCTGAGACTTGACTCGCTTTAAAAATAATAATTGTATGTCGCTTGTCCACCAGAATGCACAAGGAAGTACATAAATGGACATATATTCATATATATAAATAAAAGAACATTGGGTTGCAACTGGTCCTACTCAAAGTAGACCCATTGAAATCGATATGCATGACTTTTTGTAAAAGCCAGTGTGGTGCAGTGCAGGTAGAGTTTTGGACTAGGACCTGGGTTTGGATCACCACTTGGCCATGAAGCTCACGCTGCCTGACTTTAGGTCACTGTCCCTGCCCTTTGGCCCATGACCTGTCTATCTCCCAGGGTTTTTGTGGGGATTAAATGAGGTTGGGGGAGAACCATGTACCGTATTTTTCGCCCTATTGGACACACCGGCCCATAGGACGCACCTAGTTTTCTGGGGGGGAAATAAAGGAAAAAAAATTATTTCCCCCCCAGGCACGGGGCTGGGGCGGGGGGAGCCCGAGCTTCCCCCGACCCCAGCCCCCAGAACAGGCAGCTCTCCACAAGCCGTGGGAGCCCAGCGCCGGGCTCCCACAGCTTGTGGAGAGCTGCGTGAAGCTAAGCCTAGGCACGCTGAGTTCAGCGCGCCCAGGCTTCGGCATGCAGGCAACTCTCCGCAAGCCGTGGGAGCCCAGCGCTGGGCTCCCACGGCTTGCGGAGAGCTGCGCGAAGCCTGGAGAGCGAGAGGGGTCAGTGCGCACATTTCCCCTTCATTTTTGGAGGGGAAAAAGTGCGTCCTATAGGGCGAAAAATACGGTACGTCACCTTAAGGTCCTTGGAGGGTGGAAATGGTGGGATACATATCCACTAAACAAGTAAACCATGTTGTGGTTTTGTTGCCATCAGGAGGTCTGGGGATCCTATGAAATAAACAATAATGTAGGCTCGTTATTTTCAGTGGGTCTGCTCTGTGGAACTTGGCTGGAGACAACCCATTGTGTGTATGCAGATAAAGGCATAACAGTAACATTCATAGTAAAAACATTTTTTTTAAAAAGTCAGGACTAACACATCATAACTTTAAACAGCTGTTAAAAACAAAGGTTTGCTGGAAAAGAGGACCATCAACAGGTCACATGCCAGAAGGGGTAAATTATCTGAACCAAGGATGGGAAGGTTGTGGCCCTCTAGTAGTTGTTGGACTATGAATCACATCATCCCTGACCATTGACCATACTGGCTGGGGCTGATGAGAGTTGGAGCCCAGCACCTGTAGGGACGTAGGAAAGAAGGCTGGTCCATTAGGGCAAATGAGGCATTGCCACGCCAACCTCAGACCTCTCTCCAACAGCCCCTACCTGCTTGCCTGCCTTCTTACTTCCAGTGCTGGTGGTAGCTCTGTCTGTCAGCTTCTTCCTCCTTAGCCTCAGTGTGGCCCCTTGTAGAATTCAGCAAGGAGGAGAGGATGGGGCTGACTCTGCTTGTCATTGCCTCTGGTTCCTTCTATTGTTGGGCTTTCTGCCCTGCCAGTTCCAGTAGGCACCAGCTGCCACAGGTTAGTCACCACTAATTTGAACAGGGCAGATAATTCCACATATGGGGCACTGCCCAAGAGGAGGTGCCCTTTGTACGTTTATTCTGCTCATGAACTGTCACATTCTGTTTTTAATCACACATACACACACTGCAGCAAGAGCAGCATATCTAACACTTCCACCCCTTTAACTCCATATTTTGGTATATATTGCAAGACTTTTTCTCATTGCTGAACAATGTAACCAAGCACCCTTAGGTGTTTGAAATCTGAATTGGTTTTCAGCATTGCATTGTAAACAAAGTAAACGCCACACAGAAATTGCCCATTTAAAAGCATACTCCTCGAGCCATTGCCACAGAATATGCTTTTTGGAATATATGGAATTGGAAGTGCCAGAGAGTGTAAAGATTTTTCCACTTTTGGTGAGACCAGCCAGCAACCTAGATTTAGTTGGCACAGTTAATGCAGTCTCCTCACAAACGATGGTTTGCAAATCCCGATCTAGGCTCGGAAATATGCACTCCCTCCTGAGTAGAAATTTATGCTTAGTTCAGGCAAAATGCAGCCAATAATCATGTACTTCAAAGTCCTCCTGATAAATCAGTAGGATTTGGGTTGCAATCCTATACTAGTTTACCTGGAAATAAACCCCACTAAACTCGGTGGGACTTATTTTGGAAACATGTACATCGGAATCTGCCTTATATGGCATCAGAATATTAGTCCATCTAGCTCAGTATTGCCTACACTTACCAGTAGCAGCTCTCCAGGGTTTCAGGCAGGGGGCATTTCCATCCCTACCTTGAAATGCTGGGAGTGAACCTGGAACTGTCTGCATGCAAAGCACAATGTTCTACCACCAAGCTACGACCTTTGAACTGTTAAGCTCCTACTTGGCCATTCCCCATTGCACTCAATGTGAACTGTTAAAATTGTGCTCAGTTTTGGTTGAAGCGTGCCTTCCTACAAGAGTAGCCCACTGTCTTTTGCTCAGCTTCAACCTCCTTCATCCCCTGGCCAGTGGCCATGCCATCTGCTGGGGGTCCTGGGAGATGAAGTCCAAAATACAGTGGTTCCTCGCAAGACGAAATTAATTCGTTCTGTTTTTCATCTTGCGAATTTTTCATCTTGCGAAACACGGTTTCCCATAGGGTATTAACGGTTTTAAGAAAAAGGAAACAAACTTGCAAGACGTTTTCGTTTTTCGTCTTGCGAAGCAAGCCCATAGGGAAATTCGTCTTGTGAAGCAACTCAAAAAACGAAAAACTCTTTCGTCTTGCGCGTTTCTCGTCTTGCGAGGCATTCGTCTTGCGAGGTACCACTGTATTGTCTGTCGCTCCGCAGCTATATCGTGAGTGACACACACTTCTGTCTATCATGAGGGACCACGGAGTGCACCTCTGAGGGTCAAACTGCTGGAGAATCACAGCACCTGCTGTGGCTGCAGAGCCCGGTAGCTCATAATTGCTGCCACACACATTATTTCTGCAGCTGTAGCAGTACTGAAGTGACTCTCTGGGGCGCAAGCCTGGGCAATGTGTATGGAGGTCCTGGGCTGTCCAGATGACAATAACCCCCTCTCAGCCTCACTGATGTGGTCCAAAGGAAAGCGGAGCAATACATTTGACACCAGCTTAGCTGCAGGAATTGCCGGAAGGAGGCATACAAGACACCATCCAACCGTCTTAGGGACTCAACTCCAGATTTGTGTAGGGTTTCCTCCTTAGCCTTTCCTTCTCCTGAAGATGTCCCACAGGGCAGCGGGTACAGATTGTTCCTCAGCGTTTCCTCTCAAAGTCTTTCTCATGAGTGAATGTAGTTGCAGGGCAGCAGAAGTTTAGGAACAGAGTTTTCCTTCTCCAAAAACACTAGCATTTTATTAAATGCTTATGTAAGAAAACCATTCAGACAAAATGGAAGCTGCTTAATAATTAGATTGCAAAACCCTTAGCTAAACCTTCCTTGCACTTGTTTACATAGGGATGTATAAGAGCATGAGAAGAGCCTGCTGGATCAGGCCAGTGGCTGACCGGATGCCTGTCGGAAACCCACAAGCACAAGGGACTCGCCCTCCTGCGGTTTCCAGCAACTGGCATCCAGAAGCAAACTGCTACCGATGGTGGAGGAAGAACATGGAAAGAGCCATGCTAAACTATTCCAAAAGAGGTCCCATTCAGTCCACCATCCTGCTCAAACAGTGGCCACACAGATGTGAGAAGCCTGGAAGCAGGACCTGAGCACAGTAGCTCTCTCCCCTCCTGTGGGTTTCTAGCAACTGGTGTTCAGAAGCATTGTCGCTGCCAACAGGAGGCAGAGCATGGCCACTGTGGCTTGAAGCCATTGATAGCTTTCTCCTCCATAAATCTGTACCATCCTCTTCAAGCCACCCAGTCCACTAGGCCACTTCAGAGCAGACCCACTGAAATGAACAGTCATCACTAATTTAGGTGCTTTAATTTCAGTGAGTCTCTTCTGAGCAAAACCTCAGTTGGATTTGTTCTTTCATTTCCTTTTCCTCTTTCTACTTCCCTAAGATTTTATCTTTCTGTTCCTCTTCTTAACAATACTGGCAGTTGCATGCCAAAAAATGGTGTTGTGGGGGGCACAGGGGAGAGACACAGAGTTAACAGGAAATATGCTACCAATGGCATAAATGCTTATTTAGCAAAGGATTGGAAGATGGGGGGGAGGCTACCGTCTTTGGTAGATTGGCTTCAAAGATGCTGGCATGTTGCTAAGTTATGTAAAATTGCACCATCGTCACATAGATATGGTTAGGGATGCTGAAGGCCATGTAAGTTATTTTGGAAAGGTGGCAGGCGATCTGTGAGGGGGTTTTGCTCTGGAAGGGGAGAAATACGTTGGAAGGTGTGCGTCTCGAAGATTGTCAGTGCTGCCCCTAGGATGAGCTCAGGAGAAGACTGTAAGAGTGTGTGTGTATGTGTATGTGTAATATATTATTTTTAATTGATTCAATTGGTATCCCACCCTTCCTCCTGAAGGAGCCCAGGGCAGCAAACACGTCAGCAATATATATATATTTAAGCATTCTAAAAACAGTTAACAACAGTGATCGCATGACGCCAGGAGCAGTGTATTTCAGCCACTGAATGTCTAGGTAATACAGGAATGCTTTTAGATTCCTCCTCGTTCTGATGGAGACAGGCACATCTTAACAGGGAGGGCATTCCACAAATAGGGAGCAGCCACTGAGAAGGCCCTGACACAGATCACCGCTAACCAAGCAGCCCCTAGTGGCAGCACCAGTAACATCATCTCACCTGCCAGTCATACAGACCATGATGGCTCTCTCCAACTTTCGTGGTGTTCCTCTGAATACCAGCTGCTGGAAATTGCAGGAGGGGAGAGTTGCTGTTGTATTCAGGCTGTGCTTGTGGGCTTCCCATTGAGGCATCTGTTTGGCCACTATGAGAGCAAGATGCTGGACTAGATTCACCATCGGCCGTATCCAGCAGGTTTTTATGATATTGGGGAAGGGGCTCTTTGTTTTAGACATTTTTGCTGTATGGTTGAATTTGGCTAGCTTCATTCACATCTCAGGAAGGGGAGGGGAGTTGCAACCCCAGAGAGCTTGGTGGCTATCAGTGCAAACTCAAGGATAAGACAGCACAGGCCCTGAATGTGGCTCTCTGGGTCCCTCTCTGGCCCTCAGGAGTCTCCCCAGGCCACTCCTCCCCTCCCTGGCCCGAAATATCTGAAAGATATTCTTCCCTACTGATACTTTCAGGCATTAAGATCAGCAGAGGGGACCCTCTTTATTTGTCCCACCACCCTCTTCAGCTTGGGCTGGTAATGATAAAAATTGGTTGGAAAGGCAGCTAGATAACTGATCTGTTTTTTCCCTAGAAGTCTGGTAACCTGGAAAGGGTGGCCTCTGCTTGGGACATTTAATATGTGACTGCCTTAATGGCAAACACTTTTGGTACATTTGATCTGTTTTAATGGATGTTTCGTTTCAATGGTTTTTACTGTGCGTTTCCCCCATCTCTGTCCCCATGACAGAGCAATTCATAAGATGAATAAACAGAACTGAAGAACTGGGTATAAAATCTCTTTCAAAATTGCTTCATTCTTCTTCCCCTGCCCCCACTTTCTTCATCTGCTATAGAAGTTCCACAGCGATGACCCCCAGGAAGTGCGACGCAGAGCCACCATCTTGCAGACTGAATTCGAGAATTACGTCCACTCTAATGCAGAAACTGTTCAGCGGGCCAAAAAAGGTTAGGAGTCTTTTTGTTTTTGATAATCTTAGAATGTAATCTTTTTTTTTCGTTTTAGCAGGAGAAGAGGGGGTGATGAAAAACATTTTTTACTATTGCATCATTCAGTGGTGTTTCTTAAAACATTATTATATTTTATATTCCATCCTTCCTTCTGAAGGAGCCCAGGGCAGCAGTCAGGGTAACAGAACACAATTAAAACTCCCCAAAACAACCTTCTGAAACCAACTAAAACCTTCTAATAGGTTTAGGTGAAATGCCATAGTGCTAACTCTGTCATAACCAAGTTCAGCTTTCAACAGCCAACCCTATATAGGGCAAGGACCATAGCTCAATGGTAGGGCATCTGCTTTGGATGCAGGAGGTCTCAGCTGCAGCCCTCAGCATCTCCAGGTAGGGCTGAGAGAGCCTTATGTCTGAAATCCTGGAAAGCCACCTCCAGTCAATGCAGAGAACACCAAGCTTGATGGACCAATGGTCTGACCCTGTATAAGGCAGCTTCCTATGTTGTACACTTAGATGTACACCCTCCCCTCCTCGGCACGAGAATGAATTCCACCCTCTTGCTTTAACCACAGTTAAGCTGAACACTGCAACTAAACTATGGTTAGTTGAAATCAGAAGCAAAATCATACTTTCCTGGCATCTCGGAAAGGTCTTTCCATCATGCTACTATGATTCAGCATGGGGGTAACTGAACTTTTTAAGCCCAAGAGTGAATCTGCAAACATCACAGTCACAATTTGCAAACACAACAACCAATCACAAAAAGCAACATATTCTATTGGCTGCAAGAGAACACTGCTTTCAGGCCCATTTTCAGCAGGAGGAAGAGCCACGAAGAAACCTTCTAAAGTTTGATCCCAAGGCCACTCCCCCCCCCTTTTCCTTTTCCTACTCTGCTGTGGAACCATTGGCACACAACCAGTCCGGAATATGATTTCTCCCCTCACATCCCATTTTACGGACAAGAAAACAGTGACCCTCCAAATTCTGCAGTCTTCAGGATTTGCTTGGTGGGACTGGGCATAATTGACCGGCAGGCATCTTCTTGGCCGCGTTCTACACCATCAACAGTGGCACAAGATATCAAGGGTGGGGGTGGGGAGAGGCTCTTACATTACCAAACCCATATTGGTGCTCGCAGTTTATGCAGTTGAGGGCTCCATAAAGGCAGATGCGATTCTCTTCTTCCGTGCCAGAGCCTGAACCTTTATGCAGTGCTGGATGACTGCAGAGGGAGAGATACCAGCCCTGCATTTCCCATGAATATCTTAAACGCTTCCCTTTCTATCTCCCTCGCCCTCTGTGTTTTCCCAGTTTTGCGTCCCATGCAAAGGTGGCTCCTCCTTGCCCTTCCTCCATCGCCCCGTCTTTCTTGCTGTCTGCATATGCAGGATTTCCAAACACCGGCTGGCTTCCATAAACCTCCCTCCATTCTTCCTCCTCTGTTGAAGCCAAGGATGGTGAATAATTAACGCGGCAGCTGGCTCTCCTGTTTATGGCAGGAAATCAAACGGAAACGATGCCAAATGCACAGTTCTCTCTCTCTTTCTTAGCCTTCTCTCCCCACCCCAAGCTCTTCGCTTCAATTTATGTTTTGACCTGGTCGATGTTGGTAGCCAGCGTTGCCTCACAGAACCCCTTCCCAAAGGAGCGGCTACTTTTAAAAAATATCTGGCTGTTCATCCTCACTCTGTTCTTTAGGAAGGGCCCATAGCTCAGTGGCTAGAGCCAGGATGGAAACCCTTCTTGCAGTCCAAGGGCTGTGTTTCCTCCTGTAGAACTTTTTGGGGGAACGTGTGGAGACTTGACCACCACCGTTTTCCTAACTCTCTTTCCCTTGTGGCTGTGGGGAACACGGGTGGCGCTGTGGTCTAAACCACTGAGCCTCTTGGGCTTGCCGATCGGAAGGTCGGTGGTTCGAATTCACGCAATGGGGTGAGCTCCCATTGCTCTGTCCCAGCTCCTGCCAACCTAGCAGTTCGAAAGCATGGCAGAAGTGCAAGTAGATAAATACCGTATTTTTCGCACCATAGGACGCACCGGACAATAGGACGCACTTTGTTTTAGAGGGGGGAGAAAAAGAAAAAAAAATTCTCCCCCTCTCTGCCCAGCGCCCCTTCAGCGAAGCGGCAGGAGGCGCTGCGCAGAGAGGGGGAGACCGTTCCCCCTCTTGTTTTCCCCCTCTAAAACAAGGTGCCGTTTAAGGTGCGTTCAGGCGGCTACCTTGGAAGCCTGGAGAGCGAGAGGGGTCGGTGTGCACTGACCCCTCGCGCTCTCCAGGCATGAGGTTCCTTTCGACCTGCTCTTTAGGGATGGCAGGGGGAAGCCCACCACCAGCCCCAAAGAGCAGGTCAGGGAGCAGCGGAAAGGCGGGAGAGGGTCGCGGGGCTATGGCTTCTTTAGCCCCGCGCACGCTCTCCCGGCTGGAGAGGTGACGCGCGGCTATAGAGGCTCCTGCCATAGCCGCGCGTCACCCCTCCAGCCGGGAGAGGGTCGCGGGCCTATGGCGTCTTCGCTCCATAGGACGCACACACATTTCCCCTTCATTTTTGAAGGGGGAAAAGTGCGTCCTATAGAGCGAAAAATACGGTAGGTACCACTCCGGTAGGAAGGTAAACTACGTTTCCAGGCGCTGCTCTGGTTTCGGTGTTCTGTTGTGCCAGAAGCGGCTTAGTCATGCTGGCCACATGATCCGGAAAAACTGTCTACGGACAAACACCGGCTCCCTCAGCTTGTAAAGCTAGATGAGCGCCGCAACCCCAGAGTCATCTGCGACTGGACTTAACTGTCAGGGTACTTTTTAGAGCATCTGCTTTGCCCACAGAAGCCCCCAGAGTTCAATCACCAGCATCTCCAGATGGTTGAGAACTCTTTGTCTGAAATCCTGGGGAGCTGCTGCCGGTCATTGTACACAGTGCTGAGCTAGATGGACTAGTGGCCTGACTGTGAACGACCTTCCTACATTCCTGTTTGAAGCACCATGGCTTCATTGCAGAGCACCTGCTTTGCATGCAGAAGGTCCTGGTTTCAATCCAGGTAGGACTGGGAGAAACCTCCTGTTTGAGAGTTGCTGGAGAGCTGCTGCCGGTCAGTGTAGACAACACTGAGCTGTATGAACCAATGGGCTGACTCCGTATAAAGCACTGGGAATTGTGGGGGCAGATTTAAAATGGCAGGCACTGTGATTCTCCAACAGTTTGACTTCACCCCCAGAGGCGCACTCCATTGTCTTTCAAGACAGATGGATGCCAACAAGTAAAAAGGGGGGAGGGGGAGGAGGAGAAGAAGCAGCAGCAGCAGAAACCCAAAAATCTGAAAGAGATTGATTATACCCTTTTTAGCATGGATTGGGAATGTGCAAAATCAACAAACTTACTCCAAACCTTGATGACAAATTGACAATTTCAACTGCTTTTCATACATTTGACTTTTACGTGCCCAAAGATAATATGCAAAGTTATGCATTACAGTGGTACCTCAGGTTAAGAACTTAATTTGTTCTGGAGGTTCGTTCTTAACCTGAAACTGTTCTTAACCTGAGGTACCACTTTAGCTAATGGGGCCTCCCGTTGCAGCTGCATGATTTCTGTTTTCATCCTGAAGCAAAGTTCTTAACCCAAGGTACTATTTCTGGGTTAGCGGAGTCTGTAATCTGAAGCGTCTGTAACCTGAGGTACCACTGTATAGCTGTACTCCAGATCCCACAGAACCAATCTGACAGAGGTGAAGTTACTTTGAATTGCATATAACCAAGTTCCACTGAGAGTGGCCCTATGGACCTAAGTGAGCCATGTCCATTAGTTTCAATGGGGCTACACTGAGTAGGACTAACATTGGATACCCCTCCCTCGCCCTGCAATTCATGGGATCTGTCATATTAGCTACCATTAGTAGTTGCTGCCCTCCCCGCAAAGATTGACCACGGCATGCTCAATTCTGTGTTCTGGTGGGATGCACATTCAAACTGGGTGCAATGAGAAAGGGGGGACCATTTCAGTCATGGCTCCAGAATAACCTCCTAAAGGAGGTTTGCCAGCCATGTAGCTTCCTTGCTATTCGGGTGAGAGTCTCTATTGGTAGTTACCACATAGCTCATGTGCACCAGGAACTGTGCATTCATTATTGTAAATCCCCCTTCCAGCTGAGATCAGACAGCCCCCCCCCCCGCCTCCCTGCTGAACTTCAGACATTTAATGTAGACCTTTCTATTCAGAGTTGTGCTGTGCCTTTTTATGGGGTGGGGATTACCTATGAACCAGGGTTGTTGTTTTTTGAATGCCACATTAATCTGATTGATTAATTGTTTTATTGATTGCTCTGTAAGCCTCTTGTGACCATCTACGGTCAGGCTGTTGAGTAGGGGAGACAGTGGTACTGAACCTGCTGGCTGCTTTTTTCATAGTTCTCTGCCTCTGCCTTTTTAAATAAGGTTTTTAGATAAAGGTTTCCCTGATGTTTTCTGTATTGTGGTCATTCACCTTGAGCTCAGGAGGGGAAAACACAGGTGTGCATACCCACAAAAATGGCAGACTCTGACTTGTGTTTCCAGTTTTTTTCCTCCTCCCTGCCCAATATGGACTAGGAACTTGCTTTGTGTGGTGGAGCAGGAAAGAAACAGAGACATGTAGGCCAGCCCGGAGCATTTCTGTGCTTTGAACCGAGCAACTCTTGTCCATGTGGCTTTTGAACCACCTGTATGATGAAGTTGGGCCTGAAGTCGTGACTGAACATCTTAAAATATCAAACATTACCTTTAGAAAGGTTGGCAACTCACCCCCCGCCCCCGCCGGTAATTTCCCCTCTCTTTCTTCCTGTGTTCCCCCTCCCCCGCCAGACAGGTCTCTAAAAAATTGATGATGTGAAATGAGAAGAAGGGGTTGCAACGCTCTCTCCTTCGTTACTCCCTCATTGATTGGGAAATGGTGTTCGCTTTGCTTGGCAAACAGAGCTTTGATGGATTCCCAGAGTCCTTCCAGGAACTGATCTCGCTAAAATGACATTTTTATTACTGTTCGTAAACCCCAATCTCCTGCCACCCCTGAGAGATTAGGCTTAAGCTGTGGGCAAACGTGCTGGTCTACTGACTCAGTGAGGAAGGGCAAAAGAGACTGGTGGGGGAGCAGTGTTAGGTTTCGATGCAGTTAAGGGACTGGGGTGGTCTGGGGTGGGGAGGCAGGGGTCTGAGATGAGGGTAGGGAGAGAAAGTGGGGAGGGGTCCTGAGCTGCATGGCTGGGATTTATTTGAAAACCAGAAATGTGAGAATTCTGGGGTGAGAATTGGAGGGGAACGAGAACTGGGGGCTAACCCTGCAAATCATGAAATCTTTAGTGGCCTCCTTTGCAAGTACAGCCATACCTCATGTTACATCCGCTTCATGTTACATTCTTTCAGGTTGCGTCCCGCGGTGACCCGGAAGTACCAGAAAGGGTTACTTCCGGGTTTCGCCGCTTGTGCATGCGCAGATGCGCAAAATGACGTCACGCGCATGCGCAGAAACGGCGAATCACAACCTGTGCATGCGCAGACGTGCCGCTGCGGGTTGTGTTCTTTTCATGTTGCGAATGGGCCTCCGGAATGGATCCTGTTCGCAACCAGAGGGACCGCTGTCTACGTACCTACATAGTTTTATTTGTATGTCAGCTTTCTACAGTTCAAACCACGCTCAAGGCGTCTTACAGCATGAAAAGAATTCATAACTACAACATAGCAGAAGTAGTCATGAACAATAAATAAAACATTTTTTAAAATAAACAACCGGACTGAACAGTTTCCACATAAATTATAAGAGGTGAAATAAAAATTTAAAAAAAACCTCAACAGCGACAACCCGCCAAAACACCCCAGGCCAGGAATCTGTTAAGCAGCCTCAGCCCCTATATCTTATCTGGAGTTGGGCTATACCCCCAGGCCAGGAGGAAAACGGTGTGCAAGTCTTCCAGGACTCATAGCCAATAGTTTAGAAGTGATTAGTGGACATTGCAGTAGCTGTCCCTATGGTGGCCTGCAAGAGTCACGCAAGGCATTTGTTTGGTTTTTTAAAAGAAGTGTTCGTAATTTGATGGTATGTGACTGGCTTTCTGCATATGCTTAGTGGACATTGCATCTGTTTTGGAGGTGATCTTGAGCTCAAATGAAGAGTGTCCCAACAGGGAGATAATCTCACCTGAGAGGCGATGGCACGTAATCCCTTTTGCAAAGGAAAATTCCCAACGGCCACATTCATTTTTCTTCCTCCCTTTTCCCTCCAGCTCTGCAGTCTTTCATCCGGTCGTATGCAACCTACCCAGCCAGCCTCAAGCACATCTTCCACGTCAAGTCTCTCCATCTGGGCCATGTGGCAAAGAGCTTTGGGCTCCGGGACGCCCCTAAGAATCTCAGTGCCACCTCTGCCTTCCCAAAGCAAGCAAAGAACCAGAAGCAGAAAAGGTAAAGGCTCAACTGTGCTTTCCAACTCAGTGTGCGGGTTTGACACAGGAATAATGGGAAACCGGTGGCCTTCCAGATTTGCATCAGCCCTTGCAGCTAACATGACGAGCCGCTGGGGATAATGGAAGCTGAAATTCAGGAGCCTGTGGAGGGTCACAGTCTCCTCCATTCCAGATTGAAGCAGCAGCATTGCCTACTGCATACAGCGAATGGAGGGATGCCTCTGTTTAGAAGAGACAATCCTTCAGGAAAAAGGGGGGATACCTCTTCTTCAATTTGGGGTGGGGAACCTGCAGCCCCTCTAGATGTGGTTGGACTACCCCAAGTCCCAACTGTACCAGCTAGCATGGCCCAATGGTCAGGGAAGAATAGGCGCTTGGAGTTCAATATATTTTAGAGATTCCCCAGTTCTGCTTTAACCTGTAGAGCCATAGGCAAGACCCTTCCCCATTTCAGCTGTTCCTCCTCTCAATACAGCAATGTACATCTACCCAAAGGAAGCCTTTCTGTGTTAACACTTGTTTTGTGTGCTTGCATACAGCATGATTGGTGCATGAGCAGAAAGGACCCCACACTCAACGCCAGACTCATGCACTCCTCTCTTCCTCCACCAGGAGGAGGTCTTTGCCAGAGTTAGGAGTTCAGGAAGCTGCCTCATACTGAGTTAGACCATTGGTCCATCTAGCTCTGTATTGTCTACCAGGGGTAGCCCTAAGTGTGGTGCTTTTCAGCAGTTTTGGATGGCAGCACCCATCAGCCCCCAGCCAAGATGTCCAATGGTCCAGAGCGATGTGTCTGCCTCTCCTTGACCTGCTGCCTGTCAGTGCCATTGGGTCACCTCAGACTCTACCATTCAGTGGATAAAATCCTAAATAACTTAGGCCAAAAATATCTGAGGGACTGCCTCCTTCCATACTGACCCTCTTGGGTGCTGACATTGGCAGAGGGGATGCTCTTGGTAGTTACACCACTAAGTTGCGACGGGTGGCAGCCAAGGAGAGGGCCTTGCTTGTCTGTAACAGACCCTAAGCTGTGGAACTCCCTCCGCTAAGGGGTGAGTGGCTTCTTCACTCTACAGGCGAATGCTGAAGATGCATCTCTTTACCCTGAGACACCTGAGATGTGCCTTTTCAGGGCCCTGCCATTCCTGTGACCGTAATCTGTTTTAAACTTTTGAATCCTGAATTTTAAAGTGTTGCAGCCTGCCCTGGGACCTGCTTTTTGTCATCATCATCATCATCATCATCATCATCATCATCATCGTTTTAGAGTGTGAGGAAATCCAGTCTCTCTGCACCTTTCTGAATCCTCACCACTCTGCCACCATGTTTATTCCCAAGCCATGAATGCTCTCCTCTTTTAGCATTCATGTTTAGATAAGAGGCCCTATCAGATTGCTCTTTTAAAAAAATCTTCAACTGTGGGGTATTCTTTTTAAGTGTGCTTTTTTTTTTCTAAATCATACTTTTTAATCCATGCATATATACTGCTCTCTAAACCACCTTTGCTTTAATTCAAAGAAAACCATGTTAAGAAACAACTCCCAAACGACTTTCTTCTTCTTTTCCTTCACTTTCTTTCAATTTCTTCCCTTTCTCTTTCTTTGCTGTTTCGTTCTTGACCTTTTCTCCCAAGCCCACCTTCCTTTTCGCAAATATCAGTGTTGCTTTTCTCAGTTTTTCCTTTTATTTCTTTCCTTGGGTCCCTCTCTTTTTTTGTATATACTCCATTGCTGCAAAATTGTTTCAAAAAACCAACAACGCTCCAATCTGCGCAAAGCGTCGGCTGTTCAGTTATAAAGGCCCCCTTAATCCATGTCACGATTTCCTGGGGCCGCTGACATCTTTAGCTTGGGCCATCCGAGAAGCAAAATTAAAGAAACGAAGTATGTTTTTTGGGGGGGGTGCAGGAGGATTGGGTGGGGGACGGGACTCACAGAGCAGTTGTTGGGAGGGGATTCAGGACTAAACGCATTGTCCCTGCCTTTTTTCTCCCTGTGGACTGCTTCTGCTCACCCTCACCAGCAGATGGGCAGCAGGACAGGAATGCCCCAGCGAGCAGGGGATTTAACGGAGCTTTATTTAGCTAAGAATAGCCTGATTAGCTGATAAAGAGCATGTAAGATGGTATGGGGCAGGCTTTGATGTCTCCTTAGCCCAGCAGGGAACGGGGTGATGACTGACACCAACAGTCTCACTGGATTACAGCAGGTGGGGACAATGTCTCCCTCTGTTCCTGAGATGTTGTTTCTCTGTTAAAGCTATCCCCCCCCCTCGCTTCTTTTCCAGAGGTGGCATGTTAGGGGGCCCTTTCCATCCCTCCCAGTTGTGGGGGGGGGGGAGAAAAGCTTGCATTGCCATTTCCACAAACGTAGCAGAGAGCAAAAACTGGACAGCAGCTCGGGAGCCATCAGGAGAGATGGGGGGTGATTAATGTTTCCAACCAACCCCCTTCCTGATCTAAAGAGAGCCAGTGGGTGGCATCTTGGAACAAAGAGACCCACCAAGTTCAGATCCCTATAACCAGTGCTATTTTTTAGAAAAAGAGGTGCCGGAACTCACCCTGAATGCCTCCCTCGTTCTCTTAGAATGGCAATGGCACCCATCCGAGAGGTGCCGGGACAGAGCTCCAGTGAGTTTCTGGCCAAAAAGAAAGCCATGCCTGTTATACTCACCTGATCTGCCTAACCTACCTCACAGGGTGGCTGTGAAGATTAAAGGTGGGAGAAGCAACTCGGCATTCCTGAGCTCTTTGGGCAAAGAGCAGGATAAAAATTAGGAGTAAGGTTATTATGCCCCATCCCGCTTCTCCAAGCTGCTGTTTCGTCCCACTGGGAGAGATATTCATGGAAGTACTGTCATTCTCCCTACAGGAATATAGTACAGTGGTACCTCAGGTTAAGTACTTAATTCGTTCCGGAGGTCCGTTCTTAACCTGAAGCACCACTTTAGCTAATGGGGGCCTCCCACTGCCGCCGCACCACCAGAGCACGATTTCTGTTCTCATCCTGAAGCAAAGTTCTTAACCCGAGGTACTATTTCTGGGTTAGAGGAGTCTGTAACCTGAAGCGTCTGTAACATGAAGCGTATGTAACCCGAGGTACCACTGTAGATTCATGAGGGGTGTGTACTTTTGATCAGAGGTGTTTCCAGATTGATCTTTTTAGTGCTTTTGCTAGGGCTTCCCTCTCCACCCCATGAGTAGTTTTTCATTTTTAAATTCATATTCAAGTAGATGCAGGTTTTAATTGAATTGTTAATAGATAGGCGGTCTAACACTTGTGATTAATTGATCTAAAATTTCTTTTAAGTGGGTAACAGTACCATTATTTTAAAAAGAATTTCTGGAGGGTATAATTCCAAGCTGAAAGGTCTGGCAAAAAAACCCCTGTTGCCTGCTGTTTTCGTTATTTTTACAGGATTTTATATTCTGAAACTTTTGCTGCTTTGCATAATTTATTCTGGCTTGCCTAGGCACAGGGTGGGGGTGGGGAGAGAAACTAGTCAGAGGCATGAAACCCCACACTCTGAAAACATTATTCAGTCCCCCTATCTAGCTGACTATCTATCCCAGCTCCCCAGATCTCCCTACATATTGCTCACAGGTTTGGAAGTATGCCTAATTTATTTTATTATTTAGGTAATTTTATTTATTCATTCATTCAGCCAGTCATAAAATTTTAATACTGCTTAATATAATAAGTCTCTATGCGGTTTGCATAAAAATATACCCAATAACATTTAGTAAAAAATCCTAAAAACTAGATTAAAAAACAGAGCAAAGCTCTACATCACTCTCTCACACACAAATAACAAATAGTTTGGCCTCCATAAGGACTAGAAACTTGCTCAGTTTTTATTATTTTTAATTAAGCAGATATTCTTCAGAAGCTGCATCCTGCACCCAAAAACATATTTGTTGGTAGTGGTTGTTGTGGTGTCTGCACAGGTAAGCCTGTGTGGAGTTGGCACAGCTGTGGAATGTGTATTTTTTCTCCCTGTGTTAAGAATCAATACCTCAGAAAGGCATGATCCGTGTAGTACAGAGTCCTTTACTATATTTGAAATCTGGCCCTGAAATTTTGCCTGATTATTCTTATTTTTAAAAAAGAAGAAATATGTCCAAGACTAGGCATATTCTACAAGTACAAAAACAGTGGTTTGTCTCCAGTTAACAAACTCAGAGTAGACCCATTAAAGTTAATGAGCCTAAGTCAGCCATGTGTATTCATTTCAACTGGTCTACACTGAGTAATAACTAACACTCTATACAACTCAATTTCTTCTCAAATTGTTTTGTTAAAAACAAAACCAACAACTATGGGTTTATAGTCCTTCAGCTTGCATGATCAAAATGAGAGCAGGCCTCAAATTTTAGCTTTTGCAGATTACTCCCAATTGCCCCCAATACAGAACGATCAGGTCTACTTAAACGCAAGTCACACACAGCCTCTTCTGCATTGCTTTTTGAGTAATGAGAGAGAAGTTGGCCCTTGTCGGGGACAAACATGTGGAAGAGGGTTGTGAGAGAGAAAGAGAAGTACATTGCATGAGCAGACCTAACATCCTAACGCTCTTTGAACTTTTCTCTTTGGCCAGTTTTTTTTTTTTTTTTTGAGTGGGAGGCAGGCACAGCCCCCTTAGAGGACGGACTCTCTCAGGCAAAGAAGCCCTCCCGGGCCAAGCTGCAGCTGTAGAGCTTTCCCCCTGCAAAGCAATCGCCTCGTCGTCAGATTGGAGTCCTTTTTCAGCTGCCAATTTCCTTGTGGCATTTGCTGCTTCCTTAATATCACTTAATTAGTGGCAGGGAAAGCTTGGAGCCTGGCCCAGGGAGGAATTTGGGGCGTTTTCCCCCTCCTCTGGATGGTGCTCTGCTGCAGAAATAAATAGAGTCCGGCTGGTGGGGGGAGCTTTGAGACTAGAGAAGAGTCGGGCCAAGTGCAAGATCAAGAAAGGGGTTCGTTTTGCAAGGGAGAGGCTGGTATCATGGAGGGAGAGGGCTGTCAATGGCTACCAACCACAGTGTCTATTGCTGTTTCCCCACAGTTGGGGGCAGCAACGCTTCTGAATGCCAGTTGCTGGAAACTGCTTAAGGAGAAAGTGTTCTTGTGCGGAGGTCCTACTTGCTTGTAGTTAGGCTTGTAGTTAGCCACTATAAGAACAGGATCCTGGACTAGATGGGCCATTGGCCCGGTCCATCTGGCTCTTCTCGTGTTTTTACAATATAAGAGGCTTGATGGGTGGTTTGAGACAGAGACATAGTTAGGGGGGCGCACTGGGTGCCACACCGCAGGGAGTAACACTTACTGCGGGGCCTGCAGTGCACCCAAGCCACACGTCTCTCCTGGGAGTGACATAGTGGTTTGGGCGCCTGCAGGCTCTGCCATGCCCAAAAGGGCAGTGTGGGACTTGTGTCTGCCCGCTGCCTCCCCCTCAGTTCCTTGGAGGCTCCGCGGCATGCCCCGCCCTATGGGTGGCCTGCCCTGCCCCCGGGTGCAGGGTGCATGCCGCCCCAGGCGGCCAAGCGGCTAGCTACGCCGCTGAGCCTCAGTAGGGGACCCACAGCTCTTTTTCATCAGTGCATTGCTCCCTGCCTAAACGTTCTGCTTCATATTTTCTCCTTTCTTCACCCTTTTCAACCTGGATGGGGAATCTGCAGGTGTCTACATCATGGGCAGTCCAAATTTGCAGTCCCAAAACTCCCACCATCATCCCTGACTGTTGGCCCGGGGCTGAAGGGATTTGGAGTACAATACCAGGATTGGGCCACAGGTTCCCTATGTAATGTTCTCAACTCTGTTTCCATTATTTTTTCCCTAGACTGCACCTCTGCTTGTGCCTTTCAGATGTTGTTGGATTCCAACTCCAGTCAGCCCCCAAACCCCGCCAAAGAGCATGGCCAGTAGCCGGGGATTATGGGTGCTGGAGTTCAGCATGGGCCTCTGAGGCCAGGCCATCCCAGTTCAGGAGTGGCCTAAACTGGGCATAAGCACTCCTATTTACAGAAGTCACAAGACTCCAGGGACAAGATGTAATCTAGGAGCACACCCAGACTATATAGTTTTCGCCTTCAAAACGATGTACAGCCCCTTTGAGCATACCTGGGGGTTGACCAGGTTGGCCCTCACCAAGGGCCCAGGCCCACGGTGTGTGTGCAAAAAATGTGCTTCTCCACCCTGGCTGGGAGTGGCTAGGAGCCCACTTTCCCACCCATGCACTCCCTGCGCTGCTCTGGGCAGCCAACATGTCCTTGCCAAGGTGCAGTAGATGGGAGGGGGATGCACTGGTGCAGCTCCTTGTGAAGAGTGCAAGGGAGCCTAAGTATGTCTCTGCTTCTGAGAACAAGTTCTTCATCTAATTCCCAGAGTCACAAAACACCCTCCAACTGTATGGCATCAGGTTTGTGAGGAAACAGACTCTCAGGCCAAGTTTGGCCCATGGGCCAGAGGTTCCCCACCCCTGACCCTAGGAAGGAGTCGCAGATTGCAGCATTACTGGACCTTTTGCCCTGCAGGCTGCCCCTTTCGCCTCCACCAGTGTGTTGATGCTGTGTCCTGATTTGATGAGAACATACTTTTTTTAAAAAAAATAAAACCTTTCCGAGATATGCCTTTCAGCGTCAGCCAACGTTGCCATGTAGTGGAGACATCTGCTAGGTTGTCTGAAGGAGCATATCTCAGTTGATAGATGCTATGCCCCACTCCTACTGCTGCCACCATCCCTCCCCGTATGACACTCCCATCCCCCCCCCTTCACAGCACACATCAGCCACAGATGGCTCATTTGACTCAGTGGGTAGAAAAGCAGGTGTTCAGATAGCATTAAGCCAGAGGTATCCAAGCCTCATTGCTTGGCACTGCCAGCCACCGGATGGGGCAAGCAGTGAGGAACCTCCATCAAATGGATTGACGGCATGATCCGTGTTGAAAACAGTCCCTGATAAATGGCGGCCTCTTCTCCAGAGACGCACCACGGGTCCAAGAGGGGCGAGCGTCACCACTGTTTTTGGCAATTCAAGGCTGGCTGTGTTGCATGTGCATCAGCAAAAAGAGCATTTGAGCCCACCACAGGGCTGTTGTCGCTTCCCACCCTTATTTGTGACAGTCTGTTTTTGTTTTGTTTTTAAAGCCATTCTCCTGCACTCAATAGCTAATATCTCCCAAAGTAGTGTACAAAACTACATTTAAAGACCATCAGTAGTATGTGATGTTAGACTTAGAGCAGACCCATCAACTAACCTGGGTAAATTAATTTCAGTAGATCTACTCTGGGTAGAATTTAACTTGAATGCAACCCTGTAAATCCACGTAAAAATAAATGACAACTCGAAAGCAGCAGAATTAATATCCCAGCCAACTCAAAAGCTACTTGGGAAATAATGGTCTTGACCTGCCTTTTGATAGGACAGCAGAGAGGTAAAGGAAGGACATTCAGACCTCCTGGGGGAGTTCCAAAGCATGAGGGGATGCAACTGAAAAGACCCTGCAGCCTGCTGAGGGTCTCACTCTAAAATCTGCTAGGAAGAGATTGCAGTGGTGTATGTTTATTTATTACATTTACATCCCACCTTTCCTCCAAGGAGCTCAAGGTGGCACGCAAGGTTCTCTCTCACCTCATTTCATCCTCACAACAACCCTGTGAGGTAGGTTAGGCCTTGGGTCCTCTTACCCAGCAAGTTTCATGGCTGAGCAGGGATTCGGATCCTGGTTTCCTGGGTCCTAGCCCAACACCCTAACCACTGGCTTTCATGCATGTTGCCTCCATCTTCTCCCCAAAACAACCATGTGGGGTAGGCTGAGGCAGGTGCAGCACCCATTCCAGGGCAATAGCCAAGACCCCTCTCTAAGCCTATTTAAAGAAAATTCAGCTAGGCACTCCATGCAAGATCTGACTTCCCATTTTCATATCCCACCCTCCCCTCAGTGTAGTGCTGCTCCAGAGCAGGGATGGAGGAACAACTGGCCCTCCAGATGTTGTTGGACTCCAACTCCCATCAGCCCTAGCATCCAGCATGGCCAACAGTCGGGGATGATGGGAGATGTAGTCCAGCAACACCTTGAGGCAGCACTTTGGCTGTCCCTTCTTCTCTTCATCACTAGAAGAACAGTTGTTCTAGTGAGGCAAAAATATTGGTCCTGCCTTTTTGAGACAGCTGAAAAATCCATTTTACATTGTTTGTTGTTGTTGTTGTATTTATATACTCGTGTTTCTTCCAAGATGGGATCAAGCCAGCTTCCAACATTAAAAAACATCACTATGAAATGCAAAGTGATACAAAGAAACTAGTTAATAACAATAGCACATTTAGAGCCAGCCATTCAAATCCACTTTGCCCTGACCGTAGCCCAGTGATCAGCATCGCCTGCACTTTGTTTTCAAAGGCTCATCTGAACAGGAAGGTCTTTGCCTGCCAGCGGAAGGAAAGCAAAGAGGGAGCCAGTCTGACCTCTCTTGTGAGGGAATCCTACAATATAGGACGTGCTCCAAACCCAAGTCCCTCTTATAACAGTTCCTGAAGAGAGGGGCTGGTGGGCAGGTGCAGCATATCACATCCCATATATTTACTATTGGAAAAACAAGGGAGCTCTTTTTTAAAACATGAGAGTTGAGCGAAGGTATGAAATGTCTCCATGGTTCAGCTGTGCTTTGCTTTTTCCTCATGTGTGAACTGCTGTTCTCTTTCACCTGCACACCTGTTGTGCATTCACACCTCAAGGATGTCTGCAATAAGGCTTGCTTTTGAAAGAGGGAGCTGTATCTTACCATCTCTTTTGAGAAAGAGAGAGAGATATTAGGATTCTGTTGACCCTAAGTGTATGACTACTCAGGAGATGGATTTTCAAGGTAAGAACTCAAGGAAGGAGACTAAGCCAGTGGAGTCCGATCCGACAGGATGAATGGAGCTCTTTTCCCTGCACCAACCTCATTCCATCCTTGGCCAGCTCCCTGCCTGGATATTCTGGGGATTGAATCTGGGACTTTCTGCTTGCAAAGCATGTGTTCTGTCACCACATTATTGTTCTACATCTAAAAATAAAGTAATGTTCCAGCCTTCATGATGCTGGGATCTTCTGCATGCACTGCCGAAATCCTAATCTCCCCCGTCCCCACAACTGCTATTTAATTTTAGAAAAACAAACAAACTTGCATATGTTAATCATGTAATGAATGGCACATCTTGTTTGGCCCAAAATTCCACTTTGGTGAGACTTTCTTCAAAGTGGGAACCTTGAGGAGTGCATACTTAAATTTTAAAATCCAACAGTGTCTCCTTGTAAAACCAAATGCTTTAAAAAGTTTTCTCCTTCCTTATCTCTCTCCTTTCTTTTGCCCAGGCGTGAGTTTCTTCTCAAGAAAACTCGGGGCAAGCGCCGTCTGGCCGAAATCTTGCAGTCTGAATACTCAAGTGGTTTGGACATGGTTGCATCTAAGGTCAAGAGGAAGAAAAAGCTGGCCAGCCTGGAAACTGAAAGATGAGCCAGAAATTCTCAGCCTCTCCCAAGACAGCTGAGACTCACGGTAGCAGCAATCTGGGAGCATCACCAAAAATTGAGGTGCTTCTTCCTCCACAACCCCCTTTTCAAAGCCTGCTCCAGGGAAAGGGAAAGCAAAATTAAGAACAGCATTGTCCTGTATGAAATTTAAGGTGTGCTGATTGTAACAGCTTCTAACCAAAACTTTCTTTTTTGGGGAGTGGGGTTATGAATGCAGAGTGGAGCCTGCAACCCCTGAAACGGTGGTAATGGTGAAAGTGGTGGCCCGCCTAATTATATTCATTGTAATTTTTTAATATGAGCCGCCTTAGGAAGAACTTTATTCTTGAAGGATGCTGTAGAAATATATTGAATGAATGAATAAATAAATGGAAAAGTGTGTGCGCGCACACACATATGTGTAAACCTCTTTGACGTCTTCAGTCTGCTTTACAAAGGATGGATGGCGGACTCCAACTCCTATCAGCTCCAGCCAGCATAGGCCAAAAGCCAGGGTTCCCCATTCATTGTACAAAGATAAGGGTTGCACCCATTGCTCTGCCCATGCCCATTACAGTGGTACCTCTGGTTACGAACTTAATTCGTTCTGGAGGTCCGTTCTTAACCTGAACCTGTTCTTAACCTGAAGCACCACTTTAGCTAATGGGGCCTCTCGCTGCTGCAGTGCAATTTCTGTTCTCATGCTGGAGCAAAGTTCTTAACCCAAGGTTCTACTTCCGGGTTAGTGGAGTCTGTAACCCGAAGTGTTTGTAACCCGAGGTGTTTGTAACCTGAGGTACCACTGTACTGGTATGCCACAAGGGGAGTGTGGTCTTCTGGCAGTGAAAACCTTTCCATGCCACTGTTTTAGAGCTTGAAAAGATGAGGAAAAACCATCAAAAATATCAGAGGGCTGAAGGATGTTTATTTATCAGAAGGATGGGCTGTCCAACTGTGACACAGAGTGCCTTGAAGATGGTGGACTCTTCTTGGCTAGAGGTTTTTCAGCAGAGACTGTGACACACACACATCCCCCCCCGCCCCGGTCAGGGTACTGTAGCCAGTCATACAGAGATACACCATGAAGCCTCCTCAGAGGACAGATTATTCTTTGCATCTTTGAGGGTGATTTGAGTGATTCAGGTATACAGATACACAATCCTAGCAGAGGCAAGTTAAAAGGTCTGGGAAGCTGCCTTATTGGGAAGACCATTGGCCCACCCAGCTCAGCATTGTCTACACTGACTGGCAGTGGCTTTCCAGGATGTTACACGCAAAGCAGAATCTTCACCACTGAGCTAGGGCCTTCTCCAAGAACAGTGAGTTAAACAGAGATGCAACTGACAGCATCCTCCATGTGCTTGCTTTTGTGTTTCCATGATTTTTCAAATCCATTTATTTCTTGTAGCTCAATAGTTCTGGAATTTCTGTCCCGTGTTAATTGCAACTGTCCTGTTAGCCTCCAAACTCTTATCACAGGACATGTGTTCATGCAATGCTATTTGCTACATATCTACAGAAATAGTAAGTCCCATTGAGCATTTCAGCCTTAGACTATTTTATCAATTCCTATTACCTTCAAGTTCATATTTTGATTTACACCAGCAGCTTTGGTCTGTAACCTTTTTTTTCTAGGGTTGTATGCTTTCACCTACTATATTTCAAATTGATTTTTTTTTTTAATCCCTTTGCCGAAGTGAAACCTTTCAATTCATTTCCAAATGTGTCTTGGCGAGGACAAATTTCAATCTTGCCATTTTCCTGTCGTGTTAGAAAGGGTTGTCGTTCATTAACGTGCGAGATGGCATCGGCTGGGAGCTACAAGGGCAATTAAATAGCACAGAACGTCTTTGATTTGCATTTCTGGGCTGTGTAAATGTAAGGAAGGCCGTTGCTGGATTATTCTCTCTCTCTCTCTCTCTCAATGAAAAGCGCAAGTTGTTCCTTTGATAGATTTTTAATATGATTTTAAAAGAGTTTTGTTTGGCCTCATTCTTAGGCAATGAGATTAATTTAAAGCACTTATCCCCTGGGTTTAAGTCAATCCATGTAGGCCTTTGGACAGAGGGCTTCTTTTAGGGGAGGGGGGACTTTGTTTGCAATGCCTCTGAAAGAGACTCTTTTCCCACTTTATTAACCCCAGAGCTGGGGACAATCCCCTCCTCCGCCCTCTCACACCCTTCTTATACACACACACACTCACTCACAGAAAAAGAAACCCTAGGGATTTACCAAATTCAGCCCCTGACCTGGGCTTCTGGGCTTCCTTTCTCATGTAAAATCAACACCTTTCAAAAGGGAGATGTTTGACTTAATGAGCTGCTTCTGCTTCCTTGATGTTTTGTGGGGGTTTTTAAAAAAACCAAAAACCAAAAAAAAACAAGAATCCATCAAGTAGAGCACCAGAAAACTCCATTCTTAAAAGAAAAAATGACAGGGGAACTTTTAATGGTAATCTAAGGCTGCATATACACCATGTATTTGAAACACCATTATACCATTTTAAACAGGCATTACTTTCCTACCGAAAAAACCCCTGGGAACTGTAGTTTATTCAGGAGACCCCTTACTTCTCACACTCCTTACTTCTCACACAGCTACAGTACCCAAGAGGCATTGGTTGTTAAACCATTCTGGGAACTGTAGTTCTGTGGGGAATAAGAATCTCGTAACAACTCTCATTTTGAGCTCCTTGGATGAAATCTGGGATAGAAATGTCATAATAATAATAACAACAAATAATTATAACTAATTATATATTTCATATGAGATCAGTTTTTCCAATATCATTCCAATAACAGCCTCATTAAAACAATGCCAGTTTTATCCAATTAATACAATTATTAATACTGATTATTTAAATACTAAATTATACAGTTTAGTTAAAGTGGGGCCCCTCATGTGTTAGATTTGATGGCTTCCTTCCTTAATTATAACTAATTATAATTAGTCCAGGGGGTGGCACTGCCTGTTAGCTTCCTCCAGTCAGTCTGAGTTTCGCTGTTGCATAACTTTGCAAGGAGGAGGAGGGTGGGCATAAAACTTGAATGAGTTGGCTCTGCCTGTCATTGGCTCTGGCTTTGCCTACTGTTGGTCTCCTTGCCTTCTGCCTCACCAGTCCAAAGGGCCACCAGCCACCACCAACACTCCACAGCTGTTGCAGGCCCCATTTTGTATTCTTATACAAAACAGATAAGTCCCACGATTGGAATGTAATAATTGGTGGGATAAGTCCCACGATTGGAATGTAATAATGGGGGGATACAATCTATTTCAGAGAAACAGACCAGACAAGAAAGGAGGAGGAGTGGCGTTATATGTCAGGGATGTGTATACCTGTGAAGAGATCTAAGATTTAGAACCTCAAAGCCAAAATGAGAGCATTTGGGTCAAAATTAAGGGAGAGAAGAATAACAGTGACCTCATTGTGGGAGTTTACTATAGATCCCCAAGCCAAACGGAGGACATAGATGATGCCTTCCTGGAACAGATTGCCAAGCATGCAAAAGGAAGGGAGATAGTAGTAATGGTAGACTTCAATTACCCGGATATTTGTTGGATGTCAAACTCAGCCAAGAGCATAAGGTCAAACAGATTCCTCACTGGCCTTGCAGACAACTTCATTGTCCAGAAAGTGGGAGAAGCAACAAGAGGAACAGCCATTTTAGATCTGGTCCTAACCAATGTTGATGACCTGGTTAGTGGGGTAGAAGTGGAAGGATCATTAGGCGCAGTGATCATGCTCTTCTGAAGTTTACTATACAGCGGAAAGGAGCAGCCAAGCATACTAGGACTCAATTTCTTGACTTTAAGAAAGCCGACTCCATAAAACTTAGGGAAGTGCTGGGTGAGATCCCATGGACAGTAATACTAAAAGGAAAGGGAGTTCATGATGGCTGGGAGTTTGTTAAGAGGGAGATAGTAAAAGCACAATGTCAGGCAATACCAATGAGACGGAAACATGGAAGGTGCCTAAAGAAGCCAGGGTGGCTATCTAAAGAACTTTTAACTGAGTTAAGATTAAAAAGGATGTGTACAAAAATGGAAAAGGGGAAACCACCAAAGAGGAATTCAAACAAATAGCCAGCACGTGTAGACACAAAGTCAGAAAAGCTAAAGCACAGAATGAACTCAGGCTTGCTAGAGAGGTTAAAAGCAACAAAAAGGCTTTTATGGGTATGTTCAGTAGCAAAAGGAAGAACAAAGAAACAGTGGAGTCACTCAGAGGAGAAGATGGTGAAATGCAAACAGGGGACACAGAAAGGGCTGAACTCCTCAATGCCTTCTTTGCCTCAGTCTTCTCCGATAAAGAAAACAATGCCCGACCTGAAGAATTTGGAGCAAATGATTCAGCAAAGGAAACACAGCCCAGAATAACTAAGGAGATAGTACAAGAATACTTGGCTAGTTTAGATGTATTCAAGTCTCCAGGGCCAGATGAACTGCATCCAAGAGTATTAAAAGAACTGGCAGATGTGATCTCAGAACCACTGGCAGTCATCTTTGAGAATTCCTGGAGAACAGGCGAAGTCCCGGGAGACTGGAGGAGGGCAAATGTTGTCCCTATTTTCAAAAAGGGGAAAAAGAGAGGACCCAAATAATTACCGCCCAGTCAGTCTGACATCAATACCAGGGAAGATTCTGGAGCAGATCATTAAGCAAACAGTCTGTGAGCACCTAGAAAGGAATGCTGTGATCACCAATAGTCAGCATGGATTTCTGAAAAATAAGTCATGTCAGACTAACCTGATCTCGTTTTTGACAGAATTACAAGCCTGGTAGATGAAGGAAACGCAGTGGATGTAGCCTACCTTGATTTCAGCAAGGCATTTGACAAGGTGCCCCATGATATTCTTGTAAAGAAGCTGGTAAAATGCGGTCTTGACTATGCTACCACTCAGTGGATTTGTAACTGGCTGACTGACCGAACCCAAAGGGTGCTCATCAATGGTTCCTCTTCATCCTGGAGAAGAGTGACTAGTGGGGTGCCACAGGGTTCTGTCTTGGGCCCGGTCTTATTCAACATCTTTATCAACGACTTGGATGATGGACTCAAGGGCATCCTGATCAAATTTGCAGATGACACCAAACTGGGAGGGGTGGCTAACACCCCGGAGGACAGGATCACACTTCAAAACGACCTTGACAGATTAGAGAACTGGGCAAAAACAAACAAGATGAATTTTAACAGGGAGAAATGTAAAGTATTGCACTTGGGCACAAAAAATGAGAGGCACAAATACAAGATGGGTGACACCTGGCTTGAGAGCAGTACATGTGAAAAGGATCTAGGAGTCTTGGTTGACCACAAACTTGACATGAGCCAACAGTGTGACGCGGCAGCTAAAAAGACAATGCAATTCTGGGCTGCATCAATAGGAGTATAGCATCTAGATCAGGAAGTAATAGTGCCACTGTATTCTGCTCTGGTCAGACCTCACCTGGAGTACTGTGTCCAGTTCTGGGCACCACAGTTCAAGAAGGACACTGACAAACTGGAACGTGTCCAGAGGAGGACAACCAAAATGGTCAAAGGCCTGGAAACGATGCCTTATGAGGAACGGCTAAGGGAGCTGGGCATGTTTAGCCTGGAGAAGAGGAGGTTAAGGGGTGATATGATAGCCATGTTCAAATATATAAAAGGATGTCACATAGAGGAGGGAGAAAGGTTGTTTTCTGCTGCTCCAGAGAAGCGGACACGGAGCAATGGATCCAAACTACAAGAAAGAAGATTCCACCTAAACATTAGGAAGAACTTCCTGACAGTAAGAGCTGTTCGACAGTGGAATTTGCTGCCAAGGAGTGTGGTGGAGTCTCCTTCTTTGGAGGTCTTTAAGCAGAGGCTTGACAACCATATGTCAGGAGTGCTCTGATGGTGTTTCCTGCTTGGCAGGGGGTTGGACTTGATGGCCCTTGTGGTCTCTTCCAACTCTATGATTCTATGATTCTAAGATAGGGAAATTCATGGAAGATGGGCCAGGCAACAGTTGTTTGCAGCAGCAGTTAAATGGAACATTCATATGCAGAGACTGTCTACCTGAGACCCCTGAATTCTCAGGAATAAGCCAAGGGAGGTGTTTTGTTCTGTGAGCAACCAGATACAACTTGTCTGGCTGCAACAGGAGAAAGGCTGGGCTTCATTTTAATTTAAGTTATCCATTGATTTCATTATTCTTTTACACAGCCTTTATGAAAATCAGTTTGGTGGTGTATAACAAATCAAAACCTAAGAACAAACCATAATATGAACTAATAAAAAATAAAACATTGCAAATGTTAAAAGCTCAGGTTTTTAAAATAATGTTTATTCATTTTCATTCTTCACATCACACATAAAACGTAAGTCAAAACACATCAACCACGTTGCTTAAAAATATCAAATAAAATTATTACAAATCACTCCAAGAAATCTTTCCATATATTACCATGAGAACTCAGTCTTCTTAACCCATATCATCCAAAAATGGTTGCCACACAATATAGAAAAGCTGTTGGTTAGAATTCCCTTTGGTAGCACAAATCTGGCTCATCAGCTTTTCAGCCAAGGCTATTGCCCATGCTATGGAGTATCACACTTCAGTTTTCAGGCCCAAGAGCATGGCTATTTCCATGTTTTCCACTGTGAGGAGGAACATTAAAAGTTCTTCATGAGCAGTTGGTGGAGTAGATATGTCCTTTATTCAAAGTAAAGCAAGTTAGAGGGTAAGGTTGTAGGTCCACTTTGAATATTAAACTCATTTTTTTAAATATCAAAACCCAAAATGGGTAAACAGATTTGCAAAACCATCCATATGAATGTAAGATCCAGTCTCCCCACATCCCTTCCAACAGGTTGATGTTGCCCCTGGTATCTTGTGGGATATTTGCAAGCAGAAAATATATCACCTATGTATGCATTTCAAAGACAATTCCATTAATTGGGCCGAAACAGTTTTAAAACATCCTCTGCCCCCCAACTCAAAGTGTTTTCCATTTTTCATTAGAGATTATTACTTCAAGGTCCATTTCCCAGAGAATTTTTGTGGTCATAAGATGGCCAAATTCTACCTAAGTTAATATTTTTTATATGGTTGGTACTTCACTCACTGATGTAGCAGGAACAATTTTTTCTCCACACATTTTATTTTAATCGATACTCATCAAAAGATGTGCAAAAGTTTATACCCAATACAAAGCATCTTTTTGTTATATACCAGAATAAAATAAATATTTTTAAAATCTAATCTTAAAAAAAATAGGAGCAAAGAGAAGGGAGAAGGAAAAAAGAAATAAAAAGAAAATTTTAAAAGGGAAAAATAGAAAAAGATTAAAAGACTTCTGATTCTCTTGGCAGCTAAATGTAGCAACTAGTTCAAAGTATTCACTGAAATTGACATCCAACTATTCTATTTTCTATAAGCCAACATTTTCTCAATCTTCAAATCCAGATATTACAAGTTCATTTTCTCTTTCACGCAAAAAGTCCATAAGAAGTTTCCAGTCCTTAATAAATGTCAACAAAGATTTTTCTCTGATTGTTCTCTGTAGCAGGAATATTGACCACAAGTTGTTCAAAAGCAGTCAACTCTCGGTCTGCTTGAATGGCTATACATGGTTTTAACAAAAAGAAAAACAATTGATTAAAATTAGACCATGACCATGTTACATTGGGAATGTTAGCCAAAATCTGCTCTTTTTGTAGGGGGGGGACTCTTTACATTAAAATCTCGAGTCTATAGAAAACTGCTTGGTTTTTTGTTTTAACTGTGCCTTGATACCTTTCCTAACAATAGTGATGTGGGTGGGTGTGATTGCATTCCTTCATGTGGGGGTGATGGAGGAAAAAGCTCTCCCCCACATGCCTGTCAAGTGGGCCTCTGCTGGCAGTCATATCTTCATAAGGGTCTCTCCTGCAGCTCTTAATAAGGGGGCAGGTTCATAATGAGGTATGCAGCCCCAGAGGAACTAAGCCGCTTAGGGCTTTAAACATCTTCTCCTGAGCCTGGGGAACAATTGCTTGGCCATTACATTTTTGCATCGTTTGAAGCGCTGCACTGTCCGGGCAGTCTTCTAAGGTAGCTCCACGTAACTCAGTTTGCAGTAATCTGAACAGCAATGCAGTGAAGGCATGGGTAACTAGTGCTAAATCAGACTGACTCAAGAGATGTGATGGTTGGTACACGAAATGCCCTGGCGTAAATGTACTCCTTGCCACCACAAGGCTCAAGGGGAGTACAACCCTTTCCACAGCAGGCCAGGCCCTAGTCCCTGAGGCAGACTGACGAAACAGCACCTCCATCTGTCAGGGGTTATTGGAGTTGTCACATAGCAACATCCGGAGGGCCACAGTTTAGCCTCTTCTGATGTTTCCCAAGGGTGAATGGCTCTGACCAAAAGGGACAGTGGTGGAGCTGAGGTATTACTTTCAACCAGTAACAAGAGGGGTGGGCAACCTCCAGAATGTGCTGGAATCCTGTAAGATCAGGCCAAAGGGGGCCCATCTAGTCCAGCGTCTTGTTCTCACCATGGCCAACCAAATGCTTCAGTGGGAAACTCACTAGCAGGACTGGAGCACAGGAGAACTCTCCCTTCCTGCAGTTTCCAGCAACTGGTATTCCAAGGGATGCTGCCACAGGGGTGCAGCCATCATGGCTAGTAGCAGTACTACATTCAGGGCCTTTTTTTTCAGGGGGAACTCACAGGAACTCGGTTCCGGCACCTCCTAGGCATACCCTCCAACATTTATCCAATGTCCTTGTCCCATTCCATAATGATCATTCTACTATATATACCCCACACATCTTACTGGGTTGCCCCAGCCACTCTAGGCAGCTTCCAATATATATATAAAAACATCATAAAACATGAAACATTTTTAAAAACTTCCCTATACAGGATTGCCTTCAGATGGCTCGGAGGCCGGATAACTCCATACCCTCCAACATTTCTTCAATGAAAATAGGGAGGTCCTAAGGAAAAGTGGGACATTCTGGGATCAAATCAGAAACCTGGACAGCTTCTCAAAATCAGGAACATCCCTGGAAAATAGGGACACTTGGAGGATCTGCTCTCAGGTGGGTTCTGGCACCTCTCAGGTTGGTGCCACTGCCATTCTAAGAGACTTAGGGAGGCGTTCATAGTGAGTTCCAGCACCTTTTTTTCTAGAAAAATAGTACTGGCTACATTTACATACAGACTGAGGAGGCTGCATCCCAGGGCCTCATAATCTAGGAGGGCCTCGGCCTCTTGCCCCCCCCCCCCATTCTAAATAAACAGGCAAATTTTACAATCTAGGCCCAGTTCCTTAGTAACGTTAAACATGTGACACACGAGTCTATGACAAGTGAATACTTATTGTTTAGTAAATTCGTGGAGGCTTTAAAGCTACTCAGAATCAAATAATATCGTCCACTACGAAGCAATGCAAGTGTTCACATCACTGTCTATCATTACAGTGTGTGTTTTAAGAACAAGTGAGGATGCTTTTATATCACTGTGAATCACCTTTTTGTGAAAATAATAATGAGCAAGCAATATGAAAGTGGTACTAGTAAATGAAAGCGACGAAAAGAAGAGAAGGAAGTACTCCCAACATTTAAAGCCAATCACGTCATACCGCTTTGTACAGCCGGCAAAAACAGCCCTACATAATCCCTCAGATACAGAACGTCCGTGTTTACAAATAGAAGAAAATCAAGTAGACGACGCTAAGCAGTTTGAGCAGAACAACCAGTTTATATACAGAGCGCAGCCTCCCAAGAACTTTGAGAACTGTTTTCAGTGACTACAGCCACAAGTACAGAAAATTCTAAGGAAAGTGGCAATGAAGTGACTGGACCTACAAAGACTAACACAAGGTACCAGAGGCAGATTTAGGGGAGTGCAACTGGTTTGGTCACACTGGACGCAGAGCCTTGAGGGCATCGCATCACAAGAGATGCTGCAATTATGGTGTAGAATAGAGCGAGATGAGTGGGGAGTACCAAATCTTGGTGTTGCACAGGGCACCTCTGAAATTTGAGACCCCATGGTCCGCCACTGAAGGCACAGAAGGAACACGCCACAAGATAGTTACACCAAAAGAAGCAGTTCAAGCTTAATGCAATCTTAAAGAATTGGGAAACAAAGCAAATGATCTCAGCGAAAACCCCAACACCGCAGACACAAAATTACTAACTAGTTATTTCAGAGACAATAATGATGTAGGTTTATGGACCATGTTGAATAACGAGAAAATATTCTGGATTGATTCTATTCCACCAAAAGTAAATTGAAAAACCTACCCTCAGGAATGGCTAATGTATTCTCCCACAACAGGAAAAGTCTACTGTTTTGTGTGCAAATTTTTCTCTAACCTAACTACCTGAACTACAGCTTTATCTTCTAATGACTTTGATTATTAGCATCACACTTATGTTGTTTGAACCCACAAAAACTCTAAAAATCATATTACCCCTATGCTAACATGCTTAACAAGGAAGCATGATCACATGCTCACATCAAAACGAGCAGGATTACTGGAGGCACGTACTTCAGTGAGTTATTGCACTGATTTCTCTTTTGGCAGAATGTGGCTTGGCATTTAGGGGAAATAAAATTCAGGAATTCAGTTCACCAAATAATGGTAACTTTCTGGAATTGCTTGAATTAATTGCCAGATTTGATCCCTTCATGTGTGCTCACATAAATCGGTATGGAGGTAAAGGCTTTGGTCACCCTTACTTATCCAAAGCCATATGCGACGAGGTTATCCAGGTGATGGCTAATACAGTTCAAGAAGCAATACCGAGTGACTTCAGATAGGCAGGTTATTTTAGTTTATCAGTCAATTCAACCCCTGATGTTTCCCATGTTTATCAGCTTACTGTCATTGTTAGATCTGTTTCTCCCCACAATGGATTACCAGCTCAATGCTTTCTGAGTCTTTTTGAACTGAAAGATCACACCAGTGAAAGTATGGCTGAGCTGATTCTGAACTTGAAATAGATTTCAGCAAATGTAGAGGACAGTCATATGACAATGCAGCCAATATGGCTGAAAACTATAACGGCATTCAACCAAAATGCTGGAAAGGAACAAGTTTGCAAAGATTATTCCATTCACTGGACATTCCCTAAATCTCTTTGGCTGAACTGCAGTTTACTCATGCCTGGTTGCAGTGATTTTTTACCACAATAGATTAACTTTATTGTTTTTTCTCAGCTACTTCAGAAAAATGGGCAGTGCTAAAAGAATTCTTGCTTTTGGGTCAAAAGTTCCTAAACATTTATCCGACACAATAAGAGAGGCTCATGGCAAAGCTACTGCAGCTATTATACTTACATTGTTGAATTCCTCAGTCATATTTACTGTGGTGAAACCAAAAAAGGAGATACTAGACAACAAGCTGTAAATCTTCTGCAGAAAATGGAAGGATTTGAATTCATGTTTATGCTCCACCTTTGGACAGTTTTGCTAAAGTTAGCAAGGCACTCCCAAGCTTGCAAATTTTATTGAGCACATGTGTAAATATTTACAGCTCACTATTATAGTTTGTATCAAACAACCAGGCTAAGTTTGATGAAACTGAACAGCAAGAAAAATTTACTCTACCAGAGGTAGAGGACAAAACTGTCAAAAGAAGGTACCGGGGGGGGGGGATGATGGGACAGCACCTGAAACCTTAAACAAACTTTCTCAAAGAGTTAAGGGTAAATTCATTTATACCTGTCATGGACACTCTTAAAGCCAACCTAAACAGAAGGGCAACAGTGTATAGGAGCTGGCAATTTTTCTTTTGTGGTGAACCTTCAAGCAACCAAGGAACATATTCACAATGGCATTGTGATTTTGGTGCAAAGTATCCAAAGGATGTTGACCTTAGTCTAGTCAATGAATTCTTGCACTTCTACCTGTATGTCAAACCAGCTCACCCTGAAAAAGAAAATTTCACCCACCAAGATATGTATCAAGTAACATTCCAGGAAAAATTCAGACAGCTTTTCCAAATGTGGAAACAATTTTCAGATTGTTCCTGTGTTTAATGGTTACAAACTGTACTGGCGAAACATCATTTTATAGACTAAAAAGGATACAGAATGATCTACGCTCAACAATGTCCCAAGACTGATTGTGTGATCTAAGCATTCTCTGCATATAAAATGATAAACTGTGACTTACTGATTTTAATGATATAATTAAGTTTGCACCCAAAAGACCTTGAAAGAAACTGTTCTGACCTTGTATATAGTGCAATGTTGTAACTTTGCTATAATTTCCCTTATGAAGGTTCTGTGTGGATGTCTTCATTACTGGTAATTCCATAAATTTATAAACAATCTCTTAATCAGTGCTAAAATTTCAGCAATGTTCTACTTTCATTGAGTTGATAAAGAAGAGAACGAGGTTTTGTTTCTCATGATCAGATGCTATTCAGTTTGGGCCTCTCAAGATCTTCCAGCCCGGCACCTCGAGTTGATTTCATCTGGGTCTGCCTATTAGCAACTGATAGCATTTATCTCCATGAATTTGTCCAATCCTCTTTTAAAGACATCATTTTAAAAAAAGGTAAAGGACTCCTGACAGTTAAGTCCAGTCGCGAACGACTCTGGGGTTCCGGGTCATGTGGCCAGCATGACTAAGCCGCTTCTGGCAAACCAGAACAGCGCACAGAAATGCCGTTTACCTTCCCGCCGGAGCAGTACCTATTTATCTACTTGCACTTTGACGTGCTTTCGAACTGCTAGGTTGGCAGGAGCAGGGATTCACCCCATCGTGGGGATTTGAACCGCCAACCTTCCAATCGGCAAGCCCAGGGCTCAGTGGTTTAGACCACAGCGCCACCCGCATTCCTATGATGAAAGACATCATAGGTGGTGGCTATAACTGTCTCCTATGGGAGAGAGTTCCATAGTTTAACTACACACTGTGTGAAGGCCTTTTATCTGTCCTGAATCTTCAAACATTCAGCTTCATTGGATTTCTGCAAGGATCTAGTGTTATGAAAGAAGGATGGGGGAGATGCATCCACTGTCTCCAATCTGTGCATAATTTTATAAATTTCTACTGCGTCGCTTCTTACTTGCCTTTTTTCCAATGAAAAAGTCAAAAATACTGCAGCCTTTCCTCATAGGAGAGTTGCTCCAGGATGGGTGCTGGAGTCCTGCAACATCTGAAGGGCTGCAGACTTCCTAGCCCTGAGTAAGAGTGAAGACAGAGACCACATTCACACCATACATGTAAAGCACTATGATGCCACTTTAAGTAGTCAAGTCTTCCCCCCTCAAAAAAAAATTATGGGAGTTGTAGTTTGTTAAGGGTGCTGAGAGTTCTCAGGAACAACTTCCCCGCCCATTACCCCTCAAAGCTACAATTTCCAGAATTCCCCATGAAGACAAATTGACTGCTAATACACTCTGGGAATCATAGCTCTGTGAGGGGAATGCAGGGGTCTCTTTTAACAACTCTCAGCACCTTTATGAAACCACAGCTCTCAGAATTATTTGGGGAAGTCATGACTGCTTAAAGTGGTATCATGGCGTTCACATTTTGCATCACAATTTTCCAGCCTACAGATACAGAAATGCAAGTACTGGGGCAAAGTGTGCATAAAAATGCATATAATAATGAAAATGGCATACACAAATGTATCACACTGGGGGATATGGCTTGCAAATAAATGTATATGTTAGGCAAAACTGCCTACAAAGATGAGTCTATTAGGAAATTCACACTAAAATGTTGATGAATATTATCATCAACATCACAGATTATTCACTGCCTTCTAAACCACTGCCTCCAGGAGATTTACATATAAGATGACTAAGAACAGTTCAACTAAAACAACTGATACATTAAAAACAAGACTGAAACCCTAACAAGTGGACACTCATGGTAAAGACTGAGGAAGTTTTCATGAGAAGTTTAAAAAAATGGACAGTGGACAGTAAGACAAGAAATGGAAAGAAAAAAACAAAATTGGCAAATTCTCCCATCCCTAGCGAAGCAAACATTTTCTGCAGCTCCTTAGATCATTTCTATGCCTGTCCATTTTCAACCCTAGGGCCCTCCTTCTCTCCTCCCTGCTGAGGAACTCTGCATAGCTCTTTCATTTATCGCCATTTGTTGTCCCTCCGCTTGAGTGTCTGACCTGCATGCATATATTTTTTGCAGTCTAGCCTGCAGGTTGGGGAGGAGATCTGTGTGTGTGTTTGTGTGTGCAAAGGGGGGTGGGTGACGTTGGTCTGGCAGAGGAGGCCTGGTTCTGTGTAAAGAGCTAAGCCTCGCAACCCATCTGTCAGCTTCCCAAGACAGAGAGCAGCTCCCAGGCTTGTCCCGGTGACCAGCTGCTGGGGGAGATGCAGGCCAAAGGCAGATGAGCAACTTAAGTCCTTTCCTTCTCTTGTTCCTCCCCTTTCCCCTTTTCATTATTGCTGGAGGGTGGAAGGCACTCTTTTTTGTTTTTTCACTAAAGCGATCATTTAAGGCCATTATCTGTTTGCAAGATGAGCGTTAATAATTCACTGTCGCTGGCAAGGTCCCCGCCTCCCTGACCCTCTCCAGCTCTCCGACTCTGCTTTCAGAAGGTACAGAGGGCAGAGAAACAACAAAAATAAGCCCCACCGGTGGAGGCTAGTCCACGTGCCCTACTAACTGTCAGCCCGTTCTCAGCCACTCCCTGCCTGCTTTTTACTTGCAATCATTCCAAGGGTGGTGGCGGCTCCGGCTGCCAGCTTCCTCCGCCTTAGTATTGTCCCTTGTAGAATAACATGAGCCCCAAGTACCACCCACAGAGGAGAGCCTCTCTCGCAGTTCTGCATGAGTCACTGGTCTGGCCTAAGCTGCTTTCTGTAGGGAGGCACATGTTCAGATGTGAAGAGCCGGGCCATGGTGGCTGGTGCCTATTCAGAATGATCATGCGGAAGGCAGGGTGGCCAACAGGCAGAGCCAACTAATTTTTCTTCTCCATCCTTCTCCAGCCTGCCCTTTCCTTCCTTACTTATATCCAGTCCAAGGAGTAGTCCTGCCTGTCCGCTTCTTATCCCTTCACCTCAGTGTTGCCCCTTGTTGACATGGCTCTGCCTACTCATGGACTCCTTGCCTTCTGTGCTCCTACTCCCAGAGCGCACCAGCCGCTGCTGGATAGCATGCGCATCCTGGTACTGAATCTACATAACCCCAGGATAACCACTATCAAAGGCTTTTGCCACAGCTAAGCACTGCCACCCTTTACCGCGGCAAATGGTTTGACTGCAATGTTCATGCTTTCAGTTTGTTTGGGTTTTCTTTGAGAACAGAGCATAGCCACATGGCTGGTAGTCCATGGATAGGCTTCTCCTCCATGAATTTGTCTAATCCTCTTCTAAAGCCGTCAAAGACGGCATTTCAGAAACAGCGAATTAGCTAAGTTCCACCTGTAAATAAAACCAGGATCGAATTTCTTCTGCATACTTGCCTGCAAGTTGATGGGTCACTATTTGATGGAAACCAGCAACATATCGGAAGGCTTACCTGAGCTGCTTTGGTTTACTTTTATTTTACACAAATGTAAAATGTTGATAGGCTAAGATCAGATACACACAGCACATAGTTCAACGACGGAACTTCCTCCTGCTGGAAGCAGTGATGGCCACCAACCTAGATGGCTTTAAAAGAGGATTAGGCAAAGTCATGGGGGAGAGGGCTATAAAGGGCTACTAACCACGAGTCAGCAATGCTTCTGAATACCAGTTGCTGGAATCCACACGAGGGGAGAGGGCTCTTGTGCTTGGGTCCTGCTTTCAGGTTTCCCACAGGCATCTAGTTAGCCACTGTGAGAACAGGATGCTGGACTAGATGGGCCATTTGCCAGATCCAGTTCTTAAGCCACCAAAAGCATCCTTCTGGGCTGAAAATCAGGGTAGAGACATTAAACTGATTCCTTATCCACGTAACCAGAATTACTTTTCCCTCCAGCGAGAATTTTAGGGACTTCCTCTTGCTTCTTCTCTCTCATTGCTTTCCAGCATGTTTTGATGTCTCTGTAGCGAAGTGGGGTGGGTGAAGAAGGCTAGGAAATGACTCAATCTGTTTGTAAAGAAGTTTATTTCCACATTTAAAAAAAGAGAGAGGGAGAGGGAAAGAGAGCGAAAGCAAGAGAGGAAGCTTTCCCCTCCCCCTGATCTCTTCTAAAGCAAGAATCCTCCTTTTCTTCTTCCTCATTACAAAGTCCGGAAAAGAGAATCCTACAGATATAGAGACTTACGAGACTCACTTACACAAATACACCCTCTGGGTTCACCAATAAATAATTCATATACATTTGTGCACCAAAGTTATTTACAAAAAGGAAAAAAAATTAAAGTTACATACTTTTTGAAAATTCTTGGTCTAGCATAAAAGGAGTCCTCTTGTGCTACAGGGAGATAAAACATAGTTATTTCTTTTGCTCTCTGTGTGTGTGTGTGTGTGTGTGTGTGTGTGTTTGTGTGTCTGTTAGTGTGTGAGTGTGTGTGTGTTGGAGGGAGCAATCTACACCTTTCTGTACCTCAAGCCAGGCTGGTGGTCCGCCAGCAACTAATTTCCAAAATTGGAAGGCCTAAAACAGAAGTAATCCCTGCTGGGTTTAGTGGGGCTTACTCATAGGTAGGTTTGCAAGCCTAGTCTCATCTGCTGAAATCAAATTGGATTCTGTTATTTTAACCCATTCAACGTGCCTATTGTTTAGTTTTTTTCAAAAATAATGATAATTAATTTTCACCTGTTGTTGTAACTGTTCTCTCTCTGTTTTATATACACTATAAAATGAATGTTTTAAAAAAATCTTTACGTACCTTCCCAAAATTCGGCTGGTAAGTGTTTCACATACCAGGAATACAGAAATACTAAGTCAGACCATTGGTCTTCTTAGCTCAGTAATGTCTACACTGACTGGCAGGGTTTCAAAGAGAAGACATTCGCATTCCTACATGGATATGCTGTTGAAGGATCAAGCCTGGGACCTTCTGCATGCTGTACCACTGAGCCAGGTCTCATCTCCATTTAAATATATGTTTCTTAAATGATTTTAAGAATCAAAAGAAGTAAAACACAGATATATAGAACTGTATAAAACCAAGAGAAGGCCAACTGAAATGATGTAAACCACTTAGAGGTGTTGGTGATTAAACTGTATGTTAATTCTGCTGAACAGAATAGCATAAGTTGAAACAAATGGACCTGTGTTCACTAAGTTCATGGACCTAGTGTGCATTGATTTCAGTGTGTCTGCTCTGAGTATAACTTACATACAGACATCTCTTTCCCCTTTACGAGCTCACTCTATCCCTTTTCCTGCAGTGAGAGAAAAGGACGAGTCAGCATGTAACGAGATGAGCAGAGGACATTTTCTTGGTGTGGCTGGACTGGGTAGGAGAACAAACTGTAAGTGTGTGTGTGTGTGTGTGTGTGTGTGTGTGTGTGTGTAAAAATAAATACCGGTAGCCATCAATAACCCAGATCAGATATGTCTGCTGTTGGTTTTGTGGCTGGGGCGGCAGGGCTGCCAAGGTGTGAAAAATTCTCTTATTCTTGTTTTGCCTCTGAGGACACCTCCCAAACAATTTGCTTATTGGTGTGGATGTGACCTCAGTCTCAGAGTGGTAGAGGGGCTGGGGTATGTTAGAGTGCCATGAAGAATATCATATATATTAAGTAACTGAAAAGCCAAACTCATTGAGGAGGCTGCCTGTGGTATGTCTGTATCAATTACTGCCCTGGGCTTAGCCCCTCTTGGACAGGAAATGACAGGCAGAAGGGTGGGCTGCTCTGCGGGTGGATGCATGTAAAGTATGTTTTTCCTCAAAAGAATCCTGGGAGCTGTAGTTTGTTATGGGGTGCTGGGAATTGTAGCCCTGTGGGGGAACTACATTTCCCAGGATTCTTTGGGGGAAGCTGCCTGCTTGACTCTATTCACTCCATCTGAAAACAAAGGGGCATTTATTATTATTATTTTTTAAAGCTGCTTAACTTTGCCAGACCATGCAAAGGAAATCAAGCAATGCTGCAATAGTACAGAAGGGCCCTGTCAATGTGTGCGTGTGAGATGATATATTCTCTGGTAGGCTGCATGTGTCCACGAAGCCATGTGTGTAAAGGGTGTTTGGGCCTGTAGGCAGAGCAAGGGTCAGGCTCTTCACATGAGGCCCTCCAGACCTGTCTATGTGGCCCTCAAAATTCTCCCCAGGCCATGCCCTTCACAGGCCTGGCTCTGCACCTTTCTTAAGATGCTTTTACCTGGCTGGAATGAGTCCCTGAACTCTTGCTTACCTGGCTGGAGTACAGATGTCCACATGTGCGTAGAAACCTCTGGGGTTTGCAGCACCCCTGTGGTACAAAGGTGAGGGCCCCTGGCCCTGCCCATCACTGCCATGCGTCCCCCAGAAGGTTGCTTATGAGGACAAGTGGCCCTCAGCTGGAAAAAAAAAAGTTTATTAGGAAAGGGGGTGCTATCAAACAGGTGGGGGAAAGAATATAAGTCCATCTTTGCCCACTTAGAAGGGTGCTGAATGCTCCGCTGCAATACAAAATCGGGAGAAGTTCTCCCTGCAATCTGGGGGAGGGGGAACTGCAGCTGCTGAATCTCTACCTGTTGTACCTATTTTAAAAAATTAAGGAACTCTGGGAAGGGGTGGGGAGGTTGGCAACTTCAGGAGAGAGGGAGGGGTGACCCTCCTTGTTCTGCTGGAAAGGACTGTGTCAGGCCCAGGCATAAACACTTGTGCACATGGGTAAACAGAGTTTATGAAAGGCAATGGGTCTGAAGAGCAGGAAACCCCATGCAAACAAGAGGCAGCATGGGAGAGACCGTCTTTTGGAGCGGTTTTTTAAATTATTATTTTCACAGGGCCCTTCCTACTCCTGTGGCTGTAATCTGATTTAACTGTTTTATAACTTTTTTTCCCCTATTTGAAATAAATTTATTGATAATATTTTGTCTATTTGCTGCTGCTCGGCTTGTAGAGGGAACAAAGCACCGTCCCATAGGTCGTGTGAAGGAGGCAGAGGCGTACTTAGGGGTCAGCCATGTTGGCCCCCGCCAAGGGAGCAGGCCGTGGGGCGGAGGCGCGAAAATAGTGCCCCTCTCTCGGCGCGGCGTGGAGGCATGGGCTGTCGCAGCAGCCCTGCAGAGCCCCCTCCCCAGAGAGCCGGCAGTGCTGCCGGTTAGTTCGTGCAGCGGAGCTCCCCGTGAGGACGCCGACGACGCCAAACGTCAGGCGAGGCTCTTAATTTTGCAAAGCCGAGTCACTTTCCCCTGGTTCCCTTCCCGCTTTGACCAATTTCCAGCCCGCGCCGCTGCATGTTTACCCCAGAGAGCAAGGGCCATTGACGGGGCTTAGTTCCGAGTAAAGTGTGTACTTAGGGCGCAACCTCCAAGTGGTGCGATAAGAAACAAAAAGGCAAGCGAGGTATTGTCAGAAGTTGCTTGCCACCTTTAGGCTGCAGGCCGGTGTACCCACTTTCCTGGGAGTAAGCCCCATTGAACTCGGTGAGATTTACTTTTGATTAGACATTTATAGGATCGGGCTGTTAAACGCCCAGTTTAAGAGTAATTTGTGACGATTGAATTAGGCCAATTAAAAATTTTTTATTATTTTTTTGCTGGAGATGCGGGGGGGAGGGAGGGGGCGCGCCGATACCGCTCCTTGCCAAGGGCGCAAGGGAGCCTAGGTACGCCTCTGGAAGGAAGCACTAAAACGCGTGCATCGTGGTATATCCCCCAAATAGGATCTGATTTTCCCTCCCGTTTTCAAGAGTCAAACTGGACCAAATTTGTTCGCTTGCATGTGTGGTTGATGGTGCGTGCGTGCGTGTGTGTGTGTGTGTTTGAGCAAAGCAACGCCCGTTCAAAAGGGATTTCCCACCCACCCCCCGGCGTTCCCACGTTGTCTCTTCCAGAAGCTGCGCCCGGTCCCTCCTCCTCGCCTCACCGCGGCTGAGCCGCCCGGGGAAGGACTCCGGCCAGGGGGGGCAAGGGCGGCGGGGGCTCGCTGCCCCCTTGAAGTCCGTGGATGAGGATCCGGGGGACCAGCGGCCTCTGCAGGGCCGGCGGCGGGGCGCTGGGCCCGCGGTAGAGATAGAGGGCAGCGCCCGGATCCAGGTTGGACACCAGACTCTGCGGGTAGAAATAAGGCGACGGGAACATCCTCTGCAGCGCCGAGTAGTTCCCGGCTTCGGCCAGCAGCTCCAGGCCCACCGCGGTCTGCCTTTTCCATTTGGTCCTGGGGTAAGGGGAAAAAAAGTTTCGGGGGTCAAGACACTTGGATCACTTTTATTGACCGTTTTAAGAAAATCCATCTCATGTGTCTGCGTTTGACAAAGGGATTGCTCTCTTTGGGGCGGGAGTTCCACACGTGCTCTTGCATAGTCTCTGCACCTGTGTGTACAGCTGCACGTGGGAACGGACCCTCTTGGAAAGGCTGGTGTTTTTAAGTGTTATTAATCATCATACTAAATGATAATACCATTTTTTTATTTGTTCCCATACCAAACTGTATTACAAAAGTAATACTGTTTAAAGCATAAATATAATTAACACGCCCCCTTTTCATGATTCAAAGTATATTTCTTTAAAGCACAATATATTCTACAAATAGGATTAAGACTCTTGTATTTAGCATAATATTCAACCTGCAAGGGCTATTTGCTTCACTAACTTTCAAGAATAGAAGAACAGAATCTCACTGAATGGACTGAACCTTGTTGGCTGATTGCATCAGGGGAAAACAAAACAAAAACCACTGTGTTCTAAGTGGTCATCAGAGTGTCTGCCTGGGATGTTAGATCTGTGGTGGCGGATTCACACATTCAAGTCACCAATGATGAACAGGCAACTCAGCATGTGGGGATTAAGCAGGGATTAAAAGACCCAGCACAGAGGAGAAGCATAATTTAGGAGGACAAAATCATACTCATGTTCACATTAACTGAAAGAATTGTAACAGGCTGCTTACTTGCACATATGAAGTGTTAATCACAGATCTGACACCACAACTTTCCTATCGTGCTTCTTCTCCTCCAACTAAATCTGAGGCACTCAAATTTGGCAGCCACACATAGAATCATAGAATTAGAAGGCACCCCAAGCATCATCTAGTCCAACCCCCTGCAATGCAGGAATCTCAACTAATGCATCGCTGACAGATGACCATTATATCTCTGCTTAAAAACCTCCAAAGGGGAGTCCAGAACTTTCTGAGGGAGTCTGTTCCACTGTTGAACTGTCAGAAAGTTATTCCTGATGTTTAGTCAGAATCACCTCTCAGTCTCCTCTTTTCCAGGCTAAACATACCCAGCTCCTTCAACCATTCCTCATAAGGCTTGGCTTCTAGACCCTTGTCCATCCTAGTTGCCTTCCTCTGCACACGATGTAACCTAGAATAGCATTAGCTTTTTTTGCTGCTGCATCACAGTATTGACTTATGTTAAGCTTGTGTTCTACTAAGACCCCAAGATCCTTTCCACATGTACTACTGGCAAGGCAGGTGTTTCCCATCTTATATTTGTGCAACTGGTTACTCCTGCCTAAGTGTAGAACCTCACATTTGTCCCTACTGAAAATAATTTTGTTAGTTTGGGCGCAGTTCTCCAATCTATTAAAGTCATCTTGAATCCCAATTCTGTCTTCCGTGGTATTAGCTACCCCTCCCAGTTTGGTGTCATCTGCAAATAGGATAAGCATCCCCAAGTCATTTATAAAGCTGCTAAACAACAACTGGCCCAAGACAGAACTCTGTGGCACCCCACTTGTCACTTTTTTGCAGGATGACAGGAACCATTAGTGAGCACTCCTCAGGTTTGGTCAGTCAACCAGCTACAAATCTACCTAACAGTTACCTCAACCAACCCACATTTTACCAGCTTTCTGCAAGAATATCATGGGGGACTTTGTCAAAAGCCATATTGAAAACAAGATACCGTACAACCACAGCATTCCCCTGATCCACCAAACTTTTAGGTTTACTAAAAAGACAGAGAGAGATTTGTCTGGCATGACTTGTTTTTGAGAAACCCATACTGGACCTTAATATCCACAGCATCCTTTTCTAAGTGCTCACAGACCAACTGTATAATGATCTGTTCTAGGACATTTCCTGGTATCGATATCAAGCACACCAGTTGGTCGTTACCTGGGTCTTCTTTTTTCCTTTTTTTGAAGATGAGAACAACATTTGCCTGCCTCCAGTCTGCAGGGACCTCACCTGTTCTCCAAGAATTCTCCAAAGATTATAAACAGAGGCTCTGAGAGTACATCAGCAAGCTCCTTTAGTACCCTTGGGTGCAGCTTATCAGGCCCTGGAGATTTGAATTCATTTAGAGCAACTCAGTGTTCCCATACCACCTCTTTTCCTATCTTGGGCTGCAGCTTCCTTCTTGCATTGTTTATTCTGTTATCACCAGGTTGGGCACTGCATTCCTTTTGGGTGAAGACAGGCAAAGTAGGTGTTGAGCAGTCCCACCTTTTCTCTCTTACCCAACAGCATTTCTCTGTCTTCTCCATGCAGAGGACCTACTACTTCCTTGGTTTTTCCTTTTGCTTCGAACATAGCCGTGTGAACAATGCAATATGGACGAGCGTTTGTGACTCAAAGAAGCAAACCAACACATTCAGTTTGCAGAGGATCAAGTAGTCAGAAATCAAACAAGATGTAGGCGCAACATCTGTACAATGTTCAGCCTTGGCCACAACACACTACTAAGAACAAAGGAACATAGTAAGCTGGTTTATGTTGAGTCAGATCATTGGTCCATCTAACTTCGTATTGTCTACACTGATTGACATCTGCTCTACAGGGCTACAAACAAGGGAAGCTTTCCCACCTCTACCTGGAGATGCTGTTGGAGATTGACCCTGCAACCTGGTTTATATAGAGCAGGTATTCCACTATTGAGCTACAGGGGCCCTTCCCCAAAGGCCATAGTGGAGAACGTGTGGCCCTCCAGATGTCGCTGGATTACAACTCTCGTCATCATAAGAAGTGCCTGCTTGATCAGGCCAATTGCCCACCTAGTTCAGGCTCCAGCATCCAGTTCTTACAGGGACCCTCTAGAAACCTGGAGCCAAGACATGAGCTCAAGAGCCCCCTCCCCTCCTATAGTTTCCAGCAACTGGGATTCGGAAGCATTTCTGCCGTTGACTGTGGAGGCAGATGATAACAATTGTGACTAGTAGCCCTCTGTCTAATCCTCTTTTAAAGCCATCCTAGTTGTTGGCCATCACTGCCTCTTATTCTATAGTTTGTTCTGTGTGAAGAAGGGCTTTCTGTTATCTGTCCTCGGTCTTTCAACATTCAGCTTCACTGAATGTCCACAAGTTCTAGTCTTATGCGTAATTTTATAAATGTCTATCATATCACCTCTTACTCTCCTTGTCTCTAAACTATCCTTTATTTGCCCTGAATATTCCAACATTCCGCTTCAATCATCATCATGGTCATCAGCATCATCCTTAAGCCTTGAGCATGCTGGCTGAGGCTGATGGGAGTCGAAATCTGCAGCATTAGGAGGTCAACGCATGTCCCCCTTCCACACTGTAAAAGAGTGCTGGCCTTCCAATTAAAAGATCCCCACTATCTGACATTGATGCAGCCCAAAGCACGATCAATGCAACCAGCATCGACAGAGCCACATTCTTACTTGTGAGGAGCAGCTAATACCAATTGAAAACTTCCCTTCAGGAATAGACTGTGCTCCATAGCCTCTGCTGTAAAGGCTGCCTCTGCCCGATAAAAGCCTACACATTACCTTTGAGAAGTTCAATCTTAAGTCTGGGGAAGTGAGGCATAAACAGACAAGTGTAAGTGACTTCCTTGTCTGTGTAGGACATGACAGGAGGTGCCATGTCAACCGAGGATTGTCATCAATGTAACATGAGCCTTGTGGCTCCACACACAAGGATTTGCCGTTGAACATAATGATCGCAAATTGTTGTTATTTTTATTACGTACTGGCAGGTGCTTGTGTGATGCACACATTCAGTGTAGCTGCAAAGGAGGTTGATCTGTTTGGGCAGATGGGACATTGCCCTGCTTACCTCCCTCTGCCCCCACCTGCCTGCCTTCTTGCTTACACCCAGTCCAGGGGGTTGCCCTGGCTGCCAGCTTCTTAGTCTCAGATTTGCCCCTTTTAGAATTGACAGTGAGTTGACAATGGCAGAGTGCATGGAGAAAGGCTTTGTATATTACATATTGGGCCCCCAGCTTGATTCCCAAAGCCTCCTGCAAGCTGTCACTCAGAACTCTGACAGGAAGGAAAGACGGGCAGAAAGAGAAATGGGCTGGCAGAGAGGGGAAAGGGGTGTCCTCTCCCACTGCTGCCTTCAGCCCCACCCACGTAAGCAACCAATAGCTGTGGACAGGATCCAGGCAAAATACTTCTGATTTCAGTAGGAAATGATCCATCCTCAGATGTGCCAGTATGGTGTACCCTTGAGTACCCCCAGAAAAAAGCACTGCTCTTGGGTAATTGTGCCTGAGTCTGCAGCTTTCAGACCCATTGCTTTCAGTTTTGGAACCATGCAACTTGCATGTTTACTCAGAAGTAAGCCCTACTGAGTTCTGAGCATATGTAGGAGATTTCAGCCTTAAGTATGGACTTAAATCTTTCCTTAAAAAAACACTTTTTTTTATTGTGGCAGGATCAAACTCTGGGAGCTCTCAGATCCGTATAGTTATAATTCTATGTATCCATGGAATGAGAGAATCAGTCCATTTCACTAGTTGTAAAAGCCTGTTCCAAGCATTCTGTCACGTTCTACTGTGACCAAGAGACAGAGCTTGAATAGACATTTTCCTGGAGAGAAGTCCTGTTAAGTCTTTGGCAGCAAAAGCAACTAAAGCCAGTTGTCTGTCTGTCTGTCTGTCTGTCTATCTGTCTATCTGTAGAACATCTGCTCTGCATGTAGAAGGTTCCAGGTTCAATCCCCAGAAACATCTCTAGTTAGGGCTGGGAATGTTTCCTGCTTGAAATCCTAGAAAGCAGCTGTCAGTCTGTGCAGACAGTACTGAGCTAGATGAGCCAATGGTCTGATTTGGTAGAAGAAGCTTCCTATGCTCCTTTATGAAACAGCCACATACTCAGAATGTTAAAGATATGTCACACTTTGGACTGCAATGGAATGCATATTCACCTGGAGGTATGTTTCATTGAACTTAATGGCATTTACTCCTGAGTAAACTTTGCACAAGCAACAGTACTTCTGAAGAGTTGTGTAGGT